CTTAAAGATCATTTGTGCTGTAAAGAGTACGCCTGTGCACATGTACTTGATAAACAACATCTGCTTGTCTTAGAGCAGAGTCTTTGGCGGGGCCAAAGGTGGCGGAGGACAGACTGAGCATATCGTGAGCAAATCATGAGTTTTACACTAAATATTTATTTTGGACGGTATCAAAAACAAAGAAAACCTCATCAGAAAAAGTTGGAATTGTGAACAAAAGCACCCTCTTGATACAACAACAATAGCAACTTGCGTTTGTATCATGCCCTGCATGCAGGGTAGTGTTTCGAGGGTGCTGATCATCCCGAACAGAGTGTAGTGTGGAAAAAAAAGCGCAACCGGGTTTACCTGCTCACCGTTACCTTTGATACTGTTAACCAGACTGCAAGGTGAGACAGTCAGTGATTGAGGGGAACTCCATCAGTAAATAAGTGTAGCATTAACCTTGCATTAAACCCATGACTGCCCAGCACCTTGGGACGTCCTCCTTATGTGAAGATCGCTATATAAATCTAATGTGTTGTTGTTGTTGTTGTTGTTGTTGGCTGCTGGTTGTTTTCACCGGGAAAACAAAATAACTCAGGACCCTTTACAAATCGCATCTGTCAAGCAGAAGTCCCTAACTTCTGAATTCCAGGGTTGCCTGTCACCTTCAGAACAAGCAAGCTCGGCTACTGACTGAGCATAATAGAGAGAACAGTACTCACTCGGGGGAAAGGGAAAGCTGATGTGTTCAATTACCCTCCCCTCCATCTGTAGCAGAGATCCCCTGGGCCTCTTGATACAACTTGATATCATGCTACAGTACAAAGGTTTTTTCCAGGAAGATAAGAACAGGAGTAAACCATCGGCCCATCAGGCTCCCGCATTTTATGGCAACTCTAGCTTTCTAATTTTTTCGCACCTTTTCTCTGTATTCCTTAAAACCCTTAGTCACCCAAACACCTAGCTGTCTTCCTCTTAATCGGCTCAATTGATTCCACATCTGTTGTATTCTGAAGCAGTGGATTTCACATTCCCTGTTACCAGATCCATCCCAAACAAGAAAGGAAGGCACATCATCCTGTACAGCGTCATAGAGCTCAGCTTTGTATTCCAAATCAGCCTCAGAACCCCCAAGAACATACAACAAGTTGTTACTAAGACCATTATGGCAATGAGAGTTAGCATACCACAGTTAGACCATTATGGCAATGAAAGTTAACATACCACAGTAAATTCTCTCCAGTCCTTCTTACAACAAACTTACTGATAAAAATCCCAAACCTCTGGTGCCAGCTACTGACATCTGACAATCACAAACTACGAATTAAAAAATCTCACGGTCCCTCCGTCTGGTCATCATAAATCTTTGCAATGAGTTCATTCACATGGGCTTGTAGCCTTTTAAAGCTGCCTTCAGGCCAACCAAACCATTTAAAGCATGGAAATTTGTAATAATAACAAGTGTTCAGAGTTATTTAAACATTGCAACAATTGTAAAACTCAAAGAATGTTGCTCATGTAAGGCTGCAAAGCAGTTATCTTGGCTGACATTTTAATTAGCCCAGGAAGGCTGCCATTAATTCTGTCTCCTAACTAACGGGAGGGAGTGGTGGGGGGGGGGGGGGGGGGGGTCAGTTGGTGGCGGTGGCGGAGTGGGTGATGACAGTGAGCGAATGAGTGGAACTTCATCAACAAATAAGTGTAGCATTGGTGATTTGCTATCGGGCAGGTAAGGCGACATCTACTTATACTAAACAGAACTCTCTCGTGCTTTGTAATAAAGAATAGGACTGGTGGAAATGTACTATGGACACCTAACAAGAGAAAGATAGGTAGACATTCTGACTGTCACCCCCTGTTCCAAACTTGTCTGCGTGTCCAGTATTTTCTCTTTTTACTTCAATTTCTAGCACTGAGGGAATTCCATTTCACCGCTCTCACACTTTGTATCTGGTAAGAGTACGAAACAGTGCAGCATATCAGTTGCAGTGCGTCTACAGTGCAGATCAATAGCTTTTCACAAACCAGGCCATTATTCCTTTAATACTGCAGCTGCTTCCCTGAACTAGTCTGCTGTAACATCGGATATTCCAGCATTCATCATTATTCACTGTGCAGTTCAGTATCAGCAATTTAAACCGCCTGGAAATGGTAACCTTGTTCTCTATCCCGCCATCAATCGTCGTAAAGTTCAGGGGAGGCAATTAGACAAAGTTATGTGCAGTGCAATCTTAACCATTTGCCATTCAGCGTGGGCTGTGCTGAGCAGTTTGCACAATAGAGTTTTATATTAATACTATCGCTGGCTCGAGACATTTTGTTACTCCACACGCCTCTGTTTATCCAGCAGTAAGTATGAACCAGGTTGTTAGTCGATTGGTGGATCGCTTTCTGGAGTAATAAACCCTAAAAAATAATGTGGTCACTCAATCTACGACTGTTTGTGGGACACTGCTGTGCGCAATTGACTGCTGCGTTTTGCCCACAAAATGCACAGTCAACCTATTTCACAGGGTATTCTGTGAAGCGCTTTGAGACAACTCAACAACATGATAAGCTGCTAAATCGAATGCAAGGATTATTACTATTATTATAATAATAATCCTTGCATTTGACATTGCGCTTTTCATGTCTTCTAAGTGTCTCAAAGCGCTTCACAGAATATACTGTAAAGCAAATTGACTGCATATTTCTGGGCGAAAGGCGGCAGCCAATTGTGCACAGCAGTGTGATTATGAATCATTTTCATGATTGTGCATTTTTGCCATCGCTGCTTTGTGAGTGTCTCTATGAGACTGATTTGATTCCTGAGATCTCTTCCCACTTGGTCGGTGATTTAAGCAACGTTATGCTGGCCTTCCGAAGGCCCCCTTATTCACCTCCAAACCGAGGCTTTGATCACTGTGCACACTGATTTCACTCCTATTAAATGGCAATAATTTAATCAAACAATGTATGTCTCTAAAATCCCTCTGGCTGGACATTTTTCCACCTTCCCTTTAGACAATTAAGCATCCCATGCAACTTATAAAAAATTTCAGCAAACAGAAAGCTTGCTCATAATTCTCCCAAGGGAATAGGTTCCCACAAGCTGTTCTCCCCCTGTTCCCAATGTAAGAAATCCCCATTTCTAACATGCACTTCTTGCTATGATGGAGCCAAGTTAATTGTTTAATCCCATTTGTGTTTTTCTCCTCAAATTCAAGCTATCTGTACAGAACGGTATTAAAATATGTCAAATTACTCTTTTAATCGACCGTTTTTTCCCCGCTGTATTAAACTGCTGATGAACATCATTCTAGGCTGTTTCTTTTGGTTCAATAACTTTAGAGGCGATGAACTTTTTGATGTGCTGCCGGTTCCCATTAACCAAAGATCCTTAGATCTTGTTTATTCAGTTGCTCTAAATGCTGGTTTATCTTATCTCTTCATTTCAATTTGTGCAGTTTTTTTCTTTGCCTTAAAATAAAATACTGTCATGCATTTATGTCATAGATCTTCCTAAGCACGTTCTTGTTAGAATATCAGCAAAGATGTTCTAATAAATAACTCCCCCCTTTACATGTGCCTTATAGAGATATCTATCATTTTAAATGGGATTGAAAAGGCAAACCTAGAACAATAGTTTTAGATGCAATAAGACAGTAGAACAAGAGGACACGTGAAGAGATTCAAGTCATTTCTATGTTACAGGCTCTATATCAAATTATTAAATTAAACGATCAAATCGTTATTTTTATTATTATAATTATTATTGCATTCCTAAAATTCAATGTTCGTCTTGTTCACAGAAAGTAAGGCTTTCTTAAAGCCTTGTTTGAAATACTTTGGCAAGATTTAAGCATTCTACTCCCGCTCTCTGAAACTCCAACCCAGAGTCCCTTCGTCTATCTCACTCTCTCCCCATCTTCCAAACCCTCTAAGACCTTTGCAGAACTTTTTGACTGTGCTTTTGCCCACCTTCTGGTGTGTCAATTGAACCGGCGAGTCCAGTTGCAAAATGAATATTCTCCAAAAACAAAAAGTCGCTTATGCTTACAAAGATGCTGTTCAGTCAGTGGGATTTGTTTCCAATAAAAAGAAGGATAAACACAACTGATTACATAATGCATCATGAAAAAGGAATCCAGAAACTGAAATCTTCTGACAAAGAGGAAACCAGGATGGGCCCTGCGTTTGAAAACTGATAACAGGATAAAAGGCAGAGGAGAATGTTGGATAAGGAACAAAGAATTATATTAATCAATATTGTGAAATAGCCCAAATTCCAAACAACGCTCATAAGAATAATAAGAATCCTTGCATTCCACATAGCGCCTTATCAGGTCACCAAGACGTCTCCAGCGCTTCGTACGATCTTGGGTAATAATTATGCTGTTGGACGCTGACTGACAACGTGGTGGTTTTGTTGTCCTTCGCGCATTCCATCTCGAAGCCTCCAGTTGTACCACGCACGGAATTTGCAACGTTGCATTGGAGCGTCAGCCTGGACTATGAGCTCAAAGTCCCGGTGTGGGGCTTGAACCCACAACTTAGTGAGTCAGAAGCGAGGGTGCTATCAACTGAGCCAGGCTGCCGCCTGAGTTATAATTCAGCTTGATTTTTTTTCCACAAAAAGGGTTTTTTAAAGACAAGGTGGTGCGTTGAGTTCAAACACACCTCTGAGCACTTTGATTTACAGACTGGGGTAATGGCAGGCAAGCTGCCTCACTTACCAAGGTGATGAGACAGATGGGTCATGAGACTCGACTCCCTCATTAAGCAGGAAAGTAATTGAAAGCACAAAGTCTTTTGAAAGTAAATTCCTTCGGCCATTTCTGAAACTTGTGTATCAAAGCGTGGCCGGCCGTTCATTAATCTTTCCATAAGGCTACCCCAGGTGCATCCCAGGTTCGCTTGTAAATGGAACAATAAACCCTTGTGTTTGAATACAAATCGTACCTTGTGGAAGAAAGTATAGGCGCTCTCATAATTCAGTTTCATTAACTTCTTTTGCTTTTTTTTTTATAAAACAGATCGTGAAGACCAGTCCATTCTGTGCACGTGAGTAACCTACTTTTTAAGCTCATTTTAATAGTGTTGGCCTCTAGCCTTATGTACACCAGATGGCATTTAATTTCTGAATTTAATTCCCCCCCCCCCCCCACACCGCCCCTCTCCCTCAGTACCCAGAAGTTACATGATTACTAAAGAAGTCAAGGTAGACATGAATATTTCAGCCTGGTGCCAGTGGGAATATGAATGCAGAAACGCAGCTTTAATCTCCACCAAAAACAAATGCTCACAACCCGATCCTTGGAATTACACAGGTCTATTCACTTGACATCCATAATGGGACAACTATGGGAGTCTATTTAAAAGGAAGTAATTCAAGACCATTTAATGAGTATATAAAAAAAAGTTCCAAATCAATGCGGGGTCATGGAAAACCGGTCACGCCTCACACAAAGATATTCGCAGACTTGTTGGATATGGACGAAACGGTAGATGTATATTGTGGCTCTCACGGTTTAGTGAGGCCACTCGCAGCAGACGTAGGGTCAAAACAAATCGTTTCAATATTTAAGGTGAAGGTATGTTGGGCGACCTGTTATAACCTGTCTCTAGGTCTGTTATAACCTGTCTCAAAGATCTATCTTTGACCCCCCCCCATTATAATGAAGCTTATTAAAATGGACCACGTAACTAGCTTGTCACTGAGGTCACTTCCTTCACCATATTTCCTGCGCACTTGAACATGTAAGCAACGCCCAAGAAGTGTCATCACCCATGACCTGGCAACCTAGAAGGCAGCCATTTATCTTTTTGCGCAGGAGGTCAACTCGTTCTCCTGTACCTCGTTCAAATAATTGTTATTCACGTTGAAACTAGCAGGCGATATGAATATGGATTGCATCTCATTTCCAGCCCGATCCTTTGTCGTCAGATATTCGCACATGTGCACATTCAAATAGAAATCGTGCACTTCTGGAAATCGAGCTCAATAAAATGTAACGCTTGTTTTGGAAAGCTATGTGGTTCTAATGACACAGGTCAACTGAGTTGATCGTGGGTGGGAAGCAAAACTATTTGCAGAGGGGATTAGTTCAACTGACTACAGCTAATGACATCTATGGAGACATCCAGGATGGATGGTCCTCCTCTGGTTAACAATGTCAAGAGGGAGAAAATATGGGGATATGAACAACAAAATTGAATAAAAGGAGCCAGACATTTGAGCCCATCTGCCACCTCAAGCATGTGTTCAGCTATTATTAGTTTGAGTCACCATATGAAGTTCTTTGCTATATTACAACTGTCAAGCAGATAGTTTAAGCACTTCCCTTTAAGCACGTCTCCTGCTTGCATGCAATAGAAACAGCATTCGTGGCAAAGTCTGCAACTCAGACTGTGTAATTAGGATGCTCTGATGATCGACTCCAAGTTATGATTAATAATCAACATTAGAAAGAACAGAGAGGTCGGGCAGATTTCTTGGAAATGAAGTTGACCTTAGTCCCATCACTCTCAGTACTGCAATCACCAGCACAGAATACAAGCCGGCCATAAAGTTCTCTTTTATGGAAATGTATCTGCTAATCGGATGTACAATATTTTAAGATTCTGCAATGTAAATAATTCTTTTTGCAGTTTATTCAAAAAAAATACAATAAGAAAATGTTCTCACTTTTGCTCAGTGCCAAATGTAAAATAAAATCTGTCGAAGGTAGTTAAGACGAAACCGGATGCCCTCATGAGGGAGGAGGGAATAGACAGGTATAGGAGAGGGAATTAGGAAGGGGTGGAGGCTTCCGTGGAGTATAAACTCTGACAAGGACTAGTTCGACCAAATGGCCGGCTTGTATTCTGTGATGCTCCATGTCATCTTATGGCTCATGGTGACTGCTAAGTATCCTGGAATGACTTCAGGTATAAGGAATTATTTGTTGAGATCAGACACTGAATTTCGGTCACAGTGAACATAATGGGCAAATGCCATTAGTTGCTGACATTGCCAATGTCATTACAAGTAATGATGACTGGATTTCTACTCCCTGTTGTTACCAACTATTAATTTGAAAAGTGATTTTCGAGTCTATATGGGCTGTTGGGTCCAAGTTTTAGATTCCAACGTGAACTGAAAGACTGAAACCTGGAAAACATTAAGGCAGTAATGCCGTTCTTCATAAGAGTTGCAAATGCAAGACATTTATTTGTTAAAGCGACTCCAAGACTATAAGAGCGAAAACATTAACACTGAGGAAAAGGCAGAATTAAATTGAGCATTTTTTGGTGGGGATTGATTAATGTGAATGAAAAAGGACTCGGAGATAGTGGAAGCTGGTTTGAAATTCCAGTTTATCCTGTAGAAACCGCAAACTTTGTAAATCACCACAGAACACAACAGCTCAGGGAGTGTATAGGAACAAACCAAGCAGCTGGCAGGCAGGCAGCTTCAACCTTTCTATCCCCCAGTTCACAAAGTGCCTCAGGGCAGGAAAAAAAAAGATGTGGTTCACATGTGGGAACAGCCAATAACAGGGACCTTTCGGGTTTCAGTTGGCTGAGGGTTAATTACACAGCCAGTCTAATCATAAATGGCAAAGCAGAGATGGAATGTTAAATCTCTGTGAAAGTCATTTGCGTTTCGGACACAAAATATACAATCAATTCACTTCACAGTATATTCTGTGAAGCGTTTACAGACGTCTCAAAGACGTGATGAGGCGCTATGTCACATGCAAGGATTATTATTATTATTATTTGTTTTCATCACGCACTTACTTTAACAATCCCCCAAATAAAATTGTTCATTTACTTTACGGCTATTTTGTTGGGACACCTCTGTGTGCAAATTAGCTGCCGCCTTCGCCTACTGCAACAACAACTTGAATTTATGTAGAGTCTCTCACACAGGGTAGTGTCCCAGAGCGCTTAAATCACACAGTTACTTTACTTTACAGTATATCCCGTGAAGCGATATGAGATGTTGTCCCAATGTGAAAGGCGCTGTAGCAAATGTAAGGATGATTATTACAATCAGTTTTAAATTGCTCCATTTCTCACCAAAGTGACAACATTTCTACATACAAACCAATTTGTTCAATCCTTAATACTCTCGATATAGCTGGAAACATTGTGCAGAACTTCATTCAATTTGATGGCAATGAACGAGCAGTGTTTTGGCACTAAACATTTCCTGCGATGCGAAATGTAAGAATAACACAGGAGATTAGAGAATCCTGGAAGACAATGGACGAAAGTGACGTTTGTGCCACTTATTGAGTTTTTCAGTTCAAAAGAAAATTCCCCAAATTCAGGGACTTTTACCTCTGTCACTGCCAGTGGATTTTCTCTCCCCTCTCCAGCAGTTTGATCATGACGGGACACTTACCTGCAATACTTGTCACAAATTACGATCGTCTCATTTACCTTTGATTCAATGACCTCAGTTGCCCCTTTCTCAGGTACACACACACTCACACACAGAGGCTTGACAGCCTTTTCGATTTTAGAGTATTGTCACAACGTTGGAAGTAGCAATAATAATCCTTGCATTTGATATGAGCACCTTATCCCTACTTCTCGATGTCTCAAGAAGCTTAACAGGTAATGTCTGGTGCAAAGTGTAGTGACTGTGTATTTTGTAGCTGAGGTACAGTATGTCCAAGTCACGAGATGCTGCGTGGCATGGTGGGTTTGGTAATTGACACCGTCGATGGCAGCAAAGATAAACACTGACCACCGAAAAACTTCCTCTTCGACCGTGGTTACTGCGGGCGCTATATAAGTGCAAGTTGTGGTTGTTGGTGACTGTGCAAAGGCAGTTTCAGAAGTCTAACAGTACATATCGGATTCCTGAAAATAATTACAACTGTTTATTTCACTGACCTCTGATAAGTATTAAATCTCAAAGCAAATTTCTCTTCTCTGTCTTTAACGTAAGGGCTTGTCTAAATAATTAACAGGGTGAAGTTACACAAGGAACCACCTCATGATTTCTATTCGGTTTTAATTTCTCAGCACCATATCCTGCCCTGACAGGAAACATATTTATATATAGTAGCCACTCAGCAAGATTTCCTTGTGCCCATCATAATGCCTTGATCTTCGCAACATGGTTATAGCATTCAGAAGGGAATTACTCCAAATAATACCAAATAAGGAAATACTCCCAGTTGATCCAGCAGTGGACTGGAGATAGGTAATCTACATTATGAGAGACGGGAAGTGCAAACTGCCACAAAGACCACACATTAACCTTTTGCTTACAACACTGCAAGAACTGCCCTGGGTGTGTGTTGCTCGGAGGGGAAGGGGGAGGTGGATGTGAGGTGGGGGCGGTGAAAAAAAAATTGTTGGAAATTGCCAATTACAAGCAGAAACTGAATTCATCTTACAAATCCTTTCCCAACTTTCTGCATTGAAATGTCTTCATATTTTTTATTGCCTGACACAAAGCAATGATGAGCATTTCGTGAATAGTAAAATCTGATTAACTGTGGGGGTGGGATATCTGATCTGGGCTCAGCCCAGCTTTGTGGTACCAGCTCGTATCAGATTCAAGGAGAAGAATATTGAGTCCCTTGAGCTGGAAGGGTTGGGAAGAAAGGAATTCTTATCACATTATGTATTTTAAACAACATTTTCCTGTAATGGGATTAGGCAGGTTCCCTGTTATTGACTTAGTTTATCATAATTATGGGGCTGTGCAGTAATCAAAATTGTTTTTAAGGCTAAACTCGCCAGGAGCCAGAGAGGAAGTTACTTGTGCGACAAACAGGAATTTGAACTGAGCATAAACATCCCCGCTTCATTATGTTGCTTTGAACCCAATAACCAATTTTACAATTCTCGAAAAGAGGAGGGGTTGCTGTGGTTCAACACAACCATAATAATAATAATAATCCCTGCATTGGATTTCGCGTCTTATCACGTCTTTGAGATGTCTCAAAGCGCTTCACAGAATATACTGTAAAGTGAATTGTATATTTGTGGGCGAACGCGGCAGCCAATTGCACACAGCAGCGTCCCACAAACAGTCGTGGATTGAAGTGACCAATTTATTATTGGGATATCTGACGTGCCTTTTGTACGAATGCCCAGAATACAGTATCTGTCTGTGTGCGTGCCTTAATAAATTCAAGAGGTTTAAACATCTGTGACAATTTCCCCTCAGGTGTTGCTCGACAATCTTTCCACTCTTTGTGAAAGATTATAAAACTCTACAATCTGGTATAGAAAACTAGTGTACTGCTGTTTAATCTGTCAGGTGCACAGAAATGCAGCTTGGTTAAGAATCCCACACTAAACACTAACAAAAACAAATGGCAAATACGTTTTTTTTTAAAACTCTAAATGTATTCCGTTTACGTTCAATGCTCCAGTGGATTTAACAACAATAACAAATTAAACTTGTATTCCGCCTTTCACGTCAGGAGGACTTCCCAAGATGTTGGATTTAAATCTAAATATCTGGAGCGATTTCCACTTCTGCATTCATCTGTTTTCTTCTAACATCAACAACAACAACTTGTATTTATTTAGCGCCCCTCACACAGGGTAGTGTGCCAGAGCGCTTAAACAATGCGCTCCGGGAAATCGGTCATACACAAAGCTGTGTCTTAACAGAAGGAAAGAAAGTTGAGAAACTGGGGAAGAGTTTTCTCACCTTAGAGAGAGTGCTTGATAAATAGCACTCAGAGAAGCAAGGACTTTGGCAATGTTCTTGCCTCGCTAAGCGACGTGCCTCGTGGAAGCAGAGAACAGTTTTGTTTTTTGCATGGATGTGATTGTTTAGCAGCAGAATAAACAAGTGTGCCATGTAAAAAAACAGTGAAGACTTTGATTTGCTTCCAGTAATTTGCGAGCATAGATTAAGAACTATACTCAAAGCGGTCGTTCAATGAAGGAATTATAATATCAGTGTTTTCTGTATGCAATTTGCTGCTACTTTCCACGAGGTTCTTTTTCTGTGGCTCAAAGCAAGGAACTTGTTGGCAGGGACTCAAATATGAAATTAAGTACTTCAGCACGTCACTGGTTGATAAGTTATCGTTCTGACAGCTACTTTTACTGAAGAAATAATTGCCTATATAAGGCTTACTCAGTGCTGAGGAATCATCTTTTGAAGAAGAAAGGAAAAACTCCCAGTAAAAGTATTTAGCAGAACTATTTCAGACCTGGGTTTCAGCTCCTAATCCAGGCTCGACACTCCTGCACTGAGGTTGTGCTGCATTTACGTGCAGAGATGCCATGTCCTACCCTGACATTGAACCGACGAAGTGCAAAAACTATCTCACGTCGTTTCTCTAAGTCGGCAAATTATACTGAATTGAGCTTTTAGAACCTTCACCGCTCATGGACAGATTTCTAATGCGGATAATTGGTTTCAGCTAATAATCCAGTGTTATTGAGAGCACAATCTGGGGCCAGCCTCCATGTGCAGAGCAGAGCGTGAGATGAATTCTGCAACGCTAGATTTGCCGGTGTTTCTATCGGACATGACCTGAAGAAGGCATGGAGTTTGGTGCTGTGAAAGGGTTATGTTTGGTGATCACCCAGAGAGAGGGGGAAAAAATCTGTGCAAATCGTCAAGCGTTTGTATGTGTATTTGATTAATGGGTGACTGCCTGGTTCATGCTTTTCAATACCTAAGGAAGTACAGGACTTGTGAAGTATCCCGCAATTCCAGATGTCTAACACAAGCAAATTCAGGGACACAACTGCAGCAAACAGAGAGGATCTAGCCTTTTATGGTGATCCAAGAATTAACAGACATGCTGTAGGCATTATTCATCCCTATGTTAAATGCACAAAGAACCACTGCCAAAGTTAAGAGCAACAACCTTGGAAACACTTTGGAAAGTTTAGAGTTATCTGCAACAAAAAGATAAACAAAGTTATTGGAACAAAAAACCTGTAAAATAGTACAAAACAATTGGAAAATGATTCAACGCGATGCAGTCAATCACAGGCCAGGACAGAAAGCTATATCTAATTTTTAATCACAATGGACATTGCAGTCTTAAACGGTTGCAGGGGTAATACTGAATAAGGAAACCTGATGTATTGGTTTTCAAACGACAGTTCATTGCAATTCATTGCAAAACGACTGTGAAACGGCAATAACGTATGTCTTTCCTGCACAGAGGAGAATCTGGAGCTGGCAAAACAGAAAACACAAAGAAAGTAATTCAGTATCTGGCTGTTGTTGCTTCCTCACACAAGAGCAAGAAGGATGCCAGTGCTATTGTAAGTGATGTTTAATACACTACGTGTTTTCGAACTGCTGCACACAAGCATTTGATGCAGTTCTTCTATCATTACCGCGAGATGTCTTTCAGACACTGTTCCACCAAAAGACAGTACTGCCGGGAAAACCTGCCTCCCATTATAAATGTTTATTTTAACATCTACTGTGCATAGGATTTCCTGCTAACTCGTTATTTACTGACAAATGTGTACAATGTGTGTCAGGTCAATCAGGGAAACTCACAAAATAGACTGGGTCAGAGCAGGGTTCCCATGATCATCAGTCAGAGCAAAATCCACATGGGGTCATTGGTCAGAGTAGATTCTGTACTGCTCATGAGTCACAGCTACTCCAATATTCTCCTAACAGTTGTTCGAGGGAACAGCGTTGTCCAGTACATGGAAGCAGTTGAGCCTTATCTTTTTATGAGCAATGCACAGGTTACTTGCTTAATAAACACTAGCTCCCCCCCTCGCCCCGCCTTCCCCGCCATGAACCGCCGAGCGATATCTGTTGAGTTCAGTGGCACACATGGTAAATTGTGCTGACACTTTCGCGATATCATTTTAACGCAGTGACCTGGAAAAATTCGGGAAACATTCCATTCATGACCCAATCGACACGACAAGCTGAAAGCATTACCGCTGTTTTTTCAGTGCGAGGCCAAGCCAGCGATGCAATGATCTTCACATGACGTGGATGATCACTGCGTCTGGTCCGGAGCATATTCCTAAAATGGGAAATGACTTGCATTTCAGTTGTAGTAAAACAAAGATATTCTTTATCTTCCTGGGATTAAGGAATCAGTGTCCCATTGCATCCACCAGTGGGGCTACTGATCTTTAGCAATGCCCAAAAATGGTCAGATTGCCAAACAAGCTGTTTGCTGAACTTTCCGCTGTGTGAGAAGCAATATTTGATTCGGTTGACATTTTTCCTGGCAAATCATTTCGAAAGATGCCTCTTTAAAATGTTTATCCCTGCTTCGGTCAATTCACTTGAGGGATGCACACAGCATAGCAGAAGTGCTTTGCTTTGCTGCAGCGAGGAACCACATAAGATAAATCAATAGCAATAGCATTTCCTAATTCAGGTAATGTTCGCATTGAATTTATTCACTGGACAGTACATTTTACAACGATTTGGTGGTCTAAGGTAATTGAGTTTCTGGCATCTATTTACTCCATCAAGTTAATCCTTTGTAAGTGATTTCTTATTAGAAATCTCAACATAAAGAAGACCTCACTGCCTTTTGCACGACTGTCTTGAGATACTGCTAGAGTTTACTGCCAAGCAATACGTAAGGACACATTAGTTTAGGTTTTCCATTGATTATTTTTTTTTACAGGCAAAAACATCATTTTTTTTGCAGAGATTTAGTCCAGAAGATTATTCTGCATCCAAGGTTGCACTTCCGAACCAGTTTAACGTAATGATGGAGATTTCCTGAGCTTTACATTGATCGAGATTAAACACAGCACTTTTCGGTGTTATCTGCTTAAGATAAAGTCAAATGGTTTATGAATATCTCCTCGGCAGCAATGTGTGTTCATTTCCCGCTCGCAGTACATTTGTGCTGAATTACCTTTTGTTCCACGTCTGTTTCCATGTGTTGCAAACCAGTGAAGAGGGCAGTGAAAATCCTGCTCCCAGGCCTGTGCCAGTGGAGCATTAGAGGTACAAAGACCTGCCGAGACCACTTGTTGCCTACGGGGAAAAGGGCCCAGTCTCTGCGTGGCACTTATCCCAATGGCACAGATTGGCAGCTCTGTATGTGCGGAGGGGACAGTGATTGTTTCTATTCCAGCAAACTCTTGAACTGCATTAAGATGACGGCAAGCCATTTGGAAGACAAAAAAAGCCTCGTTTCTGTGTTGTAAAGAATGACCTTCTTTGTTATCATAACTGACGGATTTGTTTTGTGCCATGTTATCCAACTACAGCAAGGTTCCTCTTTTGCATACGTGAGTAATTCAGAATGTTCGACCTGTGTTTGTAGCACAAAGTACATATTGCATGCGATTATTAGCACAGATGCACAGATCTGGACGTCCAGGTACAGGAAGGCGTCGTTCACCACACAGATAAACAACAATATAGCACACAGGGTTGCATGCCTTAAAGTTCATTTAAAGTGGTCGTTTGTCGTTTCGTGGGTAACAATCTCGCCACTTTCCTGAAACTCAATTCAACCTACAATGGGGTTCTGCATACAAAGCATCACACCTTTAGAACATACTCATTGGGTGCCTAATGTCAACCATACAACTGATTACAGCAGAGTCAAGTCTAGGAGAGTTAGTTAACAGGAATACAGTGCACAGTGATATAAAACCTCGTGGTCCCAATCAACCTAACTGTGCAAATCCTAGTTTGCCCCGGCAAACCTTGTTCTTCCCACTAGTCCGAGAAGTTGGACGGTCAGAGAGAGCCTGGAAATCAGGCATTGTTGGTGCAATTGTGTACCTTTATTGAACTAATAAATATTCACTGGATGTTGGTACTTTCAGCCATTTGTCCCCGCTCTCTGGAACTCCCTAGTCCCTCTACATCACCATCTCCTGCCCAGTTTTAAAGCCCACCGTAAGACTTACCTTATTGACCCTGCTTTCGGTCAGCTCTCCCCCGCCCCCCCCCCCACACACACAGCTGAGATGCCCAGCCAGCAGACTAAAAGCCCTTTGCTCTCTAAATGAACAGTTTATCATATTGTTTACCAATTGTAGTTCAATATTCATTATATATTCCATGAATAATACACAGAAGTGCACGGATAGAATAGTCATGCCTCATGCAGTAAATTCTTGTGGGTTGAACTTGAGCTTAAAGCAGTGATAAACTTATCAGGATTGCGGTGAAATAATGTTCAAAACATGTATAACCACCTTAACTGAAGGAGCAGTACATGCATGGCTTCTATAATACTCCAGTCAGCCGTTACTATGCTGTAGGTTGCTATATTTGTCTTGAAATACATGATACAACTTGTTGACTTGTCAACTAGCAGCCATACTAATAAATTGCCTTGGAATGCTGTGTGATGCTAATGCAAAATCAACTACTTCACCGTGAACAGTAAATAATAACCTTCGCTTGACTACTAACTATGTTAAACTTACACCACATTTAAACTGTGCAGTAATAAACTCCCTTTAATTAAAAACAACCCCAGACCATAAAATAAAGCTCCTAAAAACCCCATGAAGTCAATGTAACTCTTACCCTGATGGCAGGTACAGCAAAGTTCAGCATCTCTGAGACATTCCATTTCTTAGGTCTTCAGCCCGTGTGAAATCACACCCAAACATAGAGTGACATTACACTTATAATACTCCTCAAGTCTCAGTTAACATTAGCCCTAAGTTCCGCAACAACCCCCCCACCCCCACCACGTAAAACATGGTTTAAATTAAATATTGAAAAATGATTTAATTCTTGCTTGGTCTATTGACCTTTCATCTATTTTCCCTATTTCCTACCAATGCTATGTTAACTTTTCATTTTAATTTGAGCTTTTCTTTTCGACGTGACTTAAAATACCCTCACATTTTCAGACTTTTTATTTGCTTTCACCTTCTGGTCTCCATTCCCCCACCCCATCCAAGTGAAAATAACTTACTAGAAACTCGATAGGCTAGAAACTGACTTCAAAGTCTGTCTAACCTTTGATCAAATCAAAGGCCCCATGTAAGTGACTGACATGACCCTGCCAGCCTTGGATCAGTAAACTTGGTTGCAGTCCTGGTGGGAGCAAAACCTCTGAAGCTCATTTTTAATTTTAATGCAAAACTGAATTTCTTATTAAAATGGACCAACATTTGGTCACTCAATCCATGACTGTTTGTGGGACACTGCTGTGCGCGATTAGCTGCCGCATTTCGCCCCCAGAATACTCAGTCAATCCACCTCACAATATATTCTATGAAGCGCTTTGAGGCATCTCAACGACATGATAAGGTGCTTTATATCAAACGGAAGGATTATTATCATTATAATTAATATATATGTTATATTCCTTGCATTTGGTGTAGGGCCTTATCACGTCATCACAACATTCTCAAACACTGAAAGGTAACTTAAAACGTTTGATCTTTGCTTTAAAACAAATCATGTAAAAATCACTTTTCCTTGAATTAAGAATCATATCTTCTAAGAACAAGATCATTCTGAGTTAAAGGCAATCAGTGGTTTGACAATTTCGCAATTTGAAATCTGCGAAAGCTAAAGCAAATAATGTGTCTCGAAAAGCCACGTGACAATTTCAAATAAATCTCCCCCTTCCGCCCCGCCCCATTTGAGGAATTTGTTCCCAATTGATCACTGAGCAAATCTTCCATTATTTTCTGCACCATTTAAAATGGTAGGAGCGTGTGATAAAATAGTCGGTCTTTACCATTCCTCCAATACCATTGGAAATGCCTGTGCTTTAGCTGATGAAGGCTATTGTATCTCACGACTCATTTCCCCCTACATTTTCTGTAACAAATCTAGCATGCAGTCTGCCTGTCTGGATGTGTGTTTATCCTTGATCATTTCTTGAACATTTCAGCATTCATTTTTCAGATCTAGAAAAATGAATGTGTTTAACATTGTTTGGAAACAAAAATGCTATTTAGACATTGGCTGCAATTAGACCTTCAATTAAAACATGCTTGTTTTAGATGAGCATTTATTAACAAAATAATCTTTCAAAATGAGTCATGGCATTTCTCGCTCAGCCATTCGCAAGTTTCCGACCTAACTACAATAAAAAGTCGTTGTATTCGGCATTGGGGCGGTGGGTTGCAGAGTGAGGGGGTGGGGGGGGGGGCGTGGGGTTGGGAATGAAGTTCTTGAAAGATTAATCAGTGATACTCCTACAAAGTATGGACAAAGGATCAGATCGTAGCGTGAAAGGTTCCTGCTGGAAGAGAAAGCCCAATTTACATCTGCAACACTCCCTAAAGGGTTTGGGTTTATTTCCATCCTAAGTGAAGCACATATATCTAAACAGGAATTTAGATGTCGTATATAAACAGCTGTGGTAGAGGAATGGTCACCGCTGATTCTTGTAGGAAGGAAAGCACAATGTTGGTTCCAGCTGTGGACCGACAAAGACTCCCCAATGAGTCTGCAGATACATAGAGTAAGGAACTGTGGAAAACCAGCTTCCAAATACAACTAAGTTTGGGAATTTTCCAAAATTACACGTCAGTCATCTGACATTTTTAATAACAAATCTGTTTTAGGCTGAGGAACGGGGGAATTTCAGGCCTCTGACGTATCCGGTAAGGTTTTAAGAGAGCTTCGGGTTGCAACAAAGATCTGCCCCAATGGGAGTGTAGGTGCGGATTTCTGCCTGTAGGATGTTAAAATGGAAGTTTATTCACATTTGTATCGTGGACGTGGGACATTTTGGGAAGACTCGGGTGGAACAGCTGGAGCAACTTCAAAGAAGAAGGAAATTTGATACTGTTAAACTTTGTTACGTGACTATGGTGCAACAGCCTATTGATAGTTCATTCGCCCAACCGCTGTCCAAGTCTCATAGAGCGAAGGGGGTGAGGAGTAATATTAAGGATGTTACCTGTGGTTGGAAAGATTTTGTGCAAAACCCACCTCTCACACACTTATGTCACGGTTTAACCTCATGTTGACTCTCGCAACTGAATTCAATCCATTTTTATTTTAGGGGGAGCTGGAAAAGCAACTCCTTCAAGCCAACCCTATTCTGGAGGCCTTTGGCAATGCAAAAACAGTAAAAAATGATAATTCCTCACGATTTGTAAGTATTTCCCTTTTATTGCCTTTCAGCTTTAAGGCTTAGTGTGTCCGAACTTCAAATAACCAGATACATCTGCCGGCAGATTGTCTGAAAAACAGCAGATCATTATATTAGCCGACTGAAAAATCTAAGTTAACCAAAGTCTCAGCCGAAGGATATTGGAAGATTTAACATTGGATTCTAATATCCCGAAAACTCAATACTGTATGTTATTATCTTATCCAAACAGGGAAAGTTCATCCGTATCAATTTTGACGTCACTGGTTACATAGTTGGAGCGAACATTGAAACCTGTATCCTTTCTGAACGATGAATTTAATGATGAAGGAGGCAATGGAATCGGACCATTTCATCGCTTCCAGTCTACTGCCAATGTCACACTTGAACAAGCCACCGGGAGGCATGTGAGAGCAGACACAGTGATTCACTCCACGATGGTCTCCAACCTTGGCCGGTCGTCTTCCACTCCTCCTGATCGATGCCAGGTTCACAAAGGTTCCCCGAGCTCCCTCTCTTTTGTTTTAAAAAGAGAAATGTTTCTATTCAATCTGGCATTGGAGTAACGATTTGAAAGAAGGAAAGACCTGACAGTCAATTTTGGATGTAGACTGGTCATTGCTTTGTGGGGGAAGCACAAACAAACAGTAATTGGACCCTCTCATGTGATCCTGAGCTATATTAAAGAAAAAAAGGTCATTTTTACACATGGGACACAAATGGATGATGCACTATAAACGAGTCAGAATGCTTTTGGCTTTTGTACAGTTTTCAAGAACTATTTTTATTTTTTTTTGTCCAGGATATGGGTTTATAGAGATGTCTAAAGCAGACCACAGTACGGAACGTACAGTATGATTAATTGTGGGAACTAATCTCCATCCCATAAACGAGCAGCCTCGCTGTACTTGAGTACATGAGTAAGACAAGCAGTTTAGTATGTGGGCAGCAGTAACAAAAATGGCTTCTACCTTTTTTACTTCAACTGTGGAAATCGGTGCTCTTTGCTCTCAGAATTAAAAAGCACCAATGTTCAGTGAGGAGTGGGTGCATATCCGTATGGAGAATAAACACTAGTTACTAGTTACTAGCACTGACACAAGATACGGACTAGTTAGGCCGAATGGCCTGTTTCCGTGCTGTACATTCTGTGTAAATCTATGCCATGACAGCCGGGGGAGGACTATTTCTATTTGCCAACAAAACGCAAGGGCATAAAAATGGAACAAAGTTGCATTTCTTAACTTAAAGCAAACAGATCTGCTTGAAAAGTCACGTGCCATTCGCCAAGCAAAGGATGAGAGGGCATTCCACATTTTCTATTATTTGCTGTGTGGTGCTAATGAGAAAATGAAGAGTAAGTGGAACTGGTCACAATCTCTTCACCCTGGGCTTTGCAAAGCAGGAATTTTTGGTGACACATAGAATAATAATAATAATAATCCTTGGATTTGATACTGTGCATTTATTATTATTAATAATAATAATGTTTGCGTTTGATACAGTGCCTTATCTCGTCATTGAGACGTCTCTAAGCGTTTCACAGGATATACCGTAAAGTGGATTGACTGTGTGTTTTGTGGGCGAACCGGGAAAAGTAATGACATTTCTTTACAATTGACAGACGATCTGCTCCTAGAATCTTTCAACAGCTACAGGTTCTTATCCAGCGGCCAGGTATCCATCTCTGGGCAGGACGATAGCGAAGTATTTCTGGAGACGCTGGAGGCCATGGCCATTATGGGATTCACCGATGAAGAACAAAACTGTAAGAAGTGTTTGGCCTGGTGTCCTTCATGAGATAAACTAAGTAAAAAATAACTCAAAGCAAAGGTCGGAAAGGTAGGGAGATGTGCAAGGATTTGTAGACAAGTGTGAGGACCTTGAAGTCTATCCATTCTGTGATGTGGAGTCTGGCGAGGGGTGGTGTGATGGGGGTACGGAGTTTAGAGCGGGTGAGTATTCGAACGGCGGAGTTCTGAATCAGTTGGATTTTGCGGATAAACAATTAATTAAGAAGCTGTACGGCCAGTGGGGCCGAGTGAAAGGCAGTTAACAAAAGCAGATTAGGAGGACCCAAAAAAAAAACACTTAGGAAATGGACTTAGCAACAGATGCAAAACAAAACGCTGACACTTGTTTCAATTTTATAGGAGCAAGAAAATATGGGCAAGGAAGATAATAATAATAACACTGCAAGGTGTAGCGACTGCGTATTTTTTGGTGAATGTGGCAGCCAATTCACGCACAGGAAATCCCCCACAAACAGCCATGAAGCAAATGATCAATCCCTTTGAGATTTTCCCTTCAAACTCTTAAATTAGAACTCCTTGGGAACGAACGAGAGTTAAAAATGAGCGCAAACATCTGAACCTAATGAAATGACATATTACATAACATATTAAATAGTAAAGATATTAACTTCTTGAAGGTTTTTTTTAAAAAAAACAGTAAGGGCACTAACAGTCCATCATCCAGCTTTGTTTGACATCTTGTGTGTGGATTGAGCTGAATCCCTTTGATTATATAACGCTCAAATACCATCTATTGCACACACAAGACTCTACAAACAACTGAGAATTGTCAAAGTAATTGCCAAGAAAAGAACCGCAGTAATCTGGCTTCCAAATTAAGACTGAATTTAAGAATTACATGAGAAGGCAATGATGACGAGGCTAAGATCCTGGGAATTTTTGATCTCCTGGCTCATAATATGACACTTTCCACATTGCCCAAAGTTCTCTTGGTGATGTCTTATTTAATGTACATCCCTTTGGCACTTTTGCAGATGTACTGATTAGGTTGAGCTTCGCTGTAAGGGTTACAAGGTCTCGGTATATTAAAAAAGTGGCCTGTTGGAATTATCAGAAGTAACATATCAAGTAACCCCGTCAAGTCACATTGTCCATAAATGGTGGTAAATAACGAGAACTAAGATAAACAACAGAGGCAGAAAAATGACATCCATTTAATCATGTGGTTCATAGGGGGCCCTCCCCTTGGCTCTGCGAGTGGAAAAAAAATGCCAAATTGAGAGAGATCGTACAGACTTTTGGCACCTCGATGTCTCTATGAGGCAAATTTAAGGGTCAGGAGTTAGATATCTGATACTTCAAGCTTGCACATAAGTCATCTCTCGTGCAATAAATTTTATATAGATACAGTGTTTGGAAGGCAACCGATAAATAATACAACACTAAAATCCGAAAGCTAAGCAAATGAGAGATACTTAGAACCTCAATTCAAACCAGACTGGAGCTATGAACATCTTACTGTCACGATCCATCCCTCTCAATACTACTAACTGGATCCAAATGTAAAAGTCACACTGTTATAACAAACTGCTCAACTGACGTATGTTTCGAGGCTGGATCCAAGCATTTGCCTGAGCTCAGCATGGCAGGATTTGAACCTTTAGACCTCAGAACAGTGTAGATCAATGGCTATAGCACGTTACCAACCCACCTGGGAGCTGAAATTCTAATATGCGTGGGATATATTCGTAACGGGCAAAGACTTCTTCAAGCATGACACCACATGTTAATTTTAACGACGAGCATCAAATGCTAAAAAATCTCAACTATCTATCATCAGGACAGAACTATGAAAAAACAGTTGATTTCGGGCTCTCTTTGGGTCTCTTTATATACTTAATAATTATAAATATTACAAATAATTGCTGCGCAAATTCACAAGCTATTCAGTGCGATAGTCTATTGGTGACACTTAATGACGGAGAAGATTCCTTTGAAGACACAGTCCATTTTTGAGGGGTCATCCGGGGTGTCTGACACAAGTGGAATCCCATTCTCAATTCAAACCAAAAGTTCCATGCATCCCACCTAGACATGAAAATTCCCACGTATCGGAAGAGCGTGCACATCCCGCTTAAATATTTCCGGAGAGCCGAGGCCAGAGCATGCGATTGGGTAACGCTGGAGTCTAAGCGGTTAAAATATTCAGCGTCACTTCTATAAAAAAAAAGTGATTGCAACATCTTTCCCAGTGACAGCTCAATGCTAAGCTACGGTATTAGTTATCGTAGTTATCGATAGTTATCGATATTAGTTACACGTGACCACCAGGAGGCTGCTTATTCCGTGCATTCTGGATCCATCCATTCAACCGCACATTGACCTGAAAGGGTTCCAGTTTTAAACCCAAATACAGCCCTGGCAGAACCTGGGCAAGTAAGTGTGTTACGGAAATAAATAGCACATTGTAATTCGAAACGATGGGAAGGAGATTCGTTGCAATTTGTCGATAACCCAGATTCGTTATATTTTGCAACGCGCGACTGCAGTTTAAACCTTAGGTGCTGATCCTTGAATGTTCTGATGCTTCCAGCTATCCTGAAGATTGTCTCAGCCGTGTTACAGCTCGGCAACATCGCTTTCAAAAAGGAGAGGAACACAGACCAGGCTTCGATGCCGGACAACACCGGTACGTTTTCGCAAACCCCTTTTCCTCTCCTCTCCTCCCACCCACCGCGTAAAGCGAGCGTGGCAATGAGCCCGGCATAAACAGTAACCGGTCTTGTGATCTCTCTGTGCAGCTGCGCAGAAGGTTTGTCATCTGTTGGGCATGAACGTGACGGATTTCACCAGGGCCATCCTGACCCCTCGCATCAAAGTTGGCCGCGATTTTGTGCAGAAAGCACAGACCAAAGAGCAGGTAGGAGATTAAACAATGACCCAAGTCGTTGCTCACACTGGTTTAACTCCCTCATAGCTGATACACAGTCTATACCACGTTCTCATCCACTTTACGTTCCTGTGTCAGGCTGATTTTGCCGTGGAAGCTTTGGCCAAAGCGATGTATGAACGTCTGTTTCGTTGGTTACTTGGACGAATCAACAAAGCCCTGGACAGGACCATGAGACAGGGAGCCACGTTCCTTGGAATTCTTGACATTGCTGGCTTCGAGATATTCGAGGTATGGATCAGAAGGGTTGTTGCATTTAAACCATTTTTTTTGTGTGGGGGGGATCAGCCGGGTGTCTGCCACATTCAGAAACCAATCACCGTGCTTAAGAGTATGGGTAACCAAACCAGACTGAGCCTTCCATGTGCGTCACCAACACACGGAAATTTCTGTGACTGTAACGGAACGCACACTCTCTTCCCCGGGAGGGACGCACCCTGTTTAGCTAATCCTGGAGAGTATTACTTGCGGGATGCCAAGAGCCAAGGTATGGGAACCCTCGGGTGCGTGTTGGGGCACTACCATGAGTAACACTGTCTGCCACTCTACCTGCTACGGCTTTGGCTCGTAGAATTAACGGGAGTGAGTGGGAAGAATCCCAGCCCCCACGATCTGCCCTCCAAGTCCTGCCGATGAGCCAGGCTGGTTGGTGAGACCCTAGGGTACTGTGGTTCAGCTTGGCTCAAGAACCAGACTACTGAGACAACTGGACTAATTGCATTCAAACCTTCTGAGTAGCGCTATGCTGACGAACTGTCAAGTCTCGGCATTTCAACTTGTCTTTGCTGTTTGAATGTCACACTACGTTAAATCTTCTGATATGCACTTAGCACAAAGGTAACCCATTCCTGCTAGTAACACTCCAACTAATCAACCAATTATTGAAATGGATCCCACTAACTTTACGTCATTTTCCAATATGACTGAGCCTTTACCTCATCGGCTCAATAAATCACTTTGGGGAAAGACTTTAAGGCCACCGAGCATGTTAAGTGCAAAGGCTTTAATCTTTCTTTCCTGTAGAATTAATTTCCTGAGTATAGTAAGCGTTTATGTCACACTGATGCAACAATGATGTGCAAAGAATACTGATGTGTTTTAAATATCACCACCTGTAGGATCTATTATCATATTATTTAGTAGTATATAGTGTTTGAGAAACACGCTTGTATAAAAGTAACAAATAATAACCCTTGCAATTATTTGTGCCTTTTCGCATCGTCAAGAATTTGCAAAGTGCTTCACAAGATTTTGCTGTAAATAATAATAATAATAATCCTTGCACTTGATATAGCACTTTTCACGCCTTCTAGACGTCGCAAAACGCTTCACAGAATATAAAATGAATTGACTGTATATTTGTGGGCGAAACGCGGCAGCCAATTGCGCACAGCAGCGTCCCACAAACAGTTGTGGATTGAAATAACCAATTAATAATAATAATAATAATCCTTGCATTTGATATAGCGCTTATTATTGTTTTTTTTCTTGAGGGATTATTATCAGGAGCGTGGAGTAAGGAAACCTGCCCAAGGTTTCACCCTCCCGGGAATCAAACCCAAGTCTCTCGCTTATGAGGCGAGTGCTCTCACCACTGAGCTACAGTACTCCACACATAGAGTGTAGTGACTGTGTATAAGCTGATTTTGTTTTGCAGAAACTAACACTGTATGATGATTTGAGTGTTTCTGTATCAGCAACGTGAGCTTTGTCAAAGTTAAATGAATCAAACCTGTTTGCACACTCTGCATTTTCAGATGCAACTGAGTCATTTTGTAGCCATAGCTGTAAAACAAAATACCGCACTGTGTGAACAAAAATTAAAACGTATTTTATGCTGACGTGCTTACGTTTGGTTTTATAGGACAATTCCTTTGAGCAGCTCTGCATCAATTACACCAACGAGAAGCTCCAGCAGCTGTTCAACCACACCATGTTCATACTGGAGCAGGAAGAGTACCAGAGAGAGGGCATTGAGTGGAATTTCATTGACTTTGGTCTGGATCTGCAGCCCTGTATAGAATTGATTGAGAGGCCGGTAAGGAGCATGCGGTGCAGTGTTAGTACCAAAATAAAAAGGGACGTGTTGTTTTGAATGCTTCCGCTCAGCGTTATTAAAAGTGGAGTTGGGTTTCCAAATGGGTCGACGAGGTCTCCTCTCATCTCTGTGACCTGGCACAGAACTGATGGAAGTGAGGTCGATGGCACAGAGAACGTACATGTCACGACATTCGAGCAATGTATAATTCACCACTAATTGACAGGGAATACTCAAATGTTGTTCCAACATGCATTTGCCATGTAGTTGCAGATGGGAGTTCCTTTTGTCAGGTTGGGACAGGAGGTATTGAAGAAGAAAATTGTCAGTTACATGTATGGGTTTGTGGTGCAACAGGTCCCAGTGACAGGCTTACTGTCATTTCGGTGGAGGCGTAACATTGCTCTCTCTTCTTCTCTGAATGTCCTCAGTGGCATAGACAGACTGAACGTCAGCTGCATGAGCCACAGAGTTCTGAATTTCTTCCCTGATGCCCTTTTTTGTTTTTACCTGCTGTGGCCACATGTCCATCCCGCGTAATAGTGAAGCCAAGGGCAGAGTTGATTTGTGGAGGAGCGCAGACTCAAACCCACATCCTGCATGAGGCTGTGCATCAGAGCATGAATCCCTCAAGAGTTCCATTGACTTCTTAGTGAATGATGTTGGCTTGTTCCTTCATCTTCGCTCTGTTTCCCAGACTAACCCACCAGGTATCCTGGCTTTGCTGGATGAAGAGTGCTGGTTCCCGAAAGCCACGGATAGGTCGTTTGTGGATAAAGTGGTCCAGGAGCAAGGCAGTCATCCCAAATTCGCAAAACCAAAGCAACTGAAGGACAAGGGAGACTTCTGCGTTGTTCACTATGCTGGCAAGGTAGGAACCAAGGCTGCAGATGTCAATACAAACCGGCCTCTGAAACGTATCTTCATTTGTCTCACCTATATTTCTTCTCATCCCCTTCACCTCCTGGAAGCAGTGGATTCCAGATCGTAACAACCCTCTGGGTAAAAAAAGAGAGTTTTCTCCTCCTCTCCCCTCTGGTTCTTTTGCCAATTAGTTCTGGGAAACCGTTTTTTTTTTTTTTTTAGTTTTGGAGCAAGAGTAGAGAGCAGAGTCAAGTCGATGTACTCAGGGCATTGGAAACTCTTAAGACATTCAATTCTTTGTTCTTCAGGTCCCTTACAATGCAGAAAACTGGCTGACCAAGAACATGGACCCGTTGAATGATAATATTACCATGCTTCTGAACCAGTCGCCTGACAGATACGTAGGAGAACTCTGGAGGGACGGTAAGAATGCCATTCCTAAGCATCAGTTCCACTATTACTGACAATCACCGTTTTTGTGAACAGGTTTTTTTTCAAAGTGGCCATCAAGCAAGCAGCGACAAGTCGAGCTAAAACCATAGAACCGTAGAAATTTCTCCAGCGCAGAAACACCTCAGCAGCTCAACCGACCCATAGTGAGTCTGTAGCACTGCTACCTCTGTGACTCTTATTGGTGTTAATCCCACTTTCTAACATTGTCTCTGTTTCCCTCAGCACGAGGCGACGTTCAGTTTTTAGTCGGCAAAACACATATTTGTACCATTCGCTATCGAAACCCATGAAGAGACCGATCAGATTCTTCATTATGCATCGCTCCCGTTCACTGGTATTTTGACATCTGCGCACCTACATTTCAGTAAAAAAAAGCAATGAGCATATAAATAGAAAAGTATCGGCACATAAATGCGAATTGTAAGCCTGGTAAAAATGAACGGTACGGTTTCTGGCAATCCACGGAGTTTCGCGTGGGGGTCTTCCTGCGATAACCCGCTGTGGGGGGGAAGGGGGGAAACTCCAATTTTTCCTTGTTTCGCTGCGTGGAAACTCGCACCCTTCGCGGTGCCCACTTTCCACTTATTATGGAGGATGCACCCGCGTGGAAATTGTGGCTGCAAACCCACCCACCATCCAGTTGGTGGCACTATGTTCTGCCTTACAAATGCGACCCCAACCTTCGCCGCAATCCGGAAAGGCAGTTGGTTGTCACCTTATTGCAATCGAAGTCCATGCCGTTTCTCCTGCGTGGATTTGCCATTTTCCACCGTTCTGCCCGAGCGCTCAGTTTAACGTGAACTTGTGCTTTTCAGTGGACCGCATCGTTGGATTGGATCAAGTGGCGAAGATGAGTGAAAGTTCCGCCGGCTCCTCAAAGACCAAAAAAGGCATGTTCCGCACCGTGGGGCAGTTGTACAAGGAGCAGCTGGCCAAGCTGATGACCACCCTGCGCAACACCAGCCCCAACTTTGTGCGTTGCATCATTCCAAACCACGAGAAGAGGGTGGGTTACTGCACTTCTCTCCTGTTTTTAATGTGCGGGGCGCAGAGCAAAACAGCAACAGCAAATTACATTTGTATAGCGCCTTTCACGGCAGGAGGATGTCCCAACGACGACACGAAATGTCCAAGACCCTGCGTACACCTAAAATTGTACTGTGGTCTTGCACACAGAGTTGAACTGTGTGTGTGTGTTGGGGGGAGGGTTATGTAATGGTGTCTGAAACACAATGATTTCAAATGGAGATTTCGTATCAAGGACTCTCAGGAACAACTTCCTCACAGTGATCGGGATTCCGTCACCCAGACCCTTGGGAACTCTGCCCGATGCGATCTGCTTCCGGAGAGAGCATCGTGCACACAGGCTCCTAATAACCCACCTCCGGTCACTGGAAGAAATCCCGATTCGTAACTTTATTAAGGAATCCTGTTTGAAATCAATGCATTTCGTCTCCCCCCCCCAGCTTAATGTTTCCAGGGCAAGACACAGGCACGATGGGCTGAATGGCCTCCTTACTGGGGTGTAATATTCTATACATATCGGCTTAACATTCAATTCTCTCAGATAGCTATAGGCAAAGGAGCACCTTTCAGCGGCACAATTACAGCTCAGACGTATGATGGTGAATACTCGGGTCATGTGAAGATGTTTTTTTATACCATTACATTGAAGAAAACTATAGAAATGGGTCGGGGGCAGGCATCGGCTAAGTGCTGAGGGGAAGCAAAAGCAACGAAAGTTACGGCCCAAGCGGTGGGAACAGAATTGGCCTGTAAGGGTTTCTAAGGGTGAGGTGTCTCCCCACTGTCCTGGGTTTAACTAACGGAGCCTTGCTGTAATAACAGGCTGGCAAGCTCGATGCCCACCTGGTGCTGGAGCAGCTGAGGTGTAACGGTGTTTTGGAAGGAATCCGCATCTGCCGCCAAGGATTCCCAAACAGAATCATCTTCCAGGAATTCCGTCAGAGGTGAGTGGTGTCCGATCTGCAACCAGCTGTGCTCCGGCATCAAGTCAGTCCCAGCTCCTTCCTGTCCTTCTCACCCTCACTTCCCCAGGCTAGTGAGCCCCTTACCTTGGGCCCAGGTTTCTGTCACTGCGGTTAAGCTTTCCTCAAATGGCACCATTTTCCTCCATTTTGTTTTACGCAAATGTAGACCACAGGACTCTTCAAATTGAAGATTTGTAATGTCAATGCTCAGTGTAAGTCCGGGCTGTATAGAAGAGAAAGGCCACCGGTTTGTGCTCAGTTAATGGACCTTCATTCCTTGGGCTAATCAGCCAGGTTTATTATGGCACTAGGAGATACTGTATTAAACCACATTGAGAAAAAAAAAGGCAGGCTGGACCTTTCAAAAAGGTCTAAAAGGACATGGCCTCTCCATCTGTCCTGAACGCTGGACTCATTTAAAAAATAGTTTAACGCTGTGAAGAGAAGACTGTAGGGATTCTGGAGGAATGAGATCAGATGGGCCAAAGGACTTTCTTCATTTGAACCAACCTTGCGATCTTATGAGGTCAAGTATTTTGGTGTTAGGGCACCATCCACTGACAAAACACCAGCTTTATTTGTGACACTATGAAAGTGCTTCCACCATGTGTTCATTTCAGTTTCTCATCATTGCACGAAAGACAGAATCAACTCTGTAACGTTATATCATTCACACAAAATGGCAGCTGTTTTTGTACTGTAGAGGAACGCAGAGATTAAGATCCCTGTTCTTCCATCAATCTCAAATTGCAAAGAATTGTTAATCCAGTGTATATCTTTTTCGATAGATATGAAATCCTAACACCAGGTGCCATTCCTAAAGGATTCATGGATGGAAAACAGGCCTGTGTGCTCATGGTACGTGATGTGATAAACAGACAGAGATGAAAGCCAGAGATGAAAGCCACATAAACAAGCTGCTGTCTGTATTGTATCTTTGTCATGGTGTTCGCCTTATTCAGTTGGTAGCACTCTCAACCCCATTTTGGAACACTGCCTGAGCTGATACTCGAGTGCGGGGGAAAGCTCTTTGAGATGTTTCAGCATTAGTGATGCTGTATCAAATGCAGGACCGATTATGATTTTATTATCTTCTGGCTTGCAATACAGAAATCTTTTAAAGTTTAAAGAAACATAAATGGCTATTTCTTAGACTAATTTACCGATCTCTGTTATGGCTTGGAAGTAGGCAGTTTATTTATCTCCTCGGAAGCTGGTCTCCATACATTTGCTCACAGTTTGACTGCAACAGTTCACATAATACCATCGTTCTAAGCAGCATGGTCTATTAATCGATGTGAACAGAACCTAAGAATTACCAGACAAAAGAAGACCAAAGGACATCCGATTTGCCTTCCACCATCCTGGCAGTCATATGCATTAGTCACATCCCAAACTATATACTGTATCCCGAGTTATTTCCTAAGAGAAATCTTATCTAATTTGCTTTTGAGAGAATCAACATTTTCTGCTTTCACCGCCTCCCTTTGTAGCCCGTTCCGTACATTTACTACTCGCTGACTGAAATAGTGGTTCTGCAGATTTGTTTTGAATTTACCCCCCTTTTCAATTCTGAAATGGTATTCTGTGAACGTTATTACATTTTAGATCAAAGGTCTGGAACTGGACTCTAACCTGTACAGGATTGGACAGAGTAAGATGTTCTTCCGAACCGGTGTCCTGGCTCACTTGGAAGAGGAGCGAGACTTGAAAATTACAGACATCATTATTACTTTCCAAGCTCAAAGCAGAGGCTACCTCGCCAGAAAGTAAGAGTCTGATGAATGAGACGTTTTTACTGGACGTTCGGATGCTTTGAAATGCAACTGCTGTGTTAATTCAACGACGACAACAACAAAATTACATTTGCATAGCGCCTTTCACTAAAATTCAATACATTCAACTTAAAATAAATTTAATTCAATAAGGATTAGTCCAGTGATATGAACAGTAACTAGATTTCGTACCATCTATTTTGATTTGTTGCTGTGTGTGTGTGTGTGGTGAGAGTGTGGTGGTGAGGTTGCTCTGTGTGTAGTTGTGAGTACAGAGGTGATGTTGCTCTAATTGTTTGCAGGGCTTTTGCCAAGAGACAGCAGCAACTCACTGCGATGAAAGTGATTCAGAGAAACTGCGCGGCTTACCTTAAACTTCGCAACTGGCAGTGGTGGAGGCTGTTCACAAAGGTGAGTTTCATTCTGAATGATCATTGCTTTGAGGATAATAATTCTTACCGGATAGAGGATAAAATATCTAACACATGAGAACATTTAGCGTGACAGCATCCGCTGGGCTTGGTGCACACTTCTTTGAGCTCAAAGTAACCTTCAAGATGTTTATTGCCCCCTAATTCAATTTTCACCCAACTCAAAGCTGGAGGTAAAGTTTTCTTGTCAGTTTGCTGCTCTGTGACAAACAGCACGGCACACTTCAGAGGCTGACAATCGTCTTCAAATCCTTCATGCCCTGGCTGGCACCTACCTACCTGCTTACACCCCAACCCACTACCTCCACTCAACTGGCTCCGGCCCCCTGCCTGTCCCTCGTGCCCCCCGTTTCCACCATCGTGCCTGAAGACCTTCCTTTTCGATTGTGCCTACGGTCACCTCCCACCTCCCTCCGATTTAGCATCGTGCTCCACCAACGTCAAGCGCTCTGGGATGCTTCCTGGTGTAAGGCAAGCTATATAAATGTAAGTTGTTGTTGTTCCAGCGCGATTAACTAGTTGCCTTTTGGGTGCAGGTTAAGCCACTGCTGCAGGTTACTCGGCAGGAGGAGGAAATGCAGATAAAGGAGGAAGAGATGACGAGGATCAAAGAAAGACAAGAGAAGGCAGAATGTCAGCTCTCTGACCTTGAGAAGAAACACAGCCAGGTAATAACACTGTGCTTTCCACATTTCAACCAGAATCTCAGATTAATGCTCCATTTAAAACTATTCACTCAGCATCGTTCTCAACAGCAACCAGATTCCCCAATGTTAGGGCAGGTAAAATAACAACAAGGGGCTCAAAGTCATTATATCTCCTGGTATCCTGGCCAACAATCCCCAAGCCTTGGCTCTTGCCAACCTGAGCCTAATACGTTCCGGAATTAGGTGAGCAGGAGGCGTCCCTCCAGGGAGAGAGTGTGTAGGTGGGATGCATGGAAATCTCAATTTGGTTTGGAGACTCTTAAGCAATGGCGATGGGTGTCCGCATGTGTCATACACCCGGCTGACACCAAAGAAAATATCCCCCAGGTAAAATTGGCCATGCACTTTGTGGCCGTTGCTGAGAGTTTGTTGTGTGCGAATTGGTTAAAGAGAGTCACTATACTTTACGATAAATCCTATGAAAAGATGTCCTCCTGGTGTGGAAGGTGCTAATATCAAATGCAATGATTATTATTCTTATTACTGCAAACGAGTAGGAATAATGCTTTCGATGTATTATTAATCTCCTTTCCTGCATGTTCAGTTGGTGGAAGAGAAGACCTCACTTCAGGAGCAGCTTCAGGCCGAGACAGAGCTGTTTGCTGAGGCAGAAGAGATGAGGATACGTTTAGAGGCAAAGAGGCAGGAGCTGGAGGAGATTCTCCACGAGATGGAAGTCAGAATAGAAGAGGAGGAAGACCGAAATCAGCATATGCTAAACGACAAGAAGAAAATGCAGACACAAATCCTGGTAATTTAGTAACAAACTCCTAAATATTATCTGCACGTGGGTGAGGGGTGCAGTGGAGGAATCGTTTCTTCACTGAGATTAAGAAATGGGACCCTTTCATCATAATGCACAGTGGAAATTTTTATATGTTTTATTTTATCAAATATATATATATAAAACGTATGTCATTTGATGTTTCCAAGTAAATAAGCATTTGAGATCAATTCAGTCACGGCTTGCAAAGCTTTGAGGGGCAGAAATTATTTTTTTTTTGCGTCAGATAGTGGAAGGTGGGTTTGCAGTTGGGAAAGATCATGAACATGTAGTTCTCTTGTGAAAGGATCTGGAGGAACAGCTGGATGAGGAGGAGGCAGCTCGACAGAAGCTTCAGCTGGACAAAGTGACCGTCGAGGCCAAGCTCAAAAAGATGGAGGAGGATATCATCATGCTGGAGGATCAAAATACCAAATTTGCAAAGGTCAGTGCAAAGCAACAACAACATCAGCAACAACGGGCTGCATTTATATAGCACCCCTCATGCAGGGCAGTATCCCAGAGTGCAAACTGGCAGCTTTACGGAGAGTGTTTTGTTTAGTATCAACAGCAATTGATCTAGAAGCCCTTCTGCGTTGAATTCTTGTTGTAGACTCATGGCTCATAAACTAGAGAGCCACTTACAGGACAGATTTTGAATTTGAATAGTCTTTGATGGCCAAAGGAGACAGGAGGGGAGATCGAGAGAGTGTGGGCGAGGCAGAGGTACGGTTTGAAAATGTATATGATGGGCTTCTTGAGTATTATATTTGCAATTGTGAAAATGAAAGCAGAAAAAAAAATGGGAGCAAACAGATTGAGCGAATTCTTCAGATTTTATTCCCTTGTGGGGAAGAAACACATACGCAGTCCTGCATTTAACAAAATCACACGTTTGTGCCAAAAATAGGAGAAGAAGTTGCTTGATGAAAGAATAGCGGACTTCACAACCAATCTTGCCGAGGAGGAAGAAAAGGCGAAGAACTTGACAAAACTGAAGAACAAACATGAATCTATGATTTCAGATCTCGAAGGTACGGACAGTTATTCGGTTCATTTAAGTGGTAATTCTGCTGGAATATTAAGAACCAACTATTTCGGTGATCACTCTGTCACTGTACATCTCCTCGTAAAAGTAAGTGGATTGTGGATTGACTGCTGTAGACCTTAGTTCAAACGCTTGCACAATAAAAGTTTTACATTGTCAGGTTCACTTAATATATCCCTTCAGATGAACCACTTCAAAAGCCAACATCCCTCCTTGTTAACTCGTAACAACCTTTTCACTGACAGACAAAAAAATTTCCTACTGAAAATGATTTGAATGGATAAGATTCATAATGTCATCTCATGTTTTAACTATAGCTGAGACTATGTTCTCATGAAAATAAAGAAGACCCTTTGGCCTACTTGATCTCATGTTTCCTCAACACCCAGCTTGTCATCCTCCCATCACAGCATTGAGCTGTTTTTTTAAAGGGTCCAGTGACCTGACCTCAACCACTTTTCTTGGTGACCCTTTCCTGCCATGAATTACCCTCTAGGTAAAGAAATACTTCCTGGTGTCTGTCCTGAAATTACCCTTTACAATATTAAACCGGTGTCTTGTTCTGCTAGTTCCATGCATCTGAAAGTATTGTTTTCAATCCCATTTATCAACTTACCACTGTAAGTTCTCCTCTAATGATAACTACTTTCAAGACTGAAGAGCCCTAGCTCGTCTAATCCTTGCTCAAAGCTCATTCTTTTAACACAACAACTTTCATTTATGTAGCACGCTTCACACGGGCTGGCGTCCCGGAGCACCTGCGAATCTCGCTCATCTGATTTGCACCGCTCTATCTAAGCCCTGGGAAGCCCACTCACAGCGTGGCAACCAGACCAGGAATAGCGCTTGTCGGCAGTACTGTGTAACAAAATATCTGATCTCTGCAGTGCGCCTTAAGAAGGAAGAGAAGTCCAGGCAAGAGCTGGAGAAATTGAAGAGGAAGTTAGAGGGAGAGGGCAATGATCTCAGTGAACAGATAGCGGAACTGCAACAGCAGATTGCTGAACTGAAGATGCAACTTGCGAAGAAAGAGGAAGAGCTACAGGCAGCCCTGAGCAGGTACAGAAAGCACTGCCACCATCTCACCTCTCCTGGTATAGCCCTAAAGGGACTTGATCATTTTTGATGTTGGTCAAGCAACATTTACCAGATAGCACCCATTCTGTGTTTTATTATTCACCCCTTTGATTTATCAACGCAGGTTAGACACAGAGAGTGATATAAATCGAGTCTCACTTACTGTTACTGCACAGCCTGAAATTAAATCTTTTTAGTCGGGGATTGAACCATCAGTTCTGCAGCAATGGGTCCATTTCAAACCAACATCAGATTAATTTCAATGAATAGTTCCGATTAGTACCTTCAGTCTTACTGCTGTTGACACTTTATTGATGTAAAACAAAACTAATCTTAATTGCAATAGTATGGGAATGTGCTCTAAACAGGATGCCTTTAGCTATGTTAAACTATACTGTAATCATTTATTTTTTAAAACAATAAGGTGTAAAGGTAAGTTTTTAAATAAGGTTTGCATTTGCAAAAACATGCTAATATTCAAAGTCAACGCCAAACCTTTAGTCTTGTTTTTGCTCACGTATTGGCTACATATTGTGTGTTGTGTATTAATGATTTTAACTCTTGTGGATTAACGAACTGAACTCACGCAGGCTGGACGATGAAACTGCACAAAAGAATAACGCCCTGAAGAAAATCCGTGAGTTAGAAACTTTCATATCAGATCTGCAGGAAGATTTAGACTCTGAGAAGGCGGCCCGCAACAAAGCTGAGAAACAGAAGAGAGATTTGGGTGAAGAACTGGAGGCTTTGAAGACGGAACTTGAAGATACCTTGGGCACCACAGCTACACAGCAAGAGCTGAGGTACAGTGAACATTAAAAAGAAGCATAACATTACACGCAACTATCGTTGTACAGTATAATCTGTCCACCCAACGACGTATCGATTGTTTATTTACTTTCCACACGGTAGACTTGTGGAATAGCCACAGATTTGGGAAACAACAGCAACCTACACCTGGAATAAAAATTCTAATTATTTTTTATACTCAGTATAATTAGGACCTGGAAGCCATTTGAGATGACACAAAGCATTGACTCAGATCAAGTCAAATTTGCTTATCAGCATGTTTTGCTTTTCTTGCTGTCAGAGCTAAGAGAGAACAGGAGGTGTCCGAAATGAAGAGAGCGCTGGATGAAGAGACAAGAGCACACGAAGCCCAGATCCATGATATCCGACAGAAACATGGACAGGCTATGGAGGAGCTCACAGAGCAGTTGGAGCAAGTAAAGCGGGTAAGTGTGAGAGAGAGGTTCACCGAGCTTAACCATTGTGGCGGAACATTTTGGAGTGCGAATGTTATTTTCTGACTCGTGCCTTTTAGACTTACTCGAGGTAAGTTCAAAATTCAGAAACAAGAGGTCGTAGCTTCAATTATAATAACATCAGAAGTGCAGAAGTTCCTTTTAATAAAAAGCTGGTTCTCACGCGAAATGGGTCACCACACTTAGCGATGATTACCGTGAAGTGCATTGAAACGTTTAGACGTGATGTACGGCTACAAACAAACTAATAATAATAATACGAGCACAAGTAGAAGAACAAGGAGTTGTGAAGGCTTTCAGAAAAAGAACTAGACATGTTTCTGGACTGCAAAAGGATTACAGGGTATCAGATGAGAAGATAAGTGTATAAGTGTGCTAAGGGAATCTTTTGGGAAGTTAGAACCAATGATCTATTTGTGGCTAAAACTGCTGCTATGTTCATATGTCTTTAAAGCCAACAACACAAATTAGGTTGATAACGTTCAAAGGTGTCATTTCATCACTTAAATAACTGAGGCGAGTAATGCTGTTGTATTTTCAAAATATCCTTTTGCAAGTGAGCGCAGTGCGCACTAACTCAAATGCTCTCTAAAACTTTTCAGGTTAAGTCTAACCTTGATAAGAACAAGCAGGCTCTTGAAAAGGAGAACAGTGAACTCTGTATTGAGGTCAGGTCACTGTCCACAGCCAAGGCAGATCTGGAACACAAGAAGAAAAAACTGGAGTCTCAACTACAGGAGTTCCAAGTCAAGGTGTCCGATGGAGAACGTGTCCGGGTCGAGCTCAATGACAAAGTGCACAAGTTGCAGGTCAGTCCGTACGTTCTCACAAAGACCGAGACTTTGGCAGTATCGTAGAGGTCGAAGCATTTGAGATAACAAATGGCATATTAAAGTTTGATATACTTATAAGCGGGGGTAGGGTGGGTATTTGATATGTCAGCCTGTCTAATCCAGCATTCTGCTTGAGAAATCAGAAATGTTAATTGGATCTTAGAATAATTGTTCAACCCTAATATGGTGTTTTCACAACAAGGAGAATTATTTTTGGAGCAATTTTTAGAAACTGCTTGATGTTGCGATGGGAAGCCTGGTAGGGTGGGTATAGTGGAATGATGAGATTAAATGGGCCAAACCAATCTTGTGATCTTGTGACTATTGGGTTAGATTGAGTGGCCTTTTGTCAAGGTGCTGGAGAGGAGAGAATTAAAAAAATTGAAAGCCAAATGTTGCTTGTCTTTTTCTTCAGGGTGAGCTTGAAAATGTGACCATCATACTTGGTGAAGCTGAAAGTAAGACCATTAAACTCACGAAAGATGTGTCAAGCCTCGGATCTCAGCTGCAAGACACGCAGGTATGTGTTACTTTTTTTTGCAGATTGCGACCCCTAAGGGTATGAGGTGACAACGCACTGTAAAATACATCACAGAGAAACGTGTGTCAACATTTGCCCATTTTCATTATTTCGAAAGAGGGCTGAGATCATTGCAAAAATGAACATAAATGCATTTCGATCATCAGTCTAGGGCACTTTTTCATAGTAAATTCACATCAAAACTCCTGGCGTATTTTTTTGGCCACTTTATAATCTTTCATTGAATTGAGTAACTTCAAAGTCCCTCCTTGCTGACAAAGTCAACAATTGTTTTGTACAGTGAGGGTCAGAATGCATTGAAATGATAAGAATATATAAGAACGACGACAACAACTTGCACTTATATAGCGCCCTCCACGCAGGGTCTCAGAGCGCTTAACAGTGGTGGAGCCTGACTCAATGATGCTGACTTTGAGATGGGTAGGTGCATGGATTCAATCATCACCATCGCTCTGTGTTTTCTGTAGGAGCTGCTCCAGGAAGAGACTCGGCAGAAACTGAGCCTGTCTACCCGCCTGCGTCAGATGGAGGACGACAAGAACAGTCTCCAGGAACAGCTGGAGGAAGAGGGAGAAGCCAAGAGGAACTTGGAGCGACACATTTCTACCTTGACCGTGCAGGTAACAGGCAGCTTATCTGCTGTGATTGACGCCTGTCTAAAACCAAATGGACATTAGTATTTAAGGTCGCGTGTTCTGTATTGTGCCTTGGAATCCAAATGCCACATTGGCGTAGAATCTGAACGAATGTTGCCTTATCCTAACCCTTTCATTCCTGGTACGGTATCCACAAATGAACGATTGAAAAAATTATTCTGAAACCCATACCTAAAACATACGTAACGGATGCTTAATTTGCTCGTGGATTCCTAATCTGGAATAGTAGTGATTAAATGATATCAATTTGATTGACACAAGTAAAGAAAGCTTTACAACACACTCCCTAAAACGGTCCCCTTAATCTTTAAGTTAGCGATTGTTCGGAAAATAGGACAACTTTCTCGTTCCTGTCACAAGGGAGACATTTTACTTGAGCTTTGCTCTCCCTGTAGCTGTCAGATGCTAAGAGGAAGGTAAACGAGGACAGTTCCACAATAGAGAGTCTGGAGGAGTCAAAGAAGAAACTTCAGAGGGAAATGGAAGCGATTACTCAGAGCTTTGAAGAGAAAGGAGCTGCCTACGACAAGCTGGAGAAAACCAAGAACAGGCTACAGCAGGAGCTGGATGACCTTCTGGTGGATCTGGACAATCAGCGGCAATTAGTTTCCAACTTGGAGAAGAAGCAGAAGAAATTTGATCAGGTAAGAGATTTCCGTAGAGTGGGCCGTTTGTGAAGGGCTTTAGTCACACGCCAGTTGCCCGGGAAGGACACCTTTCCACCATCATGGTAGATTTTTCTAAGTAAAAGGACATTTTCTTTTCAAAACTACACAACAATTAGCACTTGCTTAGCACCTTTCACATAGGCTAATGGCTAATGAAGCACTTCACAGAAACTACAACAACAACTTGCACTTATACAGTGCGCTTCATGCAGGGTAGTGTCTCAGAGCGCTTAAAACTAAGCAGGGAAGGTGGCGGAGGCGGGAGGTGACAGGAGGCAAGGTTGAAGGTTATAGGCTTTTTGGAGACTATGGAAGTCAGATAACAATAATAACAATCTTTGCATTTGATACAGCACTTTTCACGTCTTCGAGACGTCTCAAAGCGCTTCAAAGAATATACGGTATTTGTGGCGAGGAACTTGCAATCATTGAATTTAATACAATTTTATTTTAATATGATGCAATTAAGGATGTTTTTTATTCTTTAAGATGCTGGCGGAGGAAAAGAACATCTCCGCTAAATATGCGGATGAAAGGGACAGAGCAGAGGCCGAGGCTCGTGAGAAGGAGACCAAGTCTTTGGCGTTGACCCGAGCTTTGGATGAGGCTTTGTCATTCAAGGAAGATCTGGAGAGAGTCAACAAGCAGCTGCGGGCCGAGATGGACGATCTTGTGAGCTCCAAGGACGACGTAGGAAAGAATGTAAGTTGATGTGCAAAATAGCAATATAAAAATTAATATACATTTTAAGTCTTGTGCATTGGGTGAATGTTGGCAGCTGGAAAATGCTAGCTTCCTAAGATTTGGGTCATGTTCATCTGCTTACAAGCTGAAGCCCAGGTGACTGCAAAAGACGACTTGATTTTCATTTTGTTGTTTGTCACTAATGGGTTGGGAAAGCAGCACATTAGGAAGGTCTCAACTACTTGGCCTTAAGTTTAAATCTGAACCTGAAATGACCCGGCATTGTTCAGCAATGGTCAAGCTTTCTCAATGACCTGCTCGGGTGCTTCGTCAGAGGAGCACAAACCAACAGGACCATCCCCAACCTACTTCTGTTTCACTGGACAAATACATTGACAACAGGCGAAGTTGTACGTACAACATGGCTCCCACTGAACTAGGCCGTGAGGCGAAAGGGAACGTGGAAACCAAGAACAGCAGTAAAAGTACTAACAGAGAAAAATAGCAGGAAAAAGATTGGACACCGAACTTGTCGTCCAGAGGAAATCTTCCAATAACTTTCTTCACATTTCTCAATTTTAACTGAATCATGATGACTTTGAGACACTAACAGACTAGAAGCTGTTTGAGATGTTGATCATCAGAATCTTATAGAAATAAGTTATTGGTGGGGGGGGGGGTTTCCCCCAAAATGTGGTCTTAAAACACACAAGCTTCTATTTGTTAAGTCTCTTACCAATGGTTTGTCACTTCTTCTTCACCAAAGGTGCACGATCTGGAGAAGGCCAAACGTGCCTTGGACCAGCAGGTGGAGGAGATGAAGACGCAGTTGGAAGAACTCGAGGATGAGCTGCAAGCGACAGAAGATGCCAAGTTGAGGTTGGAGGTGAACCTGCAGGCCATGAAAGCCCAGTTTGAACGGGATTTGCAGGCACGCGATGACCAGAATGAAGAAAAGAGGAGGCAACTTGTTAAGCAGGTAAGAAGATGGAGGAAATGCAGTGCAACCGTCGACTGCCTGTTGGAAGCAGAACAAAGCATGTCCAGTTCTGCCTTAAAAAAAAGGTAGAGGAATAAATAGATCCCATCATTTCTCACAAAACGTCATCAAGTTAGCTTCCTCATTCCATCTCATGGCTCCGTCCCTCTTTGGCGACTCATAGAGAATGTGTTATGGAGAGTGGCTGTGTGCATATCCCAGAGCAGCTCAATGCACCGCATTTTTCTCGTATTTCTGTAAATCTTCTTGCTCTGAACGCACAGCTTTGAGGAGTTACACGTGGTCAGGGTTACTCTAAACGCAGGTCCGTGAAATAAGATGCAACTGATCAACGTGCGGCTCCGGCCGAAGCAAAAGTTTAAATTAACATCAAGTGCTAAAGGCACTGGTCTAACCTGTGTTGACACTCAGGTCCACGAGCTCGAAACTGAACTGGAAGATGAACGTAAGCAACGCATGCTGGTGGCTGCTGCCAAGAAGAAGTTCGAGATAGACCTGAATGATCTCGAGGGTCAGGTGGAAACTGCTCATAGGAGCCGAGAGGAAACCATAAAACAGCTGCGGAAACTTCAGGTGCGTGGTTCAGATCCGACTTTGTGTAAACCTTAGGTAGCGTATGTAGCCCATGTACGATGTATGATCAATTCGAACTGTACATGAGACACACCGTCTGATAAAATTGTCACTGTTTGCTCCAGAGTACCACTGGCCCTGCTCGTAGAGGGCAATTAGAAACCTACGTCTAAAGGGTTTGGTGTTTGCACCGTTTGCTTCTGACAATTCCAGATGTGCATAGCAGCAAATTAGTTGAACTCACATTATGAAAGCTCTTTGATCATTTCAGAATCTTGTAATGTCAGGAGTTCAATAATTCTCCAGGCTCGTCTTCATTCTTTCAGTGTTGGCTTTTGAAAGCCGATATGATCCAAGCCTTTCCTGCAGGGAACTTGGACAGGAATGTCGTGAGAAATATCTGACTCTCTCCAACTCACGAGGGAGCGGTTGAGAGATTCCACTCACACACATGGATTCCTAAGCGACGGGTTGTGGCTCGCTGAGTGATTACACAGCCTGATGGTGAGAGGCATCGTAAATATCATCAAATCAGGATATCGACCCATTTCTACCAACCCTCACTTTTGTGCACCCAGCACTCCAGATGCCCCCAAATCCCTCATGACCTAAAATATTCCAAACTCCTGCCTGATCTTAAATTTAACACATCTAATTGTCTCCGTGCTAGGGTTTCGGGCCTCCGATCGTTTATTCTATTACTCACCGAGCGAGCTGGTGAGGGGTTGCTGGCAGAACGGTGGAATGAATCTGCTCAGAGAGGACAAGCAGAAATCTGTCTTACCAACAGCATCTCGCATTTACACAGTGACAACCGTGTGGCTAGAGTTTCGGAACGCTTAAAGCACTACCGAGACTGAACGTAAAATTAAAGTGCGGTTTTAATTCTATACATGTTTGTTTAAACCGTCCAGGCTCAGATGAAGGATTACCAACGGGAGCTTGAGGAGGCTCGGAACTCCCGGGAAGAGGTCCTGGCTCAGGCTAAAGAGAACGAGAAAAAGGCAAAGAGTCTCGAAACAGATCTGCTCCAGCTTCAGGAGGTAAACACGGAGGAGTTGCTCCTTTGGCCTCTTCCCTCAGAGATAATTAATGTCACCAGATGATATCTGAACCCAAAATCTGGAGACGTTATTAGCAAATCCAACAAGTATTTATTTATTTATGAGAAACTGGCCAGCAGACAAGCCTGTCGATTCCTGGCACCAAATGGTAGCGAAAACAAATGCAGCAAAAATGGAGCCGTTCGCTTCATTCATTTCAATGTGGTGAAAAAACAAATCGTTAGCGTTGTATTAAACAAAGTTCAGAATGTTTGCGAGCTGTGCATGGGACAGTTCTATTCAAAATACACAGGACAAATTGTAATCCCGGGGATATAATAATAATCCTTGCATTTGATACAGAATATACTGTAAAGTGGATTGACCGTGTATTTTGTGGGTGAAACGTAGCAGCCAATTGCGCACGGCAGTGTCCCACAAATAGCCATGGAGTCCCACAAACAGTCAGGGATATGTTCTGTGTGAAACAACTCAGACAAAGCAACAGCACAAGAATGTGTAGATCCAAGCAATGGTATATCCAATGGGCTCTCGATTAAAATTATTCTTTCTTCTAAGGATTTGGCGGCCGCAGATCGCGCCCGGCGACACGCTGAACAGGAGAAAGATGAAATGGCGGAAGAGTTAGCAAGCAACATCTCTGGAAAGTAAGTAACCCTAGAGAGATCCGCCAAGTTTTATTGCCACCCATCGTAGTAACACTGCAGGAAAAGTGACTCTATGCATCACGTCAATTCTGAAAACGTGAGAAAGCCCTTGTTGCAGTGCAACCAAGTTGGCCAAAGCACTCAGGTTCCAGTCGTTGACTCATCGCTTCATGTCGTGATAGTTCTCTTGTTTTACTTGGCTGGTTTTCACCAGTACAAAACACCGATTTGTTTCAAATGAGCTTTTTCCACAGTCTGCTAACGTTTGAGGAGGAAGCTGAGGCTTGAGGACTAAAACAGTAAAACTTACATAAGTCTGATCTGCATAAATCGTTGAATGACCTAAGTCGTAAAGCTTAACCCAAGTCCCGTTCAAGAGTTTAGGTTATTATGAAAGTTTGAGTCCCGACTGATACGAGGTTTACTGTATGACGTCTAGTCTTCGTGAGATTCAAACGTTTGAAGTACTTGAGTTTGGAAAAACTGAATGCGGTTGCAGAAGGCGAAGTGTGCAGTTCTGAGTGATAGGACGCCAGATCCACACCCAGTTTGTGTATTTTCAGATCAGCACTCCTGGATGAGAAACGCCGCCTGGAGGCCAGAATAGCACAGATGGAGGAGGAGCTGGAAGAGGAACAAGGCAACATGGAGACACTGAACGACCGCCTCAGGAAGGTGGTACAGCAGGTAACACGCTGGAGAAACAGCTCAGAATCCTACTCTCGCCATTGCAGAATGGTCATATAAAGTTTCCACCGCAGTATAAAACAACAGGCAAAGAGGAAAGGCCAAACAATGACAACGCAGGGGGGAATGTCCCTCCCTTTCCAATAAAATCAGCCGTTCGTTGTGTTGTCTTTCTTTGTGAAGTTCTAAGACCTGAAAATCCACCCAATTCTAAAACCTTAGCATTGCAGAGAATTGTGGTAAATTCTTCAATACGGTCCAAATTTGGAAGCCGCTTTTCCACGAGGGGTTTTGAAAAAGAACTGGCTTCCAAATTAAGGCCAAATTTAAGACGTTTCCACGGTTTGTGAACTTTAGGACAAAAATGGTCTTTTCAGGCTAAGACTGTGTGGAATTTGGAGCCTTGGGAATTTATGTGAATCTGTTACCTTGGGTTTCATTTTGATGCTACAATGGGGAGGATGGTTCGAATGGGCGATCTGGGAGGGTGCGATGCGATGAAATGGGCCGAAGATCTTGTGATTCCCGCGCTCCGGGACGCTGCCTCTCGTGAAGGGCGCTATATAAACGCAAGTTGTCGTTGTTGCTGTCGTTGTACCGCAGTCCGAGCAGCTGTCCAATGAACTGGCAGCCGAGCGAAGCTCCAACCAGAAGAATGACGGTGCTCGGCAGCAGCTGGAGAGGCAGAATAAGGAGCTGAAGGCAAAACTGCACGAAATGGAGGGGGCAGTGAAATCCAAGTTCAAATCAACCATCACCTCTCTGGAGGCCAAGATCGCCCAGTTGGAGGAGCAGCTCGAGACAGAAGCCAAGTAAGTCACACACAGGAGGCAGATCTGCCTTTCTGCTCGTTGATTTAACCTCTGGTCTTTCCTGGCAGGTGTTATTCATCTGCATTTAGTTTTCCTGTAAGGCACGAAGTGACGGAAAGGAATAAATCCAGAGAGGGGGAAGAGACTGCTGAGTCATATCTGGTAACATGACGTTCCATCAGACTGAGACATGTTTATTTAGTGCACTCCGGAAAACCCTTCAAAAAGGAAGGAAGGTTGTAAGTGTTTCCTTGCAAAGGGAACATCTGTAATCAGTAAAGTCGGAGGCTTGATATATCCGTGTCTCAGTCATTTATAGTGCCTTTTGCAGAGGTTATTTCCTGATAATCCAGGGCAGGAGAAAAGCACATGCAATCTTACTGTACATATTATCTTCCTAACTATCGTACTCCTTGGAGCACATTGTAATTATTAATAATAATCCTTGCCATTAATATCGCGCCTTATCACATCGTCTAGACGTCGCAAAGCGCTTCACAGGATATTCTGTAAAGTGAAATGACTGTGTATTTTGCCAATTGCATCAAGCCAATTGCACACAGCAGTATCCCACAAACAGCCATAAAGTGAATCACCAATTTTACTTAGGGGATTGCTGGCCAGGATACTGGCAGAAACTCACTTCTCTTTTCGAATAGCGCCAAGGGGATCTTTAACATCCACCTAAATGGGCAGACAGGACCACTGTTTAACAAAATCACCTTAAATGGTGTCAATGGTTGCTTTTTAAAATAAAAATACATGACATTATTAAGAAAGCACGTAATGTCTAGCATGGAGTTGAAAGAAGTATTTGATTCCTGGCATGGAGTTCAGGGCAGTGTTTGATTCCTGGCAGTGTTGCCTGAGTTCACACACGAGTCAATCTTCACTGTAATAGTTTACGTCATCACAAATCTATTAAGCCTTGTGATTTTTCGTTTACCTTCAGGATTACTTTTCTACAGCTTCTAACATGAATAAACTTCACGTTAGCAGTGGGTGGGGGTGAGGGTTGAATTTTCCTGCAAGAAAACATTGAGGTAATCCGTTGGTCATCAATCTCCTGATCATGTCATTGGAAAGCTGCCCTTTGGCTGGTTTCTCCGGACAGACGTGCAAAATGCTAGCGTAATTTTGTCATACAGAAATGTGTCTCTTGCCTCGGAAATATAATTGTTACATGGACACGGCAAGCAAACCTGGTTAACTCAATTGGTTTGGTATTTGTAGTCGAGACTAAACTTGGACAAGTTTCCTTACTCCGCACCCCTCTATTTAGCTAGCAGTAAGTAGGAACCCAGTTGTTAGTCGATTTGCGGAATCACTTTCTGGGGGTAATAATCCCTTCAATTTTTCTTAAAAATAAATTAATAAATAATTATTTAGTCACTTAATCCACAACTGTCTTTGGGACACTGCTGTGCGCAATTGGCTGCCAGGTTTCGCCACAATATACACAATCAATTTGTTCCCTGCTCTGACGTACCCGTGCTCGCCTGCTTTTCAGGGAGCGTCAAGCCACCACCAAGGCTGTCCGACGCTCAGAGAAGAAGCTGAAGGAGGTCCTGATGCAGATGGAAGATGAGCGAAGACATGGGGAGCAGTATAAGGATCAGGTAGTGTGCTTGCGATGGTACACACGAGTGGAAAGTCATTTACGCGCGATTATTGAGGAAGATTTTTTTTAAGGACACACAATCACCGATAAGAGTGCCTCGCTCTTCACCGTGGTCCATTTATTTTCCCATTAAACGACTCAATTGCTTGCGAGCAGCACAAGTAAATGATTAGAATCGGAACCTTTCAACAAGATTCACACGTTATACACACAAAACTCTACAGCAATACCTCGGAAACAAACGAGGGATAATTTCACTGAATCTTGAATAATCGAATAATTTCACTGAAGCACTTGCTGTGAGCTTCATACTGTGGTACAAAGTATTTGAGTTTTGCAAACTTGATTGGGGGAACAGGCGACCATGATGTCTCTTTAGCCTTAGTTAATTGTCACCAAATTGAAACTGGATAATATCGTCATATGGTAATATTCTTTGCATTCGACACAATGTCTTGAAAACATCATAAGCACTTCACACGCAATTGCTGCCAAGGGCTGTATACACGCTGTAGATGTGAAGTCGACTCACAGCTTATTGGGAAAGAGCTAGTGTTGCTGTCGTGGACTTTCAAAGGGACGTTGCCCTCATCCAGATATTCTGCCCCTCCAGGCAGACAAGAGCACTTCCCGCACGAAGCAGCTCAAGCGGCAGCTAGAGGAGGCTGAGGAGGAAGCTCAGCGGATCAACGCATCGCGTCGCAAGCTGCAGAGAGAGCTCGAGGAAGCCACGGAGCTGAACGAGACTATGAGCCGCGAGGTCAACACACTGAAGAGCAAACTTAGGTACGTTCAGTCGCGCACCCCTTTAGACGTGAGCAGGACTCCCCTTCTTAAACCAGATGGAATGGGATCATAGAATCGAGGTGGTCTCTTGAATCGCTGCAGGAGCTACCAAGCATTGGCTATTGCCGTGTCATTTCTCTAATCGGCAGCTGGAAATTCTGGCTCAATTCAATCGATGCACGAAAACTTAATTCGAATTTACGATAAAGCAGAAAATGAAGAAAGAGATAACATATATATATATATATATATATAAATTTTTCCCTTAAACCCATTCAGGACACAAACAAGAACGTGTCACTTAAGAGGGGATATATAATCATATATAGATAGAGAACATTGAAATCTGCAATTTCTCCCACTGAGAAACCACCCCCCCAATTAAGAATCTGGTTCAGATTTGTATTTGCAACTCTACGTCAATTTCAAAGGGTTGGTGGTGGGAGGGAATAAGGCCGGTTCCCATGTCACCAGAACCATCAACAGTTTATTAAAAAAATCAAAGTGATTTACTAATGGAAATCCATAAATGTAATAGAGACACGGCCATTTTATTAGTAAGGGGCTTTAATTGCTTTAAAATTTAGTCTCGAGTCATCTGCGTAATTAGTTCTGAGAACAGACGTGCAAATTGAGTTTAGTCAATATTGCCGCAGTGCAGCAGAACACTGTACATCACATCTGGAACGTGCCAAAGTCAGAGCATTTTGAAGACAGCCAGGGCAAAAAGATTTCCCCAATCCCCCTGCAGTGAAGCTCATGCTTAAAGTGTGCAGTATAATCTTATGCAATAAGATGTATTGGTTGTTAATAGGAATGCTATGTAACCGTGAGGGAAATCTTGTCTTTATTACAGAAGTACACAGGAACCTGCTGAATGAAACGTTCAGGTACCTCCCAATGCCTTCAGCTATGCAACTTCCATATTGCTCAAGTTCCATCTCTCTTTCTCCTGAAGTATTTAACATTAGGTTTCTGAAAGTTCTGAAGGCTGGAGATAAGACGCAAAGATGTAGAGGATGCATCATGAAGAGCTGTGGGACAGGGTTTATATTTGGTGCAGACAATACCAGCAATGTCCTGCAGGTCTTCACTGTGTGTCCTCTACACACCACACGTTAAGTAAGACAATGAGAGATGAATTGGATTAAATATTACTGAACACACAAAACTCTCCACTGATGGGCAGATTGATTGGTGAAGCCACTGTGAATGTTTTTTCCCCCCCCCCTTTCCTCCCTCGAAATTTCAACGCCTCCTCTATGAAATTCCATAGAGCGGATGTGGTCACGTGTGGTAAACTAAACCAAATTTTTTGTGTTTTTTTTTAAAAAAATCAGGAAAACTGGTCTCGAAAAATTGTTAACCGTTAAGAAGCTTACACTTCTAATCCAGCTGCGTATATCGAGGAATGTGCAACCTCAGTACATCCTCGAGGCTATCACTAACCACTTGTGCATCATTCAAAGACCACCAAACCCCTTGCACTGCTGCCTCCTCCCCGCAAAAAAAAAAAAAAGATTTGAAGAACTAATTTGAGCCTCACTTGTGATTCCCCCTTTGTGTTAAATTTCAGTGCAGTGGCCTCATGTGGCTGACCTGCTCCCCGAGACTCGACTGGTTACTGCTCCTGACTAAAATGGCAGAAGAGGAACCCAGCACAGCTGACCGTTTGAGCTTCCCTCTGTACCACCGTGGTGGGCAGGTGGCTTGTAACTGCTGTCTTGGGGGAAACGAGCGTCTTAGCTGGCGGGTTACCTCAGATGCAAAACCCTGTCCCTTAAAATGACATGGAGATTGCATAATGATCCAGCATTTACCGTGATGTACTATTGCATCCACCTCAACCCGGGTATCTCAAAAAGTACCCAATTTAACGTCTCCAAATCCACAAAACAAGCACATTTGCGGCAGTTAAAGGGTTTGATCCCATTCGCTTTATTTACAGCTTCCAACCCAGCCCCCACCCCCCACCCCTACCCCTCTCTCTTTCATCCAAGCCCTTTGAGGAATGCAGTGAATTTGTTTTGCAACTCCCCTTCCCCAAATTACAATGTCTACATTTCCCTTTAGCGCTGCGGAATAACCTACGTTCGTCAGATAACAATCGGTTTCTGAGAGCGAAAAAATTATTTGCTCAGGAATTATGGAAATCTTGGTCCTCAAAGGGTTAAACAAGCAGGAAGCATGGCTGACGCTTGTGCACAGACGTCATTTAAAGGCAAACTGCAGAAAACGTTATACATACTGTGTGTGTATATATATGTGTATATATATATATATATGTATATTAGATGCGTTTGTGTTTTAAGCTGAAATAACATTTATATGTCTTTTCTAACCCTTTTGTTTCAATGGGTTGAGGCCAAGATGTGTTACTTTTAACACTTCAGTACAGATTTTCAGTGTGATCTAATTTCTTTCAAACGCACTGCACTCCCAGACGGAACGAATCATAGAGCAAGCAAACCTCCTCGATGGAATCCATCCCAACAGCTGCGTAAAGAGCTCCAAACTTTACAAATGCGCGTCAGTGGGCGGGTGTTTAGGATCTTTGCTCAAACCCAACTCGTCCCGTACGTGTCCTGACGAAGGGTCGTGGACCCTGAACGTTGACTCACTTTCCTTTCTCCATAGATGCTGCCCGACCCGCTGAGTTTTCCCAGCTCTCTCTTGTTTTTGTTTCGTCCGTACATGTGCCGTCTCAGACGTGCATTAATTAGCTGCACAGCAGGAAACTACAACAACTTGCACAACAGGAAAGAAAGCAGACACCATCTCAACCGTAGGAATGTGACCTCCTTTCAGGTGTATTGAGGTTCACTGGCCTACAAAGGCTGGAGATTTAAAAATAAATCTGCATCTCATGGTTTCACATTACGTAAATTGTTAAGTTTTAGCAAAAAATATGCATCCGTCTTAAGACAATCTGGGTAAGTAAATTTGTAGTCTTAGGGACGGGTTTGGAGGTAGGGTGAGCGCTGCTTCGCTTGAAGGCTTGCGTTTGCAGCTCAACTAACATTGTGTATTTCCTGTAGGCGTGGAAATGAACCACCACTCACCAGCTCACGAAGATCAGGGGGTGGAAGGCGTGGACTGGTGGACAGCACCGCGATAGAAAACTCTGACGAGGACGGACGAAATGCCGACTTCAACGGCACAAAGCCTCACGAGTAACAACCATTAGGAGCTCCACAGTATAAACGTGGGGGGAAATCCATGCACAAAAAAGGGTATGAATAAGTAGCTCTTTAACAAAGGTCACACACGGTATTAAACAAGACACAATCTCTTTCTATATGACTGTCCCCACAAACAAAACAATTCACACGCATGTAGCCAAAACTATATTTTATTTTTGCTATATATATTTGAAAAGTTTCTAAAAGAAGCCCGAGACTTTATAACATGGTTGATGTACCTTCAAAGTATAATACATTCGCATCGCCCTCAAAATAAGATGGGGGTTTTGCCTTATTCATTGGCACCCTCCTGAAGAGGCACATGGTTTTTTTTTCCTACAAAGATAAAATGGGCACCAAGCACATTACTGTACTATCTAGAATACATTCTGCCTTAGCAGACCCCAGCAACACTGGTCACAACGTTTTATATAAAGTGCTTTGTTTCAGCCACTTGAACTACTGGATTTAAAAGGAAAAAAAAAACGTGTTTGCAAGTAATATATTCGTAACATGCTCCTGAATGTTGTGCACAAAGTCTTTCCAGAGCTGGTTTTGAACCACTATCACAAATAAAGGGCCCCGTATCACAAACCCAAACCTTTGTGGATTCTTTACGTACTGCGGTCGTTTCTGTTAAGCTTGCACACTCCATGCAATATATTGACCAATACTGTTACAGAGAGCTCCGTATCCCGATTCATTTCACTTCTGACCATTGTAGTAATCGGAGGGGAGTTTTTTTCTTTTGTTTTGTTTTTAAATTCGTTCAGTTTCCTTTTGGCCAAGGACTCAGGAACATAATTGACTCATTCAACCGATCTTCATTTACACTGTGTGCTTCCTGTTCAATTCCCTCCTTTGCCTGGTTCTTTTCCACTTTTTCGCCATCTCAATTAAATTATAAGTATTGCATTTAATACAGTACCTTTATCTTCAGGAGGACATCTCTTAGCGCTTCACAGCATTGACTGTAATGCGTACTGACTATCTTATAAGAGAAAGTGGCAGCCAACTTGCAATGACCTACAAACAGCCGTGCGGGTGACCAATTTTATTTAGGGGATTGTTGGCCAGAAATCCCAGGAGAAACTCCCTTCTCTTTTCAAACAGTACCATTGGATCTGGAGCATCAGTCTGAACCAGCAGGTGGGACCTTGGTTTAACGTCTCAATCGAAGGGCGGAACCTCCAACCACACAGCACACCCCTGCACGGCAGTGCCAGCTTAGAATACCCAAGTTCAAGTCCCAACGTGAAGCTTGAACCGCCAACCAGCTGACTCGAGAGGCAGGAGTGCTGCTGACTGAGCCAGGCTGATATCTTTTCCTCTGAGTGAAAAACAACTCCAGAAGTGTGGGCGAAGAAAATATTGGAAGAATAGTTTCTTCCCCCATCACTAACCCCCTCCTTACAATTTTTTTTTTAAAAAAAGTAACATCCCAACCAAGCTTATAAAACGAAGCTAAAAACATTAGACAAACAAGTTGGTGACATGAGTTTTATTTGTTAGTAGGATACAAACTGGATTACATTGCAGGCAATGGTAGGGTTTTATGGTTTGGATATACAACATATGGGCAAAACAGACCGGCCGATACTTAGTACACATCCAGTCCATCAATGTTATTTTTGTAGAGTTTCCCCATCGTTGTCCCAATTTGTGAGTCTAGGTAAATTCAAATAGAAATCTCGACAGACTTACGAGAAATAGCAACACTGGGTCTAGCCCTCTCGCACAATCACACAAGGGCTATCTTGTTATTTTTCTTCCTCCTGTTGAAATAGCATCTTTGCCAATTGACTAGCTTTTTGACAATGCTGCACATGATGTATTATGTCTAGTTTTGGGTTTCGTCTCCAGGGCAGAAGTATTGACGGACATTCATACCATCTCCTCTACAATTCTTTCTTAAGAGAGAGCGAGAGAGACAGACAGAGACACGCACACAGACCAAGAGAGACACAGAGATAGAGAAAGCACACAATGTAACCTCTTAAAAATATGCACACCATGAAATGTCATTGATCCTAAACTGCCATTAAATTTCCACTCATTCAAGAAGCCCCACACACTGGTGTCAGAAAGGGAAAAATACTTGAATAAGATTTTTTTTTAAAAAATGGCAAAGGAGGATACAGCCATTCTCAGATATCTGCGACAGGTCAAAGCTTCTGTAAGGAACTCCCTGCCCCAAAGACTCCTACAATTCACATTTCAGCAAACAAGCCATAGACCCTAAGCTTTCTAATCTTCCCTTCACCTACTGTAACAGCATCTCTTCCTTCCAGCCTGAACAAGCCAAACAGGAACAAATCTTATCCAGCTCAACCTCAAGGTCAAACCTCTGACAACTAAAAAGAAGAAATCATTCACTTTCTGATGCTGGAACCAAAACTTTGATTGGTGGCTGGCAAGGATGACCTTTTGCTGGGTGGGACTAAAGCTGTTTTTTTTTTGAATGGTTCTTAGCAAACCAATCGCATCTCATTCCAGCATGGGACTGAACTTCCTGCTCCACAAGCAAAAGGCACTGTGATCATTAAGAGCCCCACACATCTAAGCAAAACATGCGATTTGTTGTCGAGAGTTGCCAGGCTGTGTAATGATATCATTCCCAAGGCTTCTCTGTATACATGACTGTTTGTGGGTCACTGCTGTGCCAATTGGCTACCGTGTTTTCCCCACAAAATATACAGTCAATTCGCTTCAGTTTATTCTGTGAAGCGCTTTGAGACAGACATTTCAAAGACGTGATAAGGCGCTATATATCAAATGCAAGGATTATTATTATTATTTTCCTACTGTACTCACGTGGTTAAGGTGCTTACCTCCAGTTGGTCAGAAACAATGCAATCATTTGTTTGGATTGACAGCCAAAGTAGCAGCAAGTTGTGGGTAATATTCGTAACAAAAAAGCAATGCATGTCATTTGAACAGTTTCCTCCTTTATTTCCCATTCCCAGCCACAGGATATTTACCAACAGCATCAAATGTGCCAAATGCAAATTGGGATCAACAGACAATGGGGGTCAAAGAAGATCAACTTCTGACATACCCGAATATTCAATAGCCATTCAGGTTTACGCGAAAATACTTTTTTCTCTATATTTGTTAAAAAAATGTGCCAGTGACTAATGTTAACATTTTAAGTGCCAATTAGTGACGTCAATAACTTAGATCTAATAATCTTTTTTAAAAAAAGAACCTATATATATAAGAGCTCAAGCTACCGGAGCTAATACGGGAATTACTGTACAACAATTATGCAAGAAAATTTGTACAAATTACTCTTTATACAGGTTGGATTTCATTTGGCCTTTCCACATGTTCCACTATTCCCTCACGGTAGCATGCTTAAATTAAGGAAGTTACCGTAAAATGATAATTGAAACAGAGGTCAATAGAAAGACTCAAACACTGTCGATTTGGGGCCTTTGAATATGAGTTTCAGTCCACTTGCATCGATGCTAAGTACAATACAGTACTGCAATGAAACAGGCCAAACCCCTTCAATATGAAAGATCCATCTTATTTCACTTCAACCTCCACTGAAAATAAGGAACAACGAAAATCAAACTCTTCATTTACTAACCTCGCAACTGGCACCTAAATAGCTCGGTTACAAAAATATCCATGTAAAAAACACTGTAAGAAAACAAACAAACAAACAAAAATGAACGCGCTCAAATGGACAAGGCGCTCAAAGTAAGATTTTGACCACTCCCTGGGGAGACACTGTGGCTTGCGTGCTGACTTTTGGAGTGTGTGTTGCGAATTCCAGCCGTTTGTTTAACCTGAAAATACAATCACTCCGCGTGAGTAACAATACATTCAACTCGCTTCAATGCTCAGCCATTTAAGAGACGATGTGGACTTCAGCACCAACAAGACCAAAACATTCATTGTGCTGTTGCAGCACAGCACGTTAGCGTAAGCTGCTGAGCTGCATCATAGCAAGTTCCCCATCCTGCCTGGACTATTGGGTAAGGGTCGAGGGGAAAGGGAAGTGGGAAAATGGCAGAAAGAGTAAGGCATCCTGACAGAGGGCACAAGGCAAAAAAAAGGCAATCCACCTTCATGCAGTGCAATATTTCATCCCGTGTACTAGATAAGTTATGGATTAATCTAATAAAATAAACCAGCATTGTTAAACTCATTTCTTTAGAAGCCTTTTTTCTTTAGAGGCTAAATTAGTTGATTTATAACATAAAGTCCTGAACATCCATTGCACACAATCCTGGGATTGCTCACACAGTGAAAGTCTGAAGTCAAGAGACTTGATCAACATCAGTTTCTTTCTGATAGAAACACCAACTGACTTTTCTAAGCACGAAACATGGCCATGTTTAGCTGCAATTCACTGTAACCTACCGACATAAACCAGGTACTATTTTGAATATTCCCTCCCCTTCAGCATTTTCCAGGACTCTTTTAGAGAAACTCCAAGGAGCAGAGAGCTATTAAGGCAAGTCCAAAAGACTACTGTGTATTTTGAAGCTGGGGAGAAGAGGATGCTGGTTTGCAAATATTCACCATGTAAGTTTCCCTGTGGATAATGGTCATTTGGGAGAGGTCCTGAGATTCTGTTTCTTTTGAAATGAGGAACCTTTCTCTCTCTCACTCTTCTTTCCACCTCTCCTCCCCCTGAAAAATCTCAGAAAAGTTTCAGAGCTAGGGAACCAACTTCAAGCTGTCCATGCAATCCATTAATCAACGCCTGATAGTTTGTTGAAACAATGGTGTTACCAACCCTTTGTCGTACTGGGTTACACCGACTTTGTGCAACCGGTTGTCATTGTTATCCTTCATTGTACTGTTCCCAAATTGAGCGGACGGCCGGGTTGGAGATTGATCCCAGACAAAATTCCGACAGGATGCAAGCTTGGATTCCAGCGCCTGAAACAAAAGCCACACAACGATCACATAAACCATCACTTCAAAAGCAAATTCCCCTCCACCATCGTCGTCTGAGTGGCCAGAGTCCGTCCGAGTCTTGCCATCAGACGAGAAATGCTGCCTTACTTACATTTAGGTACGGTCTTCCTCATTCTTTCCATGCGAGCTATCCTCCGCAAGCAGTCTCTCATCTACCAACAGTGCCTTGGATTATAGCCAATGTAGCCCGAGAGAGATTGAGCTCATCTCCCTCCCCGCCCCCGCCACTCAAAACCTAGTAGAATTATTGTTCTTTTATATAAAATCAACTTAAAAAGGGCGAATCGATGCACCAGGGTTTTCCAGGCCCGATTGCTATCTGACAACCCCTGCTTGAAAATCGTGAAAATGTTGAAATAAGTTTGATCACTGCGGTCAAATAGAGTGTTGGCAACTGGCTGACTGCTCACACTCCAAGAACAGCAACTTGGATAACAGTCAGTGCCTATGGAAGCTTTATCCCAACAGGAGTCTGTACATATCATGTAACATGGGAAAAGGAGAAGAACATAAAAGTGTGTTTAATGTATCAGCCCTCCCCCACCCTTTCTGAAATATCATCATTGGCACAAAACTGCAGGTTAAATTAAATAATGCAGGATGTAATGTTGGATTGGCGTTATGGATTTATAATGGTCACAGAGGATGTCAAAACTGTCTTTTTGGAAGTTTACCACCTTCCGGGTTTCATGGCCATTTGTGAGACATTGCTGTGGTGCGAGTTGGTTGTCAAGTCGCCCTACAAACACAGTCACTCCACGCTGCAGTAAATCCCGTGAAGCGCTTTGAGACATCCCCGATGTGAAAGGAGCTATACCAAATCCAAGGATTAATTATTATTCTAGACACCACCTTTTGGGAAATTAATACAGCTGGCACGGTCCATGATAGAACAAAATAAAACTAGTCTGTGGAAGAGATTGGGCTTGCTGCACGCAGTAGATGCTTGTAGAGGTGAGGAGTTGCCACCTGGCAACAGCTTGCCTTCAGGGAATGCTATTTGAAGAAAATAATAGAAAAATAATTTGCTGTCACTGCATCATTCCTCGACTCGGAAGGAGCAGTAAATATGTGAGACAATGGATTACACAAGATCCCATCATCGAGGGCAAGCCTGGAAAACTGGGAGGTGAAAGTAAGTCACTTGCACAGAACAATGGAGAATTTTCATTGCAGTATATTGCAGTAAGCAATTTAACATTCTTCCTACGTTCATAGCGTTTCCGTATGACAAGCCTTTACCTCCCTCTCCCCGCCCAAGCGCATGCTCATGGCGTTTGGACAAAGAATTATTTTCTTCCAGTTTTTGTGCCCTCGTAGCTGCCCTCGCCTGCGTGCGATTCACAATCCCCAACCACAAGCCATTAGTGCGAGTGTTTATTATTTCAAGACCGATCCCTTTGAGCCACCAAATCCGAGGGCACTTTTGTGATGAGCAACACATTAGTGAACAGCCAAACAGTTAAATAGTGCAGTTTATTTCTCCAGTCACATAACTGCCTCCATAAATACACAATAAAGATTACAAACAATATATCGGAACACAAGGTTCTCAAAGCCAGGTGTAGACTTCAGTGCCAATAGATCCTTTAGGTCCAGTTCACAGCGACTAGGATAACAAGGTCAACTGATCACGGCTCTACAGTTGCAGTATCTCTTTAAAAAATAGTTCTCAAAATCGTTAACTTTCCAAATTCAGATAACGGTACAGACTTCAGTAGAAAAAAAATTGACACACTTTTTAAGTGCATAAGAGTAACTTTGAAAAGAGATACTCTGTAGATGGACACCATTTCAAAACTACAGTAATTGTCCAGCCAAAGAGCTTAACTTAACAAAACGTTAGCTAAGCAACAAGAACGCTCCATAAGCTGCAATTGCCACACTGAACCTCAGGCTCGGGAAGTGAAGAAGCAGGCAGACAGCATCAGAGTATTACATCAGTTTAGAATCCCAATTCTATACCAGTAAACAGACTACTTGCACTTTGTATTGCTGAAATCCCCTGCTCTAGCCAGCAGTGGGCTCGCCTGACAAACCCAAGTCTGATAGCCCCAACTCCCTCTTCGATGTAAAACTAAAATGCCACCATCTCTTCCCAATGGTAATGCCACAAGGCATGTCATGTTGGCAGTGGATTTCTTTCATGGGATTAGACGGGTTGCAAATGGCCTGTTTATCCCAGTAAGATTACAAACAACTCAACGGTGGGAGCAGAAATGAGAAGCAAATTCCTCCAGAAATCCAGGCACTTGCTTCTTTAAAACCATCCCGAACATCTACTTTTGAGTCAACTGAAGGTCAACGAGACCCTCTCGTGGGAGGATCTCAGTCTGACAGCTTCAAATGACATCTGTGCTCCGCCCAACAGTACCACTGCCCACCAAGCTGCCAATGCACAATACATAAAAATAGCTGGAATGGTTTGTCTTTTTTAAAAAATGTGCAGATCGGCTCTGCCAACTTATTTTCACTCTAAGGTAAGAAGTACAGATTGAGGAACTCGGTGGGACAACGCACAACCAGGTTCTTCCGTGGAGCTGATTGGCATTCGGGAAACACGGTGCAGCTACACGGAATACAGATGGATGCACAGAATAGCAGAGCGTGGGACAAACAAAAAGAAAACAGAATCTCAACCAGGCAGAGTACAGAAACGCTCCAACTTGCACCTTGTTTACACTGCAGGAAGGAAGGTCAAGGTGCAGAAGTGGTTCTGAAACAGCCTGAAGTTGACAAAGTGCAGGGGTGCTGCCTGCTCACAGGATCAGGGGACGCAATTCTAAGGCAAGGTGACAACATGAACATTGTTGTAGGAATTCCTGCACCCACAGTGACTTCCAGATCGCAAGCTCCCCTAAGCCCCCCTCCCCAACCCCAGGCTGCAAACACATTTCTGCAGGATTTCTGGGGAGGGTTGGATGTGAACTGGAAATCTCTGCAGGTTTGGAAGCCCCCATATAGGCAGGAATGTGGAAACAACACAGCAGGTCAGCCAGATGCCAGATAAAAGTGACAGCCAGTGCATATGGTGACACATGGGTGTGACTGCCTCCGGGATGAAGAGCCACCGGTAGTGCACGTGCCTTGAGAGCAACAGCGTCACCTTGTTCAGATTGCAGAGCCCCTGCCATCAGCAGAGCTGCAACGTCAATGGGGCATTAACAGCTACTGTTGACTTAATGGCCCAGGCAAAAGACTCTGAATTGGAAATAATTGCACATTTAAGTAACTCAAAGAGTTCCAAGGATCCACCTTCTGGCTAACGCAATACAACAGATCGATCAAGTCAGGTCAGAGCAAGTCAGTCAAATGCACGTAGTGTTACTTATAATTTTTTTTAAAAAAGAAAAGTAGTGCAGTAGTGCAAACAATTTAGGACAAGAAACTTTTTGCACTTTAAAATGCAAGTGATTAGTGCTCGACGAAAGCAGTAGAGATTCTTATAAAAATAACATTTCAGACCAGTATTGGTTCAGTACCACTTTCACGGTGGAAGGCGTGAGTAAAAAAAACAAGAAAAAAAAAACAGGGGGTAAAAGACTTGCGAACACTTCTATTAAAACCGTGCTTCTCAAATCAGAGAGGTGAAGTATTGCTACAGCCAAGCCATAGGAACAGTATAAACAGTCTCTCCCACAGTGGGAGCGCAACCCATGCCTTAGTTTTTGTACAATTCAATCATAAATCTGTTGAGGTCGGAGAGCATGTCGAGGGGACTTTGGAAATCACAGAAGACGGTGTTTAAAAAGGTCGCAATTCTTACCCCAACTTTCCTAAGCAAGTCTCCTACTATGTTAAGTGCAGATATTCTGGCTGACGGAGTTAGAGGAGTGCTGTTGTAGCCTTCGGGAATACCTTGACAAAAAAAAGAAAGGTTTATTAATAGACACACGTGATGGTTTGGAAAACAACATTAAAACACGAACTGGTATGAATCAAAAAGTAAGTTCCTGGTAATGAATTTTCTAGTACACAGGGAAACCAAGATTGGGACCAGCGAGTAGATGAACTGTGACAAACCCAGGTTTTATTTCCAATCAGTATGGATACCTGACCCAAAGATAACTTGCAGGGGGGGGGGGGGGGGGGTAAAACTGGTCAATGCCCAAGATCAGGGAGAGGAAAATGATCAAATTTCTTTCTTTCAAGGCCACTGGGGTTAGGCGCTCAAGGGCAATATGTGAAACCTGTGGAACCATAGCCAAAAGGTCCTCAAGGAGCGACAAATAAACAAGGAGACAAAAATAAATGTAAGATTCTTCTCAACTTAAATTTAAGTGTAAAATTGGGTGTCTGTACTTACTTTTTGTAAGCAATCCAGGTGTGGCGAACACATTGTTGGGCCTTTTACACGTCAGTGGTGTTGCAGGTGTTGTTACAGATGTTTGTGTGGCTGGGTCAATCTTCTCAGTCTCCAGCAAGGCAATTGCAGGTTTCCTGATAGGCTCCTGTTTCTGTTGCACTGCCAGCTCTTGTCTCAGATCTAGCAGTAAGAGACGAGAGTTTCAATGTACCCTCGAAGCAATGTTGGTGAATTTAACAGAAATATTCCTTACAGTGAATTTGTTTTTTCCTTTTTTTAAAAAATAAACTAACCTCTCGCTTCATCTTTTAGCCTTTGTACTGAAACCAACAGTGTCTCTTTCTCGTCGAGTTCACTCTCCAGGAACGCATTCCTCTCAATCGCCTGGTTCATACGCTGTTCGAAATCATCCAGCGACATAATAGTCGCTCTGTTGCAGGAAGACAAAAAAGGAGGGCGAATAGATTCAAAGGGCATTGAGGATATACATCACGGCAGTCACAAAGAGACTTTCACCAGATTAAATAACGAGTCCAAAGAACTCGGAACTGAGATCCAAATCACTCTGAATTATGGTTTATAATTAATCCCCTCACAGTTCCTGCCAAATCTTTCTAGCCAGTTTTAGACCTTTGTCGTGGTTTTATTGTGTGTAAGAGAGAGAGAGAGAGAGAGTGAGTTTGGCACGTTCTCAGTTCACGCATTTGGAGCTCCTTTCTCCAACTTTAAAATCTCCAAAGGATACAAAATCCCACCACCCTCCCCACCCCCCAAAGAAATGTTTGTCGATTCAACTAAACCATTAATTGAATGAATGGGGCAGAGGAGTGAGCCAGAGTGGTAGAGGGAGGGATTTGAGACGAGGTGGGATACCGCTGGGTGTAATCGAGTGCTGCGTTTCGCCCACAAAATACACAGTCCATCCACTTTACAATTTATTCTGTCAAGTGCTTCGAGATTTTTCAACGACGTGATAAAATGCTATGTCAAATGCAAGATTTATTATGATTACCATATGCAAGGATCATCATTATAAACTCACTGTAGCCCTTTACCTTTTTGCCCGCTCCAGGTCATCATTTGCCTGCTCCAGCTCTCGAATATACTTCTGCAGTTGATCTTTGATAGCTGTGGTTTGAGTGAGTTCATCCTGCAGCATTGTGGTCCGCTTGTAATCCTCCGAATGAAGTGCTTCGAACTTCTCCTGAAATTAAGTGCAAGATTTAGAAATGGAACGGAAATCATCGCACAACACAGAAGCCAGAGCACAGCTTAACACAACAAATAAGCAGTCATTCCTGCTCTTCCCCAGGACCCAAATCCAATGCAACACACGTTATATTTCAAACTAAAATTTACAGTGCAACATTTTAAGCAGTATGCACAAAAAAAGGTACTTTAAATGTTAGAAAGCAAGCCATGTATAAATATGGAGAAGAATAGCCATTCCAGGCAACGTGAGGGAAAGCCCTATGTCTGGGTGGGTAATGGTCTGGCACTAACACACGTGGGAATATATTAAATAATCCCCGCAATTGATATTGGACCTTATCACATTGTCAAGTTGTTTTAAAGCACTTCACAGGATTTTACTGATGGGCATTCAGTAGAATTGGCCCAGAATGCGTTTTTTCTACCATCACAGATTGCTCTCAATTTCTCTTAAAGTTTAGACCAAAGGTTTAAGAAAATTGCCCTGTGCAGCTACTCCTGATAACTTTCCTCAAATGTTCTGCATGAAAAGCCTCTCCATTGTCAGGGCCCTGTGGTTAATGAGGCAGCACATAATGAAAGTCGCTCTTTTCAAGAAAGCCCTTTTGGTTATAGCCGATTCAGAAGCAGTCAGTCAGACAGTTCACTGGACTTATACAGGCCTAACTTCTCCTAAATAGCTGCTGATTGCCACAGACAGTCTCCCTTCATCTGCTTCCAAGCACCAAGTACCAGCCAACTTACAGAAAGCAAACTCCTTTAGCACATTTCAAAGGATTGGAATAGAAACAGAAAAAGGTGGAAGCCTCAATAAGGCCGGCACTGATCACTAAAAGAACATCAATCTACAACATGGATCAGAACTAACAGAAGCAGAGAGAGCGCTACTATTGGCCTTGAAGTGACTCGAACTTATGTATGGGTCGCAAGGCTGTGATGCCTTCCGTAGCCAAATAGGTAGCCGCGATTCACTCTCCAAGATTACAAAACCAAATTCCTGTTTAAAACTATTTCAACATAAAGAAAGAAGACACTTAATATTAGATTAGATAAAGCACCACTGGTAGCATCAGCAGGCCGAAAGAATCAGCAATAAAATAAGGACATGTGTTACACAAACAGCTTTGGTATCTTAAACCCCTTAGCTATTTTGTGAAAACAATTTGTTTGCCTGCAACGACCTCTCACACCAGTACAGCCATTCTTTGTGTGCAAGACTCAGTTGATTGTTCAACTCGGAGGCTGAGAACATCTTTTTTTAAAAAGCTGTTATTTTGTTCCGGACCAAAAATAAAACCCTATGATATTCTCAGTGCCTTCCATCACCGTCACGTGCCATCTACCACGGTGGCCTCAAACGAACCAAAAGATCCGTTCCGCCTAAAGTCTTAACTAAACCTCGGCAAGTCTAAAAGTAGAACAAAAAAATTCAGTTATTCCTGAAAGGTCACCCCATACTTAACAGCAGCGTGAAAATTGCCCCAGAAACATTGTTCCAGTATTCGGTTTCAAAATAGCCTTTCCAGCTTCTAATCCTTGCATTTGATAATCAAGCTTTTCTACTCGATTTGGTTCCAACCAAAGATCTTATCCGTCACTTCCACTTAAAACTGATTGGAAACGTTCCATTTCTTCATATCACACCCCCCCCACCACCATATGATCAGCACAAACAAGCACCCAGCTGACTGTCCAGCTGATTCTAGCATCAATGAACTCCCTGTTTCTTCGCCACTTGTTTGCATTGGGGCAACAGAATTAATAATGTCTCTGTGCCCTGCTTTAGAAAGGGATGCATTCACTTCTTCCAACGCCAACTTGTTCACCATAACCTGAGAACAGCAGTTGAGAATTTATGACAACCTCAACCGTGCATAAAGAGATACACTTCCTATAAAAACAATTCCAAGCGGTTGCCGTTGGCATATTGTGTTCTGTGTAACAAGGTACAGTTGTGACTTTTGAAGCTTTTTATTCGCCCACAAAATACAGTCAATTCACTTTATAGTATATTCTGTGAAGCGCTTTGAGACGTCTTGAAGACGTGATAGGGAGCTATATCAAATGCAAGGATTATTATTATTAATTCAATGATAAACTCGGGATATGAGAAAATCAAAGGGCACCGACTGGGGCTGGAGCCTATTATTCTTTCAAATGTCATTTTGCTTTATCCGGTCGGCACAAAGGAATAATCAAAGTGCTTAATTGTGAAACAAAATAAATCTGATAACGTTTACGGTGATAGTTGCAGGTCAGCGCCATTCAGAAGGTCTGACCTCCCTTCGCCACTGTTAACTACCTGAACTATTGCCAGATCAGCACCAGCACTAACTGGACCGAACACAGAGGTCGGATCTCATGCCACTGCTCGAATGGCAGTCAGCCAGTGCACACTAACTACAAGCCATGCAATCCAAATTAGATACATTGCTCCTACTGCCAATTCTCTCTTTAACCACCCGCCCAGTGAAAAGATTTCAAGCGCCAAATGGCCTTGGGAAACTCAACGGTCAACTTTGTTTTTCTTATATAAAGGTAATCTAAGCTAACAAGCAGCGAGACCGTTCTACTGAATTAGAACACGTGCATTTGAGCACACACGGCGCCTAAATGATGGCACTGAACCCGCATAAATGGGAGCGATGACACACATGGCACTGACTAATTTGCGGAGGTATGAAACAGCATTTTTCAGGGTTATTTGGAAATTGAATATATAGCTACATCAGCACAAGCACTACAAAACCACTCCCGCAGAATCACATTCCTCAGGCACAGATATAAATAACCAATCACTAGTTTCGTTGATGTGAAACAAAACTGCACACCGTGATCTGAAGGACTAAAAGGGCAAGATGGTGCAGTGCAGCATTGCAGTCCAGGTTTGGATCTAGTGTAAAATGAAGAGACAAAACAAAGGTCTCCTCTTTCTGCTGCGAGAGGTGTTTGGACATGATCTACCCATTTCCCAGCAAGTAGCAGAAGCCACAAAAACTAACCCAACCCAGATTTTGGCACACAAACCTGCATTTATATAGCACCCTTCACAAAGGAAAATGTCTGAGCATTTTATTGTAACGGGGTCAGAGTCGAGAGGGGAGGATGGGGCCAAAGGGAGGTCAAAGAGGTAGTTTTTTTTTAACTAATAAAGGCACATTGGTTATGATAGTCAAAGTCGCTAGAATGACCCACACGAAAAGCAGAAACATTTACACTGTAGGGATGATCGAGATTGGGATTCAAGTCACTGATAGCCTCATGTGTGTGGCAGTGCATCCAAAAAGCATTGCTGCTGGTCACAAATGCAGCGGGAGAGTCTTTCACATATATATGTATGGAGTACTTGACAATAACTGTCATATAATAACATCAGTCACCTGGGTCAAATATTCCCTTACAAAATTGTCAGTACATTTCTTAGTACATTCTTTGAGATGCCCTCCCATGAAACATGCCATATCAAATATAAGGATTATTATATAATTCTTAATTATAATGCCTCAGGCCACATGTTATAGCAAAGCTCGGGAAAATGCTCAGGGACATTAGGCAGTGGTTGACATCACTTTGTGTGCTTCGGCTTTAGCTAAAATAAAACGATTTGTAGGCAGTCAGGTCACAGTCAACATCACTCACTGCACGCGCACACAGACCATGTCCACATGTTCAGGAAGTGCCACTGTCATTACTTCCTCCACTGAGCAATGCCAGTAGTGGTTCCTGCACAGGGATGTCCCTATAATTACCAGCCTCCTGTTGCTGCTCGCGAGTTTCCTACTGACTGAAAGGAGTTGACCCACTTGGAAGATTCTTTCTCCTACCCCCACCCCACCGCAAAACAACAAATCAGTAGAAAATAGTAGAGAAGACCATTTTTGTAAATAAAAGACAGACTTCACATCAGTAGCAATTATAAGCATTAAAAGAAATATCTTCAAACGCAGCTTTCCTTACACCAACACAGGCTGAGCATTAGCTGCGCCTGCACGTTACACTCCCAACGCCAAAAATAGTATAATTGCTGGAGGGAAGACGAGAGGGATCCTGTCCAAGGAGTTGCTTGACAGAGACACTTTTGCATTATCATCAATAATACCCCTCACCTTTACAGCATTAAAGGAGTGCAACAAAAACACTCCCTTCTACAATTACACAAAGGGGCAACGTTTTGCATGTCCAACAAACGTACCTTGAATAACTCGAGTTCGCTACGGATCCGCTGGTTGTCGGACAATAGGTCCCGGTTTCTACTTTCAGCGTGCTCTAACTGAGTCTCCAGTTCAGCTTCCAGTTCCCGACTTCCTTCCTGAAACTCAATTAGCTCTTCCCGAGCCTCTTGTGCACTGAAGAAAACAGGACAAATAGTTTTTTTTATTTTAAATATTCCAAAGATTTTAGGTCAAAAGGTTTCCCCCCAATGCAGCCCTCGTCTATTCAAACACACACACACTTACCATTGTTTGTACTTCAGTGCAAATTCCTTCCAGTAACCAATTTCTTCTGCCACTGAATTAAATGTTTGATTTTCCAATTCATCCATTGCGAAACCTCCCTAGAGTCAGCATTCAAGGATAAAATGAGAAATTAATGCACACTATTATGAGGGGTAAAAGTAAACGTATTCTGTGAACATCATTCTTTTGACATGACAACCTCACTTAGCCAGGCAAACGTTCAGCTATCCCAGTCACCAGACAAGTAACTGTTGGCAAGCAACTTACAGTGACGTTAGTGTCATCAGCAACAGAAAATAGCAACACTGACGGCTATTTCTGTTCATTTATTTTTAATAAAATGAATTCTGTTTAGTTTTCTGGCAATAAATCTTGCCCAAAGCCTATTTCTCTTGAAAATAAGAACGCAGCACAAGATGACTGAAGGAGCTTTGAAAAGCTGTATGTACCACACAGTTGACAACACTGAAACCGCAAGCGCAAAGCTTCATGAAATTGTGAATAGCCTGAAAGTAGTTACAAAGTTTTTTGTAAACAAGTATTTCAGACGACTTGTTTTTAAAAGGCGGCCTCAATGCTTCTTAAAAAATGTTTTAAGAAAAATGCATTATTGCTTTTGTTTAGTTTATTATGCAGATTCAGACAGTAAATCCACATCATAAAGGAATATTTCTCTCCCACACTTCATTCTGTACTTCGGGACAACCCAACATCAGAACCTCACCCATCATTTGGCTTACGTGAAAAACATACCATACACTCCTGAAATATGTACTTCAGAAGTGAATGAATTAAGCAATAAGGAGAAAAGGAATAGCGGGCAATCTGACAAAATGGAGGAACAGACTCAAAAAGCTAAATGGCTTACACACTTACAACGCAGCCAAGATTCACCTTAAAAATGCACCACTGATGTACTGTAAGAACAGCACATGATGGGCCTTCATGACTCAAATATCAAATTCATGTAAAGTTGCAGAACAAGACTGGAGAGAATAGGAGCAGAAGACTATGAAAGTCCTTAAAGGATTAATGAGTTCTGAGTAAACTAAAATTGGGGAAGTTGATAAACCCATGATTAAAACTGTTTTCAAGTTGGGACCTTATGATCTGGACCTTATGATATGACGGGGGGGGGGGGGGGGGAATCAAGTGCTTTTAAAATAATTGCAAACAAGTTTTGCAACAGCTTTTACGGAAAATTGAGACAATGGTGTGAACAGGTTCAGAAAAATTGCTTAAAATGAGTACAGCAAATTCCTCGACAAAATTACAATGGATTCATTTCAGTGTCTCATTCAGGGGTCAGCTGACACAGCTCACAATTAATCCTTCAGTGTCTTCAAGCAATTATAACATATTTAGAATGTATTATAATTATAACAGAGCAATTATAACAGATTGCACCAGGAAGAGTTTATAAATTGCTTTAGAATGCTTTACAACTTCCCCCAAAACTCCCTGAGTGGATCAAGAACGTTACACAGCAATTCTGTACCAAACTCACTTATTCGGGTAAAACTGTTGAATCTTTTTCAGTGAAAATCACATGAAAATTGTTGCTAATACCTTACACTGGTGCTTGATAAAACATCAGCTGTAACTTTGAAGCTACAGTTAGAATTTCACAACATATCACCTCCACCTCCACTTGATCCAAGGAAATCATCGGGATTCGAGGGTGGGCAGTGTCGGGACACGTTCGACAAAATTACTCTCCAACCACAGTGATTTGAGATGAAAATCAAAGCAATTTGACAAGTGACCGGTACGTTTGGCCCGCCATCCCCAAACCTTCATTTGATTAGCCCACAGATTTGCTGAACTTACGCTATTGTGCACTCCCTTTTAACACTGATTTATCTGGAACTCCACCCCAGAGCCCCCCCTCCCACCCCAATACATTTTTTAAGCCCACCTCAAGACTCATCTCTGTATATAATAAGGGTAAGATCGCGATATCACTTTATCAAGGAATTGTATACTGTGTCTGGTCCAATTTGATGGCAATACAGTTGGTTCAAACCCTCTGTAAATACATTGCGTAAACACAGTACACTGCCGTTAGAATCATATTACCAGACGTCAGAGAAATTAAGCGTTTCCAACTCCAATGGCTGATAAACAAGGCTGAAACATCAATGGGAAACAGTTCTGATTCACTGGTTTAAAAAAAAACGCCGTGATGATAATAATCCTTTCATTTGATATAGAGCCTTGTCAGGTCATTGAGACGTCTCAAAACGCTTCGCAGAATAGATTGTAAAGTGGATTCCCTGTGTATTTTGTGACGTCAACCGCTTGGACAACTCGAGTTAGAAACTGACCGGGATCATAACGGTGTGGTCACAAGGCAGTCAAACCTGGTCCCAACCAACACTTGCGCTCTGCATCACAGTAATATTTAGCAAACTCATTGCAATGGTCTCCAGTCTCGATAGAACTGACCTGACAACTCTTGCGGCAGAGAGATTTGCTGTTTAACCCCAGGCCACCGAAGCCAAACCGGTAAGAGAAACCTTGTGCAAACTGCAACACGTTCGACCCAAGTTGTTTTTTTTTTAAAAAAAAATAAAAACCCCAAAGCAAACCGGGTTGAAGGACCACATCGATTCGATTGAAAATAAAAGCTCGGGCAAGAAGACGTGGCCTTGAGATTCTTTTCAAGGGGAGTTCAAAACTGAGACAGAGCGAATGACTCTATTGTTCGTCATCCAGTTATTTCCACTGGGAAAAAAAAATCTTAAAATCGAAACATTTTTCTTTTAAACACACACACATATCTATGTATATATATATATATGAGAATAAAAATACTGGTTTTAAACTTCTGGGCTTTTTTTTTTGCACCCAACCCCACCTTCCTTCATTAACAATGATTTGAATGGGGGGGTTTGGGGGGTGTTTTGGGGGGGTTTTGGGGGGGGGGGGTTGAGAGGGGGGAAGGTACTGACTCGATATTAAGATCTGACACGTGGCAAAATCTTGGGACTTGGTTTACATGAGTCTTAGCAGTAAACAGGGAAGGAAGTCAGTCGTTTGGCTGGAAAGGGTTTTATAGGCAGCAGTTACAGGCTGAGCCATCAGGGAGCGAGTGTCCCCCCTCTCCCCCTCCTCACTGGGACTCACTGGCAATTGGGAGCATTTCCCCATCAACAACAACAACAAAATGACACAGTTCCCCCGATACAGTAACAGGACGGTACTTGCCGAGTGGGCGAGAGACTCCATCCCGTCTGTCTGTCTGTCTGTCTCTGTCTGTGTCTGTGTGAGTTTTGCTACAAAACAATGAAACCAAACCGACCACAGGAGGGACGGGAAGGGAGGGAGACGTCCGACTGTCTGTGTCTGTCTGTCTGTCTGTGGGCCGCCGCTTGGTTACAGAAGGCAAGGATCCCCTGCTCGCTCTGGCCGGCTCTCTGGCTCTCCCTGGCTCTCTCCCCCCCTGGCCGGCTCTCTGGCTGTCTCCCCCCCCCCCCCGGCTGTCTCTCCCCCCCCCCCCGCTGTCTGGCTGGCTCTCTCTCTCTGGCTGTCTGGCTGGGGATGGCTCTCTCCCCTTGGCTGTCTCTCTCTCTCTCTCTGGCTCTCTCTCTCTCTCTCTGGCTCTCTCTCTGGCTGTCTGGCTCTCTCTCTCTCTCTCTGTCGCTCTCTCTGGCTCTCTCTCTCTCCCCCTGGCTCTCTCTGGCTGTCTGGCTCTCTCTCTCTCTCTGGCTCTCTCTCTCTCCCCCTGGCTCTCTCTGGCTGTCTGGCTCTCTGTCTCTCTCTCTGGCTGTCTGGCTCTCTGTCTCTCTCTCTGGCTGTCTGGCTCTCTGTCTCTCTCTCTGGCTGTCTGGCTCTCTCTCTCTCTCTCTGTCGCTCTCTCGCTCTCTCTGGCTCTCTCTCTCCCCCTGGCTGTCTGGCTCTCTCTCTCTCTCTCTCTGGCTCTCTCTCTCTCTCTCTGGCTGTCTGGCTCTCTCTCTCTGGCTCTCTCTCTCTGGCTGTCTGGCTCTCTCTCTCTCTCTGTCTCTCTCTCTCTCTCTCTCTCTGGCTGTCTGGCTCTCTCTCTCTGTCTCTCTCTCTGGCTGACTCTCTCTCTGGCTGGGGTTGGGTCCGGGCGGTTCCGATCTCTTTAAATCCAAACCACCACAACTCTCGGCTGCGATTGGTCCACCACCAATGTAACCAATCGCGCCGCGCCTGACGTCACCACCGCCTCCAAACACTGAACACGTCACACACTAAACCCCTCCCCCACACAACACACTGAACCCCCACCCCCCCACCCTCATACACACAGTACATACACACTAACCCCCAATACATACACAGTACATACACACTAACCCCCAATACATACACAGTACATACACACTAACCCCCAATACATACACAGTACATACACACTAACCCCCAATACATACACACAGTACATACACACTAACCCCCTCCTATACACACACAGTATATACACACTAACCCCCACCCCCATACATACACAGTATATACACACTAACCCCCCATACATACAGTATATACACATTAACCCCCCTTATACATACATAGTATATGCACACTAACCCCCTCCGAAACACACACACAGTATATACACAATACCACCCCCACCCCCAGTATATACACAATACCACCACCCCCACCCCCCACACCCACACACAGTATATACACACTGAACACACACACGTATACTTACTGGGCTCAGCCCACACTGACTGTGCTCACTCATTGCCAATGACTCAAAGTCACTGGCTGCTGACTCACTACACGTCATGCCAATGTTTTCCTATTCCAGGAACTCTCGGATTGTTTCCCTCCGATTTGAGATCGACTGCACTTCCTTTAGTATCTTTGAATTTGTTTTCATCTACCAGCTAACTGGCAAGCGTGAACCCAGCTCTCTACTCAAGAGTCCCCAAACTAAATTACTATTCTACGTATGGCTTCCATTTGTCTGTTGTGAAATGCGCACTCTCTTCTCAAAGAGATGTATCCTGCTTCCCCAATCCCGGAAAGTTTAGGCACACATTGGAAAGAGTCAAGGCTCGGGGACCTAAACCAGGCATTGGGGTACTGCTGGTACTGGAAGACTGAGTCAACTGCCTTAGAAGGTCAACTCTGCTGATTTTCCGTTGTTAAGCATGTTATCTTGTGAGTCACCTGAGCCCGAGACCCATTCACCTACAAAACACACAGTATCTACATTTTACAACATATTCCTGTGAAGTGCTTTGAGATAACCTCCCGACTTGAAACGCGCTATTTTATATGTAAGGATTACTAGGATTATCTTTCTGAGTCAGTTTCTCAGATTGGAGCCTTGCTTCCAGGAGGCGTGACCATGAGTCAGTCGCACCCAACATCCAGCAGATGGATTTGCCACTATGAATTCCCATTCAAACCTTTATTGAATACTAGTTAGGGTGTCCCCATGTATTTTTATCTTAACAGTATTTATTGCAACTTCATGCGAGTCCCACCCAGTGCACCAAGCAAGACATTTGCTGATGTACAGCACTGTACATTAGCATTATTTATTACAAGTATGCATAATAATAATCCTTGCATTTGATATAGCGCTTTTCACATCTTCTAGATGTCTCAAAGCGCTTCACAGAATACACTGTGAAGTGAATTGACTGTATATTTGTGGGCGAAACACAGCAGCCAATTGCAATATTATCAGACATGTAGAATAAGGAAACCTGCCCAAGGTTTCGCCCTGCCGGGAATCAAACCCAGGTCTCCCATTTACTCTAACCACTGAACTAAAGGACTCCACAGGAACAGTGCCTTATTGTATCTCAAGAGAAAACTATACAAACTGCAAGAAAACAGGTTAATGGCTCATGAGTTATCTAATCAAAGAGAATAGAGTAACAGGTGCCATCTAAACATAAGTGTGTGCTACATCTGGAATATGGATGAATCGGAGACATTCACACCTATGATTAAATGCTTGCCTAAGAGATGCATTCCCCCCCTCCACAAAACCCCACAACATAAAGGGAACTATATTAAACTAGGTGCCTTGTGACAATGAAAAAAAGGAACATAAAGTCATACTGAAATATTTTTTATTTCTTTAAAACATACAGTACTCCAATCCCATTTCCCTGTTCTTTCCCCCTTGTCTGTGCTGTAGCTTGCTCTCCCAGTGGAGTTAGGTAGTAACGAACAATTATATTGCATTATTACAGTAGATACACATTCAGAGCTTTAACAGCACTTATGGACCCTAGTTAAAATCCCAAATTGAGGCTCCCGCATTGGCTCAATCGTATTGTGTGAAATTCAGCTGCACAGATCCAAAACATTCCAGGATCAATTTCTAGTCTGTGCTGATTTACCCGATCTCAGCTGGCTGTGTTTGGATGTCAGATAAAGATTGGATTGAGCTCAGCTCTATTGCTATCAATGGTTGAATTTTATCAGCAGTTGCTGTCTAAACCTAATACATTAACAATAACTTGTGTGAGGTATTGGTGGGTATCCAGAATTGAACTTCCAGCACTTTTAAAGAGAGTGGAGTGAAAATGGAGAAATTAAAAACTAGTCTTTCCATACCTGCCTCCTTCTTGTGAGCCAAATGTTTTAAACACAATTTAATATTATGTCTTGCAAAGCAGCAGTAAATTTAGCTTTTATAATATGTGCATGTCAGAATATCTTAAACAAAACCCAGGACCATTTTTCTGACATGTAATCTGCAATATAAAAAAAATCAATTGAAGACTGCAAGCAAACATCCTTAATGATCCAGGCTTCTGTTGCTACATTTTGGATTTGGAGGATGTGCAAAAAGTAATACAAATCTGTTTCCAAATTAAATGTAGGGAGGGGGTGGAGGGAGGAGGGCAGAATATCATACATAAAGGGCTCTTCCTCATTTGTAAGAAAGCTTTCAGAAACTTTAAACCCTGGGACATATTTTAATATTCTGGTTGCTCACAAGACAACACAAACTCTTGTAAATAATCATGTGCCCAAACTATTCTGGTTGCAACAAATTTTCCCTTGACACATGGTTAACTCTCCCCGTGAGAAATTCTCAGAGAGAAGGCAAAGAAGCCTTTCAGCATCTTTAACAACATCTCGCATTCTCACCACACATTTACAATAGGCTCATTTTACAAAGGGACCTATTGATCACCACAAATAGCAAATTCAAATGCAAATAGGGTTCCCTGCAAGCTTCCTTTTTGTAGCATTTGTGGTCTTGATTTAGATCCTAATTTCCCATCATCACGCAAGAAAACACAAGTGCTGTAATGTTGAACAGGGGGGAAAAAAGTGCATAAAGTGCTCGATTTTGATCACCAGCTGCTCAGCAACATGAAAATCAAAACACTTAGTTTAAACCCAAGTTAGACTTTGAAAGTAAGATTTACAAAAAACAGTGCAACAAGCACAGCTCTGTCGTACCAAAAATTAAAAACAGTGGGTCAGTATTTTTTTTGCACAAGGCTTTTGCAGTTAATTTCAACAAAACATACTGTCCTTTTAGCAGTCTTTCCTCTGTCTCTTTTAGATTCGGCCAGTTGTCTATAGCTGGGAGAGGGGTGCATTTTTACCACAAGCTGTGGTGCCCCACAATGGAGCATACACATTTCCTAAGTGAATAGTGTGTACAAAGCACAGGCATATCTGTTTTCCCAGGTTTATCAAAGCAAATTTTACATGCATAAGTTAATATGTGAGAGTCCGGTCTCTACACTGTGTTTGTTTTCCTTTCAGCAAGAACGTCAGTTTAAAACCACAAAATAAAATACTGCGACAAACAGATGGTACTGATAGTGTTAGGTGAAACTTTCCCAAACGGACTGGCTGGAATTCTGACCTTGCCATGTAGAACTTTAAATGCTGAATTAAAATCACTTTGATTTATACTGCTACAGCACACATTAAGATAAAGAAAAATAGTTTGTGCATGACTAAAATAACAGCAAAAGTTCCACAAACTACAGTAAATACATTATGACATTTAATTTGTAATGGCATTTGCTGTTTAACCAACAGTAAATATTGCTATTTAGAATTTTTAATTAACTTTATGGGGAAAAAATAAAACTACGATTGTGCACCTACAACCATTTGATTTCAAGCAATGAACATTTCTGATGCAATACACACATAGTAGGTGTTTCGAGAAGTAGCGATAATAAAATTATGAATTATACTGCTGTAGACGCTCCTCCTGTATGTGGATAATATAAAATCATGCATAACACATTTACTCCTCTTTATAGTTTGGGAAATCATCAAATAGCTTTCCAATAAGTATCTTGTGTGATAATTGTGATAATCATAAGAAGACAGGAAAAGAGCACTCTTAAGAAGTCTAAATATCTAATGCGTTTTCACAATTGAACGGCAGTACAATTCCCAAACACAATAAATATGCGCACACAGTAAGAATTCAGCTTGAATGTTTCAAGAATTTTGAAGGCAGTGTACTTGTAGAAATAGGCAGACAGAAAATAAACTTCGAATATTTACTCGACTGCTTCACCATTTAAAGAAAACTCACAGCACCTCTCATCTTTTTAATCTCATTCCCCCACATCATGCAACACTTGCTTCCCAAGTGTCTAATCCTTTTACTTCCTAAATGTACGTGAATCAATCACCCTTTTCAACAACTCGACTGATTATTCAGTGTTTGCATTGTCGTGCATGCCTTGCTTGAATTCAATGAGACTCCCACAACCGTGCGAGGTTATCAGGATTCACTTTTAACCAGTCTCCCCATCTGTCGGCTCGCCTAGACTTCCCACCCTCCTTTCCTTCCATGCGGAATCACTCCCTTTTCAAGCCTTGGGAAAATTGCGGCCAGAATGCCAAGAATTGGTCCGACGCTGGGCAGGTGCGCGCAACTGGCCGCCTGCCGCGTTTCACCTGCAAAAACACACAGTCACTACGCTTCGCAGTATAATTCCGTGAGGCGCTTTGCGACGTCTCGACGATGCGATGAGGCGCCAAACTAATATGCAAGGGTTGTTATTACTATTATTGTTATTATTATAACTGCTCGACGCTCTGCAAAGTTACACAGCGGCCATCCTCAAAAGGGGGTTAAGGGAGGGGGTGAGGCGATGAGAAGCGAAGGTCTCCCTTGCGGTCAAGTGTTCGTCGCTTCTCTCCCACAGGCAACTCAGGCCCCTCACACCCACCCCCTCGAGAGGTCGCGCGAAACTCCCCGAGGAACGACAGACCTGCCTCGACGGTCAACTCGCACCTACTTAACCCCACGCCACACCACACCGAGCCCCGCCACGCCAGCCGCCACACATAATACACAAACAACAACTTGCATTGATCTATATACAAGTGCCTTTCACCCGGGGGAGAGGGGGGGGGAGAGGGGGGGAGGGGAGGGGGGGGAGGGGAGAGGGGGGGGAGGGGAGAGGGGGGGAGGGGAGAGGGGGGGGAGGGGAGAGGGGGGGGAGAGGGAGGGGAGAGGGGGGAGGGGAGGGGAGGGAGGGGAGGGAGGGGAGGGGGGGGAGGGGAGGGGAGGGGAGAGGGAGAGGAGGGGAGAGGGGAGAGGAGGGGAGAGGGGAGGGGAGGGGAGAGGGAGGGGAGGGGAGAGGAGAGGGGGGAGAGAGAAGGGGGGAGGGGTTAGCGCCCCGGGAGCGCCTCACTTTACAGTCACTACACTGCGCGGTGATATTCTGTGAAGCGCTTCGAGACGCCTCGACGAACGCGACAAGGCGGCTGATAACAAACGCGAGGATGACCGTGAGGAAGAGTGGTGTGTGTGTGCGTGTGTGTGTAAAAAAAAACACAACGTTAAAAACCTGCAGAGCAGAGACTAACCGTCGGAGCGACGAGACGCGGACGAACGAAATACAAACCGCGAGCGCCAACGGCTTCTCCCACCCCCTGCGAGCGGGGGGCGGGAAACCCCGGAGCCACTCCGCCTTACGGCAGTGAGGCGTCCGCCCGGCCCTGTCCCACTTTGCGACCCGCGAGCGCTCGCCTGCGGGCGGCGTTTGCGACACCGTTTATAAAAGCCCTCACGACGGCAAGTCAGTGACGTCAGGAGGAAGAGCGCGAGCGGCGGGTCGTCGAGAGAGAGACAGAGAGACAGAGAGTGGGTGTGAGAGAGAGAGAGAGTGTGTGTGTGTGAGAGAGAGATAGAGTGATAGAGGGTGAGTGGGGGGGGAAAGAGGGAGAGAGAAAAAAGAGAGAGAAGAGATATGGAGCGAGGCCCGAGGATGTGAAGCGGCTCAGGCAGTGTCCAGTCAGGTAACAACAAGGCCTCTTCATCCTTTGTTTCTGTCTCACACCCACAACCCTCCACACACACACACACACAACCCCCCCCCCCCACACACACCCACACCCACAACCCCCCCTCCACACACACACACACATACACCCACAACCCCCCCCACACACACACACACACACAACCCCCCCCACACACACCCACACACACACACTGCAACCCCCCCCCCCCACACACACACACACACCCACAACCCCCCCCCCCACACACACACACAACCCCACACACACACAACCCCCCCCACACACACCCACAACCCCCCCCCCACACACACACACCCACAACCCCCCCCCACACACACACACAACCCCACACACACACACAACCCCCCCCCCACACACACACACACACAACCCCCCCCACACACACACACACCACCCCCCCTCCACACACACACACCACCCCCCCCTCCACACACACACACACACCCACACCCCCCCCACACACACACACCCACACACCCCCCCCACACACACACACACACAACCCCCCCCCACACACACACACACAACCCCCCCCACACACACACACCCACAACCCCCCCCCACACACACACACACCCACAACCCCCCCCACACACTCACACACAACCCCCCACCCACACGCACACACCCACAACCCCCCCCCCACACACACACACCCACAACCCCCACACACACACACACCCACAACCCCCCCCCCCCACACACACACACCCACAACCCCCCCCCACACACACAACCCCCCCCACACACACAACCCCCCACACACACACCCACAATACCCCCCCCACACACACACACAACCCCCCACACACCCACCCACAACCCCCCCCCCCCACACACACACACACCCCCACACACACACACAACGCCCGCATAAACCCCCAGCAACAACAGGCTCCATTAAAGATATAACACACACACACACATAATAGGTGCTCCAGACGGGCCTTGCTTTAACACAGGGAAAGAAACAAAACAAATGGATTCTGGCGTCAGACGTTTCTCTTTCGTTGTAGTGTGAAAGGCCCCGCAGCGATTTTGTGTGTGTGTGTAAAAAAAAAGGAAGTAAATAAATCCAATGCCCACACACACGCTTTGGGGTAGGGGAGAAGGGAGGGCCCTCCAGTGTTTACTGTTGATCAAGTCGGATCAGGGGAAAGGTTTGAGGTTAAGGCTGTCTGGACGTCAAGACACTCGGACACGGGGAGGGGGGAAGGGGGGGGATCGGAGCCCAGCAATCGCTTCCCGTTTCTGGTAACACCGGGAGCCAAACCCGCAAAGGATGGCGCAGTTGTCATTCGTCTTAAACCCATTTCACGCCCTTTACGGCCTCTTTGTCCCTTTGGGGGGAAGGATCTGAAGAAAAAGGCCATCAATTTTATTTGCAGTCACTGGAACCTGACCCCCCCACACACACACACACACACACAGACACACACAGACAGACACAGAGACACAGACAGACACAGAGACAGACAGACACACACACAGACAGACACACACAGACAGACACAGACAGACACAGAGACAGACAGACACACACACAGACAGACACACAGACACAGACAGACACACAGACACAGACACACACACAGACAAACAGACACACACAGACAGACAGACAGACACAGACACACACACACACACACACGGATCATTTGAACGACTGACATTGACCGATTTCCGCTTTGCTGCTGTTGCGAAAGTTGGGGAGGAGGGCGATCGCGGAGTTCAACGTCAGCCAACTTCTGTGGAGCAAAGCTTTCGTTCGGTCAGGTTTTTTTTTGGTGAACCTCTCGAAACGTGGCCTCTCCAGAAAAAAAAACTTGGATCAAAGCGAGTTCAGTTTTTTTTTCCTTTTTTTTTAAAAAAAAATATTTTGCGGAGCAAGTGATGCATTGGGATAGAAACCTGTATTTTCTTCTGAAACTGTCAGGCACTGTTATTGCTTTTGTCAAACGCCGTGTCTTGAGTGTAGTTTGTTACTGTTACTTTAAATTGCAGTAATAAATGGGTATCTGTTACGGGATAAATGCACTAATGGGGTCTGATGATAGGGTGAATTTTGAGCTTTCTCTCCCCACCGGATGTTATGCTCCTCATAACACATTTTTCCTGCTGTGCATTAATAACTTATCAAAAAAAATCTTGGTGTAAAGTAATTAAATGAGCCACGGTGATTATCGATGACAATCCTTGCATTTGATACAGCGCTTTATTGCACTGTCAAAATGTCTCAAGGTGCTTCACAGGCTTTACTGTAAAGTGAAGTAACTGCATTTTTCAAGGATAGAGGGATTAAGGGATATGGGGATAGGGCGGGTAAATGGAATTAGGTTAGAAGATCAGCCATGATCTTATTAAATGGTGGGGCAGTCTCGAGGGGCTGAATGGCCTACTCCTGTATCTACGTCTTATGGTCTTATGAAGCAACTGTATTTATACTATTAAAAATACAATCATACCGATGGTCACCTCCCACTCTCCCTTGCTTGATGTCCAACCCACCATTGTGCAGTCTTCCAAAACGCCATTCTGCACAAATGGTACTGTATAAATGCAGGGTGACGTTATGGGAAAGCGCAGCAGTCCATTTTTGCGCACTGTTTCATAGCAGTGTTCCAAGAAAACGACAACAACAAGATTCCATTTATAGAGCGCCTTTCACGTCGGGAGGACGTCCCAAGGCGCTGGACAGTTGGGTCAGGAAAACAGCCATTGCCGAATGACTAATTTTATTTAAAGGAATGTTGACCAACACACCTGGCTTCTCGAAAAGTTTCTTGGATCCTTAACAATCCACCAGAAAAGATAGACAGGACCTTGGTTTAAACACCTCACCCAAAGGCCAACACTCCCAACAATGCATTGTTTCCCCAGCACTACACTGGAATTATGTCCTGGATTATGTCTCAATTTGGAGTTTAAACCCACAACCTCTGACTCACAGATGAAAGTGCTACTGAGCTAGGCTGATAGTTTTAACAACAGCAGCAAAATTACATTTGTATAGTGCCTTTCATATCGGGAGGACATCCCAGGGCATTGGACAGACAGAGTTTCAGACCCGAGCTGGGGGTCAGGATTGTGGAGGGCGGGGGGGGGGAAAGCAGGGTGATCGAAAATACAGTCGAAGAGAAGGGTCTTGAGATGGGTCTTGGAGGGGGTAAGGCGCAGGGACTGCGAGTTCCAGAGGGTGGGAGCAGAGTGGCAGAAGGCCAACCCGCCAATAGTGGGGCGAGTGAGACGGGGGACGTGAAGCAGGCCGGAGCCCGCTGAGCGGAGGGAGCGGGCAGGATGGTAGGGGGCTATAAGGTCGCAAAGGTCGGCGGGAGCAAGACCATGGAGGGCTTTGAAGGTGAGGACCAGGATTGTGAACTGTATCCTCTGTGTGATGGGATGCCAGTGGAGTCGGGCGAGGGTGGGGGTGATAGGGTCACAGAGCCTGGTGCGGGAGAGGACAAGGGCTGCAGAGTCGTGGATGATCTGCAGCCTATGGAGGGAGGAATTGGTCAGGCCGAAAAGCAAGGAGTTAACTCAAATTGAGTGTATATAATCCTTAATGTGTATAAGCTTGAAGTATAATGTCTGAGCTAGAACAAATAATCTTTTAGATTGTCTGGGCAGCATAGCTTGGAAAAGAAGTGCGACAAATTTAAGGATGAAAGAGTTGGGAGTTGATTCAGAATGTTTTAAAATAGCTGCATGGAATTGTATGCTATATAGTATTACCAAGGTCACATTATCCAATGTTCATTTTCCAGTAGTAATCTTTTAAGGTCAAGGGCAGTAATAATTTGCATTGGTGATTATTTGAATCTGTCTGTTCCCTGAAAAGGTTTTATCTCTCTAAAATCTCCTGCCAGTCTGTGTCTCAGCGGTTGACCTGAAGAGGGGAGAAAATAACATTTGTATAGATCCTTTCACATCGGGAGGATGTCCCAAGGCGCTGAGTGTTTTTAGAATAAGTAAAAGGTGAAATATGGAGGAAATAAATACAAGAATTTAAACAGCAAGCTGTATAAATCCTCTCCGCTTCAACCTGTACATGCTCCCTTTTGGTAACATCAGAGGGTAGCGTCTCAGAGCACTTAACAGTGGCAGAGCCTGACTCCGAGCTCGGGGGAAGGTGGCCGTAAGCACGGTTGAAGAGGAAGGTTTTCAGGCGGGACTTGAAAAGGGGAGAGAGGGGGCAAGGCGGAGGGATTGAGGAAGACTCTTCCAGAGTTTGGGGGTAGTGGCTGAAAGCGCAAGCTCCAATGGTGGGGCGGAGCATGAGATGGACGAGCAGGAGGCCGGTGCCAGTCAAACCAAGGCGCTGGGTGGTGGAGTGCAGAGGTTGGAGAAGTAGGGAGGTGAAGGAGTGAAGGGATTTGAACATGGGTGTGAGGATCTTGAAGCCTTGCAAGTGAGAGACCTGGGTTCGATTCCTGGTAGGGTGAAACGTTGGGCAAGTTTCCACACTCCGCACGCCTCTGTTTACTAGCAGTAAGTAGGAGCCCGGTTGTTAATTGATTGACGGATCACTTTTCCGGGGGTAATAATTCCTTCAAAAAAAAATAATAAATTGGTCACTTCAATCCACGACTGTTGGTGGGACACTGCTGTGCGCAATTGGCTGCCGCATTTCACCCACAAAATCTACAGTCAATTCACAGTATTTTCTGTGAAGCGCTTTGAGATGTCTCGAAAATGTGATAAGGCACTACATCAAATGCAAGGATTATTATTGTTATCATCCACAAACATGGGGTCAACTTCCACATGTACGTGGATGACATCCAACTCACTGCCTTCACCCTCGACACCAGGACCACTGATGTCCTGACAGACTGCCTGTCAGACGTCAAATCCTGGCTGAGAGCCAGCGTTCTACAGTTGAAAGTCAGCAAGACCGATGCCCTCCTGTTGGCTCGCACTAGCACTTCTTCACCTCAGGCACTGGCAGCATCAGCAGCCATGTATGCACACTCCACCTCACCCAAGCCAGGCAGGAACCTTGGCATCTTGTTGTACCTTCAACTGTCCTTTCTCCCCAACATGACATGCTCTGCCTTCCCCCACCTCCGCAACATTGCCCGCCTCCTCAACTGCCTCAAACTTCAGGCCGCCAAAACCCTCATACATGTCTTCATTACGACCAGGTTCGACTATGCCAACGCCCTGCTTTTCGGCCTTCCCAACTCTTCCCTCCACAAGCTGCAGATCATCCAGAACTCTGCAGCTCTAGTCCTTTCTCGTACAATGCTCTGTGACCCCATCACACCCGACCTCACCCAGTTCCACTGGCTTCCCATCCCTCAGAGGATCGAGTTCAAAATTTTTGTCCTCACCTTCAAGGCCCTCCATGGCCTTCCCCTCTACGACCTGCTAACCCTGCCTGCTCCCTCCGCTCAAGACTCCGGCCTGCTCCATGCCCCTCGCCTGGCCCACACCACCATCACTGGTCAGGCCTTCAGCCTCTCTGCCCTCACCCTCTGGAACTCCATCCCACTTTCCTTTCGGCTTGCTCCCTCCCTTGCCTCCTTCAAGGCACGCCTCGAGACCCTGCTCTTTGACCGTGCCGTTGGCCACCCTCCCTGATCTCCCCCCCTCCAACCCCTGCTCGGGTCCTAATCTCTGACTGTTCAGCGCCTTGTGATGTCATCCTGATGTGAAAGGCACTTTTCCAAATTGTGTTGTATGAAATCATGGCGATCTAAAATCTGATGCAGTGATTTCTAGTTCATGATTTGTTTTTGCCATATGACTACAATCTGCTTTTTTTTAAGTACAGGAAGGAAGAATGACAGGAAGGATAGATGAAAGGATGTTGAGCACATCTGTAAAGCTATATTATGGATGGCAACAGAAAGGAGAATTCCTTCTGCAGTAGGCCTGCTGGACGGCTGAATCGACCCAATGATGATGGTGGTCTTTCAAACCATTGGCTCTGGAAAATCTCCAATTGCTTTTCAACTGTTGAACAGACATTACCTTTTAGTAACAAAACGGTAAATTTTAATTTCAGCATATTTCATTGTATTACAGTGCATTGTAGTGGATGCCATATTTGCTTTTTTTAACAAAATATGCACCCAAATTATGGGTGTGCAGATATTGAGAGCACAATATGTATTATTACTCATGTTTAGTATTAATACAGTTCTGGAGGAGAGGACACCTGGACATGGAAAAACAGTAGCCTGGTTCATTATATTGTTGCATATATCAGCAAAATTTACAGTGACATTATGTTCGCTATGTCTGCACTCACGCTTGACAATAGCTCGATCATTATGGGAATATACTTTTGCTGAGGGCAGCAAGGACTGTAGACCAATGAAACTTTAAGTTGACTGTTATGCTGCTATTACTGCTGTGTATTTTGCTTATAATGGAAAATTACTGAGCTTTTGAAAATTTGTACTGCTGTACCTTTAAGTCAAAATTTTGTTGATGACTACTCATGTAATTTTTGTAACCTTGTGAGAAAGTAATGTGATGTGTGTCTTTTCCTTATCCAATGTCCTTAACTTTGTCTGGAGAAAAGCATGGGTAACCAGATGGACTGTCTTTATCTAACATCCTTGATTGGTTGGGTTTACAAATGAGGAAAAAGGGATGCGTAAATTGATTGTCTATGTTATGTGAAAAGTATGGTAAAGAAGTAGTGTCTGTGTGAGTTAATAAGATGGCTTTGAAGTCCTTAACAAATGTTAGTCAGGAGGAGAAAGAATATTCAAATGAAATGTTTTTTTTAGGTGAATAAAAGCAAGGAAACAGTATCTGTGAGACAAACCAGATGATCTTGTAGTTAGAGTTGAAGGAAAACTTGTTGTACTCGTGAACCTGTCTGCGATTTAAAGAAAAAAGATAGATGAAGGAAACTGCACACAATAGATACTGTATTCGGTTCGCCATATTGGTAACTGGCTTTCTGTACAATTAGCACCATGATAAATTTAGTGAACAAATAAATCTTGTCTCTGTGAGCATGACTATTTTGGTGTACAAACTCACTGACTGCCAAGTCAGTAGTAGGAACAGTTTTGTTTCTTCAAAGGAATTTACAGTATTAACAAAAAGGTTAATCTAATTTATGTCTATTTTCCATCAGATTCATATTTTTTATCCTTATTTGTGTGTGTTTTTAACAATCTATGCTTCTGGGCAGGAGGCAGGATTGATGGAATGCAAATTGAAGGCCCTGTGTATGGAATTGCAGATTTATTTAGTTTGTGTACAGTTTGACAACATGAGAAATGCAGTAATAATATTCCACTGACATTGCTGATGCTAGCCGTAAATTGTTTTTTTTCTTCTTGTTCTAGAAAACGTACATGGAGAGGAACAAACTTATGGTTAAGCTGAAGGATATTCCACCTCCCTCCCTTCATGATAGCACAATTCTCTTTCCAAGTGCCCCATCTTCTGACATTCAGCCTTTTCAACAGAAGCAGTCAACTGTCACGAAAGTAAGATACTGCCCTCTTGGCGGTAATGAGGCTTCGTGCTCCCTCTCAATTCACAATGGTGGCGGTCGTGTTCACTCAGTAAATCATGGAAGTTTAGAAGCCAAAAGCACTGGAACAGTCACGTGTCAAATAGGTTCGGGACTTGCATTTTATTCGCCAAAGGCTTGTAAGGTGGCTGCAGCTAATGACCGTTTAGACACAGTTTCGTGCCACTTGACTGCCACCTATGTGGAGAATGTCGTCTCGGGTTGTCAGCTTCAGCCACCTGCCCAGCACCTGTCGTGTTGTGGAAGCCTGTTTAAACAACTGCAGCCTTTCCGTGCTGGTGTCCACAAGCTTCACCAAGTTCCTCTGCACCCGAGCTGTAATACATCCAGTTTTTTCCCTTGTACAGAACTCACAGGTGGGGTTGGTGGGCACTTGGAAGATCACGTGAATCAAGCCGAAATAAATAAACATGTTTGCAACAGCCCTTTGCATTTGCACATGAAACCTCTTTTTCTGAAAGGTTCTCCTTGCTGTGACGACTGTTTAAACAAGGTCTGTATACCTTTTTTGTTTATATGATTGTCGGAGGGGGTTAGAAAGTTAAGACAGGAATATTTAATATACAGTGTCGATTAAGTTTTCCAATATGGGTAAAGATATTGCACAATTCATAGTGTGCCTTAATCTTTCTAAAGTACTTGCGGCCTCTAAACCAGCACCAATTTTGGTGACTGCACGGTTACCCAATTCTGTACCAGTGAAATCTGGTACCTCCTTGGTCTGTAAGCCAGAATAATACCAGCACTGAGCCATTAATGAAGCACCGGTGAACAATATCTGGCCAAGAAAGGGTAGGACAAGCTGTTCCCAAAATCTCTGCCATAATCGCTGCTAAGTGTGTGAGACTGACCTGAGGTGACCTGCATTTCCTTCCCTCAGTGGACATTCATTGGCTTTTTTGCCCCAAACAAGCAGCTTTTTTACCCCAAATGAGCAGTTAAGATTGAAAACCTTTGAATCCCCGGAATCTTAGCCGTAACATTATAACTGCTTACGTGGAGTCCTGTAGCTCAGTGATTGAGCGCTCGCATCGCAATAAGGGACCTGGGTTCGATTCCCAGCAGGACGAAATGTTGGGCAAGTTTCCTTACTCCACACACCTCTGTTTACCTAGTAGTAAGTTGGAACCTAGTTGTTCGTCAATTGGTGGATCGCTTTTCTGGGGACAATAATTCTTAAAAAAAAACACAATGATAATTTGGCCACTCAATCCACGACTGTTGGTGGGACGTTGCTTTATGCAATTGGCTGCCGTGTTTCGCCAATAAATATATAGTCACTTTACAGTATATTCTGTGAAGCTCTTTGAAACATCTCGAAGACGTGAAATGCAAGTTTATTATTAACTTGTTCAGAATTTTGGAAAATTATTTTCATCCAGATTCATAATAATTGTGGAAAATTAGAATGAATTTTTTAAAAAAAAGCCATGTCACTTACTGTACAAAGTGAAGAGGATTTTCATGTTTGGATTATTTTCTTTTTCATCTCTGCCACAGCCACCCAGAGATTCTGCTGCAAAGATTTGGCCAAATATTCCCCCTCCTACCCGCTCTGCTCCACTACCCATATCTATGTGCAATGGTGTTCGAATTGAAGGTCAAGCAGTAGAAACATCATTATTAACCGCTGGAAACCTGGGCACACAGCCACATAAGTACGGTATGTGTGGTGTGATTCTAATATTTATTTCACCACTGCTTCATAATACTTTGTTTTCTATTTTCCCTCTGTACTTATCAAAGTAGTTTCCATTCTGATTATTGTACCTCAGGATTGAATAAATTCTCAAGGTATTCAATTTGTGTGCTTTCCCCAGTTTTTCAAAATTAGACCAGAAATGTTATATACAACAACAAAATTATATTTGTAAAGCTCCTTTCACGTCGGGAGGATGTCCCAAGACACTGGACAGACAGAGTTATGGACCCGAGCTGGAGGTCGGGGTGGGGGAGAGTGAAGGGCAGGGGGAAAATCAGGGAGATCGAAAGCACGGTCGAAGAGGAGGATCTCGAGATGGGTCTTGAAGGTGGCAAGGGAGGGGGCGAGGCGGAGGGACTGCGGGATGGAGTTCCAGAAGGTGGGGGCAGAGTGGCGGAAGGCCGGCCCGCCAGTAGTGGGACGAGGAAGGTAGGGGACGTGAAGCATCCGGAGCCCAGCTGCTTTCCTGGCTAAAATCAGCCACAAAGAACTAGTGGACTCTGAAATGTTTCCAAAATTGTTGCGGGAGAATGCAGCTTTAATTAGTAAGGAGCATATATGTTTGAAATTCTGTCATGTATTTTCCAGGATCACCTGATGTTGGTGTACTCGGGCAACAGGAGAATCTGCCTCCTATTGGAGTGTTTTGGGACATAGAAAATTGCTCTGTCCCAACTGGACGGTCAGCCATGGCAGTAGTGCAGCGAATCCGAGAACGATTTTTTCAAGGGCACAGAGAGGCTGAGTTCATGTGTGTCTGTGACATTAGCAAGGAGAACAAGGAAGTTATCCAGGAGCTTAACAACTGCCAGGTGAAGTACCCGTCTGAAGTATGAATTGTAGGAGGATGGAACCCTTGGGTCAGGGTTTAAGAGTACATTTATTTATTTGTTTCTGTTCATTGTTCTTCTCTCCTGATGATGTCGGGGTATAATTCCATGAGTACCATTAGCAGAGAATACATTGAAATGATTGAGCTGAGGGGAAAAGAGAGAGAGAGAGAGAAAGACGGAGGATAGAGGCAGTGTTTTCTTTATTTCATTTCAATATTTTTTTCCTCCAGGGAATGGGATTGAAAATGAGTTCTAGAATCTCTTGTGTGTTTCAGGTGACCGTTGCACATATCAATGCAACAGCAAAGAATGCTGCAGATGATAAGCTTCGACAGAGTTTAAGGCGGTTTGCTGACACTCACACTGCTCCAGCTACTGTTATTTTGGTGTCTAGTAAGTAATTCATCTAACAAAATGAAATATGAGTGCACTATTCTTATTTCGCAAGTCAACTATTATGGTGAACTCAGTCACTGTTATTTGAAATATTTACCAAAAGATATTTAAATGAATAGGATCCAAAGAAAAGCTTGAAAGCTTAATGCGAAACACATAGTAATTGAGGCTGGTATTGGTGGATAGATAGCTCTGATTTTGATGTTACACAGTACGCATACAAATTTACATTTCTATAGACCCTTTCACATTGGGAGGACATCCCGAGGTGCTGAGAGATTGTCGCTAGATCAGAGTGTATGAAATGACTGAAATTAATGTTTTGTGTGAAGGAAGAAGATTTATTTGTTGTTCTGTTCCTGGGTTTCTTTACAAGGTTCAGAACAGTGACAATGTTTTGTTGGCTTGGCGGGGGAAGCTGAAGGGGGTGGTGGGGGAGAACACCAGAAGACGTAACTCTTAAGGCGAGCAAAATTATAAGTGGCTGAGCCTTTCATTGCGCTCTAATCATTTTGCCATAAACCTTTGCAGCCGATGTCAACTTTGCATCCGAACTGAGTGACCTCCGACATCGACACAGTTTCCAGATCATCTTGGTGCACAAGGTTCAAGTTTCCGATGCTCTTCTCCAACATGCACACAAGCACGTAAAATTTGAGGAATTTGTGTCTAATTTACCACCTAGATTACCAGAGAAAATGCCAGTAAGTGAATCCTGATCCAAAATGAATAGATTACCAAGCTTTCTGATTTAATGCATAAACTGAGCTTTCAAGAACTTTTAATAGTTATATATGTTTCCAACGTTTTCTCCAGTCAGTATTTCAATTGCTTTAACACAAGCTGGGCCCTCCTTAACTAGACTGTATTCAATATATTTGAGACGTCTTGAAGACATGATAAGGCACTATATCAAATACAAGGATTATTATTATGTCCTGTAGTTCAGTGGTTAGAGCACTCGTCTGGCAAGCGAGAGACCTGGGTTTGATTCAAGGCAATGCGAAACCTTGGGCAAGTTTCCTTATTCCACATGCCCGATAATAATCCCTCAAGAAAAAAAACAATAATAAATTGGCCACTTCTTGAAGACGTGAAAAGCGGATTATCAAATGCAAGGATAATTATATAAAGACTATTTGTGAGCTCCCTTAAACAAGTTAAATCAGGATTGTAGCATGTTTATAACCGTCTCTGTTTAAGAATGTATTCAACTCTACAGTCTCTACCTGAGCTTTTATTTCTAACTGAAGAAGGTGCCTTTTTCTTTCCATCAGTTTTTGATGAATGTGTGAAATCATTTTTGGTCTTGTTTTAGAATAATGTTTTTTATGCTTTTTAGATAAAACTAAAATGCCATGGATGAGCAGGAGGGATATTGTTTCTTTTTAATGTTAAGTTTTAAGATTTTCCACGACAAAAAATTATACTGATTATCTTTTTCTTCCTTTCCTTTTTTTCTTTCTGCAGCAATGCCATACCCTTCTGTACGTATACAATTTGCCACTCAACAGGGACAGTAAGCAAGTAAGCAACCGACTGCGCCGTTTGTCTGATAATTGCGGTGGAAAAGTTTTAAACATAACCGGCAGCTGTGCAATGCTTCGTTTTACAAGCCAGGAAAGTGCTGAGCGGGCACAGAAGCGTATGGAACATGAAGACGTCTTTGGTAATAAGATCCTAGTGTCGTTTACACCAAAAAATAAAGATCTTTGTGAGAACAAAAATAACTGTCTTACAGTTGAAAAGACAAAGTCCCCTAAAAAGGCAAACAAGTTTGCAAAGCTTTCTCATCTGAACAAAGACCTCGAGGAGCAAGTGCAGAATGGTAAAAATTCTACAGTAAAGAACACGCTGGCATCCCAAGGATCAGCATTTAAAAACCTCAATGTCAGAATTTTACAGGTAAATTGTACATTAATACACATAAAACTGTGTAGGGGGGACAATAATTTGTTACACTATATTGTGGAGTACTTGAGTTGGAATTTTAGTTATAGTTGTTTTTGGTACAAGTGGAGAGAGGACAGCAACTGGGGTTGGGAATGACAACCGAATGTCAACAAAATCTGTTTTCTGTCAATAGACATAATGCGATCTGTGATAGGATTGTCCAGAACATTATTTTAGAAATTGAGTCAGAGTTTAAGAGTTGAGGAAACCACATTAGCATTATTTTCATGCTTTTGCAAATTAATTTAGTCAATACTTTTGTCTCTGGTTATCCGGGTGGTGCTCATCTATGGCAGTAAGATATTAGCAAACATGTTACCACCATGTGGAGTATGATCTCCAGTTTGTAAATGATTTACAATTTAAATGTTGAAATGTGCAGTTAAGGATGAAAAATAAGTAGGTGGGAAAAGGGTAAAGCTGTGTGAAATAATATGAAAGCCATCGCAACAAATATCACAACCTTCTGAATGTTTTAAAGTTAAACTGCTGTTCACCATTCCTGATAGTTAACAACGTTGATAGTTAACAAATGATCTATTACCTTAATTACCAATAGTTTATTTCTGAATGCAAGATCAATATTTAACAGCATCAATGAAATATCCTAACTTGGCTATCCAGAAGTGAAAAATGTATCTTTGGTCCCGACACTGCCTAATTGCACTTTGATATATTTGGATACGATGGGATCCCAAACCAGCATGATCCATAATAATGCAAACCAGTTTTCTACTACAAAGTGACTAATTGGTCAACACTGGATTCAGGTGCACTGAATGAAGAGATGCAATCTGTGCAATCCCAAATAGCAGTGGAGGATGGTCAGACGACTAGCTTTGTTTGTATAGCCTCTGGTGGTAGGCACATTATATGGTGTTTGTTCTATAGAATGGAAGTTTAGGATCCAATTTAGTATTTTAGCTCTGGCTTAATAATTTAAATTGGAAGCTTTTAGTCCTCTGTGGTAATCATACCATAAATGCCTCATGTACCAGGGGTTATAATGTCTTTTCTATCTCAAGTATTGACTTGTCATTGCCTTTACTAGTCTATCAGCTTATTGTATTTCAAGGCACATGTCATTTTGGTAAAACAAACTTACTTCCCACCATCTCCTTATGTGTCTTTGAAGTGCCTGGAGTTTAAACTAGTAAGTAGTGGTATCACATCTCTTGTAAGGTTTGTTCATTTGAGGCAAAACTGTAGAGAAATACAGTTATCAGATTTGCTTCTAGTTTTTTTTTAATGTAATGAACTATAGTTTGCCAAGCATTTTTGCACCTGAATCCAGCAAAATCTATTGTTAGTGCATCAATCTGAGGTAATGTTTACAGAATCACCAATTTCAAGGAAGCCTAAAGGGATGTGCCTAGGCTTGGGGGTAGGAGCCAGATGAACAAATTGCCTGTGAAGATCCTAAAAGAGGAGCTGAGCAGTAAAGGTGAGCGAGATAGAGTAGCCTCTTGCCTGGCCCTATGCAGATTGCTTTGTAAATCTTGAAATCCTAAGGGTACGATTTATCTGAATTTATCTACTTGTCTGAACCCTATCTTACTACTTTAGAAGCGAGAGTAATGGTTCTCCTCAAACTACAAAAAAAATGTAATTTGCTTAATGTTTTGTTTTAATAGGAGCTTTGTGGCATGGAATCCCAAACCAAACCAGTTATTCGTGCACAGCAGAACAAGAAGCAAGGAAATGAATCCCCGTCAATAAGTCATCACAACAACTCATCGTATTCCCCTGCTACTCCCATTAAACAAGTGGGAAATGGAGATTCCTTCAGTGGAAACCTTAAGTGAGTTTGATTTTACATCTATAAACTAACTGTTTTAATCATGACTCTTATATAATAATAATAATAATCATTATTATATTATCTTATTTGTAGTAAGGCTTCCTGGATAACATCTTGGAAGCACAAATGCTTATCCTTGGAATTGAATTGAGGAATAGGATGGTCATTAATACTATTTTCTTTGATTTACAACACTGTTGATAAGCTCAGTGGGAATGAGTGCAGTAACCTACAAAACCTGCCAACAAAAAGAGGTGGCTCCTTCCCCCCCCCCTCCCCCCCAGGGTGGCCCCTCCCCCCCCCCAGGGCAGCTCCTCCACCCCAGGGCAGCTCCTCCACTCCCTCCCACCCCAGGGCGGCCAAGTTACTAAGTGCCTGGATCGCCACCTGAGTTCCCTCATTCTTGTAGATTTTAAAAATTAATATGTTGAAATGCGTGCATCCGTTTTGATACACAGAAGAGACACTTCAACGTCCCGAGGCTCTCTGGAATCCTCTGTAGACAAAACTGAGAAGAATAAAGTTGAATTCCATGTCAGCTCTCCTTCTGCATTTTGCAAGCTGGCAACCTCAAGGTAAACCACTCCTGTTGTTTGTCCTGGTGTAGAGATGGCTTTCTGTTCTGTTTTATTTAATCCTTGTATTTTTAAGGTAGGAGTTGCAGTCTTTTACTGCTTTGTGTAAGAAAATGTTTAGTAAGTGACCATTCGTAATGGATATGAAATTGTGGAGGTGGGCATTAGTCAGAAATTTAAAAAATTAGCTTTATGAATCCTGCTTTCCTTTTTGTGTTTGGCTTCAACTCCAATTTATGATGATGGTTTCCCTTGATTATTGCTTTTAGGAATCTATCCCCGAGCCTCTCAAATCGATCCTCTCCTTTGAGTGTGAATCATGCGAATCAGAATCGCTATTGTGACTCCCAGGCTGACCCATTTGCAAATGGAGCAGACATACAGATCAGCAACTTGGATTACAGAATGTCCAGAAAGGAACTACAACAAATCTTGCATGACATTTTCTCCAGACATGGCAAGGTTAGATTTTGAAATGATCGCAGTACTCGAAGCTTCACAGCTCTTCTTAAATGAATACAAAATAAAGGTGTTGGGTATAGTTGTCTATCCTGCAAATTTTAAAAAAATTGAAAAACAAAAGTTTAAAAAAAACTTAGCAGCTGAGCCAGATTCTGTCCTCTCCCTCTACTGATTTGTTCGATGACCTGAAGTTGATCTGGTTTATAGGTGAAGAATGTCGAATTGAGCCCTCACACAGACTATCAACTGAAAGCAACTGTACAAATGGGCAATCTGCAGGAAGCAATCTCAGCTGTCAATAACTTGCATAGATATAAAGTTGGAACCAAGAGAGTCCAGGTGTCGCTGGCCACAGGAGGCAGTAACAAATCATTGGCTTTGCTCAGGTAAGTGTATTTGGATTTTATTAGATAAACTACATTTTGGCTGTCTCAAGGATTAAAAGAAAACAAGGAAAGGAATATTTTTCACTTTATTAAAAAAAATAAAAAATTGTATTTGCTGAAAGTACCTTTGTTTTTGAAAACTTAGCGAAAAGTTCCAATAACTCTTCACTAACTCAAAAGCGATTGTTGAGGTCAGTAAGAAGTGCTATGTATGTTTTGAAGTAAACCAGAATACAATTGCTTTCTCTGGCACTGATGATCTCTCACCTTGATGAGCAAATCAGAATCTCAATATTAGATGCAGTTTATCAAACATTTATAACTCGCTTCGATTCATAGTTTGCTTTTGCAGCAAGCTATACAACCTTTGATTATTCTGTTTGTGCATGCCTTGTTTTTAGTCACAAAAAAAATTGAACATTGTGGTTTGCTTATTACTGTTCCTGCCGCTCAAATGTCTTTCATTATGCACAGCTCTGAGACCATGTCTATCCTGCAAGATGCACCAGCATGCTGCTTACCCTTGTTCAAGTTTACAGAGATCTATGAGAAAAGGTACAGTTCATGTTGTAGAATGTAAAACATGACCTTAGAGAATACCTTTATGTCCATCAATCTCTACATTTGATGTACAATCTACTCTATTATTCTGCTTGCTTGCTCTCCCCCACCACCCCCCCAGCCAGCCTTTAACATACTCAAAAGAATTTGTGCAAAGAATTTCATGGAAATGTGAAACATTTTCTTCCTAGGTTTGGACACAAACTGACTGTGTCTAATTTGTACAAGTTAACGGACACGGTGACCATTCGCGATCAGCCAAACGGACGGATGGTCTGTCTCTTGCCTAGCAGTCAGGCTAGGCAGAGTCCACTGAGTTCTGCACAGTCTCATGATGGTTCATCAGCCAATTGCAGTCCTGTGATATTTGAGGAACTGGAGTATCATGAACCAGTCTGTAAACAACACTGCAGCGATAACGACTTTAGGTAAGAAACCTCTTCCTTTTAATGGCTGGCTGTATCCAATCAAAGATTGGTGGATCGCTTTTCCAGGAATAATAATCCTTTTAAAAAAATGATAGTTTGGCAATAGTAAAAATTTGGTCACTAATCAATAACTGTTTTGGGACACTGCTGTGTGCAATTGGCTGCCGCGTTTTGCCCACAAATATACAGTCAATTCACTTTACAGTATATTCTGTGAAGCGCTTTGAGACGAGTGAAAAGCACTATATCAAATGCAAGGATTATTATAAAGATAAGTTGCTTTAAAAATGGGAAATATGTTTATCTAAGGAATGCTTGAAAATGCAATCAAATAGATCTGAATTAATGTGATTGGAACTTTCATTTGATGATTACTTATTTTAATACTATGCAAACTTTGAGTAAGGCTTCCTCTTTTCACATATTTCTTCTAATTTGTTGCACTTCGGAGTGATATCTATTCTTTTTGCTGTGCTGACGGGCACTTTGAAACATTGAACGGATGGCTTTTTGTTATAGCGCCTCACCCCCTCTCTTGCTTCCTTCAAGACCCTTCTCTTCGACCATGCCTTCAGTCACCCTCCACAATCCCAACCCCCAGCTCGGGTCCAAATCCCTGACTATCCAGCGCCTTGGGACGTCCTCTTGATGTAAAAGGCGCTGTACAAATGTAATTTTGTACTGTGGCAAAGTCGTATTTTTCCAAGGATGGATTAATATAATTGTAAAAAGTACACATTCCACGTTTTTGTCCATTTAGAAATAACCTTTGTCTTTCTTGTTTTGTTCCAGTGAGAATGAATTTGACCCAGACTCTTACAAGATACAATATGTTATATTATCCCTAAAAACGTTTGCGCCTCAGGTTCATAGCCTGTTACACACACATGAGGGCACCGTTCCTCTGCTTAGGTAAGTTGGTTCGTGTTGACCTTTTAAATCTTGATTTTTAGAGCCCCGGGCTGTATCCACAAAGACGAAATAACATGAAATAAAACGCGAAACAATGTATAAAACACGGGGAAAAAAGCTAAATGCAAAGATAGAAGGCCAATGACAGAACTTGTTTCATGGAGCAGGAGAGGGAATGAGATCACGGGTGTGGGGGAACAGACCAATTGTGGGTGGTTGCCAACCCGAGGAAGGAACCTTCATGGCAATAAGGAATCACTAACCTTTTTTTCTCCCCCCCCCCCATCCCTCTTTTTGCCGGTAGCTTTCCTGACTGCTATGCTGCAGAGTTCACTGTTCTGAAGATGGTGGAGGAGGGAGAAGGTGGTGTTCCTTTGGAACACCTCATAATCTGTGTTCCTGGTGTTAACATCGTTACGGCACAAAACGGGATCAAGGTTGTAAAATGGGTGCATAACAAGCCACCACTTCCTAACACTGGTAAGTTCACTCAAAATTCAAGCTAACCTGTGGGGAAAGCCTACCTATTAGTGCAGGTAGTAATATATATGGGTGAGAGATAGGTTGTGGTTATGTGGTTTATTTGAAATATCTAGGTGTGACATTCCTCCTGCCATTAAGTATAGAGATTTTCACCGTGTTCTCAGAATAGAATTATTGATTGGCCATCTTGGAAAGACTGGTGGCTTGAGAAACTTGTCTCCAGTCTTCCTCCTGGTGCATGTAATACTTTTATAACCTCTAGGAAGCATTCAAACTATTCTACTATTTGTATGAGGTTACTATTTATGCAGTGTTAACTGCTGTTGATTTTGTATTAAACAAAGCTTTTTTTAAAAAAAATGTGGTGTAGATTGAGACTGTCCTAAGGTGGAATATAAATTGTTTGTGCTCCTGAAATACCAGTTATGGCTTTTGTGACCTAGAATTCATAGGGTATATTATATTATGAAGCACTGAGAGGTGTTATATCAAATTATTATTTGTTATTATATGGTCCTGGGAACATTTGACTTTAGTTTGAGCTCTTAAAGAATCTCCTTCCCATAGCTCATTGACTTTCAGTACCTTTGTCTTCATTCCAACCCCATCACTGGGAGAAGGAGTAAAGCTGCAAAATCAGTCCAGCAACAAACCAGATCATTGTCTGTCTCCACAGATCCCTGGCTACTGCGTTGCAAGAGTCCTGTACGAAATCCACAGCTGATTCAGTTTAGTCGAGAAGTGATTGATCTGCTTAAGAACCAACCTCATTGCATCATGTCGCATCACAAATTCATACCGAATTATCACCACCATTTTGGGAAGCAGTGCCGAGTGTCAGACTATGGCTATTCCAAATTAATGGAGTTGCTGGAGGCAGTACCTCATGTTCTGCAGGTAAGTGTTCTAATAAAATACAGCAAGCAGCACATATTCTATCAATGATGGGTTTTCACAAATATTCATCAGATTGTTGTTTGACCATTATCTATTGAATATCTTTTTTTTTCTCCATCATGGATAGATATTTGGGGAGGACAAATTTGCGAGGCTATGGGGAGAGAGCAGGGGCGTGGAATTAATTTGGATAGCTCTTTCAAAGAGCTGACGTGGGCATGATGGGCCGAATGGCCTCCTGTCCTGTATACTACTATGATTCACTGATTCTATGATCTATTTTGACATTTTTTAAACTTGTATGAATCTAAACTATTTTAGCATTTCTATAAATCTTTGAAATTCCAAATCATAATTTATTGGCAGTAGTGTCCAGCTGACACTCCAGGGTGCAATGAAGGTCCAGCTCTTTGCTAAACAAAGATAGCATTTCTTGTTCTCCGAAGTGGGTGTTGCAGAAGCCTATCAAGAGGATGTTTAGTAGAGTCAATCCATTTATGAAATGCATTCGTCTGGCTATCGACGGTCATTTTTTTTCTCTCTGTGGTCATTTGGTACAGATTCTTGGCCTTGGCACAAAACGTCTACTTACGCTAACTCATCGGGCACAGGTAAAGCGCTTCACTCAGGATATACTTAAGCTTCTCAAATCGCAAGCCAGCAAACAAGTCTTCATCAACGAGTTTGGACAAGCTTATCATTGGTAAGTGATCACACATTCCACAATGTTTGACAAGTCATAGTATGGCAGCCTTGATTCTGGATTTCCACTTGTGACGTGAAATCAGCAGCACAAATCTATTGCGTGTTTACCTGAATTATTCTTGAAGGAAAGTAGGTGTTTTAATAATGCTATTAACTGGAAATCAAGACTTGTTCAAAACAAACTGGTGTCATTTTATGCACATTCTTATCTTGCTGCTTTGGTGTGAAAGCATTATTTTGAGTTTATTTTCACTATCGCATTAAGTGTCTGATATTGTTCTATACACGAGCACCTAAGAGGTGCCTCTTTCCAGATTGAAAGCTGTTCCTTACAGTCAGCCCTTTAATACCGCTTAAAGTGCAGGAATTTTAACAGTCTAGCCCTTGCTAGATTTTAGCAATCAAGCCCGTGTGTTTGCATCACACTGTTTGAACACAATTGACTCATCACTTACCACCCCTGCTGAGTTTTATAGCACTGAAGGTGTAAGGGATTGCATTTCTTTCTCTCCCCAGCACTAGACACAACTCTGATTGCTTGCGATCATTTTCTATTGGAAATTGTAATAAATACTATATTGACATTACTGATTTGTTTATCCACTTTACTGTGTATCTATAATGCAAATGTTTTTTTGTATGCAACATCGAATTCCGCATCTTAATGTGGTCATCTTTGGTTCTGCTAGGTGTTTTTCAAAGGATTGGAACGTGACAGACTATGGTGTTTGTGAGCTGACTGACCTGCTCTCAGAAATACCAGATACGACAATCTGTATTGCACAAGAAAATGATGATACAGTGATTTCTATCCCAAAGCGAAGTAAATATTCAACATTGTTGCTCTAAACATTTATAAATTTGAGAATTTATTTTGAAAACCAGCACTTGAACAGAATATATAGTGGGAAGTTGGATATATACTGTCCGTTCCTTTGCTTTCAATTGGGGCATGAGTACAAAATCTGAATCATTGTATACACTATGAATACAGTAACTAGCTAAATATGAAATGAACTTTACATTGATTTCCAGCACGGGAACAGGCCATTCGGCCCAGCTAGTCCATCCTGGTGTTTATACTCCATTCTCCATCCACTCCTTACGCCCTCCCTTTTTCCTCGTGTCTACCTAGCTTCCTCTAAAAATGCATCTCACTTAAATCCCATAGTAGCTATCTTGTGGAGTTCTGTAGCTTAATAGTTAGAGCAGTCGCCTCGCAAGCGAGAAACCTAGGATGATTCCAAGGCAGGGAGAAACGTTGGACAAGTTTCCTTACTCCACACGCCTCTGTTTACCTTACAGTAAGTAGGAACCCAGTTGTTTGTCGATGGCAGATCGCTTGTCTAGGGGTAATAATTCCTTCAAAAAAAAGAAAAAATTGGTCACTCAATCTAAAGCTGCTTGTGGGACACTGCTGGGCACCATTGGTTGCCGCATTTCGTTCACAAAATGTAGAGGTCAATTCATTTTCCAGTATATTCTGTGAAGCACTTTGAGACGTCTCAAAGACGTGATAAGCCGCTATAACCACAATTTGCACTTGCATAGCGCCCTCCATGCAGGGAAGCGTCACGGAGTGCTTAACAGTGGCGGAGCTTGACTCTGAGCTGGTGGTGGTGGGAGGTGGCCGTAAGCACAGTCAAAGGGGAAGGTTTTTAGGCGAGACTTGAAAAAGGGGACAGAGGGGGCAAGACAGAGGGATTGAGGGAGAGTTTTCCAGAGTTTCAGGGCGTAGTGACTGAAAGCACGACCTCCAATGCTGGGGCAGTGGGTGCGAGGGCCGAGCAGGAGGCTGGTGCCAGTCGAGCACAGGCGCCGGGTGGTGGAGTGAGGAGGTCGGAGAGGTAGGGAGGTGCCAAAGAGTGAAGAGATTTGAACAAGAGTGAGAGGATCTGTTCGTTGATGGGGAACCAGTGGAACCTGGGCCAGAACTGGTGAGATGTGGGTACGGAGTTTGATAGCAAACGCAAGGATTATTATGGTACTGCCTTTGTATTGCATCTAGAGACGTGTGGATACACAAGATTCTACAGTATTCATTTATAAGAGAAATTTTCTTAATCTCCCACAGCTTCAACGAGTATTATAAAATATCAGATTACCCTTCAGATTTAATCTTATCTGCCAATTTGTCTTAAGTTAGACTAATATAGCTAATATTACTACAGCCTTTCTATTTTATGCAAAAAATCTGCATTTTAAATTCAGAACGGATTCCAGAGGAAATTGCGAGAACCAAGCAGTTTGCCAAAGAAGTCGTGGATTTGATGAGACATCAACCTCACTTCCGGATGCCATTTAACAAGTTCATCCCTACATATCACCACCACTTTGGACGACAGTGCAAACTCACTTACTATGGATTTAACAAACTCCTGGAACTGTTTGAATGTATACCAGAGGTCCTGCAGGTGAGTGGAAACTTGGAATATTATCCCAGTAAATTTTCATATCAAACTACCAGCAACTTACATTAGAGTCCTGTAGTTCAGTGGTTAGAGCACTCGCCTTGCAAGCGAGAGACCCAGATTCGATTCCCGGTTGGGTGAAACCTTGGGCAAATTTCCTTACTCCACACACCTAATAATCCCTCAAAAAATAATAAATTGGTCATTTCAATCCACGAATGTTTGTGGGACATTGCTGTGCGCAATTGGCTGCCACATTTTGCCCACAAATATACAGTCAATTCACTTTACAGTCTATTCTGTGAAGCGCTTTGAGACGTCTAGAAGACGTAAAAAGTGCTATATCAAATGCAAGGATTATTATTAATGTATTTACATAAAAAATAGGCAATGATGGAAAGGAGTATCTAACGATCTATAATATCTAGTGTATAATGCATTTGTAAATTTAGCAACAACAAACATTGCATTATTATAGCTCCTTTTGTGTCTGTCCGGATGATGTCCCAAGGCTCTGGGCATTGTGTAATGATCCTGGGATTTGTTTTGGTATTTATAATAATAATAATCCTTGCATTTGATATAGCACTTTTCACGTCGGGAGGACGTCCCAAAGTGCTTCACAGAACACACTAAAGTGAATTGACTGTATATTTGTGGGCGAACGCGGCCGCCAATTGCGCACAGCAATGTCCCACAAACAATCGTAGATTGAAAATGATCAATTTTATTATTGTTTTTGGTTTTGGAGGGATTATTATTAGGCTCTGTGTGGAGTAAAGAAACTTGCCCAAGGTTTCGCCCTCTGCCTGGAATTGAACTCAGGTCTCTCACTTGCAAAGCGAGTGATCTAACCACTGAGCTACAGGACTCCATGCTGCCAAAAAGAGAGCAAAACACAGTGCGTCACAGGTATAGTGTAGAGACTTCTAGGCACACCTACAAATGTGATCTCCCACACATGGAGCTCATTTATCAGGATTGTTGGCTGGGACACTCATCCTCTCCAAATGCTGACATGACCCAGTTTAACCAATTCTGTGCCCACTTTTGCTGACAAACTCTAACCTCATATAATAATAATAATAATCATGGCATTTGATATAGTGCTTTTCACGTCTTCTCGACGTCTCAAAGCGCTTCACAGAATAGACTGCAAAGTGAATTGACTGTATATTTGTGGGCGAAACGGATGCAGGATGGATTTATCCGGCGGATTTTTTTTCTATCTTCATTGAAGGTGAAAATTATCAAAGCATTCATGAAAAGAGAACAATTTCATTCAGTTGGTATCCATGATCCAGTTTTGTTCCAAAATGAGAGAATGATTTTCATTCAGTATTTTGGATCAGGGAGGATCGGAGACAAGCAGATTAATTTTAGATTGAAGCTTGATTTGGCTTAATTTGTTTTCATTAGGCATTACACTAGGTGTTTGAGTTGAGCTGTATGAACCTTTTAAACTAATTGATAATACAAATTAAGATTACTGTTGTCTACAGGTGCTGGAGTGTGGGGAAGAAAAGATTCTAGTTTTAACAGAAACTGAACAGATCAATGCACTGACTGCACAGCTCATTAAGTTGGTTCGTTCGCAAAAGGACAGTTGCATGATGCTTTCTGATTTTCTTCCGGAGTATAACAAAACATTTGGTTATACTCTACGCCTCCAGGATTATGACGTCAACACTGTTGCAGAGCTTATGCAGAAACTTTGCCACATTGCAAAGGTAGGTGAAAGTGAATCTTCCAGCATATACCAGTTATAGGTTCCTTTTGATTGTTTCTGATTCTATGTGTCTTTTCTCTGAAGACTCTTAACACACCATTAGGCAAACAGCTCCAGCTGATAAACAAGAAGCCTTTTCGTACGCTCACTGCTCAGCTGATGGTGTTGCTGATGTCCCTGGATGGTATCCCTTTCCTGACGTTCGACAATCTTAAAAATCAGTTTGATTCTTTTTATGGCTATGCTCTTGTCCCATCTGAGTATGGTTTCATGTCCTTGGCAGAACTATTGAAGAATTTGCCTTACCTGGTTGAGGTGAGAATGCTATTTGCACTACCGTGTTAATTTTGAATACTGAGTGTCATAAATTTTGGAAATGTATTTGCCCATTTCCCCATCATTTGGAACAAATTCAAACCTCTAAACAAAGCTCTTCCTATCCTATCTCTCGTTGACTTGGTATGTTTGATGTTTTCTTTTACTGTAGGTCTAGTACACATTAATGTAATATTTTGTTGCTTTTGCTAGTTTCATTAAAGCTAAAATTGAGGCTACAGTAGAGTGGACAATGGTTATTTTGTAAGACACCTTTTATTATTCAGGTGTTATAAAGGGAAACTGATGCAGGATATTCTATTGGCTACCAGTTTCCATCTCCAGATGGAAATATTAGAACTTAATTAGCAGTTTAAGGCAGTGGTGACGTATATTCATTTAGCTCTCTTTCTGGTTAACTTTGACAGGTATTCAGTACTGATGCAGGCGAAGAATCTGTGAAACTTACTAACGTGTACCAGTTTGCCAAGAATGTCCGCAGCTTGTTGCACACCTATCACTACCAGCAGATCTTTCTGTCCGAGTTTCCCGCTACTTACCACAAGTACACAGGTGAAGTGCTCCAACCCAAACTGTATGGGTACGCGAGTGTTGAAGATCTCCTTGTTGCAATATCACAGGTAAAGCTAAGCCAAAGGACTTTTATTCTACTTTGCAACATCAGAATGAGAGAAAATTTCTGGTCTAAATATTGGAGGGGGGGAAGAGGAGAGTACGACATGGGAATGTTGCATTTGTTGATACTCAATAGTGTGAATAGTCCTGACTCAGCTGAAGTTTGGCAAGTAAACATTTCAGGTTGATATGATTACATATGTGTCTATATTGGGGCTTTGGATAAGAAATCTGACCTTTAAAGTTTACCTTCAGGCTGTGAAAACTTTGTTTTATATACTATTAAACTGCCATTAAATCAGTTAGTGGCTGACAGAAGGATGAAAAAGGGTAAGAGGTTTATGGATGGCCAGATTAGGCAAGACAACAGAATTAAGGTATTGAAATTTCCCAATTGTCTGCTCTGCTGAAGGCTAGGCTACTTTTGCCTGGGTACAGTTTGTATTGTGGATAACAGTTCATTCATGTAGCCCTGTGTAAAATAAACAACTTGAGTGCTTTACAAAATTAGATTAGAGATAAAGTGATTATATAAGTAAATGCGGCAACTAATCTCAGCCAGCAAAGTACCATAATGAGATGAGTAGCCAATTAATTTAAATTAGCAGAGGGATATTTTGATCTGGAGGGAATATAAATCAAGGTATCCAAAAAATAGCGATAGACTTCTCTCTAGTTTGTAAGTCCACCTAAATTACAAGGCAGGCTTTCCTTCTCTTCTTTTACTCACACTCGTTAACTCAGCGCTCTCTCCATTCACCCTTGTACCTGGATTTTGAACCTAAAGGAAGCAAAGTTTCCTGAATGGGGTTTTGACGAATGCATATACACATTCATCACCTCAAGGCTCGACTACAGAAACTCGCTCCTTGTCGGCCTCCCCAACTCTTCCCTCCACAAGCTGCAACTCATCCAGAACTCTGCAGCTCGTGTCTTCTCCCGCACCAGGCTCCGTGACCCCATCACCCCCACCCTCGCCTGGCTCCCTGTGCCTCAGAGGATAGAATTCAAAATCCTTGTCCTCACTTTCAAGGCCCTCCATGGCCTTGCCCCCTCCTACATCTCTGACCTGCTGACCGCCTATCAACCTGTCCGCTCCCTTGACTCAGCAAGCTTTGGCTTGCTCCAAGTCTTGCCCCCACCCCCACAACCCACCCTACCTTGGCAGCTAGGCTTTCAGCCTCTCTGCCCCCACTCTTTGGAACTCCATCCCACAATCCCTTTGCCTTGCTCTCTCTCTCTCTCTCTCTCTCTTGCCTCCTTCAAGGCACGATTCAAGACCCTAATTTTTTACTCTGCCTTCAGCCGCCCTCCTACCCCTTCTGCCCTCCCTCATCCATACGCTCGGGTCCTGATCCTTGACTGTTCAGTGTTTGGGACGTCCTCCCGATGTGAAAGGCGCTTTACAAATGTAATTTTGTTGTTGTTAATGTCTCTTTATTTAAACAGGTTGTTTGGATCAAAGGGCATGGTCAGAAAAGAATAATCGTTTTGAAAAATAGCATGAAAGGTAAAGACTTTATATTTATGAATATAAAGAAACAAGGGCTGGGTGCAGGGATTGAGAAATTGTCAGAAATACAAACCCAAGCCAAAATGTTTCCCCCTGTGGAGGAAAGGGGTCTGTGTAGTACTCCAGAGCGACTCTGTCTGAAATAACTAATTCATCTTAATCTGGAGTATTTATAGTTTTTTGTAAGTTTTTTTTTATTAAGTTAAACCAAGCCAGAGTTGTTGAAATAAACTGAAACTCTTGCTTAATTGAAGTGCTTGTTACTGACTCGGCCTGAGAATAAGTTGATGTCTTTTAATGTGTTGTTCCAGTTTGGAATAGCTCTTCCAGTTCCCCTGCTTGCGGAGTTGAAGATTGTGAACAGGTACTGGAAGACCCCAAACGACCTATAACCTTGGCTGTAGAGAAATCAGAAAGACTAGAGGAGTGTGACAGTGAGACAAAAGAAGAAACTTCCAGCTCCAGTAAGTTTTTCAATTTTATGTATAATATATATGAATCGCTTTAAGTACACGTTAAATGATGGGTGCATCTTAGTAAATTGGTGTAAGATGTGAGCACTTGAAATTTTGTGTAGCCTGACCCAACGGCGTTTGGATTTGATGCAATACATGAGCAATATTCTTGTTTGATTATCAACAATATTCCAAATGTGTGTACAGTTTATTATAATTTAGATAATTGTCATGTTTTGCTGACTTCTTTATTAAAAAAAGTAAAAGAAAGCTGTGTTTCTTGCATTAAAAAAANGCCTGTTCATATTAGTTATCCAGCTGCTAAGATTTTCAATAAAATGCACAAGAACGTTTTGCTAAAATCCTGCACTTGATTTTTTTTATCCAATACCTGCTTAATAATAATAATAGTTTGCACAGTCAAGCGTGTAAAGTAAACATATAACTCAACTGTTTGGAATGTTTTCTGGGTGACTTGTAACTATATAATCTAACCTCCAGTTTTGTTCACTTCTGTCTGTGGAAGAACCGATCTTGTTGGATGGTTGTGATATCATAGTTTCTGGCCGCTGCAGAATGGAATTAAGATATGGAACTAAATGAACTTTATAAATACTTTTTTTAACTAAAAATGAATCACTTTTTAAGCACACGTGAAATGATGGATGCATCTTAATAAAATTGGTGTAAGGTGTGGGTACTTGAAACTTTGTGATCAGTAACATTCACAATCTATCATGAATTTTACAGGTTCAAACCAGACTGAACAAGACCTTCTCTGCCTCAGCAATCAATCTCCTATTGACCTGTTGGGTGGACCTGTCCCATCCTGCTTGCCATCTCCTCAGCTCAGACCTGACCCGGTTATTCTTGAATATGGTGACTTGATTCAGTTTGAGGAACACTCTCCAAATGTCACAGGTTGAGGAAAAAAAGCTAATTTTTTTTTAAAACTACTGCACTTTATAATTGTGGTTCAAAACTGCATTTCATGCTTTTAAACTGTTTCAGGAATGCTCACTAAGCTATTGCAAATACAATACAAGCTTGCATTTATCTTGCGCCTGTCACATCAAGAGGACGTCCCCAGGGACTTAACAATATTGGCTTAACATGTAAGCGTTAATAATTGTTACTGATCGGGCTAACGTAAGAAAAAAAATGAAAAAAATCATCCAAACCCCTCTAATATGACTAATTTTGCATGTGGATAAATAAGATCTATTGCTGGTGGATTATTTAATGGATGATAATTGAAATTTTATTTTCTAAATGAGTCACTTTAAGTACTCGTGAAATTATGCATCTTTATTATAAACAAAGAGAATAAAAGGTAACTGATTAAACTTATGAACCATGTTATTAATGTCTAAGCATAACTGATGGTAGTTTCTATATTTGCTTGGCTTAGATTTTATAGTAACACTGAGCCCTACAGGTTTGTTTTAGATGCAGAAAATTACAATCAGATATTCTGCTTTTTAACAATCAAACCTTATCTTCAAATAGTCCGAGGTCAATTTTATTCTTGAGGAAGCTGGTATGCAATTTTAGTCTTCAAGCATAAACTTTTTGAATGTTTTTATGGTAACGTTTGTATAATTTTCTAAACAGATATGTTGGTCTTGACAGAGGAGGAGAAGACTGTCCTTCCTGCGGCAATGACTGAAGAGGCATTCAGCAGCAACAATGTGGTCAAACCGATAAATGAAAATGTTCCTATCATGTGCCAGCCCCAGGAAACGCCCAAGCCAAAGTCCCTGTGCGCAGAACTGACAGACAGCCCTCTTAAGAAGCCCAGAAATAAAGTGAAGTTGGCAGCAAATTTTTCACTGGCGTCTTCCAATCTTTAAATGTGTTTAAAATGGGGTGGTGGGGGGGGAGGGAGGGAATAGGATACATAGATGCAATTTTATTACGTAACTAGATTTGAGTGAAGCACGGAAATCAGTTCTCAAGTGCTTAAATCCAAAGTGAGATGCACACCATTTTGATCTTAGAAATCAGCTTCTGTATTTAAACAGTAATTAAGATAACCCTAAAAAAGTAAGAGAAGAACTTGGCTGTGCTTGTAGCCTGACCCAATGCATTTGGATTTGATGCAGTACATGAGCAATATTCTTATTTGACTATCAATACTATTCCAAAATGTGTGTATAGTTTATTATAATTTAGGTATTTGTCATGTTTCGCGGACTTTTTTTCTACAAAAAAAGTAAAAGAAAGCTGTTTCTTGCATTAAAAAGCCTGTTCATATTAGTTATCCAGCTCCGAAGGTTTTTACTAAAATGCACAAGAACGTTTTGCTAAAATCCTGCACTTTGATCCAATACCTGCTGAATAATAATACAGCTTGTACAGTCAGAGGGTAAAAGTGTAACTGAACTGTTTAGAATGTTACCTGGGTGACTTGTAACTATATAATCTAACCTCCAGTCTTGTTCACTTCTGTCTGTGGCAGAACAGATCTTGTTGAATGGTTGTGGTGTCGGTGTCCTGTTGCTGCAGAATGGAACTGAAGAGCTTCTTAGCAATGCTAGTATGTTGGGACGTACGTTGGGCTTCCCATAAGGTTTAGGTTGTATTTTTTTTTGCTGCAAGTTGATTTATTCACTTGCCTCGTCCTGACCTCATGAAGTACATCAAGTAGCTGGAGTCGCCATTGCCCTAGCATTCTGCTGTACTCTGTGCTTCAGCTGGAAGCTAACAGCACCTGTGCAGAAATTGGTGATTTTCAATGTGATTTTCAATTCAATGTGAAATATGCATTTATTGTATAAATCGCAAGTCATGAGGCAGGCGAAGGGGGAAACTGCTGTTTAAAAGTTGCTATTTCCACTTGACAGTTAATGGAGCTGAATCCCCTGAGCATGTTGAAACGTCAAGGTTTTGTTAAACCTTGCTTTGGTTTCTTAAAAGCGTGTTTCATTGGGAAGCTATGTGAGTAACCGTCTCAGAAGGTTGTCTTTTTAATGTGGGTTGCTTTTATTCCATTTCTGTGTGTTTGTCTTGAGTAGTTGTTGCTGGAAGTTTTAAGTCTTAAATGTCTGAGTTGGTGCCAGTGTGATGACCTTGGATAAGGTTGAAAGGATTTTTGCATTTTTAGATGAGATGAGATGAGAATTTAAGGGAGAGGTTGGAGGATTTGAGAACGATGTAGCAGTCGGTCCCTTAGGGCCTTCTGGGCAGAGCTGGCTTTTACAATGGGTTGTATTTGCCAGTAGAGAATGAATCTTTTTTTCTAGATTAGAGTGAACCTTTTTTTTTAAAAAAAAAGTTCTCCGCTGGTGCCAGAGATTGTTTGTGTCTAATAACAAAAGGTGGAAGTAACTGATGTGTGTGCGCGTGGGGTTTTTTCTCTTCTCTCTATCGACTTGGAGTCATGGTGAGGTGCATGTTGAAACATGTGCATGTGCCTTGAAATTGCAATTGTTAAAAATGTTCATTTTTAAAACTTGTAGCAAAACTGGAATTTAAAAACTAATCTGTCAGTTCCAAATTAAAACTGGAACTCTAATCCTGAAATGAATTTGAAACACAGTGTTCAATATCTGTGCCTCAGAGCACATGAGAATTTTAACAATTCTGATCAAATGGAGGCGATTTAACTGCTAAGCAAAACCGGTTGATGTGCAGTAACCATTGCAGGGCAACTGTTCGTTCCTGCTTATAACAAAAGCCGAAGTAAAGGAATTAAAATCTTTTGGTCGGGAAAGTTGCAAGTCACTTATGGCAGGTCTCTGCTTTAGAGCAGACTTATGGCTTTGTGATGTCTAAACTATATGAAATATTACAGTACTCTGAAATGGAGGCTTATATATGCAGGTCTGGATAAATGTATGTTGGTAATTTGTGTAGACTAATTTGAATAAGCTTTGTACAACTGATTGATGTAAACTGGTCGAAGCATCTGTTTGAAGTCTTCAAACATTATGTTGGCTAAAGTATTTAATGTTTCTGAAAATGTGACAAAGACTCGCACTTTGTTTTGTTTTCCTGTGAATGTACTTTCTACCAAAATTTAACCAGAAAAATGGCTTATGAATTGCTGGCTACTTCTGTGTTGGGACCACATTTATTTTGCCATCAATAAATTCACAGCAAGCATAAAATCAGTGTTTGGAGCATTTGTTTTTATTCTAACGTATTCAAGCTGCAAAATATTTAGCGATCTTCAGTCAGAAGAAAGACGGAGCAAGTGCCTTAAACACACTCTTTCCTTCCATAGCATTCATTTGGGAAATTAATCTGACTCCCAAGAAAAAGTAGTTTGTTCAGAACCTTTTCATTAAAACTTTGCGGTAGCTTGTGACCACTGTCCAGTTATTGTCGTGTTTCAACAGTCAAGACTATCCTCTGATGTCTGGTTAAGGGAACTAATGGAAGGAACATGATCAATAACACCGACGCAGAGAAAGATTATAAAATATCAGCATATTGTTTTTATACATTTTATTAATAAATACACAAATGCAACTTTTATACTTGGGGAATTTAAACCCTGATCCAAGTGCAACATGATTACTAACAAACTAACTTATGGTATGTCAGACCAGAAATATTATCTTCACCTACAACCCAACGTTTAACCATAATACATGAACAATCTAGTTTGGAACTTCTAACTCAGTACAGTAAGATGATCGTACATTAATCTGTCTGTGGACATGTTTGTCTAGAGGACAGCTCACATTACACTTAAGAACTTGAGGAGTTTAGTGGTTGCCTTCTTTATAGGTTAAAACTGTGTGCTGTTGTAACAGTGTCCCTGAAGCTGCACGTGAAATACTTCACAGATCAGAATAGCGCAACCTTGGATCGCTGTCCCTTTGGGGTGGGGGGGGGTCCTTGTTGGAACATCTGCGCACAGAAAATTTAAGTGAACTTTGGAACACTGATCAAACTACTTTATCACACGTGCCGGGTACAAAAACATCTTGTTCTAAACAGTGAGGGAAATTGTGATGCACTTTCCTTTGCAGCATGCGGCGCTTGTGATCTATGCAGGCAGGAAAGGTTCACTTCAACACTGGACGGTGTGGTTTAGTTGTAGCCTGGTTGGCCTTGTTTACCATCCAGGTGTGTCTGATCCATTCTGACTACAATTTTCATTTACAAACGCTCACAGGAGGTGAGAGTAAAAATGCGACTGATGAGAATTACATAACGCTGCACTGCATGCTTCCACAGCAGTCCTTTATTAATGCAATTCCAGCCTTGGTCACGGTTGGTTTGTTTGGCGGAGTTTCGGAAGCTACCGTCTTCTCTTTCGGAGTTTCTGCAACATTGAATAGATGGCTAATTCACTGAGTTTTAATATGCAATATGTTGTGTAAATATTGTGGTTAACGACCCTTTGCTTTAGAGTCCAAGCTGCCACCGAATGCCCTCTGGTCTATCTGCATCATTATCGTGCGCAAACTGAGCTGATCCACATTACTTTAAGTATATCCTATGAAGTGCTTTGAGATGTCTCAACGATCATTATTTTAGCAAAGAATGAGGGTCTCCAGATACTTTTATGTCTGTTTAGAGACCCCTGTGATGAATCCAAGACCGTTGTAGATTCATTTACTTGTTTGAACAACAACTATTTGCATTTATATAGCACCTGTCGTGCAGAGTAGGTCTCGGAGCACTTGCAACAGAAAGTTGTTGCATTAATATAATCTGAAAACCACAACACAAACCAAAGCAGCCACAAAAATGCTAACAGAACACAAACATTTGAGAATGAAGCCCTTATAACAAATGAGAGATCAACGCCATCTTATGTTTCTAAACAATGTGATGTCCTTTGGATGTGAATCCCGAATCGAACTAATTTCTGGTTGCTTTTTCACAGGATAAGTTAGTAGATGTTATCAATAACCAGTCGTCACCATAACTTACCTATAGGTGTTTTAACTATGTTTCCTAATGGCCTTAACTTGCTCTGAAGAAATTCGTCCATTTCCTTGTCTTCTTCCCGTTCTCTGCAGAAACAAAAAAATGGCTGTTATTTTCTTTCATGAAGCAATAAGAATAGGAGGATTATAATTTTCTTTGGTTGGGATTCCATCTAAACTTGGCAATACAGAAGGGAAAAAGCTATTGTCAAGATGAAGATGCACCAGGTGCATCAGTGGACTGGAAACATTGTGGAGACAGTAGAAGATGCCATTGCAGAAGCCTCCTAAACTGGCTAGTGAGTGGAGGTGTGGTGGAATAATCTCAAACCCATTTATTATTATTATTAATGATCATCCTTGCATTTGATATAGCGTCTTATCACAAAGTTGAGACGTCTCAAAGCGCTTCACAGAATATACTGTAAAACAAATTGACTGAATATGTTGTGGGCAAAATGTGGCAGCTAATTGCACACAGCAGTGTCCCACAAACAGTTGTGGATTGAGCAACCAAATTATTATATTTTTTTAAGGGATTATTACCCCCGGAAAGCGATCCGCCAAGCGACTGATAACCAGGTTCCTACTTACTGCTAGGTAAACAGAGGCATGTGTGTGGAGTAAGGAAACTTCCCTAAGATTTCATCGAAACCAGGACCTCTCGCTTGCAAGACAAGTGCTATAATGAATACCCTACTAACCACTGGGACTCCAGATTCTCTCATCTCTAGCTGTAGATCTGTCAGCTCCAATGGGGAGAAAGTGAAGTGCTAAATCGGGGTAAATCATACATAAATCCTGAACCATGTTAAGTAATAAAACATTAACGCTTGACTTTTTACCTTAACCTCTCCACTTCTGCATCTTCCACCAGAAAGTCCCTTTTCTCCACCAATTTCTGGATTTTGTGGATCAGTTTGTCTTCAGTTTTCTTGTCCTCACTGGTCTTTTCCTTTTCTGTGATGAATTTAAATTGCACGATGGGTTTAACCAATACATCATAGAAAGGAATGCTGCTTTGCCTCAACACTGAACTCCCTCAAAGTCCTTTTGACATGTTAGGAATAGTTAATGCATCAGTATTGATTCAAATCTATATTTTATCTGTTTCCCAGACACAAACCAATATCCACTATGCTTTACATAAACAGTTCAACATTTCAGCTATCAATTATTGATCACAGGCTTTAAATCCCATAAGTGGAAAGTTCTAATAGACTTCTGGAGACCCAGGGAGCTGTGCTGTCACACATAGCCTTTGAGTCACATTCTCCCCTACGTCAATTGATTCATTTTCCATGCAAATACTGTAGTGCCTTGACAACAGTTGAGCGTCTTATACAACAAGGCTCCTCTTCTCAAGAGCAGCAAGTACACCGGGAACACTCTGCATCTTTCCATGACGTCTTGAAACTGCAACTACCCTGAAGTTCAACTGCAATTGGTTTCATCAGTCACAATCCCATTACAATCTCCTAACTCTATGAGTGCTTACTGCACAAACTAAGCAGGGCAGCTTATAGAAAAGCAATACAGATTTGACCCTGGAATTGTTTTGCAATGAGTTGACGTCACCACAGACTGCTGCAGCCTGTGTATTCATATGGTTAAACCTTCTTGCTTTCCTTTGGTCAAGATATAGCTGGTGCTGAGTTTCAAGAATCTAAGAAACACAGAAAATGTTTATTTTTTTTAAATATGTTTGATACCTTCAGACAAGCTGACATCACTTTTCTTTCCGATCCTGTGCAATACATTAACAGTTTACAATTATAATAATAACAATCCTTGCATTTGATATTGCGCCTTATCACTTCTTCGAGACTTCTCAAAGGGCTTCACAGCATATACTGTAAGGTGAATTGACCGTATATTTTGTGGGCGAAACGCGGTAGCCAGTTGCGCTCCGCTGTGCCCCACAAACAGTCGTGGATGGAATGACTGAATTATATTATCAATTTATAGCAATAGTAGTGATTTACAGTAGTAATTTATAGAGCCCTTTAAGCAATGTCCCTTTCACATCGGGAACACATCTCAAAGTGCTCACTGAGTGTCTTCCAGACCATCACAATTATGAAGTGAAGAAGAAGAAAAGCGAAGAAGCGTTCAATGCAGACAGTGTTACACAGAGAGGAAGTACTGCAAGTCTCAGCGATGGATGGAGTTACCTGGTATTGATACTAATTTCTGGAGCTCCTGCTTCAGATCCATAATGTCCTTGCACAGCTGGATGTCATCCATCCTGTAATTAAAGGCAATGTCATTGGTAAATTGGGAGAGAGTTCAGTGTGGCAGGTCATGCAACATAATCCTACTTCCAGTGTTAGGAAGTTTTGGGGCAGAATTCTGCCACCAATCACTGAGATGAATCGAGTAATTCGCGCACCTCTACTTAGTGGATCAAGTGAAGCATCTCTGTTGAAAGGACAGAACTGGGGTATACCGAGTGAGTGACAAGAGCAAAACGTTTCCTGCACTTCAGTTTAAGTTGGAATAACCATCTCAGTCTATTCCACATCATAATAATAATAATAATACGCCTTGCATTTGATATAGTACCGTTCATGATGGGGAGGAAATTCAAAGGGTTTCAGAGGATTCACTGTAACGTGTAATGGCTGTGCATCCTCCCAACGTGAAAGGCGTTGTACAAATGTAATTTGTTGTTGTTGTTGACCAGGAGGTCAGACACCAACTCTTAGTTTGCGACACTAACTTACATTTGCTTCCTTATTGTTGTGAACATTCTGTCTCTGGAAATTTGCGCTACTTCATCATTTGCCGCCCGAAAATGTTAATTCCTCAGACTTAGTGGATCAAGTGAAACTCCTTCAATGTGAATGTTTTCGATTGCCTTGTTTGAAGTTAACGCTTGCTTGTTATTGCCACGGGACTAAGTGTTTGGGGGGTGGTGGGGGGAGATGCAGCAAAAGGCAAGCGTCTTGTCAGTTGCAATATTGAGCGGAGGTGAATTGCTGAGCTGATAAAGAGGGAAAAGCAAACTTGTCACACTCCAATGCCTCCTGATGACTGGCTACAGAATTGAGCGGTGAGTGAAAGGAGCTATTCACTGGTACGCGTGCAGCTTGCAAAGCTGCAAAAAGAGGGGGCGGTGGAGGAATAACCACAATTTTAAAAGTCATGCTGTCAAATATTTTGGTTACTCGGCATTAACTATAAATGCTGCTTGCGTTTATGGAGCTTTTGCAGCGTGCGTATTATGCTGATAGATGGCACATACGCAGGCTTTACATTACCACTGATCTGCTGAGAACCAAAAGAAACACTGGAATAAATGGGTCGTTTGGCTGATCAAGGCTGCTCCTGCCACACACTACACAAACCCGCACGGGCCTCACCCAGCATTCTGCATCACCAGCCAGAATCACAAGTAACTAATAAATAATGCTCATATTTGATGTTGCGCTTTTCACATCTCAAAGTGCTTCACAAGAAATACTGTGAAGTGTGATGACTGTGTATTTATAGTTGAACGTAACAGCCAAGTTACAGAACAGCAATCGCTCACAAACAGCCACAGATTACCATGGGTTCTTTAATGCCCACCCGAACAGGCAGACAGGACCTTGGTTTAAAGTCTTGTCCAAAGGCCATCACCTCCAACAAAGCAATACGCTGACGCATCAGACCTCGACTATGAGTTCACGGTCCTGGAGCTTGAACCCACAACCTTCTGATTCAGAGTGCTGTCAATTGTGCCAACTGATTCTTTGTGTTACTGTGACTGTGGATGTTCTGGGGTGAGCAGTGTTGCTTATTAGATTAAATTGACAGCGTAGAGTTTCACTCAATTTTCTTAGTTCCCTCGGGAGAAATTTCATATAATCTTCCTTCAGGAGACTAAATAGTTGGGATGAAGGGAAAAATTGTAGGTGATCTTCAGAAAAGCAGACTTAATGAGCTGAATACGATTTTCTTAATGGGTTGAGTTGCTTTATCTCGTGATATTGCTCTCCATTCTTTTGACGACATACCTAGTCTCTGCTGACTTTGTGCTCTGATGGCATGTCTGGCTTCTCTGTGTTCCTGCACTAAGTTGCTGGTCCAAGGCTCTCTGAAGTGCTGGACACTGACTAACATATTAATAATAATAATCCTTGCATTTGATATTGTGCCTTATCACGATTTGGAAATGTCTCAAAGCGTTTCACAGAATATACAGTAAAGTACTGTGTATTTTTGGGGGCGAAACACGGCAGCCAATCGCACACAGCAGTGTCCCACAAACAGTCATAGATTGAGTGACCAATTTATTATTATTATTATTTNAAGGAATTATTACCCCTGGAAAAGCGATCTTCCAATCGACTACCGACCAGTTCCTACTCACCGCGAGGTAAACAGAGGCGTGTGGAGTAAGAAAACTTGCCTAACATTTCGCCCTGCGAGGCGAGTGCTGTAAACACTGAGCTACGGGTCTCCACATCTAGTTTTAGCACCAGCTGTGACACTGTCTTTGTAGCGTCAATTAAAGCGGGTCCAAGTGTCCGCATGAAAAGACCAACTAAAGCAATCAATTATGTAAAAGAACTGGAATTTTCCTCTTTGAACTGCTGAGCTTGCAAGCCTGGCTTCTGTCGTGCACCTGAGCTCTTCTGAAAGCCACATGCCGTCAGCACATTAAGAGTTCACCCCAGCTGTTTCCAGATATCTTTTCTATCCAGTTAAGAGTCATTAAATGATTATTTTTACAGGCCCATTTGTCTGACTCCTGTTATTCCAAGATTAATTATTTTCTTCCAACCGTAGCTCATGCTTGAACACCAATGCTTTCTGCTTGTCAGCGCACGTCCTTGTTTGCGCAGCCCTATGAAAAAGCTATTACACCATTATCAGCTGTCTCCATATTTCAGGATACTTATCATTATCATTTCTTTTTTGCCCTCGGCCTTGAAACCAATGATTCATCACAGGCAGCAAATTAAAGGCACAATTTGACCTGTTTTGCATTCTCAGATACCAGTAGTTGATCTCAGTGAGCTTTGAATTGTTTGATCTCAGCTCAGGTGTCTGGTGCTGCTGATATCCCTGGTGTGTAAATTAATTGTTATACATTTCTCGATCCACCAGTCTTGAAAAGTCACACATTCAAATAATCCTGAAGACTGTTCACATGAATATTAAACAGATACTGTGCTTTGATGCAAATACAATACAATTTGCATTTATATAGCTCTTTTCACATAGGGAGGACGTCACAAAGCACTTGCAATCCTCTATGTACAGATCTGGGACTGGCGTTACCACCCTGATGATTTAGGACTTTAACATGGCGACGTTGCCACTAAATATTATTAATCCCAATTGTAAAGCTGCACTGGTAGCCATTGCAAAGTTACGATTATTGTTACAACTAATATCCCGAATTCCAATCTATTCGTCAGTGAGACTAAGTGTAAGTGAATTTCCTTCCCCATCGTTACATGGGTTGAACATCTGTTTTGAACAAACAATGAGTCTCTCATCCTATGTGTCCAATTGGAGGCCATGGGCGAGATGTTTTATAAATCGCATTAAATCATCTGCTGCAATTGCCATTCTAATCAATCCTCAATTATAGGGCTTCAAAATTCCAAGCGACCCTGAATTATTAAGAGAGAGATATACAAGGAGCGTTTACGCGTTTCCAACCACATATGAATACATTTATTATTTATTGCATCAAATGTGCAAAGGTTAGGGCCAGGTGATTTACTGACTGAGGCTGACCCACAGGAAGACCGTCTCTGACATGAGGTTTCAAAGCATCTTTAAACACACTGCACATTCAGATACCACTTGCTTATTGGAATAGCCTTTTAATGTGTGTGTGTGTGTGTGTGTGTGGTTTTTGGGGGCGGGGAGGGGGCAGTGGGTTGAATCGTCCTCCCAATGGGAAAGGCGCTAGGCAGATATCATTTGCTGTTGCTGTTTGCTGAAGGGAAGGAACGCTCTTTCTTTCATTTCTGCCAATCGACTAGATTTTCCTGTCGTCCAATTCCAAGCTCCCAACATGACCGAGATTGGTGAGTTGGAATGTGGGAGATGTTGTGGTGAAACCACTTCCCACAGTGTGTGTCGCTAAGTGTGTGTGTGTATCTGTGCTGTTCGATGTACTGTGACACTGAGTTCCTTCCTACATTTCCTACGTGTGAAACACGTTAATTGCAGTATTGCTCAAGCTTTGCTCATATCAAAATCCCAAATGCTATTCAATGTAATATAATTCAAATAATTTAATTAATGAGAGTAGACTTCTGCTGCACTACATAATGATGTATTTTATTTTTAATGTTTTGCTTATTATTATCATAACAAAATGTATTTTTCTTCCTGAAAGAAACATGCACATTACTCTCAATCGTCTACAGCGATGTGTTACAACAACAGATTACATTTGCACGTTGTGCCTTTCACGTTGGGAGGATGTCCCAAGGACGCTGGACAATCAGGGACCCAAACTGGGGGTTGGGTTCAGGAGGGGTGGAGGGAGGGTAGGGGTAGGAGGGTGACCAAAAGCATGGCTGAAGAGGACCGTCTTGAGACGGGGCCTTGCGGTAAGGTAGTGGGGGGGTGGGGGGGCGAGGTGAAGGACTGTGGGATAGAGTTCCAGAGGGTGCAGGCAGAAAGGCGGAAGGCACATCAAATTCACATACAAACTCACATAAATCTGAGCTCTGACTCTCTCCTGACCAGCACCTCCCGCAGACGTTGGATTCGTGACATCTCGGCTTCAATTTCTTCGGGAGTGATGGTGGTATCAGCCATTGAGATGACGTCAAGCTGATCTGTAGGTGAGCCAGAAGATAACAGAGCAACATGAAACCAGACCAGATAATCCGGGTGAGTTAGACATACAAGCTATCACCATTCTCGTCAATCAGAACCCAAACCTTTATCCCTCATCTGCCATTGAGTCACAAAGTCATTCACATTAACAACCCACATCAACACAACTTTGCACTGAGCAGGAATTAACTGGGGTGTGGAGGGAGGGAAGGAAAGATTTCTGTTTTGTTATTTGAGACGGAATGTGTTGCGCGATACAAATCATTATTTGATAAGAGACATTTTTTCTTAGTTTGTGCAGCATGTATCCTCCGTATAAATTTGGTCATTTGCTTCATGGTTGTTTGTGGGAGATTGCTTTGTGCCAATCTGCAGCCACGTTCGCCCACAAAACACACAGTCACTACACTTTACATTGTATCCTGCGAAGAGCTTCAAGGCATTCTCCTGATGTGAAATGCGCGATCCAGAATTCTTAACATTTTGGTACAAAATCCTTTGATACAAGAGGATTATTATTATTGTTTGGTTCCAGCACAGGTTCTTCAAAGTACTTGAGGGAATTTAATATGGAACAGATAACATTGCACAAATTACAGTTTCCAAAATGAATAGAGTAAACACTGTACAAGATTATTGGAAATAGCGAGATGAGCCTTTCCAACGTCAAGGAGAATTTTATAACTTCAATTTCATCAATAATTCCCATGAAGGAAAACTCTCTGACTGCTGAATAAAATAATATGTATCAATATTTAAACGTACTCTTTAATAACATTTTTGTTTAAAAATAGCTGAATCAGCCATTTCAAAGCGGCATAGATATTACTTATCATCCTTAAGAGTATGAAAGCAACAAATCCAAACACAGTACTTAAAATTTCTCTGCAGTACACTTATAGGATGGTTTGGCTTCACGTTGTAATTGTTCCACTTTAATGGAGTAACATTAAGGCAAAGAAATGTGAGCAGTTCTGATGGTGTAGTGTGAAGAGCTTATAGACTGGGATCTCGCTGGTTTAAATCCTGGATCATACTGAGTTTACTGGTCTCAGTTGGGGCTCCGTATGGAGGCTAAGTTGACCCATCATCCCATGGTTTAGGAGGGGAAAATAAGACAGGGTCTCTGATATCTCTTCCTCTTCAGCACCTTCTACTGGTAATACAACAAACTGGGCAAATCAGCTGAAGGAATAAGATGATAATAATAATAATGATAATCCTTGCATTTGATATAGCGCCTTATCAAGTCTTGGAGACAACTCAAAGCGCTTCACAGAATATATTGTAAAGTTGACAAACAATTTGAAAGGAAAACTGAGCCATGTCTGCCCTTTACGCTATGGGATTTTGAACGGACACAGTCGGAGTTGACACCCCATTGCAGTGGTGGGGGAGAATTGCATTGTCAGATGAGACGTCAAATCAAGTCCCGTCTGCCTGTTCAGATGGATGTTAAAGATCCTGTCCAATTATTTGAAAAGAAAAGGAAGTTTCTCCTGGTCAACAATTCCCCAGATAAAATTGGTTATTCATTTCATGGCTGTTTGTGGGACTTTGATGTGTGCAAATTGCCTACCCTTCACTTACAATATATAGTCCCTGCACTTTACAATAACTATTCCCAATGTGAAAAAGGCGCTGTGTCGAATGCAAGCATTATTATTTATGATGATTATTATGTATTTTACTGTGCTGCTGCAGAACAGCATCTGAACAAACTATGCACAATTCTCAAGGATGTGGGAAATATGGAAATGCAATGCTGATAAATGGCTAAAAATATTCATGACGGGTTATGGAAATAAACCTTATCCATTTTGTTTACCCTGTCAGTCTATGCACTTTCAGAAAATTGGTTTCCATGATTCATATATGTACACAAAATTGGCTGCTGCATTTCAATGCTACAGTAAATCCTGTGAAGTTCCTTGAGACATGTTCCTGATGCGAAAAGTGCTAAATGTAAGGATTATTATTTACACCACAACATATTCATTTCCCATAACTAAGGATGAAGCAGCCAATGCATACTTGCCCATTTGAGAGCCGTCCAGATCCACCAGGAGGAAACAGAAGGATTAACAGATAAATGATAGCATCAAAATTACAGAAATATTGGAAAAAAGTGGGAACTGATATTAATCATCAACAAAACTCTGCAGCAAAATTTCAATCTCATAACTGGTTGCCACCAAAGCCAGTAAGTCAAAACATCTCACGTCAGCAAAGAAAGATGAGAAACTATGCAGTAATGGTAAACATAGTCACCGGGAAACACTAAAGAAGCTTTTCATTATCTAATAAATACACTGTACCAATAAGAGGCTTAGTAATATCCAGTCTAATCCTCAGAGTATTGATTTTGATTTTTGCATCCCCCAAAATGTACACACTTTGCGTGAAAGTCGCTCACTCACTCTGAATCTGGTGAAAAATTCTGACAAATAATATTAAACTCACCGGCATACATGACAATAATAATAGTCCTTGCATTTGACACTGCGCCTTATCACATCGTTGACAATTTTTCTTACAACAACAATATACAGCCTTGTAACACATACAGTATGCATGCAGGTCCAAACTCACTGAGAATCTTTTTAACATGAGTACTGTGTGCGATTGTGAAATAATCATTTATCAGGCATTTCCTCGGATAAATTGAATTGGATTTTGTAATTCTCTTTCAAACGACTTTAGAAAATGATGGCAAGTGCTGCAATAACATTACTAATAATCCTTGCATTTGATACAGCATCTTATAAAGATGTCAAAACGTCTCGAAACACTTTGTAGGATGTTACTTTTATTTTGGCTCAGAGGGACATGCTGTTTGATGACACGCTTAGCAATAAAGAAAGGGGTTATGCAAACGTACTTGTAGCAATACACTGATCTTTTAACAGCGAAGAAAAAATAAAATTGATCATCTCAAAATTACTTGACTTTAACAGTGTGTGAAAGCTGCGGATCCACATAGAATAATATATTCTGGTTCCAAATTTTGATTTCTAGACAGGACAGACTTGTTGCTATACCGTTCCCGAAGGCTCAAATGTTGCACTAACCCCTTCGGAAAGAGTGCTGAGCGGATGGTTTCTTTATGGAGCTGGTCAGTATTTTAAGTAACAAATACTTGTAGTCTCAAATATCGCCTTCCATTCCACCCTTCCCAAAGCTCTGGATAATTTGCTGTCGCAATGAACATAATCCCAGGCAGTCATTTGTATGGTCCCAACACATTTTAATTGGCACCATACATATATATATATATATATGAATTCAACTGTTTTTTTAAGGTAGTCAAGATAAATAAATATTGTGTAACTCCTGTACTTTAAACAACTGTATTTTATAAACTTAAATCCCAAATATTTACTTAGGTAGGTTTCTGGATTTTTCAAAGGTCATTTGGTAAATTATATGTGATTGTATCATAGAAGACACTGTATATCAATATGTGTAAAGCAACTCATCTGGATTTATTTCAGTGGGAATGTGTTTGCATTTCACCCACAAAATATACAATCAATTCACTTTGCAGTATATTCTGTGAAGTGCTTTGAGACATCACAACAATATAAGACGCTATATCAAATGTAAGGATTATCATATTTATATATATATATATATACATATATCAAACCAAACCTGCAAACCAAACCCCCCTAAAAGGCTTTTTGCTCATGCAAAAAAAAAATGTGATTTTTAAAAAATTACACTGTGATGAAATGATGTCTCAGATTTGTTTCTTGTTGGGGGGAGTGGGGGGGAGTTGCAGCTGATGAAATCTATCCTGAGGAATCCCATTGATCCTCCCACAGATTTTTGTTTCCTTGGCAGGACATGATCTTCTCATTTACACTGGGATATTTTTTTCTCTCTCTCTCTCTTCTACTCTCTCTCTCTCTCTCTCTCTCCATCTCTAGTGTATTGCCTGCAATAGGGTCATGAAACCCTGCCATCAAACCCCCTTTTCCACTGGTCCATATCACTAGGGATGGCCAAAGGCAATAACACAAACTGCATGACTGCATTTAACGAGATGGATCCTGTTTCCTATAATAAACCAGCCATCCCACCCCAACCAAGCCATCCCTCTTTGCATCCTTTTTTCGGATGATGCTGCATCTCACATGCACACAGCAGCCTCTACAAAATCCATCTCTAAAAAACATTATTTTTCCTCCCACCCCCCCCCAAAAAAAAAATCATCCCCTCCTGAGGTTTGCTTTCCTCAATGCCCAGCCTGGGAGGAGCAAGTGCTTAATATATATATATATATATATATATACATATAGAAATAAATAAATATAAACACACATATATATGGATATACATACACACACACACACATAGAAGTCAATAAATAGAAACATATAAATATATGTATATACACACATATATATGAATAAATATACATATTTGTAAATAAATATATACACACATATATAAATAAATACACACACACATATATATTTGTGCCCATTATATTACATATAATATGGTAGATATATATGAATTCATTACACACACATACACACACATATATATATATATATATATATATATAATAAAGGGTTGTGGACGTATCCTGATGCTGTGTGATGCCTCTGTGTGTGTGTGTGTGTGTGTGAGTGCAATCCTCTGAAACATGGTACTTGCCTTTGTCCAGGGTCTCATTGCTCCACCTGGTTTCTCTCACAGCCCCATAGCTTTTCACTGCTCTCTCACTGTCGACTGAGGCAGAGAGAGATCTCTTGAGCTCCATGTCCATAACGCTTGGCTGCTTTACCTTGTGCCTTGCTTTGCCTGGTGCTGTCTGTCTGTCTGTGTCTGTCTGTCTGTGTCATTCATTCATTCACTCACTCACTCACTCACTCCACTCCTCCACTCACTCCATGCTGATGCTCAGGCTTCTTCAGCTGGGAACCACCTCCCAATATAACGTCACCCACTGCATGGGAAAGGAAAGTGGGAAGAGAAAAGAGAGAGAGAGACATGGGTGGAGCAAGGCAGCATCATCAGGTACTGTATCACCAGTGTTAATGATAACAATAAATAATAAATAATAATCATCATCATCATCATCACCATCATCGTACTCCTTCCAGGGGATACGCTGTGAAGTGAATTGACTGTATATTCTGCGGGCGAAGCCCGGCAGCCGATTGCGCCCGGCGGGTGACCCACAAAGAAATTAGAGCGAACAAATTATATTAAAAAAGCAATTTTTTTAAAAAAAAAATCTGTTAAAAGAATGATTATCCCCGGAAAGCGATCCGCCATTCAATCGACTCACGATTCAGTCCGTCTGCGTCAAATCCACTTTGCCTGTGCCACCCGCAGCATGAGTTAACGACTAGGGCTTCTCTCTCTTTCTCTCGCGCTCTCTTTCTATCTATCCAAGGGAATTGAGGAGGAACTTCTTCATGCAGAGGGTAGTGAGAGTTCCGCACTCGCTTCCCCCAAGCGGTGGTTGGATCAGAAAAAGCGTGGATGCGTTTAAGAGAAAGCTAGATAAACACAGCAGGGAGAAGGGAGTAGAAGGGGATAATAATAATAATAATAATAATAATAATAATAATAATAATAATAATAACTTGCATTTGCTATAGCGCTTTATCGCATCGTTGAGAAGTTTCAAAGCACTTCACAGAATGTACTGTAGAGTCGATCGACTGTGTATTCTGTGGATAAAAGCCAGTTGCGCACAGCAGTGTCCCACAAACAACAATCGAATGAGTGACCAATTTTATCCACACAGTCTATGTAAATCTATGGAAGCCTTTTATATTGATCCCACTTTCCAGCTCCTTCCCCGTCGCTTTACAAAATTCATAGTCACTCCGCTTTCCATGGCAAATCGCGTGAGACATCTCAACGGTGATAAGGCTCTGTAGCAAATGGAAGGATTATTATATAACCCCGAACAGGTTTATTATTGCAGCCCAGGTAGTTTATCTGATTCTCTTTGTCAACCCAGGATTCTGAATGATGTTTTAAAAATAATTAAAGGGAACTAGGGACCTTAAACAGCAATAAATCTTAACGCAAAAGTGTTTTTTTTTAAAAAGCAAAGGAATTCATGGAACACTTAAGAATACCCCAAACCCTTTAGTGCACTGGGTATATTCCAAATGCACTACCATAACACTAATGCTCATTATAGCTACAAAGGAAACAGGTCAGATCACTAAATGTGCGTCATTATTTATTAATACATTTGCCAAAGACAGGGATCAATTTTTGGTTAATTTTCTGAACAGTGGGGAGGGGGGGAGGTGGCCGTAAGCGCGGTCGAACAGGAAAGTCTTCGGGCGGGACTTGAAAGAGGGGAGAGAGGGGGCAAGGTGGAGGGATTGAGGGAGAGTGTTCCAGAATAAACAATGTGAGAGATCTGTTCAGAAAGCTATTTGTTTCAGAATTCATTCAGGCTCTTTTGAAAGGAGTCACTGAGAACCTCTGAGTCACTTCGGAATGTTAATTAAATGTTAATGATGCGAATGCAAGTCCAGGCCATACTCTTAAGAATGCGATTTTCATTTGAACATGGATTGGCATAACACAATGTACCAGAGGCAACTGTAAATGAGGACGAATGCCTTGGTAATTACAATGTTCTGATGATCTGGAGTACAGAGAGCTCTCTGCAAGCTTCTCTCTACAATCCTCTCTACAAAAATCTATCGTCCAGATTGTATTTTCAACACTCAGGACATTGCTGTTTGTAAATTTGCTGCCACAATCTCCCATAAAATAAACAAAGTCACACCACTTATAATAATAATAATAATAATACTTGCATTTGACTTAGCGCCTTATCATGTCGTCGAGACGTCTCAAAGCGCTTCACAGCATATACTGTAAAGTGCATTGTCTGTGCATTTTGTGGGCGAAACGCAGCAGCCAATTTGTCCACTTCATTGTCCCACAAATAGCCATGAAGCAAGTGACCAATTTTATTTGGGGTTTATTGGCCAGGAGAGAGCAATTTCCTTCTCTTTTCGAATAGTGCCATAGGATCTTAATGTCCACCTAAACAGGCAGACAGAACCTCAGTTTAATGTCTCATCCGAATACACTTTACGGTATATCCTGTGAATCCCTTTGAGACATCTTGGCAATGTGATAAGGCGCTATAACATGTAAAGATTATTATGATTTATTATTATTGTTACTTATCGGTGTCCATGCCTTACCACTTTGGCCGGAAGTAAGACGTTTTATGAGAGAACTCCAAATATTGTGGTGGGAACCAATTTCTGAGTGAGCAGAAATGCTGCATTGAATAACTCCTTTTTTTTAAAAAAAAAGCACCTTTTGAAATTCCGATCCTAAAGCCGCGTGAGCTTACGAAAGATTGACTGCATTTGTGCAGATCATTTAAAAAGGTTAATTCTAACATAACTTTTCGGTGCTTGATTGATGCTAATTGCATTTTTGCTGTGGTATTTGGTCAGCTATATCCTGGATTTCCAAGCTTTTTGATTGCCACAGAAGAGCAGTGGGTCTTAACCAGGTGTACAATTTAATTTAAAGCAAGATTCACTCCACCCTCACCCCCACCACCACCGGTTAACCTACTGCTTTGTCAGAGTCGTACTTACACCAGTAAACCCCACACTTTTGCCTGAAAGCAAATCTGCTGTCTTTTTTCTCTACGAGTTACGGCCCACAGTTTCTTCGGGTTTTATCGATCCAGGCGAGGATGAAAAGAAAAACCTCGCCTGATTATTTTGGTTTTCACACTGGAGTTTTTTTTGTGTGTGCGTGAGTTCAAATCATTTGATTCGTCCCATTTCTTGGCTTGTGCCTGGGAACATCCTCTTTGTGTCTGTCACGTTTAAATTCCGTCACTTGAATGACGTCACCCTGTGCTGACCCGCACAGGCTCGATCTCCTTCCAGAGACCTGCTGAGAAACCGGGATCGCTTTCCGGGAGTAATCATCCCTCCAATAAAGCAAAATGCGGTCACTCAATCCGTGATTGTGTGTGAGCAATTGGCTGCCCACAAAATACACAATAAATCCACTTTGCAGTATATTCTGTGAAGCGTTTTGAGTCGTTTCAATGATGTGATAAGGCACTATATCAAGTGCAAGCATTATTATTATTATGATGATGATGATGATGTCTGATTTTTCTCTATTCTCATCCAGCCATGTGTAGCGCTCTCATTCTCAGCACCCGGTCTGTATAACTTAAAGTCGCACCGTGCAGCACATTTGATTGACAAGCATCAGGAGGGAGCAACCGGATAGAGGGTGTTGTGTTGGCAATCTTATTTGACGGTGTTTTGTTGTTTCATTATTTACAGACGGAAATCTGGGATGTCAATAACGAAAACTGAAATAACGAAGTAAAACACAAGATATCAAGGTACAGAGACTGCGCACATTTGTCAGGGTAACCTGCAATGATGTGTCCTCTTGATCCTGGTAAGATCCTGGTAAATAAACTGCATCCAAACTCAGCAGGTCAATAAAGAACTGTTTGCTTATAATTGTGTGCTTTATTGTTGGATTCATCGCCCGAGACTTCAAACTGTAATAAGGTACTTATTGATTTTATGATTTTTTAGGTCAGTTTTAACTGCTGTGTTAAATTGAGCAGATATTCTGGTTGGAGGAGGTGTCCGTGTTTATATTGTCTGTTACAGGTGATTGTATATCTTATCGTGCCCATATAACATGTGACATCATTCAGGCAAAGAGATATTGACATCTACCAGTTATATATATTTTAGCACTGTTAAGCGGTTTGAGATGTCCTCATATAGTGAAAGGCACGAAATACCCAGAATCAAACCCGGATACTCTCGCTTGCGAGTCTTTAAATCACTCGCCTCGCAAGCGAGAGGACCTGGGTTCGATTCCTGGATAGGGTAAGACCTTAGGATAGTTTCCTTACTCCACATGCCTCTGTTTACCTAGCAATAAGTAGGAACCCAGTTGTTAATTGATTGGCGGATCGCTTTCCGGCAATAATCCCTTCCAAAATAATAATAATAATAATTTGGTCACTCAATCCACGACTGTTTGTGAGACACTGCTGTGCGCAATTGACTGCCACATTTCATCCACAAAATATACAGTCAGTTCCCTCTACAGTATATTCTTTGAAGCGCTTTGAGACGTCGCAACAATGTGATAAGGCGCTGTATCAATTGCAACGATTATTATTATTATTATAAATGTAAACTGTATCTCACTGTATTCTGCAGATGTGATCTGCCAAACAGCACCAAAGAGAATGTTAACCTGGATCCATTTACAAGGTCACATTTGTTCTTGCTTTTGCTTGACATTTGGAACAAGTTCTCCAAATATCAACCTCACCATTAATGTGTAATAATTTTCCAGCAATTGGCGATGTAAACATTGTAAACGTAAGTGACATCCATTGTGCATTGTTATGCAATATTTAAAACTGAAGTGCACACTTACCTAAATTGCGGATAAAAAATAACAAAAGACATATATCTGGCACATGTTGCAAAAAATAAAACATGATTCAATTATTTAGCCCTGAATTCTCGTAAATTTGCAATCATTTTTTTCAGAAATAATAATAATACTTGCATTTGATATAGCACCTCATGATGTCTTCGAAACGTCTCAACAACAACAACAACAAGATTACATTTGTATAGCGCCTTTCACGTCCGGCGGACGTCCAAATTAGAGGACGTCTCAAAGTGCTTCACAGGATATACTTTTAAGTATAGTGGCTGTATATTTTGTTAGATTATTTTTGCCCGATAAAGAATTGATGCCAGTGGTGTGCGGGCATAAATCCTTAGCCAACAAAGCACCGATTGTTTTATTAAACTAGAAACTTGCCGGATTATTGAGCAATGTCAATTGACTCCTGGGAGAATCCATTGGTGAACAGACCTCCAAAAAGATACAGCCCTTTGATTCATACATTTGTCTGCAAATGCCAATTATTCTGCAGAGTACACGTAAAAGAGATCCGAGCGTGGACTGTATTTTAATGATTTAGAATTTGCTCAACTTTATACTTAAGCAACTCCTAGAATCATGTATTATTTGGAGGTTCTTACAAACTGTATTAGTTGAGTGCATGCTCTTGACTCCCTCTTGTGGGATAGGCAGTCAAATTTTCCGTGGATGCTTCGCAATTTAATAAATAATGAATGTCTCCTTCACGCAATGTCAAAGAGGAGGCAAATATCTCCTAATAATGTTACAAAATTATACAATAATGAATCAGTCCGACAAAGAAATAACACAGTTAAGGGGATTCAATTGTACTAGGAACAGGTTTGTGGTGAAGTCGTCGATATTAATGATTCATTATTTAAACTCAATCGTTGAACGGATCAGTTCCCCTAATGCTACTTAAACAGGTGTTTGAAGGGAAAATGTTTTTGGAGAATGAGAACCTATGGTTGACAGTGTTTCTGTGAATCCTTCTGCACAAATCGACTTGTCGGGGCGAAACCTTTGATAGGTTTCCTTATGCATCTGTTTACTTGGCAGTAAGTAGGAACCCGGTTGCTGGTCGATTGGCAGATCGATCTCCGGGGCGTATAATCCCTCTGCCCCCTCCCCACCCCCCCCCCGCCAAAAATGCCTGTTTTTTTTCTATCAGAGCATGTCATTTTACTTTGCCGGCATGGATTAAGTCGTGCTCTAAATGTGCCGTTACCGCAGGTGAAAGTTGAATGTGCCTCATAATATTCAGAAATAATAGTGTGACTAAAGTTCACTTACACAAGACAACAATCCTTTGCAAATTTATGGTCATCAGATAGTTTTACAACTTGACAGAATTTTTACACGCATTCCAATATTGGCAGCAGAATTATTGGAACATTATGAAATAGGTGGAGTGTTGTCCTTTTTATTTTCCGACTCTAACTTCTTGCCCTCACTGCCAGAGTTAGCCGGTTTAAGTAGGTTTGCAAAAACAGTGCCATTTCCTCTCTGCTGGGTAAACGACATGAAGATGGCCCAAAAAANGCAACAAAAGCCAGCAAAGGCTGTCCTTACATATGGTGGCACAAAGGTAAAGTTGATTGCCTAGAAGAAGAGAGGAAAGACATTACTTTAATAAAATAATAACAATATTCCTTGCATTTTATGTAGCACCTTATCACATTTTTGAGACATCTCAAAGTGCTTCACATAATGTAATGTAAAGTGAATTGACTGTATGTTTTGTGGGCAAAACACGGCAGCTGACTGTGCACAGCAGTGTCCCACAATCAGTTGGGGATTGAGGACCAAATTATTATTATTATTTTTTTGAGGGGATTATTGTCCCCCAGAAAATCAATCTGCCAATCGAGTAACAAACAGGTTCCTACTTACTGGTAGATAAACAGAGGCATTTGGAATAAGGAAACTTGCCCAATGTTTTGCCCTACCCGGGAATCGAACCCAGGTCCCCAGGTTAAGGTAGCAGCAAAATAAAACGTTAAGTATAAACTCTTATGAAAGAAATATTGAAAACTTACCTGCATGACAGACCAATATGCCACACCAATCTGAAAAGAAAATAGTTTGATAGGGGAATTAAGTTGAATAATTTTCAATAATAGTTTTGTCCTCTTTATTGTATTATCCTTTGTATTTCTTCAATACTACTCAGATGTGTCGAGAACACGTTTAGGATGGATTATATTCATATTGATAACAAATATATCACTGCAACTCCCCTCAAAACCCGCTACAGTCTCTCAATTTTAAGACATGTTTAGCTCATACTTTCTGTTCAACCATTCACCACTCTCCTACTTTAAATTTCAGATCACAACCTTGAAAAAAGGGAAGTCAGATGCTGTTTCCTGTAAATGGAGATTATCCACACTTCAGTCAACCTGATCCACTGGTATTGCATTGCATAATGGTTGGTAACTGACTGGTATGGGCAGCCTCCAAACAGGTAGAAAATCACCTGCCCAATATAAGGGGCGAAGCTAGATGTCAGCTCAGCGAACAATGATATAATGCAGAGAATAGGAGTCAAAAGTGCCAATCAATTTGTGCATCACATAGATGATATACACTGCTGTATGTTGTAGTGTAACCTAAATTAAACCACAGCAGTTCATTAGTCCTTTGAGGTGCCTATTTTGCACCGCACTCTTGCCTCACTTCTGCAATAATTAATTAGCTCTTAGTATTCCTTGGCTATATTTTTACCCAAAATGAAATTGCGATCACACTCGTAATAATAAGGGAAAAGACACATTGCATTATCAGGTGTGAAAGAGCCGTAGACTTTGATTAAACTGATACTAGAAGGTTGGCATTCTCCTGCTCCTGACATTGACAAAAACTAAGGTGCAAAGTGATCAACTTTCAGTCTTCGGTTTTTACCTTGTACGAGTTCCAGAACTTTTCTCTGCAGACTCCAAATATATCTGGTTGCCCTTCCAGTGCACTCATACCTAAACGACATCAATAACAAAAAAGCATCGTTGGGAAGGAATAAACAATAAAAAAAGGAAAGAGAAGACTGAATCCTTCTCTGAAAACGTTCCCTCCCACTTACGTTATCCTTACTAGCGTTGCTGCATTGAGTTACACAGCTTTGGCACATGGCTTATTGCCATTGTGTTCTACAGGTTAATGCCAGAAGTAAAAGAGGCACAAAGATAGCTGTTACAAGTGTCTTCAAATATGTCTTGTAATGTGTCTTGTAATAAAAAACAGTTTTTATTCATTATTTATTGATTGCCTAGAAGAGGAGAGGAAACATATTACAAATTACGTTAAGGTAGCAGCAAAGTAAACAGTTAAGTAGAAAATCTTATTAAAGAAATAAGATTTTATTCATTACTTGTAATGAATAAAATCTTACAAGTAATGAATAAATCATTGCAGCTATGTTTGTGCCTCTTTTACTTCTGGCCTGAATGTGCAGAACTAATTGAATGATTTACAGGTTCAACAGTCAGCTTTGATTTGATAACGTGACAAAGTGTTGAATAGGGCAAGCTTTCCTGTTCTATGTTCGAAAGGAAACTTTAGAGATATTTCAGAACAAGCAGCTAAGATCGCTCTTGTCTTTTATTTCAGTTTGAGGATTTCAGTGTCAGTAAATTATCTTAAGTGTCTTTGTTGCGTTAACCCTTAATCATTTCAATCAGATACATTTCCCCCTAAAGGCCATTTTAATTTTCAGCACTAATGCAGGCTTTTATAAATGGTTCAATGAATAGACATTGTTTTCATGATCAAAGACGTTATTCGTAATGCCTGCGACTGGTTTATCAGCGGACTTCAGTTTCCTTTTAGTCAGATTCTCTTCTCAAAATTTCGTAGCAAAATGACTAACTTTTAAACACAGCTGAATGCCAATATTGATGGGTATTCATATTTCTGCGTTCTCTTTGCTGACACGTTTCACCCACAAATACACTCAAAAACACTTTCCAGTATATCCTGCAAAGCGCTTTGAGACATCTCAAAGACGTGATAAGCAACTATATTTGCAAGGATTACATTTGCATTATAAATGCAAGGATTATTATTATTATTCTCTGCCCAGATTGGATGACCCATCAGGCTTGTGGAAGAGGCTTTGGATGATCAGTGACAATGTGCCATGCCCTACAGCCCAGATTGGGTACTTATTGGTGATCAGATCACTATTGATGGTGATCAATGCCCTACCCTGCTCACACCCAGGTTGGCGGAACACCTTACCCACGTAGAAGGCACTGATGGCGACAGGAGACGCGAACAGCTGGTCACACAACACCTTCCTCACGATGTTACCCATCGTCACACCTGGCAACATTCTCTCCAGCGTCTTGAGCCACAAGAAATTGAAATTGCCGTGAAAACTGAAGGTTAGGAGGAGGATGTTTCGGGTTTGCTTGAGGTCCACTTTGGCTTCGCGTTCTTTGGAAAGGTTCTGCTGGACCACATCACCTGCTCCGAACACACAGCTGTACAGGGTGACATTGGTGATCCAAGGGAACCTCTTTATCCCAGACCTAATGGATCTCAGCATCTCTCTCTCTCTCTCTCTACTTGTAGGAGCTAAGATCTCCCACAGGATCTTAGAGACAGGATGTCTATAAAAGCAGAGTGAACTTGTCACACCAAACACAACACAGTGCAGTGTTGGCACATCCACCAAAAGTTGGGTTGTTCGCTCCTTTGCTCGTTCCTGTGAGACTGGGTTATTGTTACTGTAATGTTCTTCACCACCTGAGTAATCAATTAACAGAGTCATTTAATAAGTGCCAGACATGATCACCAATGTTATTTTCCTCCGCCAGCTCATTATATTGGCAAAAGTTTGAAGTCCAAATTGCTTGCTTGGCACCCAATCAGCTGCGGGCGGATTGGCGGCTATCTTTATCTTTCTGCGGAAATGTCGCAAAAGAGGTGTTCACGTACGTTCTGGTTGTAAAACATTCATAACTCACTTTGAAATTGAATCATTATCATCGGTTCATTGGCATCCCTTTGTCTCAAGTCATCAGGACAATTGTGACGCAAGGCTCTGTGACCCCCACCACCCCGCCCTCCCCTCCCACATCTTCCCACCCCCTCCTTCAAATAAGGTTTGCAAACATTGCATGTTATACAAGCTGTAATTGAGGTTTAGTTATTACAGTCTCGCATTGTGATGTGTTGGTATTGTATTTCGGTCGTGTTTCATTCCAGCCACACCTTCACTGTAATAATTAAATCTCGATTACCACTTTAAATTTTTTTTGAAAAAACAGAGACTTTTTTTTGTGTGAATGAGCAAGTACTGGGAACAGCAGAGGTGTCAAACTCATCTGGCCACAAGGGCCATTCAAGTTAACACTGTTCACTTGATGGGCCGCATTGTTAAAAAAAAGTTATACGGTACATAATACTTTACCTGAAAGTGGAAAGAAATCAACTGTAGTGATTGTGAAATCACCTGCAGTGATTGTGATTGTGAAATCACCTGTAGTGACTGTGTGTATATTTACTCAAATATACCAATTTGCACCGTGTAGCGCCATCTGATTGTCTTTTTTTTACTAACTCTGCAAGTTATCATTGGCTTAATGGGAATGTCCTTAAGCCATGCGAAGCAACAACAACTTGCATTTATATAGCGCCCTTCACGAGGGATAGCGCTATGCACAGTTTTGAGTATTCCTGTGACATTAAAGAGAGGAAGGTTGGTTTAAAGAAAAATTTCAGTACGATACAGACTATCGACCTTCGAATGAAGTGGGATAAATTCAGAACAAATCTGTAGAAACACTATTTTAGTGAGCGAGTGGTAAATTCACGGATTAAGCCAATCAGTTCTTTAAAATATTTTTATTTTAATACTGCTTGACGATAATAATAATAATAATCATCAGAATAATAACACTCTTTCTATTTCTACTTCAGTGAGCAAGTAGTAAACGTACGGAATATGCTCCCTCGACAACAAGATTTCATTTATAGAGCGTCTTTCACGTCGGGAGGACGTCCCAAGGCGCTGGACAGTTGGGTCAGGACCCGAGCATTGGGGGGAAATGGTCAGGGTGAGGGGAGGGAAGGGAGGGAGCGAGGAGGGGGTAGGGAGTCGAGAAGGGAGCTGAAGACACGGTCGAAGAGAAAGGTCTTGAGACCGGCCTTGAAGGAGGAAAGGTAGGAAGCGGCGAAGGCACTGGGGATGGAGTTCCAGAGCCTCGGGGCTGAGAGGCTGAAGGCCCGGCCACCGATGGTAGGACGGTTGGGGCGGGGGATGTGGAGCAGACCGGAGCCAGAAGAACGGAGGGTACGGGCAGGTAAGTCACCCTCGGGAGACAGTGGAAGTAGAAAATGTTATTTGTTTCAAGAACAAATTAAGAGAGATTCCAACTAGAAAATAATATCTCGGGGACACCTGGTGTACAGTACGGGACGGGACATGTCAAGCGGCTGCCAGGAGGATGGAAGACAAACTGGACGGACCTTGGTCTTCTGGCCGCAAGCCAACACTTATGTTCTTGTGTGTATCTTAACGCTGTATCAAACGCAAGGATTGGTATGTACAGAGCGCCCAACACCGCAGACGCCGGAACGAAATCCCAAAGAAAAAAACAAGACGCGGCTGGGAACGCTGGTCAGCGGGTCAGGCGGCGTCGCTGGGGGGGGGGGGAGGGGGGTGGGAGAGAGGAGGGCGAGTCAACGTTTCGGGGTCCGCCGGCCTTCGGCAGTCGGGGGTCCGGCCAAGTTCTGTCCTGACGAAGACGTCGGTGGACCCCAGAACGTTGACTCCGCTCTCTTCTCCCCCCCCCCCCCCCCCTCCACCCCCTACCCCCACCCCTCCACCCCCTACCCCCACCCCCCGGGGGGCCCCGCCCTGCCCCGCCCCACCCCGCCTGACCCGCTGCTGAGTGGCCGTTTCCGCAAGGAAGGACTATCATTGTGATCGTCAACCCGGGCGGGTGAGTGGACGCCATTGGGGCCGGCGGGGGGGGGGTGGGGTGGGGTGGAGGGGGGGGAGGGGGCGCCCGAGGCCCAGGTGTCTGACACACCTGGTGGCGGCAGCTGGTGGTTGACATGACAGTGCCGGCTCAGGGCAGGTGTGGCGGCGCGCATGCGCGGAGCTTCTCCCTGGGGGAGGGGGGGTGGGGCGGTGTGGCAAGTGCGCACGCGCGGATCTGTCTCCGGATGGTACGGCCGTGCGCGTGCGCGGAACTTCTCCCGGGGCGGGCGGTGTGGGCGGTGCGCACGCGCGGAGCTTCTCCCGGGGCGGTGTGGGCGGTGCGCACGCGCGGAGCTTCTCCCCGGGGGGAGGGGCGGTGTGGCGGTGCGCACGCGCGGAGCCGGCCCGCCGTGAGGGGGCGGGGCGGCGCGGGTGGTAACGTCAGCTGCCAACGTGGAGCGAGCGGTGATGGCGGCGGAAGCGGAGGCGGGAGGGAGGCCTCGGCAGTGAGGAGCAGCAGCAGCGGCGGCGGCGGCGGCCCACCCCCTCCCCCCCACCCACAGACACACACCCGCCTTCCGCTCCCCCTCCTCACACTCCTGTCCTGACCCGCAAACAGGGCCTCCGTCCACACGCACAGAGAGAGAGAGAGAGAGAGAGGGAGAGAGACACACACAACCCGCCCGAGCAGCCATGGACAGCGGCTCCAGCCAGAAGGTGCGTGGGGGGGTCGAAGACGACAGGACAGGGCGAGCGCGGGGCTCAGGCCTTCCCTCCCCACCTTCCCCCCCCCCACTCCCTCCCTCCTCCTCCCCCCCATATGAACTGACTCCTTCACATGGCCCTGTGGGGGTCAGTGACAGCCCAGTCATTCTGTCAGGTCACCAGACCCCCCCCCCATTATGTTTTATGTAAAAGCCATAGTGACTCGTCCCCCCCCCCCCCCACCCTCTCCATTCTCCCCCACTCTGCACCCTCCCCCCCACCCCCCCCCCCCCCCCCCCACACACACACACACACTCCCCCCTTCCCCCTCCCCCGTCGCCCCCTGAACTTTTATCATTTGTGGTCTTTGGTGACAGTAAAACTTGGCTCAGAGATTCCATTTTTGCCCAATTAGGTTTTTATTTCTGTATTGGCATTTCCCACCGCACCGTTGGTGGTCAGACATTCAGCATCTCTGACCCCCACTCCCCCCCCCCCCCCCACACTGAAACTCTATCCCGCAATCCCTCAGCCTCACCCCCTCCCCTGTCTTGCCTCTTTTCAAGTCTCGTCTAAAGACCTTTCTCTTTGATCGTGCCTTCGGCGACCCTCCCACACCCAAACCCCCCACCCCCCCCCCTTTCTCCTCCACTCCCCTCCACCCCCTCTCCCTCCACCCCTCCTAAATCTTCGGTGTCATTCGATTAGTTGGGTAGAGAGAGAAGGGGGAAAAAAAACACAGCTCATTTCTGGCTTCAAGACCTATACGCATGCTTAACATACCTGTTTTCAATGGAATGTATTTAGTGTATCTCTCCTGTGCTTTAAGGTGAGGCAGTCTGTATCACTGTAATATTATTAATCCCTGCGGTTGATCTAGCACTCTTATCACAATGTCTAGCCCTCTATCGAAATGTCTCAAAGTGCTTCACAAGATCTAACTGCAAAGTGTAATTGCGGTGCATTTTGCCCACAAAACACAGGCAATTCACTTTACAGTTTATCCTGTGAAATGCTTTTGAGACCTCTCAATGTGATAAGGTGCTGTATCGAATGCAAGGATTATTATTTGTAGGTGAGATACCTGATCATTAAACTTTACACTTCACAGTATATCCTGCGAAGGGCTTGGAAACATTCTGGCATGAAAAGTGCTACATCAAATGTAAAGGTTATTTATTTTGAATACAACAACCAATTTGTGCACTACAATGTCCCCAAAACAGCCAAGATGTGAATGACCGGTTTTATCTCAGGATTGTTGGGCAATATACTGGGAGATGCTCACTGAAGGAGTATTGTGTTGTTTGAAGGATTTGCAGCTTTGGGTATAATCTGATGACTGTAATGGATGGTACAGTATACATACAAATTCATTGTGTATGATGAAGAGATCCTTGTCCTCTTAAAACATATTATTGATTGATTGAGGTCACAGTGCTTTGTTTGACACTTATCTTGACGTCAGATTGGAGTGCTGCACATTACTTGTGTTTGTTTCAAGACAAGATGGTAACAGGAAAAAAAATGTTTACTAGATTGCTATAAGAGAAGTAATTTTGTAATGTACAAGTGATTGAGTTGTTGAAATGAACAAAAACATTAAACACAGTCTGCAGTGGGGTCTTTAACTGCTAGCTGTATTATGTTTATTGTTTTTAATGAAAACATTGTGCCTTTGGATAATGTTGGGTAAAGGAGAATGATTCCTATGGTGATTCAACATAATTGTTACAAATGTAGAACATATGATTACAGAAGACCATTGAGTCTGTTCCACCAATAAATGTTAGATGGTGTCTGATTTTTGTTAATTCCAATGTGCATCCTTTTGTCGTACACCTTCTGCTATCTAAATATCTGCCTCTTTGAAACATCTCTGATGATTTCGCATTTTCACAACCCTCGATGCGAAGAAGCTTCCTGACTTTAGTTCTAATTGTCACTATTGATTTTCAGGTTGTGTCACCTTGTAATGGAATGGTGGTTTAATTCCATTGCTCTGTGACCATTCAAAATGTTCAGGTTGTCATTGAGCATCTGATATGCACTTTGAAAACTGAACACTTGATATTTCCAAAAAGTGTATCTGTGTTCAAATTAGCCTTTGCCACTGTAGAATCATAACACGAGCCTTACTGTTTCGGGTCTGTACAGCAGGTCTGTTAAGTATGCATCTTATATTAATTCAGTGATCAGTCAATTTGAAGAACACTTATTTTGAATTTCTATATTGGGGGAAAAAGTGGTTGTGAAGCGAAAATGTTTTACAGGCATTGCACTTCACTGAATTGCATTTGAATTGCATATGAGATATTCTGTAAGAAAGGAGGAAGGGAATTTGAATTGAGTTAATGTGGCGACTGTGGAACTGAAAGGAAAATTATTCTGCTCTTCCATCTGGTAATTATGACCTCATGCATATAAAATGTCACCTCCATTGGTGTAGTCCTGGGACCGATTGTGTGATATACACTTAATTGAGCAACATGCCACTTAGAGAAACTGGTATACTGTGTTAGCGGCACACTTTGATTCATGTACAGGATGATTTCCCCATTGGCCTTCAATAGTTAGTGCTATGATTAGGGAGGCTCGAGGTTAGCAGGTGTCTTGCAGTACTTGCCAGAAAAGAAAATCGCAAGACCGTGAGTAATTTTGAAAAACAGCCACAATAATATTTTTTGTTTGTATTTCTTTTGGACATTTTAGAGTTTCACTATTTCTAAATGAACTGGTGCTCGACCTGAAACTCAGGTTCCAACCCATTTTGAGAGCAGAGCTGTTACCTGACAAAAGTCATCAATTTTCAATAACAGTCACTGTTGTGCAAAGTTCTAGTCCCGAGGGGAGGGGGTCTGTCTTCTCAATGTGATGTTCACAAACCTAAGCTTTCTCTACTGCTTTTAAAAATCTGTCTGTGCTAACTGTGCTATCAATATAGCTAAATGGTCTGGTTTGACTGTTTTAAATGTCCTTCTCCAGAACTTGCCTTAGGACTTATTTTTAATTTTATATTTTTAAATTGCTTTTTTTTTCCCCCTTCAAAAACAGTTTGCTTCTGCTCCGTTTGTTATAAGGGATCTCACTTCCCCTACTTTAGGCTATCAAATAATCAATGCATTTTTGATGCACAGGTGTTTTGATTCCTCTAAAGTTATCTTTAGCTGAAAAGTCCTCTATTGTTTATGGGCACGTATTGCAGAATATTGTCACAGTTGTTGAATACATCCAGGCAGGGCACATTCGAATTAGATCACAGGGACTCAATTCAGCCTATGTTAAAATGTCTCAAGTTCCCTATTTTTGTCGACAAATTCAACAGCTATTTGCACATAGCTGTTGAATTTGTCGACAAAAATAGATGTCCAATGAACTGAAGGACTAACTTATGTGGGAGATGTTTGGCCAGGACATCGTAAGAAACTTTCTTCTCTTTTTGAATAATATCAGCGGAATCTTTAACATGCACCTAAGCAGGCAGTTTGATATCGTATCCGAAAGACAGCACAGCACCTGTGACGGTGCAGCCCTCACCTATTACTCCACTGGAGTGCCAGACTGTGAGCTCAAGTCCCAATGTTTGGTTTGTTATCATGATAATAATCACAATAATAATAATGGCCCTTGCATTTGAAAAAGTGCCTTATCACGTCTTCGAGACATCTCACAGCGTTTCACAGAATATACTGTATATTTTGTGGGCGAAACGAGGCAGCCAATTGCGCGCAGGAGTGTCCCACAAACAGTCGTGGGTCGGGTGTGACAAAATTCTCATTTTTTTTTGAAAGGATTATTACCCATAACCTCTGACTTAAGTGCTTACCCACTGAGCTCATATTACACACCTCATTGATTGCTGTTCTGTCTGAATAGTCTGCATCTGTTGGTGATCTTGGATTAGTTTTAACTCTGAGGCCTCTGGGTGTGTTCTAATGTTGACTCTGTTGTACCTTAGAATTCAACAAAGAACAATGGTGGAAAATGTCCGGTTCAGGTGACTACTCCAGGATATTAGTAAAGAACGAGGGTTTTCGTACAAAGTGTCCCCTTGAATTGTGAAAACTTATAGGTTTTTACTAAGAGGATTGTCTGAATTAACCATGTTAAGGTATTTAACACAGGGGTGAACGACTGGTTATAGGTATGTTGTACATTCTGCTGTACTTTTGGGTGGGATTTAGAGGTTTGTCGGCAAAACATATTGATCTGTTGATTTAAGCAAATTGGCCCAAGTGTAATTTTTGTTTCCTGTAGTGCATTGATACCTCAAATATTCTTAATGACAACATTCGTTTTTAAAAAAATAGTTTCAAAGATTATGTTCCAATTATTGCCTTTGTTGACGCACTGCAACAGCACTATTAATCTTCATTCCTGAAGATTTTCCAGTAACTGTTTTTAAAAATATCAAAACTGAGTATACAATTCTGAATTCTAACAATCCCGATTCTGAGAAGCTCCAAAAAAAGTTTACTGCATTGCACTGCATGTAACATAAACATATTAGATCCATTATTATTATTATATTAGATCCAGTGTAATTCCTTCTTTTTATTAAACTGTAAATTCGAGGGGTTCGGTATACCTTCACAAAGATAGTTACCTGAATAAAATCTGCAAATTTTTAGCTTGTACCATTAATATGGATTATGTTTACACCTGATAAGATTAAATTGTGCAATCTGAAGGCAAGCTTCCACTCACTCAAGTTATAACGTTTTCCCCACAAACAACAAGAAGAAAATTACATTTGTATAGATGAAAGGCGCTAAACAAATGTAATCTTGTTGTTGTTCATGTCAGATGGACGTCCCAAGGCGCTGTATCAACTAACGCATTGTATCAACGTTTATCAAAAAAAAGCATTGTATTAACGTTTTTTTAACAAACGTTGATACGATGCTGTTTGTTTAACCACACGACTTCCAAAATGTCGATTGCTGTAATGAACGTTTGGTTGACATCCTTATTAGCTAATTTGAAGTCCTGGTTTCAGCACAATAAAACAAAGTTGATTCTTGGAAGAATGCGGATGGCTGCCTGTACTGTTCCCAGTTTACCTTAGAGCTTGTAATTTGATCTGTTTGGTGCCCTCAATTCTGCAAGGCCATCGGTCTGTCACGATCAGTTTCATACACTGCGGAATAATGGACAGTGACTATTCATTTTGCGCTGCTGTACTGTGCAGGTTGTGGGAGAAAGTATTAAATCTTTTGATTTGGGGCTGAATAATAATCCCTCCAAAACCAAAAACAATAATAAAATTGGTCATTTGTGGGACATTGCTGTGCGCAATTGGCTGCCGCGTTCGCCCACAAATATACAGTCAATTCACTTTACAGTGTGTTCTGTGAAGCGCTTTGGGACGTCCTCCCGACGTGAAAAGCACTATATCAAAATGCAAAGATTATTATTATTATTTGAACTTGGACTAAAACAAGCATGGAACCATCCTTCCCCCAGAAGATTTTCTGCTATTTTGAAGAGCCCGTTAACAGGAACGAAGATTTAAAAAGTCAGCTCTGAACATATATTTCCAAGGATCCTTTTTAAAAAAAGTTCTGGCTCTACTGTTTAGCTGCTTAAAACTATAAGGCAAATCCACTTCTTTGTGTAGGTTTTTTGTTAACTGTAATACTGACAGTAAATTACCCTGACTCCAGTCATTCCTTACCAGATAGACACTGATTATAATACATTTTAGAAAGCCACTTATTTAGAAATGTAGGCTAGCGTTGTAACAATAATCTTGATAATAATCTTAATTTCCAGTAGTGAGGCACCTCTGAAGATGGAGTGAGCTGGATAGTCTTGCAGCGAGCAAAAATGTATTTTGAAATTAATTACTGTCTGTTGAAACATTTACTCAATGCAAGTTGACTAGCTTTTTTTAAACTTTCCAGTTTTCAAACGGTTGCTGGCCTGGTTCACACGGTATACAGTTGGCAAGCATCAGAGAGCATGTCACCGTCATTCGATAATGTACAATATGGTTAATAACCCATTATATGTTAGTGTCTTACAATGTCCTCAGTTGATCCCAACTCACTTTGAAACTGTAGCTTACAGTCGAAATGTTTTACTGCGTACTTGAATAATTTAATCCAAAATATTCTGATTGTGAAAGACTGTTAAAGAGTCTGCTTTGGCTTGCTGACTCTGTTATTTTGTGCAATTGCTAGTGTCCAATGTTGTAATCTTGAATGGGAGTCTTTTAAAGTTCCACTAACGACTGTAATAATAATAATAATCCTTGAATTTGTTATAACGCTTTTCATGTCTTCTAGACGTCTCAAAGCGTTTCACAGAATATACTGTAAAGTGAATTGACTCTATATTTGTGGGCGAAACACGGCAGCCAATTGTGCAAAGCAGTGTCCCACAAACAGTCATGGATTGAGTGAACAAATTATTCTTTTTTTAAGGATTATTATCCCCGGAAAAGCGATCCACCAATCGACTAACAACCGGGTTCCTACTTACTGCTAGGTAAACAGAGGCGTGTGGAGTAAGGAAACTTGCCGAACATTTCGCCCTAACGGGAATCAAACCCAGGTCTCTCGCTTCTGAGGCGAGTGCTCTTTAACCACTGAGCTACAGGACTCCCAAGAGTCCTGTAGTTTAGACAAGAGTTACCTGAGGCCATAAGTACATTTTCACTTCAGTATTTACAGCAATTTCCATTAAATCCAGTTTCAGTAGACGGGTTGTTTTTCAAGTCCGACAGGTTTGTAAACAATGAAGTTGTCTTATCTTGATGTATTAATAACCAATACATTTCTTTATAATGTTGTTTAAATAACGCCCATAAAGACATTCAATATGCGTAACCTAATTTAATTGTTCCACTGTTGTTACTCTGTTAATTCATCAGTTGATTTAGCTACAGTGCACAGTTTAGCTAAAAGGGTTTAGTGTGACAGTGAATGCACTTGAAGATGTTAAGAATTAAGTTGCGCAAGATATATATTTTTACGACTTTGTTTTTTTAGGGAACCACAATATGTGAAACAATTTAAAATAAATTGCATCTGTTTTCGTATACTCAAATCAGACTATCGCACAGAAATAAATCCTTATTACAAAACTAAAACGGTAGTTACTCAGCTTCCATGTACAAAACATTTTGATATTCGGATGATATGAGGCTATTGGGACTTGGATTTGGTTTCCCTCTCTGCTTTGCTGTTATGGTTATACTACCTCTCCTGGCTGTTTAGTGATAGCAGGAAGCTGCATATCAAAAGAAATGCAAATACTATTATATGGATCAGAATCTATTTCACATATGCCAGACCTGTTAATTGATTTGTTATCAGTATTATACGGGCTCATACTTTCCTACCATATGTAAATAAAATCCACATAAAACTGCAGAGCAATCGTACAATGCAAGCAAAACTATAGAAAAAATAGAAATCTAGGAAACAGTAGGCGCTTCACAGTATTATTGTCAGCGCTTAATTTTCCAATCCATCACTTCTGTTCTCTCTTTTGAAAACATTTTTTTTTGGAAGTGACATTTAAAGTTTGCTTCAATTGCAAGATGGAGATGACGGAACCTTTTTTGAAGTGCAGTATTCGCCATGACACAGTAAACTTGTGGCAATAAAAGCAGCAAACGTTTCTCCAGCAGAGCCGATTGGTTTCATGCTTACACCAAAAATTTTAGAAGGGAGGGAGCTGCAACAAACGTTTGAACAGTATATATGCCGGCATCAGTTGAAAAGTAAATATTTAACATATGACAGATTTGCAAGGGAAATGCAGATGAACGGGGACAGTCTTTCACAAAATACGACTGTCGGTAGTAATAGAATTTGAAAGCCAAATATAGGCTGAATTTGGGTTACTGAGTGATTTTTGATTTCTCTTTTTTTTTGCTCCAGAACATGTTTATCTTCGCTTATTGTAATTTGCCTTTTCGGGTAGAGTTTCTAAATATCTTTTAGATTGTAAAAGTTCTAACGTTCTTTCCACCCAACTGATCTGTTGACATTATTTGCAAAGTAAGGGATCAATTCATTAAAATGGAGTAACTATTCACAATGCTGTAGATACCTTTTTTTAAAAAATAATCTAATGTTATGGTTAGGAAGAATGAACACATAATTTTAAAAACACATGACCTCATATACAGTATGATCTGGTTATATTAACAGTTTGTATGCGGATGAACCTCAAGTACAATAAAGTGTCCAGTTTGTGTTTTATGGCTCTCTGGCTATTTACTGGCTCTCTTAGAATTGCTTTAATTTCCCATTTTAATTTCAATTGCAGGATTCACCATTCAGAAATGGTTCATTCTAGTTTATCTGCAAATGAACAGTTTTATTTTAATGATGTTGCCTGCTGCTTTGGTTTGACCTACCTATAGAACTTTTATCTTTTTTGAGACACTTGCAGGAGTAGCGCTGATGGCAACTTTTTGCTTGCTTTTATAGCAGTAATACTACCAAGGTAGCACAGTGGTGAAATATTCATTAGCAATGATCATGTGTGGCTTACAATATTCAGATTTGTTGTCATTTTGTGCCCGGCAGGTGATGGTGGATCCCACTTTAGCTGAGATGGGGAAGAATCTCAATGAAGCAATGAAGATATTGGAAAACAATCAAAGGTTTTGTTAAAATTAATTCTAAGCTTTAAAAAACAAAAAAACTGAACCTGTTTTCTATGCTTTACTTGAAGATGTGTAGGGTAATTCGTGCAGCAAACAGGCCTGGTCCATAACTTACTTATTGCTTAATCAGAAAGTTTCAGAGAACACATCTCCCCTCAGGAAAAGTGTTCCCTGAAACATCCATGGAAACCATTCACCTATGTTTCAGTCATAATGTCACCTTCATAACTTGAAAGCTGTGCTTTGGATTTTTACCAAGCATCACAAGTGATTTCCTCTTGCATATATGAGAGGGCATCCACTGTACCTTTTTATTTGCTTTAATTAAACTCAGAAGAAATCACACATTCTAGAGTTCAGTGGTCATCATGGAAGAATTAAGCAGCTGTGGCACAGGCTGACTGCTGGAGAAGGTCTCTCTGCGCTTTCCAATTATGGAATATTTCAGTGATTAAGAAAACGTTTAATAATCATTTTAGCAAAATAATAACGGAGTAATGCTTTTAATGGATTCACTATCATCTTTGATAATTGCTTTTTACACAGAACAAATCCGAACAAATGTAAGCTCTAGGCAAAACTATTAGCTTACATTGAAACATGCAGTCAGAGGTACCGTTTGAAACTGATTTTTGTAAAATTGTCTACATGACCGTCTATATAATTAACTAGCTCTACAGTATATGGTAAATATTGCAATTGTTCTGCTGAAGAAAGTGAGTAAAAATTGTTTTGTCTGTGATTTAAAATTTTCCAATCAGGGAAATGGATGAAGAAAAGGAGAAAATGAGATATGCCAGGAAGGATATTCCAGGTCCATTGCAGGGCAGGTGAGTAACGGTAACATTTATGCTTCAAAGAAGGTGATATTTCTTTTGTGTTTTTTCACTGGTTCTTGTTTAGTCTCTCAGTTAGTTCAGTGTGGTCACTTGTCAGCTCACAAAGCCCCAAATTACACGGAAGTAGCATTGCCAAATCCCAGACCGGAAATATGCAAATAGATATTTTATGTTTTCAGTTAAATAATTGATATTTTTTTAACAGTTGAGAAAAGTTTTGAAAATACTTTTTTTTATCAAATCAATGATTCTGTTTACAGTGGCCAGGATATGGGAACTATTCTTCAGCTTGTACAAAACCTTATGCATGGAGAGGATGAGGAGGGATTGCAAACCTTCCGGTAAGTAATTAAGGGATGTATTTTTTTACGTGAGTCAGCATGGTAAAGGAACTTTCTCATGATAAGCTACCATGTACTAAAAGGCTCTGTTTTTAGCAGACCTCAACACGTTGGAGAACAAGGTCATATGTCCTTATTGGGTCACAGTTTAGCAGCATACATTTCGGTGCTAGACAAAGAGAGACTGCGAAAACTCACCACAAGGATCTTATCGGACACTACACTCTGGTTATGCAGACTCTTCAGGTAGGAGTACTCCGCAGTTATTCAGATAGGCACGGTATCTGTTATGATTATTGCAGAGTCCTGTAGCTCAGTGGTTAAAGCACTCGCCTCACAAACGAGAGACCTGGGTTTGATTCCCGGCAGGGCGAAATGTTGCACAAGTTTCCTTATTCCACACACCTCTGTTTAACCTAGCAGTAAGTAGGAACCCAGGTTTTAGTCAGTCGATTGGCGGATCGCATTTCCTGGGATAATACTCCTTCAAAAAAAATCGTAACAAAATAATTTGTTCACTCAATCCATGACTGTTTGTGGGACGCTGCTGTGCGCAATTGGCTGTCACATTTCACCCACAAATATACAGTCAATTCACTTTACAGTATATTCTGTGAAGCGCTTTGAGACGTCTAGAAGACCACGAAAAGCGCTGTATCAAATACAAGGATTATTATTATTATTGTGCTTGAAAATAAATCCTATGGTACCACACATTATGCTTTAACCTTGACTGGCATGGCTATAATTCTCTACTTCTTGATCTTGTCTCATTTCTCTGCTACTCTTTTCAACATTGGTTGTGTTCAGTCCTTGACGTTAATATGAGCGATAGCCTTTCATCTAGGGTTTTGAATCAAATCATGTCATCACAACCAGATCTCAGTCAGCTTTATTTTTCAGGTATGAAAATGGATCTGCCTATTACCATGAAGATGATCGAGAAGGTCTCTTGAAAGTGTGCAGGCTCATCATTCATTCAAACTATGAGGATTATGCTACAGAAGGTTTTAATGTCCTCCATAACAAATCCCCCGTCTTGTACGTCAGCGCTGCCTCCAGGACAGGTCTTGGTCAGTATATCTGCAACCAGGTAAATTCATTAGTTTTTTCTCCAATATTATATATGTAGAATATTACTGGGTTAGGACTTAATTATAGATTTGCTGGTGTGGACCAGACTATGATTGAGAAGAGAAGCTGATGTACAAACACAACTCGGAAACCTACCCAGGAATTCTAGGAGTGAATTATTGCTTTAATTTTTCCCCAGCAATCATGTTTGTTATGTAGAAGGTTTTTTTTATTTACACTGGTGAAACATTTTGCTGTTGGTTTGCAGAACTGGTTGCAGATTGGCAATTTAATTTATTTTTGTTATTGATAGAAAATTGGTTCCAGGAAATGAGTATACTGTTGTATACCGCAATCTAATTGCCTATTTTCTCCATTTCAGCTTGGCCTACCAATTTCTTGTTTGTGCAGTGTGCCTTGTAACACTATGTTTGGATCCCAGCATCAAATGGTAAGTGTTTTGTAGCGTATAATTGGCAGGTAAAGGAAGAATGATAATGAATAGAAAGTCGGCTCCATTTTAATGCATCCGTCTTGCTTTGGCAGGATGTTGCTCTACTGGAAAGACTCATCAAAGATGATATTGATTCTGGAAAGCTTCCTCTGCTATTGGTGGCAAATGCAGGTATGTAATAAAGAGGTATAATGGTGAGAAAATGATCCACATTTTTTTTCACCTCGCCTTGCTTCCAATGAAGATCCCTATTGGGTTTCAAGGGTGCTGAGCCTAGTCTGTCCATACATGTACACTTTCACCAGGGTTGTGAGGTAACTATCAAAGGGAATCCTGCCTGATTTTCCTCCTAACTCGTATACCCTCGGGTAATACACACCTGGGATTGAACCTAGGACCTTCCTTGCTCATTGAACTGACTAAGCTATTTATTGCATTTACAGTTTACAGTTCTAAAAAAAGAATTTATTTGTGACGTTATGAGTAACTTAGAAGATCAAATCTAGATTATAATCTTTCATCACTGCAGCCTAAGTTTTATACTTTTTTTAAATGCTCAAATTATTTTGCTTTGGAGCTCCATAAATCATATCAATGCTTGGCTTGTATTATTGTAGGAACACCTGGAGCAGGGCATACAGATAAACTTGCACGTTTAAAGGAACTCTGCAGTCAGTACAAGATGTGGCTACATGTGGAAGGGTAAGAATGAGTGTCTTTTCCAAAAAGTGCTGAAGTTTTATTCAATTTAACTGATTTAATTTATTCACTACCAAAGGGAACATTGACTGTAGTTGACCCAATTTTATGTACCCCCTAATTCAGTTTACTCTATCAATTTTGCTGAATTGAGGTGATGAATGGTTTACAGTAAACTACCGATAACTTGCCACTCCAAGGGAAAGTTCTCAGTGACGAGTCAACGGGAGTGGTGAGTTAGGTGTATGTATAAATACTTAAATAAATGTGGCCGGGATATTGACAGCACGATGACTTAAGTGGCAGTGACAAGTTAAGCCAGGGTCGAGTTATCAGCATTGACTGTAATTAAAACCGCCTACAGAACGGAAAACGTTTATTGTGATCAGTCCAATGAAAAAGTTTTAAGCTGAATTTCACATTGTTTCTGAGATAAAACCAAATATTCAGAGTTCTGTTGAACTGATGATTTACATAAATGTATTCAAAGTGCTGAATAAAGGGAGCATTAGCATCCGTTCAAGTTAGCATAGCATTTTCCCCACCAACTACAAACACATGGTTAAGGAACAATGGATATTAAATCGTATTTTAAAATCTGGAATCCAAATGGCACAAGGCAGCCTCTGATCTGTTTTCTTCAACGAGATGTAAAGAATTCTGTTTTTTTTTAGATCTAATGTAAATGTGAGATCAGGAGACTTTATGAAAATTATTATAAGAGGCATCTGAATACATTTGTATATGTGTCAGATACCCAGCTGACAAAAAAAAGTATAAGTGTAAGCAGCACACATCAATATACCTTGTGAGTTCTGTCACATTTGATGTAAGTTTTATGTAACCATGTGTAGTTCATATTTAATTTCAGATTATTTCTGAGATAAAACCAAATATTCAGATATTTAGCCAGAGTTTTGTGTGATTTACTATAGTAATAGAATCATCTGCACTGGCACAATATTAAAAAAAAGGATATGTTTTATTGAGAACTCCTGTTTAATTATATTTATCTTTGTTTTACTCTGATCCTTATTGTTGTATTGCAGAGTTAATTTGGCCACATTGACACTTGGCTATGTGTCCTCATCTGTACTGGTTAGTATTGCATTACTGTATTTATTTGTTTAAGAAGGATCCGCTGTTCATTTTCATGTCTCTTTTTACATCACTGAGATTTTGGATTTCTAAACTGTATGAAATTACTGTAAAGCATATTATAATTTTGATTCAAGCAGATAGTAAGAACTACCAACGTGCATCAGAAGAGTTGTAATTCAGAAGATATTCTGGGAATTCCAATTTTTTTTACTTTTATGTGATGGTCAGTATTGTGCTCTTTTTTGGTGGTTTTACAACTCGTGAAGACTGCTAATCGATTAGAGTGTAGGCATTTAACATTGTTATATTTTATAGGCTGCTACCAAATGTGACAGCATGACCCTGACTCTAGGACCCTGGTTAGGTCTTCCAGCCGTTCCTGCAGTGACATTGTATAGGCACGAGGATCCATCACTGGTAAGTGTTTATTGCTGAAAGATTAATGCCCAAATAATCATTAAAAAAATCTGAATACAAATATAAAATAATTTAGGTTCGTATTTTGGTAAAGATTTAGGAAATGACTTGCCGTGAAGTATTCAGTAAGCTAGGTTTACTGAAATAGTCATATTCAATGTTACCAAAAGACTATTTTACTAAAGGAACTTTGAAAGATGTGTGTTAAACTGTGCAGCATGTGATGCACTCAGCAATTGATTTGTTTTAGTCTCTAGCTGCGGGCCTTACTTCCAGCCAACCAGTGCAAAAACTTCGAGCTTTGCCACTCTGGCTCTCTCTGCAATACTTGGGACATGATGGGATAGTCGAGAGAATCAAATATGCTTCCCAGTTGGTAAGTATCTTTTATAAATATCTTTTAAATAAATGGGTGATGAGGTGGTTCATGCCGTGACCCAATCGTACATACTAGTTGACCATCAGTGGTGAAGAGGCTGAGTTTGGGATCTTTTTTGACCGAAATGATTGGTTCCCGTCAGCGCCTCCTCACCTCAGGCGCTGACAGCATCACCATCCATGGTTGCACACTCAACCTTGCTAAGCCAGTCCGGAACCTTGGAGTCTTGTTCGACCTTCAACTATCTTCCCACATTCACGCCATAACCCGCTCTGCCTTCCTCCACCTCCGCAACGTCGCGCAGCTCCGACACTGTCTCACACGGCAGGCTGCCGAAACCCTCATACACCCTTCATTGCATCGAGACTCGATTATCCAAACTCACTGCTTGTTGGCTTCCTCAACTCCTCCCTCCACAGGCTGCAGATCATCCAGACCTCTGCAGCCCGTGTCCTTTCCCACCCTAGGCTCTGTGACCCTATCACCCCCATCCTCGCCCGACTCCACTGGCTTCCCATCACACAGAGGATACAGTTCAAGATCCTGGTCCTCACCTTCAAAGGTCTCCATGGTCTTGCTCCCCACTACCTCTGCGACCTCCTGACCCCCTACCATCCTGTCTGCTCCCTCCGCTCAGCGGGCTCTGATCTGTTTCATATCCCCCGCCTCGCTCGCCCCACTGTCGGTGGGTGGGCCTTCCGCCATTCTGTGCCCACCCTCTGGAACTCCATCCCGCAGTCCCTCCGTCTCACCCCCTCCCTCGCCACCTTCAAGATCCACCTTAAGACGCTTCTCTTCGACCGTGTTTTCGATCTCCCTGCTTTCCAACAACATGTAATTTTGTTGTTGGAACTGCTAAACTGGTTAGATGAGTTCGGCCGCAACTTTGTGGAATATCAATCCAAACCAATTGGTAGAATTCTTCAAATAGTGATTCAATTTGTGGGGAGAGGGGACGGGGAAGGAGGGAGATATGATTTCCCTGCATAACCTTGCCATCCATGCAACTGATTTCTTTTTGCCAGCAGCACAAATGTAGGTGAGGTCTGCCCACAAAATACATAGTCACTCCACTTTACAGTGTATCCTGTGAAGCGCCTTGAGACGTCTCAACACAAGGATGTGATAAGGCGCTCTATCAAATGCAAGGATTATTATTGTTATACTTACATCACACAAGCATACTTTTACTTGTATGATGTCCAATTAATGAGCATTTTACTTATCTGTAATCGAGCCAAATGGATTACTTTTTAAACAGCTTGATATTTCAATCTGCTGTATGAAGTTTTTTTCAAATGACTCTCAAACCAGGAATGTTCCGGGAGGGAGGGAGGGGAAGAGGAGAGAGGAATAGGTCAGATTACAAACGTCACTGCTGCTCTGTCAGATGTTTTACAAATAGCAGGACAAGTTGTGCTGCATTCCTGGTCCGATTCACTTTGACTCCCAGCCTGTCAGCTTCCTCGCAACAGCGTCTATTGGAAAGGAACAACATCCTAAGTAAAGCTTTTGATAAATGTTGTTGCATTTACCAATATAAAAAGAACTATATCGTTCTTACAGTACCTCAGGTGAGGTTGAGAAAATATTTAAATTTGAAGACCCACCATAAACGTATTCTTCCATAAATGAAGGAATTGCCGGACTGTTTTTACTCCAGCAGCAGGATATTTTGTTTCTCCCCCGCCCCCCACCCCCACCACCATCATTGCCACAACAACAACAATTTGCATTTATGCAGCACCTTTCACATGGGCCAAATGTATCAAAGTGCTTTAAGAAATCTCAGTGGAAGCCCAAGCTGGGAGGGAGATAGGAGGAAGTGAATGTGAAACGGGGATTGAAAGCCATGAGAGAGAGGCGAGGTGGAAGGAATTGAAGAGTTCCGAAAGATGGGGCAGGAAGTATCTGAAAGTTTGCTCTCCAGTAGTGGGAGAGAGTTCACAGAGTGCATAAAGCAGACGAGAGTTGGTGGAACAGAGGGAGTAGGGTCTTGGGAGATTGCAGAGGTAGGATGGAGAAAACCCATAGAGACATTGAAAGGTAAAGTACGAGGGTCTTTAAGTTGAACGACTTAAAGCAGGGAGTCATTTGGAGCTGATGGGGTGATGGGCTGGTGTTGGTGGGAGAGGATGCGGGCTGTGCTGCACATTGAGAAGAGTAAAGGGAAAATACTGGATGAGGAAAAACATTTCTGATTTTACTTTATTTTTCAGAGCCAGAGACTCCTGGAGAATTTGAAAAAGCTAAATTCTATCAGAACTACGGTATGTTATTTCCTTGTATTTTGTAGAGTTTATTTACACATACTGGTATAACCTCAGTAATGATGTTGTCGTGCTAGTAAAATGCAAATTGCTGAATGATTATCTTGTAATGACCATTAATATTCACAATTTAACCTGTACCGTACATACTTTCAGGCTTTTTATAGTCAAGTTTTTTTCATTAAAACTAAAAATTGACTGATATTCAGATGTGTGTTAACTAAGAATGCCATAGCTGAAGAATTAAGACTGGAACCTTCAAAGGAAAAAGCTTGTAGCTGTTGAAGTTTTGCTCGGGACGTCCTCCCGATGTGAAACCCGCTGCACAAATGTAATCTTGTTGTGGTTGTATATGCAAGTTGACTGTCGCTTTCACCCACAAAACACCTAGTTATTCCACTTTGCAATATATCCCGTGAAGCACTTTGGGACATCCTCCTAATTTGAAAGGATTGTAAGAGTTATTATTTTTAAAATAGTTATGACTTGCTTTCGAGAGGGAAGCAAATGGCATGCTTGCCATTGTTCCTCCCTTTGGCCAGATGCCAGGAGAAACTGGTTAAAGTAATAGTAATCCTTGCATTTGATATAGCGCCTCATCATGTCTTCTAAACGTCTCAAAACGCTTCACCGAATATACTGTAAAGTGAATTGACTGTATTTTATAGGCAAAAGGTACTGCCCAGGCTGATTACACCAAAGTCTTCCCATGTTTTTAACTTACAGAATAGCACAGCTCGCACAATAACTGGGAGAAAATAATTATTAAAAAAATCACTTTAGATGCTGCAAAACACAGCTCATTGTATATTTGGATTCAAAGGGGTTGAGCACAGTCATACATTTTGCTTGCTCTGATTATTGTGACAACTAAAAAGTTGTTTATTCAAATGAAAGTATGCTGATGAATAATAATTTCTGATGTCTGAGATGCATATGTTCTTTAATAATAAAACCAGTCTCACTGAATCATTTCAGGAAGTAATCACCAAACCCAAGGAACTGAAGTTTACAGGGACATCCATAGGGAATGTCTTAGGGAATATTGTGTTGGCAATTGTAGGTGGGAGGAATGTGCCTGGAAAATTGTTCATTCTAACTCCTGTCCAGTTCCATTTGAAGCATATGCTGCTGTTTGTTATAATAGCATTTGAGTTGCATGATCCATCTAACGTCCACTTTTCTAACTTTGTTTTCATGCTCAAAATCATTTTGTATCCTGATGAAACATTGGCCAATTTTTGTTACAACTTTAATTCTCAACAAATGATTTAGTCACCACAAGTAGGAGAGTACCTTGGTTGACTATAAGGCTGTTCATTGTGGATTGCAAATCAGAGTTAGCAGTAATGAACTCTCACAGTTTGATGTTATAGGAATCCTCTGCATGCATTGTTGACCATATCAGCCTCCCTGGTTGCTCACTCCCCCAACTCAATAGGCCTATTGAGTAGAACCAAAGCATGTTTGTTTGACCCTCAACTCTCTTTTAAACCTTTCCTCCGGTGAATGACAACCAGAAAAAAGTGCCGTACGTTTATTGCAGAATATAGATGTATCTCTCTGAACGGTGTGTGCCTTCCTCTGAGATATACAATGCATACCTCATATTTTGAGGCTTAATGAAAGTATTTTTTAATGCTGCTCATCAATGATAGGAGAATCTCAAAAAAAAACACCCATGACACTCCTAGGTGCAAGACCTTTCCGATGAGGTATACATCGAGTCCCTACGTCAATCGGTGATTGAGTGACACACAGACAGACACTTTGTCTTTATTAGTATAGATACAGAACATAATAGGAACTTGTGAGGAAAAGATGCATACTTTAATTGATGTAATAAGACTATTGTAAACAAAGGATTCCTATCGTGTGATGAATTTTTCTTCGTGCTACCTTCGTTTGGCAATACCGTAACCTGTCTTGCAAAGTTGTCCAAAGCTTTAAAGCACGCCCACCCCTTTAACTTTCAGTCCCTTTGACCTGATTGCTAAACAGCCTTCTAACTTGCACCACAAAACCATATCCCTGACACTGTAGTTTATCAGTACGTTGTTTACAGTGTTTAAATTTAAGGGAATTGCTTGGACTGTAAATGGATCATGCGCAAATAACCCCTCACGGCTGTCCTGCGAACTAACCAGACCTGGCTCAAGGTTTGCATTTCATATCCTTTGTCAAACTGCGGATTATTGCATGTGCATGGTTTAATCTGCATATAATACTTTCATTTTCTTTGTAACTATTAGTAGTCGGAAGAGCTTTTGTTTGACTATGATAGTGGGCAATGTTATGCTTATATGGCAATGAAAGGCCTTTGACATACCAAGAGGCATTTTGTATGCAAGCTCATAAAAAAACCATAAATAAGATATTTACCAACTGGCTTCCTTGTGCAAATTTTATCTTGAGTTTAAAACATAGAAGGTACAAAATGTGTAATAACCTTTGGCCTTCGCAAGGACTATGCTTTTAAAATCTCAGTTAGTTGATTACTGTACATCAAAGAGCAAAAGCACTTTGCCTAAAATGCCAGATTAGAATTACAGTAGTTTGAGATTGCAAAATGTATGCATTTTTGAAAAAATAAACTAGGCAATATTTAGATCTATGCCAATATGTTAGCGCTGACACCCTGAGGGTTGAGTATACGTTGTGTGGCGATTATTTTATTCTTTGTGTGTGAAATATTGTGCTTGTATCAGAATGCCTACAAGAGAAAAGTGGTGTGGTACTTTATAAGTGTAAATCTTATCTTGGTTTAACTGTATTTTTCTGTTTCCTCTAATATTTTGTATTTTATTTCAACCTGGCCTACAAAAACAGGAAAAATGTCAAAGGCTTTTTATTGTTTTTTTTAGATAGTGACTTTGCTTTACTTTGGTGTAAAAATGTTGCAATAACATGAAAACAGGCTCTGGAAATGGTTTGATTTATGGGCTTGATTTAAAGTTTTAATTTGAGGTGCAAGACACCAGTAAACGTGGCAATGAGGGAAGAAATATACTGATAATTAAGTTATTAAATTTTTTTGTAAGAATGATTTATAGTCTGAATAACTTTGACACACGTTCTGAGTGTTTTTGTGTTGATGTGACCAGTAGTCTCAAACATTAGTGTGGAAGATTGCATTTTTATTTAGAAGTGAATGAACCCAACTGGCAGAGCCCATGAACCAAATATCCACAACCTTCGATTAGGTAGCACTGATAGGCACCTAATATTAATATTTCTTTATAATTACAAGGTTGAAGATGAATTTAATTCTCCAGTGGTGGTGTTCAGATTCACTCAGGACCACCTAAAATCAGGTAATGGTTCTCGTACTCCATTGCACTGTTCATTTTCTTTGTCAACAGCTGTCAGCTCTCCACATAAACAGGGTTGACTGGCACCCCCCCGGGTCTAAAGTTTACAGTGGAAACATTCTTGATAAGAATGGATATTACAGTGTCCTGTTGATTCTACTGCTAAAGAGTAATCTACCCTTAATCGCAAACTACTTATCAGTTGGGATATTTGCTGAGTGAGATACAGAAAGTAATCTGTCACGGCTGATAGTGACATTGAGATTAACTTCTCCTCAAGTAACTAGTTAAAGGTCTGGATGTTTTAAGCGTTTTTTAAAAAAAAACATTTTGTGTTCTAAGAAAACCATTTGTGAAGTACTTGCCTTCGCTATTCGTAACTTCTGTTTTAATGATTCAATTTTGTTGAAATTCAGGCCTAGATGGCGTTCAGTATCAAACTACAGCAGCCCAAGATTCATCAAAGGACAGCAGCGAAAGAGAGATTTCCGATACCCTAAATCGCTGGGTAAGAGCTAACTTTTAAGTATTATAACTACAAATTAACTGGTATTCTTATAGGTTAATCTTTCAAAAAAAAGTAACTATGTACAGCACAATAAGCAGATATACCACCGTGAAATTCATATATAGCATATATAAAGCATGTTATGCTTTCTCAGTTATTCAGACAATTATGCTCTGCTATTTCTGTCAACAGTTGGGAGAACAGTTAGGGCAGTTGGTTCCAGCCAGTGGCGTGGATGTTGTGGAGCTTGAAGATGAGGGTGTGTGTATACGGTTCAGTCCGCTGATGACTGCAGCAGGCGAGTAAATAATTTGTTTACTCATTTCATTTTCATAGTTTATACTTTTGATAGTTTAAATTTTGTAATTTATTGAGCCAATGTAATGTAAAGGCGCTATGTTTTTGGCATTATATATGCCATCTAGCCTCTATCGATATCTAACAAAAATTCAAATGTGTAATGTGATTATCGTAGTTTCTAAGTGACAATTTGCACTTTTGCTTTAGTCTTGGGCACCAAATCAGAAAATGTGGACCAAGTAGTTGAATGCTTACAAGGAAAAATTCCGATTCTGAATAGCACCTTACAACTTAGAGAAGAATTTAAGCAAGAGGTCTACCAGACTGCTGGCTTAACTCACATTGAAGATCTGAATTGGCCTGGATTGGGTGTTGTACGGTAGGTAATAATAATATAATAATGTTGTCCTGTAGGTATATCAAAACTTGTTTTCAAAACGATTTCTCCAAAACTAGTAGTCTATTGGAGTACAAATTAAAGTAATTTGCCAGTTTACAGTCTAACTTTGTTCATAGGTATGAATTTACTAATGAGGAGTCTGACCCAGAAAAAANGCAAGCAGAGATGGAAAAAATCACCAGTGGGTTATTAAAGAAATTGAAGGAGCTTGACTCAGACCTGATGTTCTCTACAGGTAAGGAAGGAACCGTGACAAAGAAGAAAACTTCTACTCTTAGGAAGAAATTTGATTAAATTGTTTGAAGACCTTTTGGCCCCTAAAATCTCATCTTCTCAGGATACCCACCCTACCTTCTTCCAATTACTTTATTACCAACATCATATTTCTACATTGGAGCCTGCTGTTTGGATAGATGCTGGGCTCTACTGTACACATTACATTAAGACTTGCATTGAAGATCCAACTACAAGTACCTAACGAGATGCATTAATCTGAGATGTGTCTGTTGCAACTTGAATTTAATTTTACATTTAAAAACTGACACGGTACATGATAACTTGTAATGTAAAATATAATTCCTTTACCCTGTAGGGCCTGAGTTTGGAGGTGAGAAGAACTGCATTTATATTGGTATGGTAACGGATGACTTAGATGTGCCAGAACTGGTGGAAACCATTGCAGCTACAGGCAGAGAAATAGAAGAAAATTCAAAAGTATGTACATTTTCTGTCATTCTTTTTAATCTTGAGTTTTTGCATTTACGTGTAGTTTTGTTAAATACAAGAATATCACAAATAATGACCAATTCCCAAACCATATTTATCAAGTTGTGTAATATCGTTGATTCCCAACTATTTTGAACTCTATTTCCTGCTTGTCATGTATGTTCTGCAAAAGATACGAGTGTAGACCAAACCCTGCACCCTCATGGTTGAATAGCCTCTGTGAAGAATGACCCATATAGCGACATCCCGAAGGCTGGCTGATGTCTGTGGAACCATCTCCCAGCAAGAGTTAGCACCTTCAGAATGAAGTAAATTGTTAACCATTTAGTATGTCAAATTTGCACAATGTGTAAATAAAATTATTAAAGGAGGAAAAAAAATCCTCGCCTTTGATACAACTGAGCTCACCCACAAAAAACAGTCACACTACTTTACAGTATATCCTGCAAAGCACATGAGATGTCTCGACAACATAAATAAGGTATTATAGCAAATGCAAGGATTATTATTATTTTTCTACTTTGGTAACTTATTTGACTCAATTATTCTAACCAGTTATTTTCATTCAGATGAATTCAGCTGGTCAATGAACTTGACAGTTTATATCAGTTTATAAAACTTTACTAGTATTGAAAATAACTCATGTCTTTTGTCTGAAGTTACTGGAGAACATGACTGAAGTTGTCCGACAAGGAATTATGGAGGCAGAACGACAGTTGTTAAAGGCTACTGAAGAAAAACTCGTTGAAGAGGTAAATATCAATAATGTCAAGTTAAATGCCAGACCCATTCTGCTCAAACTATTTCCAGTACAAAAATATTAAACTTATTTAAGTAAATGTAGAGAATTAAATTTGTTTTAAAGCAAACATGGCAGTAAATAGCTTCATTTATTTCACCAAAGCTTCCGAGGAACAGAAGTCATATTACTTTTGTCTTATATTTTAATATAATTATTTAAGCACAGTAGATGGCTTAAAAAATACTCTTCTAAATTTCTGTAATTTTGCTTTTAACCAGTCAATGTGCTCAACAAAACAATTCAGTTGCACCTGATCAGTAGTTTATTGTGAAATCAATTAATTGTCTTCAAGAAAATAGTTTTACTTTTTCATAAAAGTATTCAATTTGAAATGGTGGAAACATGAAGTGTTGGGATTGCGTTTTTCACTGTGCGCTTGTTCTGTCTGTCCTGTGCAGGGAATTCTGCGTCAAATCCCAGTTGTTGGTTCAGTCCTCAACTGGTTATCTCCATTCCACAGCACAGTTAAAGGAAGAACATTCAATCTCGCTGCAGGTGAGTCATTAAAGGTGCTGTTAATTATTTTTGGTTTACAACAAATATTTCAGCAATACTGCATAGTAGTAGTTGTAAGTTGGCCACTTGTTTAACCCTCTGAGGGTTGGTGCATGATTGTCGAGTTCTGCCAGTGCATTCTGTAGATGAACTGATGTCACGGGGCAAGCGTGGGAGAGGGAATGGTTGTTTGATCGGAGTGGCCAGGGTATTGGTTAAGTGAACCAGTATTGAATGATATTGAGCTTCTTGACTGTTGTTGTATAATCCAGGCAAATGACAAGTGTTCCATGATACTTCAATCTGCGACTTTCAGACCCATTGCAAGAATCCTGCCAACTGAGCCAAGCTGACATCTTCTACATTGAAATGATCTTACCTCGACTAGTGTCCATGGCCTTGCCCCTCCCTACCTCTGACCTGCTGACTCCCAACGCGCCTGCCCACTCCCTCCGTTCATCAGGCTCCGGCCTGCTCCATGTCTCCTGCCCGACCCACCCAACCGGGCTTTCAGCCTCTTTGGAACTCCATCCCACGGTCCCTTCGCCTCGCTCCCTCCCTTGCCTCCTTCAAGACCCTTCGACCGTGCCTTTGATCTCTCTGCCTTCCCTCACCCTTCCTCCCCCATGCTCGGGCCCTGACACCTGACTGTTCAGCGCTTTGGGACATCCACCTGAAGTGAAAGGCGCTCTATAAATGTCATTTTGTTGTAGTGTAGAATTGTGCAATATTAGTTATTTGAGCTCAGTTATGTAGGTTTATGTTTGCCACTATTTTTAACTTTCATTTTGGTTACCTTATCCTTGTTATTCTTGTTTATCAGGTTCTGTGGAGTCAACAAGCAACACATATACATCAAAAGTTCAGGCCTCAGGAGGAACTCCACCCCCAACTCCTACAGCCAGTCGCACTAAAAATAAATTACCAGGTCAGTCAGAATTGTTTTGAAGTTTTCCTCTTCCAAAAATGCAGCTTATTAATCGCAGTACACCAAGGTTTTACTTCAACAACAACAGTCTTCTGGAAAGAGAACTAATACATGTTTATTGTATATAATAGGACAAAAACAGTTTCGAAGATCTTCCAGGACTAATGCATCTGATGCAGTTAGTGACACCAGTTCAGTGAGTCACATGGAAGAAATTGAAGTTTCCCAGACCAGCACAACAGCAACCAGACTGGAGTTTGAAACAGAAGTTCATACAAGCCCTGAACCTTCAACTCAACTGGGTAGTGAGTTAGAAGTTCCAGAGCAGGTACAGCATGAAGAAAGCCCTGAAATAAATGTACAGGAAGTTGACCAGATCTCTGCAGCAGAAGCAGAGGACTCTTCAAAAGAGAGCCTTAGATAAGGAAAGAGAATCTTAGCATCAAGACTTTGTACACAAAAAAAGCACATGTCCCATGGTTGGGATAACATGGATCTTTACTAATGTGAACTGTGCCATGTAATAGTACAGTAAGGATACTACTGTTGTCTGCCTTTAATTAGGATTTTGCACAATGCTGTGATAAGAAATTGCAGTCTTATTGTCTACCGTCCCACAGCAGTTAATAGAAATTTTGATTTAAAAATTGATCAACCGTTGATTATATGGCGCGTTAATAAGTGGTTTCAAGTGGGCTGAATCCAAAAGTGCAATTGTTCTGTTTTCTGTAGTGCGCTCGGAAATCTAATTTTCTTCCTTGCACAATCAGTTTGACTATTACATTTTACAGTACAATGAAGTATACTGTCATCCCATCATTGTGGATTAATTTGTAGTAATACATTGTTTAAATTTAGTAAATCTTTACTATTGGTGTCCTTAATATTTAAATGGGTTGGGTCATTTTATTCTGTTTATTTTGCACACTATCCACTGGTGGTTTTCATTTAGAAACAAACTGTATCCACCTGTTATTTTTAGGGGAAATAATCTGAAATCTATTGTTCAAACGTGATTAAGCTTCAAGCAAAGTAAAACTGATCATTCATGTTGAGAAATTTTAATTCATGAAGATTTTTGAATTTTATTGGTTTGGAGAACAAAATAAAAATTGTTTCTCAGAAGTGTGATCTTGGCTTTCAGTTTTTCTGAAAATTTCCATATGATAAAGCAGTTTTGCTCCTTATGATCTGTATTTCTCTTTGGAAAATTTTGTTTATGGTTAAATACCACTACCTGCAATGTGGCTACCCATTGTCTGTCTGGGGCAAAATTGGGAAAAAAAGAGATTCGGTAATTGATTCACTCCTTTATCTAGTTTTCTTTGTAAAGCAGCTGAGATTTGGGTTTAGTAAGTATTAATTACACCAGTTTTTCTGGGTGAGGTAGAGTTTTTGATGGGAAGTGCATATGTTCAAGCAACTGGACCGTCTCCTGGATTTAATGCAGCTCTTAACCAACTATTTCAGCCATGCCTTTGAAGAAAAGGTCAGTTCTCCTTCATAGCCATGTAACAGCTGCCTATCTTTTCTTTAACTTTCTTTCCCCACACATAACTTTTACATAGTCTTTCAATCTTTCAGATTGAAATAAACATTTTGTTAGTCTGCACCTGAGCCAATAAATTCCTTCTTACCTGATCAAGGGCACGTACTGCATTACCTTCCTTCAGTTGTTCTAAAGATGTCATTACATCAAGCAGGTACTTTTTGGCATTGCCATGTTTCTTTGTTATACAAGCTTGAAGATTTACCAATAAGCAAATCTTCCTCAAATCATACCCTTCACTCTACCGCAGGCATAACATTTGGAAGCTTGAATAAAAAGCTATCTACACATGCAATTAAGTTATGACAACCATAGCTTGATTAGTTTGTTGCAAGACACCACCTTTTGCAAATGATGGAACAATGTTAGTCTTAGTAAAGATGGATTAGTTTCTCATTCAATTATGGGTTTACACCTTTTCCTAGAACAAAATGTGAAACATCATGTGAAGTGATCCAAACAGTTTATTCAAAACAGCATTATTTTATAAAAGAAAGTAATAGAACACATTTCACATTCATTATAAAACACCAAGATACTTCACATCAGTCTTACCACATTTAATACTTTCTATAAATTATTCAACATTCTGATTTTTTCATAGCCAGTATGAATAGAATTTCAGATAATTTTTCAAACTGTAACCCACAAAATGTTATGGCATCAGACCAAACCAGGTAATTTTATTCCATTAAGAACTGTATAATTATGCAATACACTTTACATTGCATAGATTTGGGACTATATACATTTATTACAATCATTAAAGTTACCCACAGCAAAATCTTAAAAATGCCCAAAATGTGTTTTTGTCCAAAGAATCCTTCTTTTCCGGGATTCCTTTTATGTATAAAATCATTTGGTGGAGTTTGTTTTTCTATATAACAAACACAACTTGCTGCATTTTTTTTTAAGTACCACAAGTGAGGAAGCAGCTAAAGCACTGGTGTGAGTGACACTGCAATGTTTAAAAAAATTAAGCTTAGGCCAGACCATCAATTCTCTCCCATAAACCTTGTGCATTTTTCTTGTATATTCTGGATCTACCGTTTGGAAATAAAGAATCATCTGGTACTGGATGATCGTTTAGAAACTGCAGTGTAGATTTTATGTGTTTAACAAAATGCGGAGGTTCAACAAGTGGCGATGTCGACATATTCTGTAAAGTGAAGGAAAGTAAATATTGCATGAATTTTAGTGACTTCTAAAAATGGTTTCACTAGCATTCTCAATTCTATGGAAAAGCTCAAATTCTTCAAACAATGTTTCACTAACTACTGGTAACATTCAACGAGCAAGCACAAAACACCACAATTTCTAACTCTGATCTCCGAGGACAAGCTGACTTGAGTTTTGACAAGAATGCCAGCATTACATTTTCTGTATTTGTCACATAAGAACACTTCAGAGATTGCCAACGTTTGGAAAACCTGATTTAAGTTGGTTTTCAGACAATGAAAATGGTGTTTTTCTAAACTTACTTCATCCTCCAAACTGGATTGTGGAAGACAATCAGAAGGAAGAAGGTAAGTCCTCTCCTGGATACAACAACAACTTGTATTCATAGAGTGCCCTTTGCGCGGGCTCACGTGCTGGAGCGCTTTCATATGCTAATGTGCTGGAATACAGTGGCCCACTCCGACATTAAGTAGCCAATCTTAATTTGTGAGAGTTAGACAGTGAGTTTCATGGCAGGAGATAGCAGTTCCCAAACTACTACCCACAATGTTAATTGTGATTCAAACCCGCAATTATGTCCTGTAAGTGCTGCTATCACCAGGTCTACATATACAACCATATATTTTTGATATGAAAAGAGCTTGTCTTTGCTGTACAGGGTTAATATTACTGCAATACTACTACTTACGACTGGATAATTTGCATTCTATATATGCAAATTAATAGGGTTTTTTTAGCTTCTTAAACAACCTGTAAAACAGTCAAGCCAAGCTCGAGACAGTTGCCACAGACCCATCAGCAGTTCCAGAATTGTTACTGTACCTGTAATATTACAGCATCAGACTGCTGCAACCAGAACTCAGCATCTGGAAAGTGTGTCCATTCATAAGGTCCAATCTGCATCTGCTGCATTTTTGCATCATAAATCGACAACATCTAAGTAAAGACAATAATTGGTGATTTGATATAAAAGCTGAATAAACAAGTGTGGTCGAGAGGTCAAGTTAATATCTAACGTAGCTTATTGACTGCCACTCTGTCCCAATTTAAAATACTTTTTGTCACAAATATTCGGAACTTACAGGACCCCCCATGAAAGAACGAGCTGAGCGAATATCCTCATCCGGACCCTTTTCTGGGAAAGTTGCGTGAAAAATCTCACCAGTTTTCACATCTACAGCTGAAAGGCAATTAAGCAAAAAAAATTAAGGAAATGTTTTAACAATGCAATTATTTACACAACTAATGGAATGTTGAATTTAACATACTTGCTAAAGCTCAATCATGAAGAATGCCAGTTAAAAACATAGAGGGCTGCTGGCTTCCACTGGACCATACACCACCGCCACCATCAACAAATTACATTTGTATAACGTCTACTATAGTGAAAATGCACGAGCACAATATCTTCTATCAATCAGGAGAGCAAATAACAGCACATAAAAGTGCATATTCACATCTTATGATTTTCCACCTAAAATGTAAGTGCCCGATCTCCACTATACTAGACTTAAACCACAATGACACAAATTCACAAAGATATTTCTTTATATTATTTCCCCTCTTCTACACAAAGTAAATAAAGCAAAAGTGCAAAGGTTGAAAAATATACAGAATGAACATCAACTCTTCTCACCAATTCCATAAATCGCCGGACAGTGATGCAGTTTCTTCACTACGTCATTGAGTTCTGAAAAAGATGGGGGTGTTTAAAGAAGAAACAACAACATACTTGTATCTAACTGGTAGAACTCTCCCTCTGCAACTGTAGCTGCTCATTAGTAAGGCTAACAATAAATAAATCTTGCATTCGATATAGCAACTTTCCCACCAGGACGTCTCAAAGCTCTTCACAGGTACACATCAGGCACACTGTCTTCTAAAGCTTAAAGAAAATAGAACTTTAAAGAAAACAGAATTTTACCTGTCACACAGCAGGTGATCAAATGAATGTTCTCTGACTGATTGTTGAACGTTTCTGTAAATGCAGATGAAAAAAATGAGTCAGTGTCAGAATTCATGGTTAATGTGAGCATTTACAATGCTAGAGATAGTTAATGTGAGCATTCATATTGCTAGAGTTATTTAAATAGCAAATGAATGCAGAGCATGTGGACCCATCAGCTACTGTTCAGCAAACCGGTTTCTGAAAGTTGTCAAAAGCCTACCGAGAAGCTGGAGAGTGAGCCTGTGTGACAGCCACCTCTGGTCAATGAAACCTCCAACAAGGTGAAGCTCAAATCTAAAGCAAAAAAAATGTTTTAGAACGAGTTTAGGGTAAATGATTAAAATAGCACAAATGGGTTAATGTCCTCCATAGGTTATTATGTAACAAGGTCCAGAGGTTTTACCTTCCATGATCACACCCAGCTGACAAGGACTTCATAGCAGTTATCATCATGGCCACCTCATTTGCTGTATCTGACCCATCACAGTGTCCCAGACATGTGGCTCCATTCCCTAAAGAAATAAATCCAGGCTGTGTATATTTGTGGAGAACAGCTGAGCCTCAGCATTAATTGAGAATTTCTACCATTAACTGCATGAGAATGCAATGACATTACCCAGTGCAGTTATACCCAGCAACGTAAAATCCATTTTAAACTGGATAGTTCAATTAAACAAAACCAGATTAAGTGAAATGCACATTTTTCCATCATGAAAATGACTGCATTTTCTCAGCATTAAATAGAATGGATTTAAAAGGCAATTTTTAACGTGGATAAAATGATGAGAAAAACATTTTATTAAAAAAATCTGATACATTTCATTTTCTAAATCCCAAAATGTGTGATCATAGTTTTAGCTTTAGTTTGCCAATAGCTCAATAATATTCCACAGCTTGCTCCGTTTGCTGGCTGTAGCTAACATCTGGCTCAATGTAAATTGGCTAATTATTTATCCAAATTAATACTACCAACAATATTAACATTTGACTTATTTTAGTCCTCTACTCTAAAACTGCAGAATTTCAAAGGTTGTGACATTCATTATAATAATAATAATCCTTGCATTTGATATAGCGCTTTTCACGTCGGGAGGACGTCCCAAAGCGCTTCACAGAACACACTGTAAAGTGAATTGACTGTATATTTGCGGGCGAACGCGGCAGCCAATTGCGCTCAGCAATGTCCCACAAACAGTCGTAGATTGAAAATGACCAATTTATTATTGTTTTTGGTTTTGGAGGATTATTATTAGGCTCTGTGTGGAGTAAGGAAACTTGCCCGAGGTTTCGCCCTCTGCTGGAATTGAACTCAGGTCTCTCGCTTGCAAAGCGAGTGCTCTAACCACTGAGCTACAGGACTCCATTAAGACTACTTTGGGGAGTAAGTACCTCCAAGCCTGTCAAAGGCATTTAGCTTAACAGATCTTTAACTTGAGAACATTATCAAAAAGATTGACTCATATCTTCAAATGGACCACTGCACAAAATCTCAAAGTACCTGTGTGTCGCAGTACAACCAGGTGGCACGTAGTTGCATCATCTGATCCAATTACAGTGACTGAACCTATGGTTTGAGATGAATAGAAAGTGGAAGGTTAACTCCCTTTATTTTCATTTTACAACAAACAAACTAAGTTCACAAGAGAGATTCAGATGAAGAAGGGCGTTTGGCTTATTTGATGCTCACCTTACCAAACTACCTGCTTAGTAATACTTAGTATAATTTTCTCCCAAATGAAATTCTTTAACTGAGCTTAGATAAGATAAGAGAGGCAATGATAAATTCTGAGAAAAGGAATATTGGTGATTCCTTGCTGATCTGTGAAACCAAATATGCACTAGCAGTCATGCATCAACATATTTTAATTCAATAACAATCAAGCTTTGAGGCAGACTGTTGTGTTAGACTGCCATCTTGTGTAGCAAATCAACAAGTTCTTCAAAGATTCAGGTTTGAGATAGGCAAATGATTAAAAATAGTCAGATCAAGTTCCCAAAACATAAAATGGATAACAAAACAGATTCAATAAGGTAAATGACTATACTTTCCAATACTCAAAGTGCTTACCATCCTCCCGAGGGCTTGTTGCTGCAAATTCCCTTTGCTGAACATATAACAGACCTTTGGGATCTACCTTACACGCTGGCTTGGATTTCAGTGAATGAGCACCTTCCTGGATAAAACAACAGAAATAGTTCTCTCCATGTGGATGATGCATTAATCTTGAATTAAGCAGCATGCCTCAACTTATAGTACCAGTGAATAAGACAGAGAGGAAACCAGTTTCTGTGTCTCAGCAGCTCTATTTGTTTCACAAGGATCACAAGATTGGTTTGGATGAAGAAGGCCCTTCAGTCCATTTTACCTAATTCTTTCAGAATATCCCCATCATCGTTAAACCAAGCTCCCTGACTGCCTGTTCATATTGACGTTAAAAATCTTGGGGCACTATTTGAAATGGATAGAGCCTTTCATGTTGGGAGGATGTCCCAAGGCGCTGGACAGTCAGAGTTTCGAACCCGAGCTGGGGGTCAGGATCGGGGAGGGTGGAGGGCAGAGGGAGGAAGCAGGGTGATTGAAAGCACGGTCAAAGAGGAGGATCTTGAAGGAGGCAATGGAGAGGGCGAGGCAGACGGACTGCGGGATGAAGTTCCAGAGGGTAGGGACAGAGTGGTAGAAAGCCCGCCCAGCAATAGTGGGGTGAGCAAGGCGGGGGATGTGAAGAAGGCTGGAGCCCACTGGGAGGAGGGTGCGAGCGGGATTGTAGGGGGTTAGTAGGTCGCAGAGGTCGAGAGGAGCAAGACCATGGAGGGCTTTGAAGGTGAGGACCAGGATCTTGAACTGTATCCTCTGTGTGATGGGAAGCCAGTGGAGTCGAGCGAGGATGGGGGTGATAAAGTCACAGGGCCTGGTGCGGGTCAGGACATGGGCTACAGAGTTCTGGATGATCTGTAGCCTATAGAAGGAGGAGTTGGGGAGGCCAACAAGCAAGGAGTTTGCATAGTCAAGTAATGAAGGCATGTATGAGGTTTTGGCGTCCTGCGGTGTGAGACAATGGCAGAGCCGGGCGATGTTGCGGAGGTGGGGGAAGGCAGAGCCGGTCATGGTGCAGATGTGGGGTAGAAAGGATAGTTGAGGTTCAAACAAGACCCCAAGGTTCCAGAGTGGCTTAGTAAGGTAAATGTGCAACCATGGATGGTGATGCTGTCAGTGCCTGAGGTGAGGAGGCGCTGACGGGATCCAATCAGGAGAACCTTAGTCTTGTTGACGTTCAACTGAGGTAAGTTCGCTCTCATCCAGGACTTGATGTCTGATAGACATTCTGTCAGGACAGCAGTGGTCGTGGAGTCAAGGGTGAAGGCAGAGAGGTACAGTGGGTGTCATCCACATACGTGTGGAAGTCGACCCCATGTCTGCGGATGATGTCACCAAGAGGGAGCATACAGATGTTGAAGAGGAGGGGACCAAGGACAGAGCCCTGAGGAACGCCGCATGAGACGGTGCGGGGGCTGAAGGAGAAGCCGTTTGTGGAGACGAAGTGGAGACGGTGCGAGAGGTACGGTCTGAACCATTCCCGGACAGAACCGTGAAGGTTGAGGTGAGAGGAGAGGACGGTGGACGAAGGCAGCGGAGAGGTCCAGGAGGCCGAGGAGGCCGAGGGAGCGGAGCCCTAGTCGCCGAGGGACAGGAGGATGACAAGCGCAAAGCCCTTTACACAAACCAAAAAAGTTTAAACCAAAGTTTAAACAGATGACAATAAATTAAGAACAAGCAATAACAATACATGAACCAATACGTTTGAAGTAGTGTAACAGGGCCGCGCCATTCGAACACAAGTTTAAAACGACAAATAAAAAAATCCTAATAAACAATAGCAATACACGAGGAGCGTATAACGCTAAAAAAAAAAATGCTTAACGGTCTCAACACGGGTTTCAGTTTAAACAAGTCGAAGGCTTTAACGGGGACCGCTTTCGTAACCACAAGTGCAAACAGAGACCACGAGCATTTGAGAACAAATAAACCACAACAAACACGCGAGTAAGTACCGTCCGCCCTTAAACCCACGTTCAAACCGGACCGCCGGAAAATAACGACGGTACTGTGGGACGTTCCGACGCGAACAGCGCTTCACGTTCCGCCATGTTGTTTGTTTGTTGTTGTTGTTGTTTCTAACCGTCACCTGCCTGACCCCCTGACCCCCACCACTACCGCACCCCGGGGAGTCGCTGCTTTTACCTTCAGGTGCGGGTAATGCCGGAAAAACTCCTTGGTCGACGTGGGGACGTGTAACCTGTCACCGTTGTAGAGCAGCGGCATGATGGCGGCGGCGGCGCCACTGCTGCTCCCGCTCCGCCCTCCCCGTTTCCATCACGACCGGTCACGAGGGCGGGGCTGGTGTGTGTCACGTGCGTCGCGTCGGGTGCGTACGTGCGCGTGACGTCCTCTCGCTCTCTGGGAGTTGTAGTCACGTCCGTGTCCCCCCCCCGCCTCCCTCTCACAACGTCGCGCCCGAGAACTACATATCCCACAATGCTCGGCGAACGACCGCCTTAGCGTCAGCCAGCGGGCGCCGCAGCGCCTCCTGTTGGATGGAGCGGGGCATTGACAGCTCAAGTCACATGCAGTGTGCCAGCAGGCAGGGCATCAGCTGGGGGGCAATAGAAAAATGTGGGGGGATTTGCCCCCACCACCCTATCCCCCCCCCCCAGATATTTGGAAATTTTTAGGGGTAATTGCGGAGAAAATTAGGTTTCAGGGCCCAGCACCGCCCACAGACCCAGAGACAGACACTCACACACTCAAAGACAACAACAACAACAAGATTGCATTGATAGAGCGCCTTTCACGTCGGGAGGACGTCCCAAGGCGCTCGACAGTTGGGTCGGGACCCGAGCATTGGGGGGAAACGGTCAGGGTGAGGGGAGGGAAGGGAGGGAGTGAGGTGGGGGTAGAGAGTCGAGAGGGGAGCTGAAGGCACGGTCAAAGAGAAAGGTCTTGAGACCGGCCTTGAAGGAGGAAAGGGAGGAGGCGGCGAAGGCACTGGGGATGGAGTTCCAGAGCCTCGGGGCTGAGAGGCTGAAGGCCACCGATGGTCGGGCGGTTGGGGCGGGGGATGTGGAGCAGTCCGGAGCCGGAGGAACGGAGGGTACGGGCAGGTAAGTCGGGGGATAGTAGGTCGGAGAGGTAGGAGGGAGCGAGGCCGTGAATGGCCTTGTAGGTGAGGATGAGGATCTTGAATTCGAGACAGAGATAGACACACACACAAACATAATAGCTGCCATAGCATCAAGCACTGGTGTAAATTAGAGAACATACAGAGAGAATACAGAACTGATGCATATGTTTAGAACCAGACAGAACATCTAGATCCAAACATTTTATTGACAGTTAATGAAATCATAAAATTATGGATCACATTAAATAATTTTAATTCTGTAACACGCCCAGGTTGTGCAACTCTGAAGTTTGCTGTTGTGCAATCTCGAAATATTGTGCCAACCATTTTATAAGAACTTTCCATATCTGTCACACCCTTCTCTTAAAAATGTTAGCAACATAGTAAGCAACACTTTGTTCATCTGTGGCATTTGGCTACGGAACAAGGTTTGAGATAATCACTAGATATAAAGCTGGAGTGAAAGTAATAATAATAAAATAATGATCCTTGCCTTTGATATAGTGTCTTCGAGACGTCTCAAAGCAATTCACAGAATATACTGTAAAGTGAATTGACTGTATATTCTGTGGACAGAATGCGGAAGCCAATTGCACACAGCAGTGTCTCACAAACATTCGTGGATTGAGTGACCAAATTATTTTGAAAGGATTATTAACACGGAAAAGCAATCCGCCAATCGACTAACAACCGTCTTCCTACTTACTGTTAGGTAAACAGAGGGGTGTGGAGTAAGGAAACTTGCCAAACGTTTTACCCCACTTGGGAATTGACCCAGGACCTCTCGCTTGAGAGGCGAGTGCTCTGACCACTAACCCACACGACTCCAAAGTAACTAAAGGGCGAGTAGGTATAACTTACCTTTTTTGCCTGGGAACCAAACTGGGACACCTGATGAGCTGTTGAAGAATGGTGACTTTTAAGGATTTGGCTATGGTTTGGAAGCTAGCTTTGAGCCCCTATTATTTTCAGGTGAGGACTCGTTTAAAAAAAAAAAATTCCTCAGCAGCTGACAAAGGTTCTGACCCTTATATAAAATAAATTAATTTACTCAGATTTATCCCACCAAATGAACAAATGAATAGAAACACAGACAGCAAAAGAAAATAGCAGAAATCAATTGAAAACTAGGAGTGTGGGGGAGAGGAGAGAAAGGAGAGGAGAGAAAGACATGTCTCATATCAAAAACACTTCAGCTCTCCAAAAATAAATTTAAAAGTATACAAAACTATACTTTAAAAATCCAAGATAATTACGATGATATGGAAACTAAGGTCAAAAATCTTGAGCACACTCCTTGCAGCACATGGTCAGTAATTTAGAAAAGTCAGTCTTCATTCAAAAACATAAATGTCATTTCTCAATGGCAGTCTAGAAACTGATTTAAAAATAATTCCGGTTATAAACGTTTAAAACAAAAAGTATACTGAATAATGTCAGATTTACAAAAGCCAATAACTATGCACAAATGTACAAATATATTTACAGAGTAGCTAAGTGGAAATAACAATAGAATCCAGACAAAAGCCCACATCAATATACCAGGGTCACTAAACAGTCTTTCGTGTGTATTTTCATACATTACGTCCTTTAGTGATGAGAGCAGGCGTGTTGAAAGTTTGTTTTGAACTGCACCCGCACATTGGAAGTAGAACTGTGTACATTTCCATCATTTAGTGCCGATGTGAAAACAAATCGGGTGGAGCGTCTACATTGCTTGGACTTCGCATGTAGGACTCAAAAGAATTTGGTGTGATTGCAACAACTGTTTCGTTCTGAGGAACTTCTTCTCTTAAGAAGTCGTCCTCCTCATCTTCAGCGGTATTCTAAAGATCAGTAGAAAGGATGAACATTAATTGTGTTTTATACTCACACCGACTCTTGTCCCATCAGGTTCCCTTTCTGTTACACCATGTCTTACCAATGGGTTCAAATCCTCTCCCTTATTCAAATCAGTGTGCGACAATTATGAGGAGTCGGGCAATCATCAGGTGGAAAATCAGGTTACATCAGAGTGGCTTGGTTCCAGCTGATCAGAGTTTGCAACCCAGACATTTCTGACCTTCCATCTTAAGAAGGCATATAGAAGGGACAAACTATCATACCAAAACCCACTAACTTCTTTTTCCAGTGCCTACCAGTGGTAAACCAATACTCTGTTGAAGAAAATATCTAATGCTCACCTGTTTCACAACTTTCTGTGGCATCTGAAGCTCATGAACGCTCAAGTCTTCCCAAACCTGGTAAAGACTGTCGATCATCTTTTTTGATCTGCCAAAAAAAAATCAATAATCAAATATCTCAAAGCATCATTTAGCTGACACTAAATGCACTGAAGTTCAACTCCACCCCAGTTTAGCACTGCATTCAGAAGCTAATATGCTTTTAATTTCCCAAATTAGGTCTCAGAAGAGTTATTTTAAACTAAAGAGGACTCGAAACAAAATTCAACATGCTCATGTCAGAGAAGCTTTGCAAAAGCTAATTATACAAACGTATTCCAAGTGCGATTAAAGATAAATTTCAAGAAAAAGAAAAAAAACTGAAAGAACGATTCAAATGTGAAATAAAATCATTATACTCCATTTAAATGTAAAAATGTGGGTGCACAAACCTTTTAAGAACACAAGGATCAAAGGGAAAGAAGCAGTTAAGTGGGTTGGTGCACGTCTGCTCAGAGTCACCTCCAACGCTGCTCCTAATCACAGGTAAGAGTTGACGATTGTTTCGTTCAATTATAGTGTAACAGAAAACTAACTGGTACTTCCTGCAAAAGGAAAACGATTCCCTTTCGTTAATGGTGTTAATGTTGTGTCCATCTTATCTGCCTTTTTGAAACCTGTATGCAGATAATACACACCACACACAGAAGGAGTTCAGGTATTCTGAGTACACAGCACTTAACATTAAGATATGATTCTACAAAAAAAGTTCCTAAAATGATACCTGAAGAGATCGTTGTCATTTCAACAGAAAATCACATTTTGAATAGTAGTATGATTTGTTGCTAATTTACAAACACAATCAAATTTCACCAGTCCTTTAACTTGTGTGATGTAAATTTCAAAGTCAATATGAGATCTTATTCATCATTTACAATTAGGCAACAATGGATTACAAACTGGGTGGTAATGATATTTTCAATTAAATTACACATAATATCGGCTTAAAACATGAGCTAAATACAAGTGACGATATGGACTCTTTATGAATATGCCAGAGTGTCATTTACCAGCATCCAATAATACTCACCTTGTAATAGCTGCAAACAAGTTGATGACAGAAGGTAGGCAAACTTTTAGTGGGTTCAGTTGGCACATTACTATACGTTCAAAATTCAGACTCTGCAAGTATGCCAAACCTGCACAAAAGAGCAAACAAAATGTAACTAAATAGCTCAAAATTAACTACATTAACTACACTAATTCACTTAATGCCTTTCTTTAAAAAGAATACTAGACAAAAGCAAAGTTTAGGGAGTTGCACGTTGAAACTCCTGCTTTTCCAGGCTCTGACATAACACTCCATAAAATGGTAATAAAATGCGCAAGAACAGATAGAGCAGACATCACCCTCCTCCCAAAGAGACGTCCAAACTCTACAGCCCAGCAGCCTGCAGTATTTCAGCGTGTTCTTTCTTCCGCCATTTCTCACGCCATAGCCATTTCCCGTAGCCACCTCTCCCCACCCGACACCCATAACATACCCTTGATGACAAGATCTCTCATTCTTCCTCTCTCCTCCCTCACTGTATGTATAAATGCATAGGAGAAGAGGAAGTAGCAGGAAAGCCTGACCTCCCATTAGATCGCCCCCTCCGCCAGCAACATGACTAAGATCGATTGAATGTCTCTGAATTCACAGGTTCAAACACACATCCTACAACAACAACAACTTGCATTTATATAGCGCCCCTCACGCAGGGTAGCGTCCCAGAGCGTCTGACAATGGCGGAGCACGACTCTGCCTACCTCAATCCACAGCATAGCGCTCTAACAAGTTCCACTGCCTCCATGAAATATAATAATAATCCTTGCATTTGATATAGTGCTTTTCACGTCGGGAGGACGTCCCAAAGCGCTTCACAGAACACACTGTAAAGTGAATTGAATGTATATTTGGGGGCGAACGCGGCAGCCAATTGCGCACAGCAATGTCCCACAAACAGTCGTAGATTGAAAAATGACCAATTTATTATTGTAACTCTACTCGTGGACGTTCAAAGAGTTGATTTGAACACTCAGTGATAACTTAAAAGACACTAAATAACTTAAATGGTGAGTTTCATCACCTTTCTTCAGATGTCCTTCTAGCAGCTGCCTACATCGGAATATGAAGGCATAGAACACAGCTTGACAAGTGGAGTAGAATGACCCGTGGAGATACACATCACAGTAAGCTTTGCTTCCAGCATCCAGGTTGTCGATGTAGTGGTGTAACCAGGGAACCAGAAGATCCAAACAAGCTTTCACAGTACTAATAAAGAGAAAGAAACCAAACTATGTGAAACCTTGATGTAATAATTCTCTTCTGCTCCCTTCCACCCCCGCCCAGATTTGTGTGGAGCACAATTAGTAATGTATTTACTCTTGCACACAGTCTATTTAATTCAACTGGTGTGGACCCAAATCCACAGGCAACAACTTTCCAATACTTCACCCAAGCAGTCGTTCTTCACGTGTGAGCTCAGAGAGCAAGAGTCAGCAAGCAATTACACCACAGAGCATCAGCAAGTGATCCTGTCCTTCCCCCAAAGTACATAAGCATTCTCTTTCCAACAGAGGTCACTGGGCAATAATCAGGCGGGGGCTTCCTTTTCCCTTCCCTAGCCTATTGACTAGTCACTGAGACCAACTATAGTGCCTACAGTGTGATCCCCTAATTTAAAATTTACTATTAGTTATTATATCATTTTCTCTATTTTTGGTTCAGATGTTAATCCTGTCTTTCTCTGATCCACTTAAACATTAATTATTTTCACTAAATCATCACACCGAGTGAACAGAACCCCCTGTGATGAAGGCATGTTTAATCAAGTACGTCTCAGAGCCTGTAAGTATTGGAGAGTTGTTGCCTTATGTCTAAGGACCACCAAACTATATTATACAAAACCTCTGGAGTCAGTTAAACTTGCACATTTAAAAGACAGATTGTTTTATAGGTAACACAAACAGACAAGTTATAATAGAAAGTGAGAGGATTTGTTGAGCATTACTTACACCATAGGGATATATTTTGCTCGAGCCAGGAAGCTACCAATATATCCAGCAGCTGCTTGCCTTATTACTGCAGGACTGTTTGGATTCTGCAAGATCTTCCAAAGATGCTCCAGAAAAGCCTCTGCCAACATCTGGCAAAAAGCAATGATAAAACTGAAACAGTATTTTTTTTTGTTGCAAGAACATTACTGTGTTCCGAGTAAACATTCAGATTCTATTTCCCATCAACGTTTGTATTGTATTCACAAATAGACCCGAGGCTCTCAAGTCTATTGAGACTGGAAAAGTTTTACAAACAGAATTATTTAATATACTGTAAATTGTGCATATTGAACTGTTACTTGGTCAGGACACTAACTGGTAGCTTTAGATTAGTATCCAGAAACTCACTCTGTTCTGTCAACAGAGCCACGTATATATTTCTGAAATGTTGGGATCCTCAGATTATTGGGAGAGCAATCAAATCTGGGATTTCTTATGGGTTACACACTTTCTTTGTTTATTTAAATGCTCTACAACAAACATAAGAAGAACATTCACGCTGAAGGCATTTCTCTATAGGCAACACTCTCTGGTCACAATCGTTATTTTTTCCACAAAGATATGAGAGAAAAAATTGGCTTGCCTTTTCTCTGGAAAAAAAAGCTCTGTTCACGCACTCACCAGCTTAAAACTGCAGATATAGAACATGAAGTACTGGACGTGGCAGGAGCCATGTGTTGGAAGGACCAGTTTATCAAACACAACTATCAGGTCACGGTACAGGTCTTTTGTCCTGGTCAACTCCAACTCACCTTCAAGAAAAGTCAAATCATTTACACATTTGTTGACATACAAATAAACCAAGCATTTATGGCACAATTAAGTTTCAATACAAGTTAACAGGCTAGCATTTAAAAGCACAGCAAAGCTAGAGCTAAGTACTCCGAATGCTAGGTACTACAGTTTGACAATCTGTTTGTACACGACAGGTAAAAAACCACTGAGTAATGGAAGGTTTTCCCCTCAGCCTTTCAATATTGTTTTGTTATTACAGTATTCGAATATAACTCTCAAAAAGGCAGGTTGGCGTTTTATCTACTTTGTGTGTGTGTATATATATATTATATATATAATTAATCTTGTGTTATTAAATAGGGAATTTCAAAATGAAGCTTTGCAGGCAGTACAGGTTTGTTGTCTGTGAAAATATAAAGTTTCAATTAGGTAGTTTCCCTCCCCTCCTCCTCTCTGAATGATACATGACTCTGCATGCTTGTACATCTAATACATGTTTTTTAAAATGTTACATTTGAAATACAATGAACTCCTGACAACTTATCACTTTAAGGGAATAAGGCTCAGTGACGAGATACCAGGAGGGATAAGTTAGGCATACGTAAACACAGCCCGGGATATTGACAGCATGTTCACTTTAGAAGTGACAAGTTAAGCCAGAGTCCAGTTATCAGGAGTTTACTGTATAACGAATGATGGTTAAGAACCACATGGAGGATGTTCATTCATACTGTATCAAAAAATGCAAAAGTTCTACAACACTAAAAAAAACAGACAATCTTTCGTACCATCGACGAAACAGACATCCTTTATGTAAGCCAGCAGGACAGCCATCACAATATTCAACCGTTCAGCCACCGGATGAACCATCACGTCATTTGGTGCCACTGGATGGATCTTCTGCTTCTCTTCATCCTCATCCTGGAAAACAAACGGCAGTGCAGAAAGCTTGCATCGCTGGCACGCAAAATGATGGCTCCAGAAAATCCAAACCTCCATTGATCCAACAAACAGAGTAGGGACAGAGAACGCAAGAAAAATCAAATGATGACCTTGGGTGCATAAAAGAAACCACACTGTACCATATCAAAGAGGCCTTCCTCTGCCAATGTAGGGAACTCTTCTTTGGCCTCAGCTTCTTCTGCATCTTCAATACTATTACGTGGGGCACTCGCCTACAGTGAAGCAAATGTACATTGTAACACCACCAACTAACAATTCTAAAACATTTGATGCTGTGATACTACTCTTTCCCCCCCACACCCACCCCCAGTTGACACATGTTATTCAGACACACAATGGTGAAAGATAATAATAATAATCCTTGCATTTGATATAGCGCTTTTCATGTCTTCGAGACGTCTCAAAGCGCTTCATAGAATATACTGTAAAGTGAATTGTCTGTATATTTGTGGGCAAAACGTGGCAGCCAACTGCGCACAGCAGTGTCCCACAAACAGTTGTGGATTGAAGTGACCAGTTTTATTTATATTATTTTCTTGAAGGATTATTATCAGGTGTCTGGAGTAAGGAAACTTGCCCAAGGTTTCACGCTGCCAGGAATCGAACCCAGGTCTCTCGCTTGCAAGGCGTGCGTTCTAACCACTGAGCTACAGGACTCCTGTAGGTGATGAGGATTGCAGTACCTGTGTGTCATATCCACAATCAACCCGCACTTACAGCGGGGTGGGGGGGGGGGGGGGGGGGGAGGGGGAGCAGGGAAGACTTTTCAGTTCAACTCCTGGGTGTCACATCACTGAAGTTTTAGCAACATGTATACTTTGTATACTTACATCCAACTTAAGGAATTTTTCCACAATGAGTTCCAAAATCTCTGGGCGCAGTGATGGGAAATACACAGTGATCCGCAGTAAATTGTGCACATAACATTCCTGAGAAAATAAATAATAAAATCGGTAACAAAGTTCTGGCTCAGTGTCTGTTTAACGTCACACAAAAAGAATCCTTAACTCACTTCAACTGTATTTTTCAGAATGCCAAAAGCCCTGCTAACAGAATACTTTTCGGTTTGTTTATTCAGCAATGTCACTTGTTTTAGGCAGAGAAGAAAAGTTATGGCGAGAGAGAAAAAAAGTAGCACAAATTGATAAGAGACTGCAGGAACGGTAAAATCAACCAGCTTTAAAACAATTCTTCCCACTTTTACAAGGTATTAAAATGTTATATGTATTTCCTCCCGAACAAAAGACTATTAAAGTGTTTCTGTACTTTTTTTATATATGTATATTATTTTAGGATTAATATAAAAAGCGGTTCTAAAAATGCTTCACCAAATAGTAGATTCTATGGGGGTGTTAAGACTAGATTATAAAGTTTGCTCACCAGAGTTCTGCCTGATTTCTTTATGAACGGAAATTTTTCAACCAGTATTGGCATCAGAAATTGTGGTGTTCTGACAAGAGAGATTAGAAGAATGTTTCAATTGAATCCCCAAATGACTGTGAATGTAGGCATGATGAATATGTACAATTTCCCAAACAGGGTAGTATTTTTGAACAAACCAATAAATGATGCCAAAGTCCTCATGCATCAGAAACCAGAACAATGTGATGTTACACTTAAGATCGAGGCGGCACATTAGTGGTAACAGAAACTGAGAGATTAATAAAAGGAGGGTATGGACACATGACAAGTTTGAAGCATACAATATATTCAGTCATAAATTACCACAAAAACACCAAAAAGTAGCTTTGTGGAAATTAAGTTCAATACAGTCGTGTCTACATCCCAGATACAGACACCTGGACATTGTATAACAATTCATGGTTGGTAGGAAGTGTGTGGGGCAGAGGGAGCGTCAATTTTAACATAAAAATGCACCCAATCCAAGGTCAAACGTCCAATGGCGTTAGTACCACTGTACCAGGAGTATCCTCGGTGAGGTGGAGCTGACAAGCAGAAATATTAACTATTGAACAAGTCTATTTTACACATGTAAAGATATTGAGCACTGCTGCCTATGAAAACAACCGATTTAAAGCAGATTGATAATTAATTGAAAACAAATTACTTTAAAAAATTTCATTTTTTTAAAAAAAGTATCTAAAATGTTCAGAGTGAGAATTCAACACAGAAATCTAAAACTGACCGCTATAGGTCTATCTATGATGAAGGACCTGACTTCCAGAACTACAGCTGAATGGACATCTATTGGCAAACCATAGGTATTGCACAAACTCTCTCTTCCATCATGCTGGCTGACCCAATCACCCAATCTGACCCAAAGATGGGCTGCATAGGGAGGCAGAAGTGAATTAAGCAGTGGAGCCATATAAGTACATTAAATATAAAGACCCAAACCTCCTTATCATTGCAGTTTTAATGGAAATTGAAACACTGACGTGTACTTACGAAGGTACATATCTTGCTATCAGCTGTAGAGCTCGATGGCAAACGTCAAAATTTCTGGAAATACCTGTGCAGGAAGAATGTGACAGTTAGCACTTTCAGTTAGCACTTTCTACTAGGTTTTTAAGTCAAAGAAATATCAAGAAACGAGAGAAAGACCTATTAATGAAATAAACGTTGTTGGCCGGGACATCATCTCTTTCCAAATAGTGCATTGGACCTTTAAGGCCGCCTGACAGGCAGACAGGATTTCAGTTTAACATCTCATCCAAAGTACGACAACTCCAACAATGCCAGAAACTGCAAATGCCATTGATTACATATTACTCGACTTACTTTCATCGTCATCATCCGAGTCAGAGATATCCACACCATTTTCTCGGATAATAATTCTCCCTGCAAGGAAATAGATGCATATTGATGAGCTTTCGAAACAGTTTTAAGCAATATTCAGGGAAAAATAGTCCAATGGAATTAATCCCGTTCTCCCCAGCCCCCCAACTAGTGATTCAGCTGCGAGATTTCACTCTACTTCCCACAATCTCACCTTTCCCTCAATCCCAGTACTGTTGCCAGTAGCTCTGTGGCATTCTGTGCATAGCATGCCTGCTAAAACACACCCACCAATCTACTACATACACAATTAAAATACAGCCCTCAAGCTAACAGTATGAATCAAACAACATTGCCATCGTTAACTAGCACGAGTACAAGGCAGCACAAGAAAAGTGAAAATTGGGAAGGAATTTTTTTTTTTTTTACCTGGTACAAAATTGGATACCACCATACGAAGACATGCCCTCAGATAGAAGGTCTGAGCTGAGACTAAGTTACTTAAAAAGGCCAAGTATTCCTCAACCACCGTTTGGCTTCGAGATAACCATGGCAGTTTCTGAAATAATCAGAAAAAAAATCTAATGAGGCAATTCTATTCTGTATAGTCAATTGTTTTCTTTCATGTGCTTTGTTTCATCTCTTGATATGAGCTAACAGCAAAAGGATTATATAAACTTTTAAAACAAGCAACTTCATAAGAACTGAGCAGAACGTTCTGTTCCCCATGCATTTCATGCTTAAAAAAAAAGAAACTAACCAATATCTGGCCGACAAGATACTCAAAATCTTTTGTCAAGTTAGTGACAGAAGTGCGGAATTCCTGAAGCCAGTTGATCATCTGGGCATCCTGAAAAAAATCATAAATAAAATGTGTGTGAAAATACTTTATGCCCTCAAACATCCTTCCTGGTAACCTATTACACATGATCTAGATCCAAGATGATTCAAAATATATTTCATTAGGAACATTACATCTACTGGAGATGAGACTTAATGGTACTCAGTCTAGACTAGATTGTGAAGCTGAACGAATTATGTTCTTAGATGTGAACCCTGTCACTTCGCCCCTCAGAATTAATAATACTATTTAAACTTCACTCGGGAATAATAATAAAATTACAACAGCTAGGGTTGCAACATCGCAAATTCACCACTCAAATGGTTTAAAAAAGGAAAACAAATGCACATAATTACCTTTATTTCTGGATCAACCAGTTGACGCATCAGCAAGTCATAATCAGCAGTATCTCCCTGAGAGAGAAAAAATGTTTTTAAACCAAATCTGCAGTTAGACAACGTCAACATTTTTTCAAAATTGTTAATGGCCTTTTTTCTCACCTGTTTGAACTTCTTTAGGGTTGCTGCAACAGTTGCACCAAATCGAACAGTCTTCTTGGGTGGAGTGCTGAAGAATTCACAATCATTTTCCATCATTGTGAATAGAAACCTAAAGAAATTGAAATCGAGCCTGTTTGTACTTTATAAAATTGGCAGTTGTTATCATTAGAATCGATTGGCACAGTGGGTTGGGAGAGTTTTTTTTAATCTTCAGGTCCTTTATTCTTTTTGGTGATTCTTAAAGAGTAAATAAGCTAAATCAATTCGGCTAATGTCACTCCAAATAGCAGTGAGGACAGGTTACAACAAATCCTTGCATTTATATAACGCCCTTCAAGTGGGATAGCATCCCGGAGCACATAACTCCTATTACACCGCATAATTGTAGATTCGGAAGCTCATGAGAACTGAGCGTAACATTCTGTTCTCCGGCTGGTGCAGCAAACGAAAAGAAAATTCCCGCTGATCCAGTTGGGGAAGGCAGAGCAGTCCTCTAAGGCTGGGGCTCAGATACTTTGTTGGAGCAGAGATCGTGCGATCCTGCATTTAACCCACAATATATCTGATCTATGATTCCAGTATAAGGTGCCAACAATGGCAAACCACCTCAAGCACAATGATTCCTCAGCTCAATACGCACAAACGAAATGGGGAGAGGGGGGAATTTTCTCACTGGGTTTGGTGCAATGCTGTGTCGCAAGGATTGAAGAAACAGGTCACAACGAAAGACGGAATATTTATCAAAAATCCATCTGGAACCTCTCGCTGGAATAACTTGGGTCTGTGATTACAGCCGGAATACATTTCGCCCACATAATATCCAGTCAATTTACTTTACAGTAATATCCTGTGAAGCGCTTTGAGACGTCTGGAAGACGTGATAAGGCGCTGCATCAAATGCGAGGATTATTATTATTATTATTATTATTATTATTATTCTACACCGTATAGTGAAGAAGTATTCTCAGGTCTCCGGAGGTCACAACATAACTGCTGTAACTCATACCTTCCCGGTGACGACTCAAAAAAAAACACTCCACCTCAGCACTTCTACTCGTGAGGCCATGAATGTCTACCCCGTTCGGAGGCGGGTTTCTGCCTCTTCTCGGGGAGTCTTTGCCCCCACTAGAGGCGGGTTTCTCCCCCCTGTGAGGGTGACTTTCTGCCCCTCCGCGGCCGCCCCGGGCCTGAAGCCAGTCACTGACAGACATGAATGAGCCGGGCCCCGGGACCGGGGTCACTGTAGCCGCCCACCCTCTCCCCCCCTCCCCTCTCCCACAACTCTTCTCCCCCCACCTCTCTCGCCCCCCACACCCGTCTCACCCCACCACGTCTCTCCCCCACCCTGTCTCTCTCCCCCCACCCCCCCCCCACCCGTCTCTCCCCCCCACCCCCCACCCGTCTCTCTCCCCCCACCCCACGTCCTCTCCCCCCCACCCCCACATGTCTCTCTCCCCCCCACCCCCACATGTCTCTCTCCCCCCCACCCCCACATGTCTCTCTCCCCCACCCCCACATGTCTCTCTCCCCCCCCCACCCCCCCCCCCAGTCTCTCTCCCCCACCCCCGTCTCTCTCCCCCACCACCATCTCTCTCCCCCCCCCTCTCTCCCCGCCCCGGGAGCCTCTCCAGTGAAGGCTGAGAATCGGGGTTCAGCGTTACCGGCTACAGCCGCGCGCACCCGGTGTTGGTGTTGATTAAAGAGCCGCCGCCGCCGCCATTGCCATTGGCATCGTCACCGCCACCAAAGGCCCTCGGCCCCGCGCCATGCCGCCGCCGCCGCCGCCGCCGCCCCGCCCCCGACCGGAAGTACTGACCTCTCGCCCCGGAAGTACAACAGCGAAGGTCAGTGAAGTGTCCCCTGAGAGGTTCAGGCGGGAAAGAGAGAGAGAGGTCACTGGTCAGTGTCACAGCAGCAGATACACCCCCTCAGGCAATAAACCGACCCCCCACCCCACCCCCTCCCCCCACAAGTTGTTCTCAGAACCGAACACCATCTCTACAAGTTGTTGTTGTTGTTGCTTCATGTCCCTCCCCCCTCTCCCCCCTCTCCCCTCCCCCCTCCCCCCCCCCCCCCCCCCCCGCCATTGGCGGGCCACCGGCCTTCAGCCCACTCCGACCCCCCCCACCACACCCCCACCATTGTCTCCTTCAAGACCCATCTCCAGACCCTCCTCTTCGACCGTACTATCTGTCGATCGCCCATCTCTCTCCCCTACTACCCCCGTCCTCCCACCCTCCTCGATCACGAACCCCACCTCCCCCCCACCACCCTCTCCCCCCCCCCCCACCGCCGCAGCTCGGGTCCGAAACGCACGACGCAAAATGCAACGTAATTCAGTTGTCGTTGTTGGGGTCTGGAATGCGTTTGCCTGTGATGGTGGTGGAAGCTGATTCGATCGCAATGTTTTAAGAGAGAGGGAGATCGTTATTTGGGGGGGGGGGGGGCGGGGGGGCAAGTTTTCAGGGCTTTGGGGGGAGTGGGGTTGATTTGGAAGCTCTTTTCAAAGAACCGGCACTGACACGATGGGCCGAATGGCCTCCTTCCGTGCTGCATGTTCATGGGCTTGCAGTCTGCTGTGCTCTCACTGATCAGAAATTGTCACAATTCCCCGCCTCCCCCCCCCACCTCACCACCACCCACTCCCCCACCTCACCGCTCCCCCCCCCCCCCAGTTCAATGTGACTGTGACCTGCTGCTCCTATCGTTCTGGCGATACAGAGAGACTTTTCCCACTTGTTCATTGACAATTAAAGGGTTAATTCATTTCTGCCCTCGTTCTATATCTTCTTCCTGATTCTCACCTTCATCTTTCTGTGGATTTAGGGATGAAAAACCGTTTGGCCTTTCTAATTCGCTCTTAGAATCCGCAACGTAGATTAGATATATCTTTAAGATCTCCTATTATCCCATCAGTGGAATCCTGTAGCTCAGTGGTTAGAGCACTCGCCTCACAAGTTCGTTTCCCGGCAGAGCAAAACTTAGTGCAACTTTCCTTGCTCCACACGTCTGATAATAATCCCTCAAGAAAAAAAAACAACAATAAATCGGTCATTTCAATCCATATCTGTTAGTGGAACACTGCTGTGCGCAAATGGCTGCGGAGTTTTTCCCACAAATATGCAGTCAATTCACTGAAGCGCTTTGAGACGTCTAGAAGACGTGAAAAACGCTATATCAAAAATGCAAGGATTACTATTATTATGCTCTTTTTTAATGTAGCTATTTATCTAATGCTGTACCATTGAAATTCTCATCTTGCAACATTCTTATGTCCCTTGTAACAAATCCCCACCCAACTCTTTATCAGTGGTTGCAGTATTCCTTTTAGTCCAGCAGCTATTACAAGTTTTCACATCCTTTCTAATCTAAAACATCTGTCTGTCTGCAAACATAGAGCCTGGAATTCAACGTAACATTCAAGGTGTGGTCAAAGTAACACATTTTACATTAATCTGTGTGGCTATTTATCCATTTCCCCAATAAACTACCCAGACCCAGTCACTGCACTCTACAGTAAATCCTATGAAGCGCTTTGAAACATTTTGATTGTGTGATAAGGTTCTATATCAAAAGCAAGTATTGTTATTTTTCCTTGTATAATAACCTACACTGCACGAAAAGCCGAGGGCATGGTTTTCCATGTGTAGAGTGAAACTATTGTTTACTATAAATAGATCATTTATGAACGATAAAGCATTTGGGTTTTAAGCTTACTCATATTTTATTTTGTTTTACCAGAGAACATCATATCCATCAACACTTTGATTCATTTACTAGGTTTAAAAGAAAGCTTATTTTGATAAGATTTAATTTTAAAACATTTATTCAGTACTTTCCCTATGGATCTTAGCTAGTAATCAGTGCCCTTTGGGCCGTCCTCCCAACGTGAAAGGCCCTCTACAAATGTAATTTTGTTGTTGTTGTTGTAATTGGCAATGACAACAAAAAAAACACTAATGATTCTCTCCAAAGCAATGAATCCAGGTCTCAGTCAATGGAAACATGGACTTTGAAACATAGTCTTACTAAATTGATGAAATAAAATAAAAAGGAAGCTAAGAATTGGATCCCGGAGTAGAGTTCTGAGTATTAGATAGAAGATTAGAGCCGAGGTTTATTTATTTTATTGGCCGGAGTGCATTCTTGAGACATATTCAAACATCTGCAAACAATCATGCACAAATTTGTTTCATATTCAGCATACAAATTGTACTGCAAATACATGATTTGCCACGTCAAATATGGTCATTTGTGCTCCACCAAATTGCGTTTAATATGATAATAATCCTTACATGTGATGTAGCGCCTTAACATCAAAAATGAACAGTTCAGCGTCTGCTTACTTCAATCACTGGTGCAATTTCGTACAAAGTCTCATTTTTAATCAGTTCCATTTGTCCTTATCTTCCTCAGAAGGTAGAGATGTGAGATCTTGAAACTTCCATACATGGTTATCTCATGGGTGTCAGCTTGGCTCAGTTGGTCACACTGGGTCAGAAGGTTTTGTGTTCAAGCCCCATATCGCCCGGGTTCATAATCAATGCAATACGGGTGAAATGCTGCATTGTCAGATGTGCTGCCTTTCAGATTAAAAAAAATAAATCTGTTTTAGACGTTAAAGATGTTAAAGATCTCTATCCTCTCTTAAAAAAGAAATGTATTCTCTGTGTTCCCAGAATAGATAGTCATTCACCTGATAGGTATTTGTGGGACTTTGTTGATACAAAATACTTCTACTGATTTCCCTACAAAGACAGTGCTTGGAGGCATTTCGATACGACAACGGTGCCGTAGAAATACTATTACTTTCTTTCTCTCCCGACAGCAGATTCTCGTGTGGATAACCTCGTTCAAATTAATAGAAATAGTGATAGCATTAAAATGCAACCGGACCTTCGTGTGCCCCTAAATCAGCGTCGTAATCAATAAGAGGTGACCAATTTAGTGGGAACAAAGTGTAGTCTTTCCATTGCAAGTTATATATTATTTTTTTTAAAAATCCAGTTGCTTTTAACGGAATGATGAGTCTCAGCCACAAACTCGTCCCTGGCCATCGACCGGAGGGAGAGAGCATAATGATAATTGCAATTGAACACATTCATCCACATGAAATGCCGTGTGAGATGATAACGCTGTGGACCCCTCTGTGGACACGAACCACCAAAGGGAATCGCTGGTCAGTTTCACACGCAACGCAGAGGCGATTTTTTTGTTTTTTTGAACCACCTTCATTTTCATTGAAGCTCCCTTTTTAAAGGGCGTAATACGCTCTGCAAAATATATCCTATACATATATATTTCCCGACGTGTAGTTTAATGCATTTCTACTGCACTGTACGTTAAAACGAACGGTGAAAGAATTAAAAAAGGAACCGTCCAAAAAAAGTTGCATTCCAGTTTTTTTTTTTGCACCGAAGCTGTGAAACAAAACCTGTGCCAAGAAGCTCAGGTGCAGTGCAATCCAACCCGGGCTCTGCGGGTCCGGGCGAGATCTCGTTATGTGTTTAATAATAATAATGTCCTGGAGCAACAAAGAAAAAAAACTATCGTTTTCTCGTGGAAAAAAAATTAAAAAAAAAAACTGCGGATTTTGTTTTAATTCATTTACATGAATGTTTTAAGCAAATGCCTCTCTCTCATCGACTGTCAACCGACTTCACAGAGGCTGTTCCCATTGATAACGATGGATGACATGGACCCGGACTTCTGCTCTGAAAATAATTCTGCAATAAAAATGAAACTGCCAACAGCCTCACACAATCCAGCAATTCAAACGACAGAATATAACGAAAGAGTGAATGGATTCAGCTTTTTTTTTACCCCCCCCCACCCCCCCATTATAAACCGTAGCTGTAGTAGATCACAACCACTGATTGCAAAGCTGGAGCTGATTAATTTTTTTTTTGCAAAGCTTTGGTCTGTTGCAGCGTCACTGTTTAATGTCATTTCAAGCACGAGTGTGACTTCAATTTAATTAATTTCCAGCAGAAAAAAAAACTGACGACCCATCCGCAATCAGGCAATTTATTTCCCAAATGAAGTGTTCACAGCTAAACAGAAATGAACAATCAATGTGAAAGAAAAACAACAACTGGTGTAATACCAATCGTATTCACCCCCCACCCCCCCCCCCCCACCCCCCCCACACACACCACACACCACAAACAAACATAGACAGCGCAGGGGCTGCGTAACGAATATGTGATAAGTTTGTAATTACGTCTTTTTTTCAAAAAAAAAGTTTAACGCAGTTTAATGTACAATAGGGGGTCATTAATTAGACGCCGAGTCCCACGAAAAACAAAAACTGCGAACATTGTAGCTGTGACATTGTCCAGAATTGGAAAGGATGAGCTGATCTGAACACAGTATTCAGTGTATTCCTGAGAGTCAGAGAGAGGTCGGAGTTGGTCAGTGATTTCTTAAATTGTAGCACGTGCTGTAAAAAATAAAGTGATATATACATTACAATGGGGTTATTAATGATAATGATCATCATCATCATCATCGCATCTAACACAGGTTGCATTATCACGCCATTGAGACGCCTCAGCCTTTGTATATATTGTATATTGACTGTATATTGATTGTAAAATTGACTGTCCATTTGGTGGGTTATTCTGGCTTTTTTACCTTGAGCTTTTTTTAAAAAAAAAACAAGAAAATGACTGTTCTTATAAAATCCGACCTCATTTTATCGCCAATTAATTCATTGTAAGTTACATCCAACAGAACAGAATCAATCACCTGGCAACGTGTGTTCATATTTCGTGGAGCTGAGATCACAGACCTTTCACAGTGACGCCAACCAACGAGATTTATCAGTCGTTATACAGTACACAAAATCGTTTCTTTAAAATAAACTTTTGACTCACAACTTGATGTATAACTGTCTCACCTCAATTGCCTATATGGATGGAACTCGAGCACTAGACTTGGAGCCGTAAGAAATATTATTCTTGTGAACGTGGAGCCTGTTGGCTCACCAAGTTATAGGGGGGAAAAAAAGAGTCCATTGAGGCGTTCAAGATAAACACCTGACTGGTAAGATTAAGAGATTAGGGAGGAAAAAAAAAGTGAGTTAATGCAATTTAGGAGTTTTCATAGAAATAATGGGGGAGTAGGTTCCAACTTCCCCATGTTTATATATATATATATATATATCATCCCCCTGACCAAACTTGGGGATAACATTTGGTTTGTGGTGAGTTTTCATGTCTGCCCTGATGTTAATTATTAATGTATTAAAGGAGTGGAGAGAGTTTGTGTGTGTGTGGGGGAGGAGTAAATAAGTGGTTCCCTGCAGTCTCTCAGAGTAGATCTGCTCAGCAAAGCAGATCCCCGACAGTTCCTGTTTCTGAGCAATACACCCTCCAGTAATTCATACAATGTTTAATTGCTGCACTTTTTTTCTAATATAAAAAAAAAGCTGCATTGATTTCCACCTTGAAACTCTTTGCAGTTCCACACCGATGCTGTGCTCACCGCTTCAGTCCTCTGGGTGGAAGCAATTTGGCTTTTATTTTTTTCTGATGTGGCAGATGAGCTCTGCCCAGTGCACAGAGACCCTCATTGAAGAAGTCCCTTATTTGAGAGTTCCAATAAGTTCTGAAGTTTCCCACGAGGGAAGCATATGGTCGTGAATCTGTAGACAGATTTTTCTGTAGAATAAACCCCTTTTGGTTCTCACTCTTACCCACTGAGCATATGGAGGAAATACAGAAAGAGGAGCAGGTCATTCAGCCCCTCGAGCCTGTTCCACCATTCCATTGGCTGCATACTCCCAGGGCTCCTTTCAGGTCCCCCAAAATATATATGAGACTCTCAACACCCCCCCCCCCCCCCTCTACCCCACCCCCTCCTCACCCCTCCCCACCCACCACCACCACAGAAAACTCTTGGTTATGTCTAAATCATATTGAGCTCTTAATGTAGAAGTGAGACCTGCAGCAGATCAGATCAGTCAGTAACATATATGATGAGTTCAAATGGACTCTTAACCATACTGTATGTATCAAAGTTCACCTTTTCAGCTAATAAACTCCATTCTACAAACAGCACACAAAGCTCCCATCAATCGATTTCCCAAACGCCAGTTGCCATCCATTAATGATTAACTCTCTTAAGTCAATAACGCTTACAATTCTGACTCCATTCGCGCCTGGCTGGGGGAGAAAAAGATTTATTTGGGTTTATTATTATCAGAATTTTATTTTAAAAAAAGGACACAGAGACACACACAAAGAGAGAGAGAGAGAAACTTGAGTTACCTGACTATACGGGCGAGATCCCCGTGTCTTTCGACTCCACTAATACATTGAAAGTAATATCCTGATGGGAAGACCTGGACGCAGTTATGGAGCTTGCATCAGAAGACAACCTCCGGAGGAATATAGGTCTCACAGTGGTTTTATTCTTGTGATCGTGGACCTCCGGGGCATTGCCGGGGGTCCTGTGGTTGGCGTCCTGCCTGTTCCTCAAAGTCTCCGAGATCCTGACCGAGAACTTCCTCAACATGCCGGTGAACCCCGTTTCCTTCTTCAACCCCACGTCGTCCTCCAGCTCCTCGAGGGGCACCTCGAGGTTGCCCGTGTACCAGAAGATCCACCAGACCAGGCTCAGGAAGATCACGATGGCCCCCGCGTAGATGAGGAAGTCGTAGAAGAAGACATCGGCGAAGACCCCGAAGAGAAGCACCGTCAGCCCCACCGCGTCGAAGGCTATGGCCAGCCAGAAAGCGCACACACAGCGACCCAGCCCGGCTCTCTGGAGCGCCATAGCGAGAGCATGTTCCTGCACCCAACCCACCTGCAGTTTCCTTGGGAGCCACCACAGGTATTGGTGATCAGAGTTCAAAGCCACCCTCCCCCAACCCTCCTCCCCCCTCACACACACACACCCATTTACCTGGTGCGGTTACTGGGTTACTGGGTAGTTATCCTGACCTTGTTGGCGTCACCCCTGAGGCAAGAGTTAAACATTGGCTCACTTTGCAAACAACTTTGCTCTGTCTCTGCCAACTCACTGCTATTTCCTCCCCCTCCCACCCCTTCCACATTATATATAAAATGAACGTTTCAGATTATGAAGTCTACCTCTCACCCAATCGATCAGGAGATTACTTGCATTTTACCAAATGCAAGGAGTATTATTACTATTATTATTATTATTATTATCGTATCCGAGAAAACGCTTCGTTTTATATGCACAGCACACGACACGATTTAATTTCTTTGGGGATAGAGCATTGCAATTTAATGGTTTTGAACGCACAGAAGTCACAGGGATTTCAACGAATGGTTAGTTTTATGGTTCACACTTCTGAATGATTAATGAGAATAATAACAATAATAATAGTAACAACAATAATAATAACAATAATAATGACAATAATAATAATAACAACAATAATAATAATAATAATGATTAACCAAACGTTCCTGGCTTTGCAAACCTCAGAGAATTCCCATAAAGTTGATGGGGATGTAAGGATTTTCAGCTCTTTGCAACTTCCTCCCCCCAAATCCTTCTGCCTCGCATTCTCTCTCCTGGTTTTCAAAGTCCTCCCTAAAAGCCAAGACCCCTTCGACCACCTTCCAAACCGGTACCTGTTTATTTCAACGATTTGCAGTCAGTAAAGTCCACCCCCATTAAAAGTGAACGTTTGCATTTTGACAAAAGAATTTATTGTCGAATGTCACCCTCTGTTGATGTGATCATCTCTCACCATTCAAGAAAATAGTACTTTGCTTACACGTTATTGTTATTATTATTATTATAATAATTATTATAATTATAATTGTTAATATTGTTGTTTTAAACTGGCTAATTAGTTATTAAAACACGCAGAATGATATCAAAATGTGAAGCTTGGTGTTCCTATCTCAAAAGCAAACGGTTGCCTTTAAACTAAGAGGTTTTTTTTAAAAAAGAAAGATTGCATGCTGTTCATTTTTGGTTATATGAAGGAATGAAGGGGCATAATAATTGGTTGGGAATGACTCCAACGTAGTCATGACATTGAATAAATAGGACCTGTTTAATCAAGGGAAGGGATCTTAAGTCCTGTAAGGATATTATTTAAGAGACTCGAAGATACAATAATCATTTTTTTAATTCCATTTCATGTGGGGAGGGAGGGAGGCTTTTATTCCCATGATGGTCAGGGACATTTGGGACAACCCTGTACAGTTCAGGTCTGGTGGTACATCCTCCACACCCAAGGGTTTAATAGCAAGGATTGTGAGCTAATCACTCATTAGACTACCAGGAAACTTTCCTGTTAATGTGTGCGCTGTGCTGGTGAAGTTACAGTTGGATTAAAGAATAATACTACTAATAAAAAGGGCATTAATACGCCTCCAAAAATGGGGCTGTGCTTTCTCTAGCATGCGAGTAATTGAAGAGCCCAAGAGAAAGAGAGAAGGAGAGAGGGAGAGAGAAAGAGAGTGATTCACGCAGCAGATCTGGGGTACAGTTTCCTTATGATCCCCGCGTGTCTGAGCTTCTGTTTAACGATGGGAATCCACACGAGTCCAGTGACGATGAACATCAAGCCGATGGAGAGACAGACTGGCCCCAGGGCATAAGGGACCTCTGTGACCCGAGTAAAGTAAAGGATGGTCAGGGTGATGCCCACAAGAAAGACCAAGACCCCGATCACTGTGATGGTGATGGGTTTGTGATAGTCTTCCCAGCTGTTGCACCTCTGGACTTCACAAGCGTTGATGGGCTCTGCTCGATGCCCAACGTGAATGGAGCTTCTTGAGCAGTAACTTCTCCTGTCATCCGGAGAAGACATCTGACTGGACCCAAACCTCTCTGAAGAGCTGATGGTTACGAGTTGCATTTTTCACACCTCCCGTATTGCCTGCAATGGCCAGAAATAATGTCAATGTTATACAAAATAACCCCCCACCCCACCCCACCCACCCCCTCCCCAATAACCTGCTGATGTAAATTGTACTTCAGGGTGAGGAGAGAGATGTTTTGATAAGGCGTTGGTCATAATGTATGACTTCATTTTTGGGGGGGGCTCGAATTGAGATTTGATTTGATCCTTTAAATACGAGTTACATTTAATCAGACATTTCCGAAGGCAAACAAAATAATAAGCAACACGGCAGGGAATTATATATATATTATACTGTATGATTGCATATGTATTTATATATTTATTATTAGATATATTGATTGTTTTTTTTTCAATTATGTTTTGTATGAATGAGGAAGTTGCTTTTGGCACAAACGAAAACGCAAATGCTATCGGAAAGAAGGGCCAACTCATGAGCATAAGAAAAATGGCCCCAGTCATCTGATTCCAATGTGACTGTTCACCTTATTAACCTTGACGCTTTAGTGCTTCATTTTGAGGCCGGATTGTTATTTTTAGTTTATGAAAAGCAGACCTGTTTTCCCAGTCTTATTTATTATGTTCACAGTGATGTTCCGCAGAGTCTCACTTTTGCACTGCGATTGGTAAACACGTTTGACAAAGGTTGGGGTGTTGCAAAGCCCGTCTTCGCAACCTGGCTCCATTGACACCACTCTGGCCTCTGCTTAACAAGGTTCTGGGTTACAAGTCCCACATGGGAACTTTGAGCTCAGAGTTTCTCGGCTAACACCCCAATATAGAGAGGTATCTGCCTTGGGATGTGATGTTGAAGATTTGGCATTAAAGATATCATGGCAGTATTGAAAAAGGAAGTTTCTCCCAGTGTTCTGGCCGACAATAACACCACCCCTACCCCCCACCACCACCCTTTCCCACCCCCACCAAAAAAAAAAAAGAAATGGTCATTCATTTCGAGTGAGACATTGATGTGCACAAAGTTTAGCTGTTGGGTTCCCACCAAAATACACAGTCACTGCACTTTAGGGTAAATCCTGCGAGGTTCTTTGAGATGTTTCCACAACAGGATACGACTCTGTATGTGTACGTAAGGATATCAAGGGAAATATTCTTAGATCAGTCATTAGCAAAATCATACAAGATGGCACATGTGATAGTTACATTTTCATTTGACAATTACAATTAAATTTGACGTTACATTTGACAATTAATTTAACATTCTCTGAACCCTCCCTGATGCCCTACGCATGAAAGTTCCTGTATTTAACTTTACTGTCAGGATTATCATTGTAACAGGATGTAACAGGATTATCATTACATCTCTTTGGGCGAGAGGGTGGGGGCGAGAAATGACAATTCTCTTTGTAGCTGCAAAAGAGTTCATTTAAAAAAAACAGTTTTTGGCAAACAACATAAATGTAATATTTCATTTAAATCCCAGGTTCGATTCACCTAAATTTCTCTGGGAAACCCGTTCAAGCCCAAACAACAACTGGATGCATTTTATCCCAACTATTTAGGAATGCTGAGGAATTCCTGCTTCTTAAACGGACGCAAAATGAAACTAATCTACTTGTCTCAGATTGTATTGAGAAAACATCCATTTCAAAAAGAACCACACATGTCTTTTGACAGCACCGAATGTGCCTTTTTTTTTATAAAATGGAGTTTGACAAGAGTCTCAAAATCTTGTCAAATTCCATAAAAAGTACGTTCGGCGCCGTTAAACAGCATCCGGAAAGTTTACATGAGCTATTTGTTCATCTTCAAAGAGAATTGTCACCGTCTTTTGTCGCAATAAAGTACACAGTCGTTTCCGCAGTTTCTAAAAAGTTAACAACACGAACAATACTAACACGAACATGAACGTTCCTGCTTGCAAGACTGCTGCACAGAGCCTTTACACGCACTTTGCATTGCTTTAAGGTGCTTTACAAATGCATTTTGTTGTTGTTGTTGTTCTTTACATTTACACTGACATGCAATGATCTCTTATCTTTGCAATGTGCACATTTAAGGACATAAACCCCCACCCCCACAGATTAGCGGGAACAAATTCCCATCGTTTTTTTTTGCAACAAAGCTTCCAACTCCAACGCAACGTCCAAACCAAATGTCAGCAACTGCACAGCATCTCTCTCCTCTACAGATTCCTGACTTGGACTTCACATTAGAAATCCCAAACCACAACAACAGCTGCCAGCGGACAACAGACTGAAGCTGCTCCTGGTTACAGATAAAGGTTAAAATGCACTTACTTCGTGGTTTTAAAGATTAGCCGTTTAGTTAGCTCTCAGCCAGTGCTTCATGGCTACTGCTGCTGCTGCTTATGTTGAGCCAAGAGGTGGGGGGGGGGGGGGGGGGGGGGGATTTTAGTGGCTTCCGAAAAGGGCTGGAAGTGGGAAAGAGGGAGGAAGCACCAATTGGCTGTGGATCAGACAGGGAAGAGACGACACCCAAGAGGCGTTACAGATCAAACCCGCAGCTTCGCAGGTCATTCATCGCCTTCAGATACACTGAGACGTCTCGAAGATGTGAAAAGCACTATATCAAAATGCAAGGATTATTATTATTATTATATTCCAGTGCGTTTCGCCCACAAAATATAGTCAATCCACTTTACAGTATATTCCGTGAAACGCTTTGAGACGTCTCAACAAAGTGATAAGGCGCTGTCTCAAATGCAAGGATTATTGTTGTGTCAAGTTCACAATTAAACACAGCCTAACGGTAAATAAAGTGTGAACTCTTCCACTCTAATCTCCCGAAACAAATATTCTCTTCTAAATAGTAGTAATTCAAAATTGTTAAATAAATCACATTCCATGGAACGTCTATTTCTACATAAAGCAAATTTAATGGGCACGTAACATTTACATTTCCTTTCCTAATGATATAAGGTTCGGGGATCGCTTTACTACTTTGTGAATTAGTTGTGAAAAGGGTCTATGTATATATGTGTGTCAGTTTGTTGTACAGCAAATACAGGAACTGTATTAGCACAATAGAGATCCTTAGGGAAAATACTCTGATGATTGAGGTGGAATTGATTCATTTAACCCTATTCAGTCTCAACAGTCTAAACCCTACTCATTAAATATATTACAATAACCAGAGAAACTATCTCCATGTTATAGTTGTCGTTGACATGCGTCTCCTTTGCAGTTTTAAGGATGTGTTTATTTTGATGTCATTCATCTGTGTGTGCGTGAGGGGAGTGGGGAGGAAGAGAGGAAGGATGCTATTGATATTACAAGGGATTGATTGCTGGGTTATAACGATAATTGATACAACAAGGCAGTCTTTCAATGTCTGAAACAGTTGTTTATGAAGGGGGCATTAATAACAACAGCAACAGCTGCACGTTACAGGCAGAGAAATTCTGGCCTTCCTTAGAAGGTAGTGTGACTTTGTGAGGAACAATTTTTAATGAAAAGAAATAAAAACGAGAGTAATTGTGAATGTTTTAAATCTGAAGTACGGGAAATTGGGACAATCAACAACAATTTACAGATCAATCAGTTGTTGAAAGAAAAAAAAATAGGACAGTAGTTTCGTTATGGACTTCATTGAAATTAAAATGGTTTTAAAAAAAATTGGATCACACTGGAACCACATGTATAGACGTGACTTCAGTATACAGATGCAACCCTAAGTTGCTACTGGTGCTAAAATTTACAGGACAGCTGTGGATAAAGTAAAAGTTTAACTCAAGATGGAACTAACTAAACAAAATATATCTGTATACATCCCAGGATAACGCTCTGTAAAATGAAGAGGTAACATAAACACGAGTCCTCATACATAAAACTAACAGGAGGAAAATAATCTTTTATTTAGTTTTTGGAGATCTAATATACGGTTCATAAGCTGAATGTTGACTTAGGTTTACATTTCAGCAGACAGTCCTTATGAAGAATGAGAACACAGGGTAAGCACAGATGAAAATGAGCCAAGTTCAACACACATATGGGCATAAAATATGTTTACAAGCACTGTAACAGATTTTGATAGATAAGTTCCACAAAAATCCTGAAAAGGCATCTCTCCACCACATACACAAATATGATTGCATGTCATTAAATATTTAACGCGATTTCCCGCATCACATTTAACAACCCAAACATTTGATTTTGCTTCTATTAATGTCTCAAAGATAATTGCTGCCAAATGTCATAACTGTCTATTTCTAGGAAAGCTCAAGTCAATTTGCACACAGCCAGGGGTTCCACAAACAGCAATGGAGTGAATAACCAGTTCCCCAAATAAAATCCACTCCATGGCTGTATGCAAATCATCTGTTGCATCCACCCACAAAATAGTCGCACCACTTTATAGTATATCCTATGAAGAGCTTTGAGATCCATTGACAATTTGATAAGGTGCTACACCAAATACAAGGATTATTATATGCCTCTCTTCTTTTCTGTATAATTTGAGTACATTAATTATTCAATATCAGCAAAAACTTCAATTTATAAAAACACGCTGTAGAACCCAGAGCTGGAAGCTTGTCAAATCCTGGTGAAGGAATAGTGGGTGGTCCAGGGAGACACAAAGGACAGAATGTGTGTGTGTGTGATATTTATATATATAATATATATGTTACGTCTCAGGAAGATCTCTTCCATTGTTGTGATGGAGAGAATTAAATTGTATTTCTGATTTTAAACTGCTTCTAGTGTTTGGCTGCACCACTTATTTAGCAGAATGAACCAAAACATTTAATTCATTAACCTGTTGGAATGAAAAGAACCGCAGAATAAATCAAACTCTCAACCTGTTAAATCAGTTCTTTCTTCTGGTATACTATGAATCACTTGATGCATTGTACAAATTGCTGTTACTATTTATCTCAAGCAACTGGTGAAACTTTCTGTTACCACAGTGAACAGAACTTCTCATCTTAAATGGTTAAACTATGAGATGTATGTTTAGGCAAATATGATGGACCCAATGTGTATTTAACAAACCACTTAGGGCGGTATAGGATTTATTATCAGCTTCATGAACAGACACAGATTTCCACTGTTCAAAGAGTAAGTGGCTAAAGTTCATTTTAAGTTCAGGCAGACTGTGGGACCTTCTGTTTCTTTTCTTTCTGCTTGGGAGTTTTAGGAGCTTTCATTGCAGATTTCACAAGTTTTTCTTTTCTGACGATCCCTGCAGATTTTGCCAGAGATTTTTTAGGAGTTTTCTTCTTTGTACTTTTCTCAAACACATTTTCTTTCATCTGCTGCTTTGGTGTCTGAACTTTCTTTTTTCGCTTGTCCGGGGTCTGCATTTCTGGATGATCTGGCTTCTGTTTTGGAGTCTCCTTTACTGCTGGTGTTTGTGAAATAGCCTTTCGTGGCAGTTTCATGTTGACGGGGGTTACATCAACAGTGGTTTTCTGCTTTGATTTCTGCTCAGAAAGAAGAATTTTTAAATGTTCAGAATTAAAAGCATGTGATCTTCTCACATTTCAGCATGAAGAAAGACACACAAAGCATCCCTATTGTGAACATTAGAAATACTCTAATGTTTAATATGTTCATATAAGGGAGAACCATTGAACAATTAAAAAAAAATTAAATTCTATTTTTGTCATGTTAGCTCTTAAAACTACCCCACTTCTGCTCTGCCAATCTTATATAGTTATCTAATAAAGACTTGGATTGAATTTTCATACAACTGATGTCTTTTTTAAATTAAAAAAAGCTGGAAATCCATTAGTGTTCTGCATGTTTAACAAGCATGTACAAAATTACTACCTAATGCCTGGAAGATTGTAGGATATACACTTCATAAGTTTACCTTACCACAGAGGGAAGGAGAAGTTAAAATATTCAAATTTGTCAGGATTTTTAGAGAACGAAATAAAGTGGGATTTTTTCCCCCCCTACAACAACAAAATTACATTTGTATGGCGGCTATCATGTTGGGAGGACGTCCCAAGGCGCTGGACAATCAGTGTTTTGGACCTGAGCTGAGAGTAGGGATGGGGAAGGGTGGAGTGCGGGGGGAGAAGCAGGGTGATCGAAAGCATGGCCGAAAGGGAGGGTCTTGAAATGTATCTTGAAGGAGACAAGGGAGGGGGCGAGGCGGAGGGACTGCAAGATGGAGTTCCAGAGGGTGGGGGCAGAGTGGCAGAAGGCCCGCCCGCCAATGGTGGGCAAGCGAGACAGGGGATGTGAAGCAGGCCGGAGAGAGCGGGCAGGATGGTAGGGGGATAGGAGGTCGCAGAGGTAGGGGGGAGCAAGACCATGGAGGGCTTTGAAGATGAGGACCAGGATCTTGAGCTGTATCCTCCGTGTGATGGGAAACCAGTGTAGAGTCGGGCGATGATGGGGGTGATAGGGTCACGTAGCCTGGTGCGGGAGAGGACACGGGCGACAAACCAGAAAAGCACAAGTAGCCCCCCACCTCCACCCGAGTAAAGCAAACCCTCTGCCTCCATCATTTATACAGAAGATGGAGGAAAACAATTTTCTTTCCATTATTCAATCCCCCAAATGTTTACAGATAACAGAAGTAAGCTGTTGAATAAGGAATGTATCCCCTGACTAAATTGTTGCTGTCCCACTGTTGAATGTGATAAATTGCATGATCACCTGATTGTTACTGAGTATTCTGTTTATACCACAAGTATACACCAAGTGTGGTATATCATACAACAGGACTGGACTGTCAGCTCCTCCTAGCGACCTGGATTTGAATCCTATCCAGACTAATGCTGAAAATTTCCTCGCTCTGCCCAATGTGGGTATTCATGTCTGAAATTAATTTGGACAGTCTCAATCCTGATCCAATTGGGCCACAGCAAAGAAAAGCAAAATGAATTGGCTACCTTGATAACCCCTGAAGAGACACAATACGAGATGTTTTGAGGCAGTCACCCATATTTCCATCAAAGAATATCTAATAATTCTTGCATTGTAGTGCCTATAGTGTTGAAACAAACTGATAAAAAATAGTATAGATTTTACGGACAGTGATGTTCCACAAACAGCCAGGAGGTGAATGATCAACTTAACTTTGGATTGCTGGACAAGACACCTGGAAAAACTCTGTTATCTTTTAAAACAGATTGAACCTGTTTAAATTCTCACCCAACAAACACTGCACTGGAATGCCATCTTAGAAAGCAAGCTGAAAGTCCAGACAAGTGGCTTGAACCCACAACCAGAGGTGAAACCCAGAAATGAGAGCGCTACCAAAAGAGCCAAACTGACACAAGGAGAGTTATTACACTGTCTGTGAAACGTACTTGTAACTTTGCCTTTTTTGAGGGTGTCTGTTCTTCAATGGGAACCAGCTGTGGTATTTCTTCATCTTCCTGATGCTTAGATTTCTCGGTGACTGGGGAACTTATCTTGAATGTATTCTCTGCTGCATCATTAGCTTCAACAAGAACAGTAGTTGCTTCTGCTAACGGTGCTGTTGCAGCTGACATCTCTGAATCTTGAACTTTCGTTACTTTCTTCTGCTTATTCTAAGAGAACAAACAAAAATACACATTTGCTACGACATTCAATAATTGCATTTATAAATATGTTCGAGTCGGTAATTGGAGTTGAAGTACAGATCAGCCATGATCTAATAGAATGGCAGAACAGGCTTATGGGGCTGAATGGCCAACTCCTGTTCCCATGTGCTCCAACAACACTCCTTTATTTGAACACAGTAAAACTGTTGGGATTGCCCAAACCACAAGCACTTCACACTTTTCAAATGGGGACAATAGATGGTGTTCAAAATTTTTTGTGGCTCTCGTACACCGAAAATCAAATTGAGAAGTTTCTTATGGAGCGCAGTTCACATCAACTCTGACTTTAAAACTGATACAACAAAATTACATTTGTATAGTGCCTTTCATGTCAGGAGGACATCCCAAGGCGAAGGACAATCAGTGTTTACGACCCGACCTGGGGGTCGGGATCGGGGAGGGAGAGGGAAGAGTAAGGTGATGGAAGGCACAGTTGAAGGAGGGTTTAGAAGGAGGCAAGGGAGTGGGCGAGGCGGAGGGACTGCGGAATGGAGTTCAAGAGGGTGGGAGCGATTGCAAACCGAAACAAAAATAACTTACATTTCATCTTGCAATGGTAAATAACTTTTGTACAAGTACTGCTTGTACCATCTGCATAGTGCTGTTCCTAGAACATATTTTGTACCTGCTACCCTATTATATATAAACATTATATATATATTATATATATAAAAAAAACCAAACAAAATTAATTTTTCCATTTTGTATTTACCGTATTTACCGTCTTCTTGGATGCCCCTTTCTGTAGCTCGACTAGGTTGTGCATGCCTGAGTTATAAATAGGCAAAGACACAGAGGTGGGAGTTTTCAAGTGAAGAATTTTTACGTTTTTCCATTTCTGTGGGTTAAAAAACAAGGAAATTTTTTCGAGACATAATATAGATTTAATGCTCATAGCTTTGGGACATGCAATTCTGAACCCAGATAAGAATTCAATTGGCTTTCTGGCGACCTGATGACCCAGAAGTCGGCCTCTTAGGCTCTTTTACATACCTTGGGTAAGTCTACTGCAAGTTTGCGGGCAGCCGCAATGATGTTTTCCACTACTTCCTGCACCTTCATTCCTGTGTGAGCTACGCGGGAAGTACTACAGGAGAAAAATACTGGGTTAGCACACATTCCACAAAATCCAGGCCGACACCAGCGATTAAGTTCAAAACTCATAAATTTTTATCTAAATGTACATTTTGGACAGAAATTAACTTCATATTCCACCCTAAAGCTGCACATTGATCAGCATAAAATATAAACCACCCCCCCAACCCCATCCCGGAAATTGGTAATGCTGGTAATGCATGCAGCAGAAACAAGCAATATGTCACAAGCTTTAATACTCACTAACAGCAGCCCTTGTTGGTAATCGGAAGGATAGTACCCTGTATCAATTTGTTCATTTCTTTTACAAGTTTATTTGAAGTTAGTTTTATCGACTGCGGGACCCTGAAATCAGAAATCATTAAAGTGAACAAATCTCACCATCAATATCTGCCGCGGAGCATCACAAAGATCAAATTCACGTGTCTTTTATCATGAACCTTTCTTTTGGAGAAAGTTGTTGTAGGGAGCAGACATTATCCTACCCTGAAATAGTTATGCCTTGTGCTGTTTTTCAAATATAGCACACATCTGAACAACCAACAAATACAATCTTAACAGAATACTTTACTGGACACCAAACAAGCAGTGCTTTTATTTCAATTCTCTATTAGAGAGCAGTATAACCAATCAGGTTGAGCACCAAATGCTAGACTGCAAAGTTCTGGATCTGAATAGTTTTGAGGTCAACGAAAGAAGTGACCTGATTGAGTCGCGTTTCAATTGGGGTGAAAGGGAAGAAACTGAAGTAAAGAAACTATCACTGGGACTTAATGGTTGAGTCCTGCTCACCTATCATCATTCCCCCAACCCCATACAGAGAAGCATGGCAATAGGGTAAATGTGGTCACCCTCACAACGTTTGTGTGGGATGATCATTAGAAGCACAAGAAACATTATCAATAAAATGGTTATCCATTGAATCTGTACATCGATTAGGCAGGCTTCCTTGAGGCATTCATTTAATATCAGGCACGATCTTCAAAGTCACTCAGTTTACTTACTTTTTAGCTTTGTAGAAATGTTTGCCTATATGAGATGGCAACAGCCGCCTGATTCGATCATCCGCCAAGAACAGGTCATAGCTACTCAACAAGCGACGCTTTGCTTCATATGCTTTGTACTCTGTCTTCAGTGCTTTGTATGGAATGATCTATCCAAGCAGAACCAGCATTAATACAGTTCCATTTCTGTTATAACTTGTTCTATTTGCTTTTAAGATTACTTTACAAACACAACACAAAAACATCCAAAATAAACATTAGATTGAGAGCAGATTTATAAAACTGCAAGCTCATAAAGTTTACAAGATAATAATAATAATAATCCTTGCATTTGATATAGCGCTTTTCACGTCGGGAGGACGTCCCAAAGCGCTTCACAGAACACACTGTAAAGTGAATTGACTGTATATTTGTGGGCGAACGCGGCAGCCAATTGCGCACAGCAATATTCCCACAAACAGTCATGGATTGAAAATGACCAATCTATTATTGTTTTTGGTTTTGGAGGGATTATTATTAGGCTCTGTGTGGAGTAAGGAAACTTGCCCAAGGTTTCGCCCTCTGCCTGGAATTGAACTCAGGTCTCTCGCTTGCAAAGCGAGTGCTCTAACCACTGAGCTACAGGACTCCACGATGAGACATGAACACATATTTGAGCACCGCGTAACAGTCATTTGGCATAATAATCTTTATAGTTGATGTAGCACCTTTCACATTGGGAGAAGGTCTTAAACTACTTCACAGGGTATAATGTAAAGTGCAGTGACACGGAACCAGACAGACCTTGTTGTTCTGTTCGACCCTCAGCTGTCCTTCAAACCTCACATCTATGCCATGATCCGTTCTATCTTCCCCCATTGCCCACTTCCCCCAACCCCCAGCTCGGGTGCAAACCCTTAAATGCCCAGTGCCTAGAGATGTCCTTCCGACGTGAAAAGGCGCTATGTAAAATAAATTGTTGTTGTTGTTGACAATGATGCTGAAAGCATTCTGCTATCCTACCTGTGTTACATTTTTAATTCCTTGTTGGGTGAGTAGCTTCTTGTAGAATTTCTCTGTCTGGTCTGCACTCATGTTTGGCTCATCTCTTGTAAAGAGACAAACTTCTGTTGTGTCTGTTCGAATGCCATGAGGCAGAGGTCTGCAATACAAACAGATTCCTTGAACATTTGAGTTTAATAGCATCCACGTAACCGCATCAATATCTCTTTCTCACCTTCTAACACCTCACCGGAGATAACATAGAAAAGTACAAATACGGGATAAGTGGTCTTTTATGGTAAGTTTTGAATAGGGGCCATATCAAATCAATTTTTGGATATCACAAGAAGGAATGAACTAAGAAGGCCTTTCAACTCATTCAATCTCATCCTTTTTTGTATGAAACCAAGGCAAAGCATAAATAAACCATAGGTTAATTTGTTCACAATTCAATTTTGATTCACTTGCATTTTTAGCGTTTTCTCCTTTTCTGGAATCTTCCATACTGTCACAACGAGCGTTATAAACTGATGTTCATTGAGGAACAGCGGGTTATCATCCTTACTCTTCTTCACATAGGCCAACAAAGCCTGTACAGCCTTAGTTATCTGAAGAAATGAAGGAGAGCAGGGAGAAAAAAAAAGTTTTTAATACGCACATTTTTGAATAAAACAAACAATATTGTGATATTTTATACTTTAATTGGAATGGTCTGATAATCTTTAATTACTTAAAGCTCAACAAAATATTGTTCAGTAAGAAATGCAAATAAGTACCTTAGAAAGTCAATTTGGAACACTAAAGTAAACAAATCCAAGAGTATTAAGTGGTGTAATGATACACACCCCAAATACACGCTATTTTTTTGACAACATTTGAACAACTTTGCAGGTCTCTATAACTTTCTGGAGTAAAACTCTTATCTGGGCATCAATTATCTGCATTGGGCTGTAATGTGTAAGACGACCCAGGGCTGTGATACCGACGAAATGTTCAGTTGTGCAAGATTGCTCAGGAGGCAACTTAATTTCTCTGACGACATCAGCGCAGAGAGCAGAGAGAAGAGAGCGAGGGAGATTCTACAGTGACGGCAACAACAAAACCACAACTTATCAAGCGCCGTCCCCGCAGCGCTCAACAGTGGCGGAGAGCCCGACTCCAAGTCGGGGTCGAACAGGAAAGTCTTCAGGCGGGACTTGAAACAACAACAACAACAACAACAAGATTGCATTCGTAGAGCGCCTTTCACGTCGGGAGGACGTCCCCAGGCGCTGGACAGTTGGGTCGGGAAAGAGAGGCGTATATATCTCTACCTATGTATCTGTCCGTTTTGTCTATCTTTATCGATCTGTCTATCTTTCTATTTGACTAAAATATATAGACATATAATATATATGTGTGTGTGTGTAGATCCGAACGGATCTATATACCCATCTGAACTTTCTTCACATCATGTCGCCCCCCAGTAAAGATAACCAGTCTGGACACAATGTGCCGCCTCCCCTGACCAACACTACCCCCACACCCCCCTCCCCTCACCCCCCCCCTCCCCTCCCCCCACACCCCCTCCCCTCACCCCTCCCCTCCCCTCCCCCACACACCGCCTCCCCCCACACACCCCCTCCCCCACACACCGCCTCTCACCCCCCATTTCTTTTTTTTGGGGGGTGGAGGGGGGTGGGGGGGTAAAGCCACGTTTGCCCGCGCACAGTCACTACACTTCGCAGTGTGAAGCGGACGAGGCCCTCCCTCCCTCACGGGCCGCGCAGTCTGAACCCCCTTTTCCGGCGGCGCTGAGGCTGAGGGGCGGATTAAACCCGACCCCGACCACCCCCCGCCCCGGGCCCGGGGAGTGTGAGGAGAACGGGGAGGGAGGGAGGTGGGGGGGGGGGGAGACCACCGAACAGCACGCGCCCTCCTACCTGCTCCGCGCTCAGCGACTCCATCTTGGACACGTGTGCGCGGGGAGACCCGGGAGAGGAGACGGACACTGCGCAGGCGCGCGACCCGCAGTGACCCCCTCCCCTCGCGGAGCCACGTGGGTGCCCTCTGGGGAAGGGTGGGCGGGGCTACTCTGGGGGTGGGTGGGCGGGGCTACACTGGGGGAATGGGCGGGGCGCCTCCTGTGATTGACAAGCGTTGGTACAGACAGCCAACTGATGGGACAACCAACCCCAGGTCCCAGGTGCTCCCTCCCTCCCTCTCCCCCCCACCCCCTTTCCCCCTCCACCCACACACATTTTTTTTTGGGGGGGGGGGGGTTCGGGTGTTTCACCCACAAAACGCACGGTCGCTCCGCTTCACAGTATATCCCGCGAAGCGCTTTGAGACGTCGCGAAGGCGCCGCGTCCGACGCGAGGACATTCGAGATGTTCTCGACGTGACAGTGCAGCGCAACGATGCTGACGACGACCGCTGCATTGCTCCCAAGTCTTTTGGTCTCCTTTTTTCCCCCTCCCCACCGCCCCCCCCCCCCCGGGTCGGCTGCAAAGCCTGGATTGTTAAGCAGGTTGCGTTGTTCTCCACGAAAGGCACTCTATGCAGCAAATGTAAAATTATACCGTATTGTAAAGCAGAAATGGGGAAAATAGGCTGCGCTTTTCAAAACGATTAAATTCAGTGTTTCAGATATACAAATCCTACATGTATATTGGTCATTTCCTTCATGGGTTTGCGGGCTCTTGACGTGCGCACATTGACTGTCACGTTCGCTCACAAAATCGCTTCAGTTGACCGCAAATATTTGTGAAGCCATTTGATAGTTTTCAACGTTGTTGGCATTGCTTCAAAAACAGAGGATCATTAATACATTTCAAACACTTCACTCACAAATTCGAATGACCAATTCAGAAACAGACAGATAGTAACCCTGCTTTACAGTTCCCTCGTCTTGTTCAATTTAGTTAGAAAGAACAGAAATTCAGGTACATTATTTGTCTAAAGTATATTATTCTCTGTAGATTTGCCACGGAACAGTCTTTTCTTTGGGGCTGGTAGGGGAAAAATATTTAATTGCTTAAGAGTCAGAAATCACAGGAGGTACTTATATAACCTACCTTTTGAATAAGTTATCCAGACAGAACCACAATCCTTTCCTTCCAATCCACCCCCAACCTGTAGTAAAAATGCACCATCCAAAATTCAACAAGCAGAAGGGATACAGGATGCATTTTTAATTTAAAATGAACTGAAAAACAGCAACTTATTAAGTAATCAAACATTTTAAACAGTGATTCACACCAGGTTAACCCCATTTTCTCCAACATTTAACTTGTCGAGGACTCATCCTTTGGAACAAGGCACAATTTTTGTGATGCAATGACTAATTACTGCAAGTTCTGTTTAATCAAATGACTTTGAACTCAAGCAAGTATTAAGGTCTATTTTACATGCTGATAATAGATATGGTATAGTGAGTAGGGAATTCTAATGGTTGCAAGAGCAGCTGTACTATGACTGGTGTAGATGGAGCCAGACATGCCCACACATTTTGGTTGGATTACTGGCCTTAACCTGGTTACATAAGTAATTTACATAAAATTACCTCGAACAAAACTTTTATTACAATGTAATCACTATTCCAAGTACAATTTCACAACACAGGATTTCCACCGTGGTCACCATGTTCAGTTCAACACATTTATTTCGGGTGGTTAAATATGCCAATATACCACCATGCAGTTAGTACAATATAAATCTGATCTTTCCAGGCAGTCAATTCTTGTTAGTAATCCGTTTGCATTAGGACTAATCCTCGGAGAGATATGCTTTTCTGTCATTTAAATGCAATAGAAATTTGTCCTGGATAGGCCACTTTAGCTTCCTGAAGATTGATAAAATTGATGAAAAGAATCGTACAAAATGGTGTAATTGGGGCCATAAACAAGTTACAATTGTACAAAAATGCAATTCACTCAACAGAAATTTACAGCTGAAGTTTTCAGTTGAACAGAAATTCACTGATTTATACAATACTCAGTTTCTAGAGCTTTACAGATATGAAATCCCCTGCATTTTAGAAAGCTGTACTATGCACTTAATTAGTTGGTCATCCATCAACTGCTCACCTGTGCACTCCATTCACTGTTACAGATCAGTCACTACCTTTCGTATAGTCATTTCAATAGATATAAAACTACTACAGTATAGAAGATTTGTGTTAACTTTAGACTTACATACATTTAATTAACCACCACCTTCACATATTTAGCCCAAAACAATCCAGTTAACTTTGAAAGGTATTAATAACAACCCATTCAAATGGACTCCTTGCCATACTGAGTTGATGGAAAAATATAAAGATTTTGATTCGCTGATAACAGACCAAATTAGACCATCAAGGTTGTTCATCAATTACCTGCCTGTATAAATCTTGAATTAATAAATTAGCAGTGAGGAGTTACACATCTTTTTCCACAATTTGGGAAAGTGATGAAATCCTCGGCATGGCTTAAATACATATTTAGTTAAGTTAAACAATACAGCAAGCTTAATGAGAAAAGTCATGCCATTAGTTCGCCTAGCTTATTAAAAAGAACCACATCCAAATACATTTGCATGATGAAAAAACAAGATATATTCTTCAGCTGGATCTCCACAGTTACAGACAATATGCCAATGGAAATGAAATAAAATTTTATTATGCTTGAGATTAAGAATGCATACAATAAATTTGTATACTATACAATACTGTGGTCATGTTTAACAGCTGTGCTGTCTTACACCAGGCTTGCGCAGTGCCAATGATACCAAATTATGAAACAGACAACTTCAAGTGGGATCACCATGGGAAAAGAAAAAAAATTCAATTAAAACTAAGGGCATTTCATAAAGCAGCAATTAGCATCTTTCTTGTACACTATTTAACCAACTTAACTGAGGAAAAAAAATACTGCAGCAGCAAAAAGTATGGGGAAATCTTGCAATAGTATTGTTTCTTCAAGAGCAACACATTTTATTTTGGAAACAAATCATCAAAATGAAATGTTTTTATTTCCGTGCATTACGGGAACTAGAAATTTATTGAGCAAAAAAAATGAAGTTAAGGGGGAAAATGGTCATTGCCTACATTTTACTCATTTAAATTGATAAACATCAACTAATTTACCATTGTGGGATATATAATACAGCTAATGATTTCACAAGTAGCACATAAAAGTCCACACAAATAGTAGTTCCACCTTAACTGAATTTGTTCCATACAAGTTTATTAGCGTTTAGGTATCTACTTGTCCAAGGTTTAAATGCAATTTGCTGCTTTACAACAAAATGACACTTAATTGTAGAATTTATGAACAGGCCTGTTCACACCATTGTTTGTTCTTTATTTTAGGTTAATCCTGTCATTCTTTCACAAATCACTTTCAGCAAACAAAATAAACTTGGAAAGGAGAAAAAATTAAAAATTCCTCATCATGACTCTTTAAATGGTAACAAATTTACCATCATATTAAATAACTGTTCCACCACAAATACAAGGTTTTCAAATATGTACAAGAACTACATGTTCTGGTTCAGTTGATTAATATTTTTCTTAAGTATTCATCTAAGAAATAACCTCTCCCCATAAAATACAATACATTGAAAAAGTAATAGTTTATGATATGAAAGTTTTAGCAAGTGTCAAATTCTCCCCCCTCATCCAACCAAAGTGACAAAGTTGTTACATGTGCACCCACATGCTAATAAGTCTATCAGGTAATGTGCTCATAAGCAAAACTTCAGCTACAAATATCTCTCCACAGAAAAAAAACCTTCAGCTACATATGTCCCACCCATATCATGTTAAACTATTCCAAATCAAAAGATCAAACCTCTACACATGGCAGTTAATTCATAGCTCTCTTGAAATCTGAAAAGCACAACAGCACAAGCAGTAGTTACTATATTTGTTCTTTCCTCCCGAAGACTGTTCAAGTAATCCACGTAACAGCCATTGCACAGTCTAATAAAACGTATAGATTTGATTTCTTTGGAGTTGCATAAAACTAAGGGAAACAGTATCTTTAAAATTTACAATTTTCCGTTCGTCTTTTTCAATGCGGGTACGATGGCATTTTGTCTCCCATGTCAAAATGTTGAGGATAAATAGCATTGCATTTTTGGAAAAGTTTCACAAAGCACAAGGGTGTGCAGTGTTGGTGTATGGCAGGTTGATAGCACACAATTAAAATAGAAAGATTAATCATGCAATAGGAAAGCAGCTGATACAAGGTTAATCTCACAAGAAATCTTCCCCAAAGTAACTCAACTGCCAGAAATGTTTCAAATCAATTTTATTATCTCTACAGACATCTTTCTAATACTTGAACACTCACACTCTGATCTGTTGAATAACCTGATCTAGTTTGAGATAGCAGGGTGAGCAAGAGCACACAAAAGAGAATAATGCCAGAATAAAATAAACTTTTTTTGGTTTAATTTTATTTTTGCAGGCAATTCTGTCCACATCAGTTAGGTAGCTACTGCCGCATTTCTAAGGAAGCAGATTTCAGAAGAGGATTTTAAATGGTAGCTTTAACAATGGCATAGCAGAGCTCTCAATATGAGAAAGCTGACGTAAAATGTGGACATGTTTACAGCAGTTTGCAGTATATGGGAAGATAAAGATATCGAAGGGCAGAAAGACAATGAAGACCAGGAAAGGCGTGAAGTAGGCTGTTGCTGAGTCCTTTTTCGTCACAGTATTGTACAGCATCAGACGTGGATGTTCAGTCCTTTTCTGGAACCAGCTTCAGGACCTTTCCAATTGCAATGGTCTTACCTAGAAAAGAAAACATTATGCCAATGTGAAAAACAAGCTGTAACACTTAGTTTTATGGAACTCTTTCAGCTACACATCTGCCCAATAGCCAAAATGTAGATTACACAACTGATGATTTGTTTTCAAATAAGATCACGAAAATGCATTTTAATTTTTTTGAGAGGTGGAAGATTAAGAATGTTGGAAGTAGAAAATGCAGAGCAATTGAAAGTGGTTAAGCCTCTTCCAGTCATTAAGAGTAGATGTGCATGAAGTTTAGCCTTGGTTTGTCATTGCAATTTAGATCATTTGTATTGAATTACAAAATGGCATTTCCCCCTAATTATCAAGCTTTTCTGTTTAAATGACGACATTACAATCAGAGCAAACATTTCATTAATCAATCCAGTCGAAGTATATTTCAAATAAAGAAAATTAAACCACACGCAGATTGAATTAAGGAAAATTCAAGACTGCAGTAAATCATGAGGAGCGAAAAATTAATTCATTTAGCCCGGCTCATTATCAGATAGACATTTTAAAAAATCCCCTCAATGAAGAGTTGAAACTAACCTTCATCTCTCAAGGTGAAGCGGCCCATTTGAGGAAAATCTTTGAAGGTCTCAAGGCAGATAGTTCCCGCTGTCTTTAAACGAGCGATGCAAACCTGATCCTGTTTAACAAAACGAGGTCGCGTCTTGCTTTTCTCTCCGGACTTCTTATCCACCAGACAGATTAAGGCCTGGACAATAAATGGTTCAATAGCAATCAACAATTTGTAAACATTCAAATACACAGCAACAGAAATCTCTAAAGCAAACTAGATTATGCAGCACCCACACTTAGGAAGAGTAATATCTTATCACTTATCAATATTTCCAACTTTTTGAATTAAGTTATTCTCCAATAAACTTAGTCTAAAGACAATTAGTTGAGAGTAAAGCCATTGCAGGGCCTCAACCAGTGTTCCTTTAAAGTTTTAGCACTTACAGAAATAATCATAGCAAAACATTTGTTCAGTGGTTGTACACACAGTGACTTTTCTCACCCTACTCCTCAGAAACCTGATTACCATCATATATTAATGAGAGGATCACCTGCCCACTCACTTCTGTGGGAATGTACCCAGGAGTCTCACACATAATCTGACACTGCAGAGCACAATGTACCAAATTATAGTATCTAGTGCACACATTTATAACTGTGCAATTAGAATAAACTGAATGAAAACTATTGAACAGGATGAAAGCCATTCACCAGAATACATACAGTGAAAACTGTGTCACACTTACTGCTATCTGGACTTCTTCAATACAGGTGTGGATGTGCAGCACTGCATTGTAACCCGGACAGATGATGGATTTATGCTCAATGATGACTATCTGGAATATAACACACATAAAAGTATTAATATCTGGGCTGTTCTTTTCAGGGACTATGCATTTGGTTAAATATGTCATGCCCCAAAAATGTAACATGCTTGGCAATTGAAAATGCTACCCTTAATTCTTCTATTCAAAGTATGCTCTACACTTCCAAAACAAGATAAGAATATATCTACCACTGGAGAAGGTATTAAACATTTGTTCTGATATTCTTCAGGCAAATGTGTACAACTTTACCTGAGCATCAAAAGTGCGCCCTGAATGGCAAAGATTGTTGTGATCACAAAGGATAAATCCTGGTAGAATCTCCTCCTCTTCAATTCCTTTCAGCCGGATCTTTAGATTTTCTCCAGGGCCTGCAGCATCAGTCTCCACATCATCAGATAGCAAACCCAGGACTTCAACATTGTGCTGCAAAACAGTGCTGAGCTTTTAGAACAGGCTTTTCATGTTCAAGAACAGATTTGAAAATTGTTCTTCCCTAATGGCCCCTGAACGCATAGCCCCAATGCTGACACTGACATGCAATGGAAAGTAAATCGTACCAAATACAGTTTCCATTGAAATATAAATATTAAACATGGAAATAAAGAAAAAAGTAGGCAAGAATAAAGACAACTAAAAGCAGCAGCTTCAGAAATAAAATCAATTACATTTGACCAGTCTATGTCTGGAATAGCATCATCTACACTACTTCAGCATATGAAACACTGTGTGATCCGTCACTGAGTCATTCAAGCCTCGTTTGTGTGAATTAGTCAATTTCAATAAGGATTATAATGAGAAAAGTAATTTCTCTCCTTTGCTCTCCGAAAAAAACAAGTCTAGTATTTGCATGGTATCAATGCTCAAAGTGCACATACTTACTTTGTTTGGCATCATAACTAGCTGGTATCCTTTCGTAATCGTTCCAGATTCCAGCTTGCCCAGAATTACAGTACCCATATCCTAAACAAAAAAAGTCCCATTGTACAAATTAGTTATTCAGCCAACATTAAATAATTAAATCATATTAACTCCCAAATGACGTTTGCACTCCTCATTAACCTAAAACTGTCATTCTTAAATTTTGCAAATACAAGCTTCCTTTGATGAGTTACTGCCGCGTTCGCCCACAAATATACAGTCAATTCACTTTACAGTATATTCTGTGAAGCGCTTTGGGACGTCTAGAAGACGTGAAAAGCGCTATATCAAATGCAAGGATTATTATTTTTATTATTTTTCATTTTTCTGATAAACCACAAACAGTCTGTTCAGGGGTACATTTAGCACATTTAAATGATTTAAAACGTAGGTAACTGTGTTTGCAGTTTCCCATAATTCGTAGGTTGCAGTAGCTCACAAGCAATAATGAGTTTCTAAAAAAAAAGCATCTTTTTACTCTTTTGCAGCACCTTCAATTTTTTTGAGGTTTTAAGTGAACTCCAATTTGAGTATTTTCTCTTTAAGCAACAAAATTAGTTAATATGCATTCTTGACATAATCGAAAACTATTAGGTACTTCAGGACCAATCTATAAGAGAGAATAAACGGCTTCAGAATCTTGAATTAGATATCCCGAGTAAAAGTTAAGCAGGCAATTGAAATAATAAGAATCTTTAAACCACAACCAAAAGCACCAGCTCTAGGATATCAACCTCAACAAGAGGAATCTCATCATAATGCAATCTCTTAAGTCCAAAAGTTAAGAGCTGTGAAATAAACAGTGAGGAAAATGACACCTGTCCGGGTTATCAAGTCACCCTGTCATCACTTCCTATTCACTGTGGAAGTAGCTTCGCTGTGTGTAAAAAATGGTGAATATTTCTACCTTCCAACTGTTCTCTCGCCCCATTACAAATTTTGTCTTTCTCTATTATATTAATATACCTTCCATCATGTGCACGCACACTTCTCAAAAATAAAAAGTCCATTTCAAAACTGTGATATTTGCTCACCTTATATTTATCTACGATAGGTATTCGCACTGGTCCAATACAAGATCTGTTGAAGTGTGGCAAATTGTCCAGATGTGGAATAAACGGTAACCCACTACAAAAAAATACAAAATGACAGCCATAAAATATTCAATCTTATTCCGACTCAAAAACAATGACATTTTGGATATTGTTCACTGCTGATATGGTGCAGTTAATAAATTTAACTATACCTGTCTAATGTTTTAAGATTTTAAGATTGCAAGCCAAAAGGACAGTTTACACCTTCAAGTCATAATGGTCAACAAACTATAATGTCATATCATTGTGGACTGGGCTGCCTTTTATCAGTTCAATCTAAGGAAGAACCTGCTTACCTCGCCCATCTTCCCATGCCTGGAATGTTCCCCAAAGCACAGCGTATAGGGCAAACAAATTGACCTTCTTATGAGAGGTATAAACATTTATTTGAGTCCAATGTAGCAAGCGTTCAATTCTGCAATATTATTATTATTACCTACTGGACAAATCCACACCACATGGTTATTAAGCCTTAACACTGACATTTGTGATACTTTAAATTAAATTAGCTAACAAATTTTAATATTTGCCACCCTTCTCTTTGAAGGCTCAATTTCTTTGCTATACATTACACGAGAATGTACAGCATTAAGTGTTCACCAGTCATGAAAGAGAAAATATTTTTCTTTTATACTTACGTGTACCAAGGACAGAGATCAGCTCGTTCTTTTAGGTTTGCACCAGTAAGTCCAGAGCAAGGCATAAAGTGAATATCTTTCTTAGGATTGAAGCCAACTTTCTTCAAAAATGGCACCAGCTTTTCTTTACATTCCTCATACCTGAGCAAAAAAAAAGGACATGCATTTGCTACACACATTGTCTTGTAGCAGATGAAACTAATGCTATTATGCTCGTACCAAACATTTGTTAAACAGTATAGCTGCTTGATCACCCTACGTGTCAGAAAGGTGATGTGCATATCGGCATATCACTGTAGCACATTCAATCTTGCTCCATAAAACTCTTGTACTATTAACCTAAATCCTGAATATTTTTTTGAAGTTCTTTGCAGCATAACAGCATACGCCATACCTGTCTTGGCTCCAGTTTACTGTTGGATCATCCATCTTGTTGATGAGAACTATCAGGTGTTTCACTCCTGCTGTTTTTGCCAACATGGCATGCTCTCTCGTTTGACCGCCTTTCTCAAAGCCAGTTTCAAATTCACCTTTTCTGGCTGAGATCACCTAAGGGAACAGCAAGGGGTGATTTAATTTACTGTGGATCCTCTTTTCTCACCAACACCAGTCAAAATTATGGAACAAGGATTCTTGCCCGACTGTTCTATGGATATCAATGTCATTTTGTTTAGCTAGTGAGAGGTCTGCTTCAGCTGTACAACCTGTTCCTAACCGCCCCAGACGAGACTCGCCACCAGAGGAAGGATTTCTAACTTGGCCCTGACTTTACATTCAATAATCTTGTCTGTCAGACTTGCTCAAAAAATCTGTTTAATGCAACTATTTATTACCCTAATCAGTGATAAAATTAAATTACAGAATATGTTTGAATAGCCTGAGAACGTGTTCTACGAGGCCACTAACTTCTTTTTACAATATTCCCAAAAGGCACATTCTAATATATTGCACCACGCGCCCCACGAGTAACTGAAGATAAATGTTGAAAATAATCTAGTCTTCCTTTCTTGTCCACACACTAAAGGAATTCCTTCCTACCCTGTACTGAAGAAACCAGCTAAGGACTTGTATTCTTACCAACACCGCCAGATCAGCTTGAGATGCTCCACCAATCATATTCGGCACAAAGCTTTTGTGACCTGGAGCATCTAAAATGGTGAAATGCTTCTTCAGGGTTTCGAAATATGCACGACCCACTTCTACTGTTTTACCTTTGTCTCTTTCCTCCTGGTTTGTGTCTAAAGCCCAGGAAAGGTACCTAAAAATAATTGATTTTTTTTGTCAAATTGTGCACATTGAACTTAAAAAATATTGTTTTTACGAATGAAGAAGTAGCTATATGGTTTAGGGTTTCCTTGGTGCAAAGTCAACCAGCAGTTAGGTCAATGAAAGATAGGATTTGCACCTTGAATTCCCCATGCAGCACTTATTCAATATCTATAAAATCATCAAAATGAGGGCATCAAGCATATCTGCATTACCATTGGGAGATGGAGATTACACCTTCAGCCAACACCTATGCTAGATGCTGGCAACACAAACATTTCTAAAATTTACATGCAATGTAAATTGCACGTAAACTGTTCAGCAATACTATGTAAACAAAAACTTCAGATCACTTTGGAAGTTAAAAACCATGCAGTAAAATTCCTAATTCAGAAATGGTCCTGAAGCAAGGTTTGAGTTTATTAGCCAGAATCCCAATCACAAACTCAGCTCCAATAAGTGCTAAACATATCATTTTGCCATCGAACCTTACCATGTTTCTCTGTTTTTTTCCTTGGCTTCCCTTTCATATTTCTCCAGCGTTCGTTTGTCAACCATGCCCGTGAGGTACCTGTAACAGTCAAACATGCAAATTCTTATTTTTAAAAGATCAAGACAATCAAGGTTTTATAAAATGGGGACACGGACTATTAAACCAAACAGTTGAGGCTTAACCTGTATAACTAGTGAGGCCACATTTAGAAATGACAGTACTTTGTTCAGTTTTAGCCACCCACTTTAGGGAGGATATCAGGCCAGAGGGTGGGCGCAGAGACGATTTACTAGGATGTTACCAGGAATGAGTGGTCTGAACTCTTGAGCATATACCAGAGAAACTGTCTAAATTATAATGACGCGCATTATAACAGCATTCCTCTGCAGTAGTAAAAAAAATCAACTTACATTATCTGTCCACCAATAGTGGATTTTCCAGCATCTGAAGGGGAAAAAAATAGTCATTACACAATTCCAATGTAAACAGAATCAAATATTCTGTAACCAAGCTAGTGTTTTTCACATCTTCTAGATGTCTCAAAACGCTTCACAGAATATACTGTAAAGTGAATTGAATGTATATTTGTGGGCAAAACACTGCAGCAATTGCGCACAGCAGAGTCCCAGAAGCAGTCTTGGATTGAAGTGACCAATTTATTATTGTTTTCTTTCCTTGAGGGATTATTATCAGGAGTGTGGAGTAAGGAAACTTGCCCAAGGTTTCACCCTGCCGGGAATTGAACCCAGGCCTCTAATTTGTGAGGCGAGGGCTCTAACCATTGAGCTACAGGACTCCAAAATGTTCCAGATGCAGCGATGGCTGTATTGACATCTATTTTGAATAAGAATAGCAGTTCATCACCAATTGAGTTGTAGCCAAATGAGACAAAATCACAACAGTCTTCTGTTATGATTGACTTACCTACGTGACCAATGAAAACAACATTTACGTGCTCCTTCCTTGGAGCACCCGGTTCCACCACAGCCACCTTCGCCTTGGGCAACTCCTCTTCCTCCTCCATTTCGACTTGAGCGTCCAAAGTTGTCCTTCCATCACCAGCGGGACCACCACCTGGCTCTGCTTCACTAAGTTCTGCTTTCTGTTCCCACGACTTCTCGGCTCCAGGTTCCAGATCGCCATTTTCAACTGGGGCTGCGAGAGTAATACGTTCAAATTACTCAACTCCAAATACTATCCAAACCAAGTGTTAAAAATTGGGTTACATTTATAAATTGTAGTGGATTTAATTTACACTGGATCTTCTAGCCAAGTGCAGGTGATGTGTGATTTACAAACCAAATTATAATTTACTTTATTGCATTTTATCACTCACTATTCAAGTGATCAAAATAGGATATGAACTGAATCAGATTTTATATCAGTATCTATTTATTTCATCCATTGATTCCAATTAGTTTATTGAAAGCAGTCGGCAACAACCTATTCATACAAATGGTTGAGGTACCATATTTTTCTCAAGAAAATAAATAATAAAGTAGAAATTTACAAATAAAATTGGCAAATGTATTGAGAAATTTTGACAAGGTAGTTTAGCTCCCTTGTGAGTTGTATTATTCCATTATAAAATATAATGTTCAAACGACAAAGACTGAAAAATATCGATCACATTACCAAATTCAACACATTGGTGATGAGTACTTCAATTCTCAATCCTGTCTCAAATTCCACACTTTTCAGTCTTGATAACAGAGAGCTGCAAGCAAAATAGTTTAAAACTAGACGTTAATTAAAATATCTCTTACCAGCCGGTTCAGAAACCTCCATAGTAGTATCAGCAGCATCTTCTCCTAAAGGAAAATGAACAAGAATCATTTGCTTTGTAACATGATCCACAATCGCTCAAATCCATTCAATTCATCAGCAGCAGCTCCATAGACTGCTCCCAAGGCTTAACTTACAATTGTAGTTTCGTACAGCTGCCAGAAAACACCCTTTCTACGCTCAGGAATAGGTTCTTAGTTTTTAAGAGCACTTGAATTTTCAACCAAGAGCATTTTTTTTTAAAAACCAAAATGAAAATTCAGCCTTCTATGATTTGTCGAAAGTCATATCATTTGTTTGAGAATCAGAAGACATTTGCAGCAGCAGTGTATGGACCCATTACATTTTCAACAGTAAATAGGGTTTGAAGATTGAGCTACCTAGATTGCTCAGTGGATAAATGCACTGGCTAATGTGCCACTGAAATGCACTAATCAGGAATGTCACAGACTCAGTTCTTCATCTCAATCGATGTGGTAAGTAGGAACACAACCAGCTCTCAGTGAACCCCAGAGAGGAGAAAGGTAAAAAGAAAAAATGTCAGGTTTTCTGCTCCCAATTACCATATAGTGACCTCTGCTGGAAAGTACGTAAGCAGGCAGGATCGGGCACAGCTTGCAATAACTGACTGTCTATGACCCTATCAAGCCCATCTTTGCCCAACTCCACTGGCTTCCCATCACACAGAGGATACAGTTCAAGATCATGTTCCTCACCTTCAAAGCCCTCCACTTTCTTGCTCTCCCCTACCTCTGCGATCTCCTAACCCCCACCATCCTGCCCACTCCCTCCGCTCAGCGGACTCCGGCCTGCTTCACGTCCCCCACCTCGCTCGCCCCACTATTGGCGGGTGGGCCTCCCATTACTCTGCCCCCACCCTCTGGAACTCCCTGACCCCCAGCTCGGGTCTGTAACTCTGTCCTCCCGGCGTGAAAGGCGCTTTACAAATGTAATTATATAAGCCAATGAGTCATTGCAGCCCAATCCTGGAATTTTATTGTTGTTGTTTAGAGTTGCAGGCAGTCTTTGGGGGCAACAATCTAGCTAACAGACTGCCTGTGCACCAGTACTCAAAAGAGTGGAGTGGAGGAAAATTCGTAAAAACATAGCATTGATTGGTGCTTTGTACGGACAGGAGATCAAATGTCTGGCCTCACGTAACAGTCAAAGCATGTCCTGGCATGCCTTACACTTTCCTCAAATGCAGCACAAATCTAATCACTGCTCAGGTGATGCTGAAGATTTGCATTACAACAATTATTAGATATAAAGCTATTAGATCTGTGGTTTATCAACCTCAACAATGTGGGAAAGATTATGAGAGAGAAAGTTAGACAGAGGGGCTGGTAGCATAGTACTAGAGTGATGGTATAACTTCTAATGAACATTTTTTAGTTAGCACTGTGGCCAATTTGTATGATATCCAATTACTGAATGGTTTTCTTATTTGTCATGGTGCCAATGCCAATTAGTGTCGAAAATTTAGGTAATTATTTGGATTATTTGGATGCTTGTGTAACTTTGGGATGTGCAAATTACTGCAGGATTTGCTTCCAAAGTCATTTCAATTATCGGGAATTACTCATCAAATGTAAGGATTTCTATTACTACTGTAATGGAGAGCTTGCAATCACAAACATCTGCAACCTTCTAACTCAGAGGTGAGAGTGCTATCAACTTGAGTCAGGCTGGCATACCTAACGTTGAGTTCAGATTCACCAGCGCTGCTACAAAAAATAGCATCAATTATTATACTGCATTTTGTCTATTCTTGCTATTTATGATAACATCACTTGGAATTTAGGTTCCCAATTGTGCTGCTAATATTATGACCAAGTAACATGGGTTTTAGAAACATTAATCATTCTATTTCTGTCACACAAGTTGACCTGTTTTGTTGCTGACAAGTCAATTTTACACCATTCAGAATATAAGCTACAGGAACAGTGTTTCTGCAATAGTAAGCAGAGATGCTAACGTACGTGTTCTTGCAAATGGTAGTAATACAAAAGGCCAAAAAGCTCTCGTATCAGACTGCTGCAGAAAAGTAGATACAAGACAAGGTGACTCATCAACTAGTATATCTGCTATATAAATAACAATGAAACATTTGGTTCAAAATGAGTAGTCTACAATCAAATAATTTCATCAGAAACATTGACACTTGTTCCACATAGGATCTGCTGCTCACAAGGAACTGCATGCTTTTTCACAGCCTCCAATTTCAGTTATTCAAAAAATAGCTTCCAGTTTTACTTCATTAACTCAACAATTCCTGCCCCACAATAGGTTATGAAGGTTATTGTTCCTGCTAATGCTAAGAGCCCTTAAGTACAATACTTACCAAAAAATAGCGAAGTCACAAGAACAGCCCATTGGTTAAGATACACACTTGCATCTCGTGAATGTGAGATAATTACGGTATACTGTAATTCACAAAAAACTTCACACGCACAACATACAAATGTATTTTTTCGACGAAAAGGCAGCCGTTTAGTCAATGTTGTTTAAGCAAGGTTATTTTACTGCCATTCTATAAAAGAAGACCCACTGCAGGGAAGGTGTCACTCATTCTTAAAGGTTCAATTCACAGATAAAACAGAATATTACCGATTCTGAAAGGGCACGTTCAGGACTTATTTCCTGCTTTTTCTCGTGTGAGAAAGTACATTTGGGTTGATAAACATGCTTGAAAATTAAGGTCAGTGCGGCAAGTCTTGTTTTCAGGCTTTAGTTGTTTGGTTGGCACCAGTGGACATGCAATTGCCCGAGCAACATTTCGAGATTGACCCGTTCTGGCCATGACATGAACTGGCAACATATAGTGTCAGTCCAGAAACAGAGCCTAAAAGTGAAATGAACTTGCAAATGATGGTAGAAAAGGTTGTATAAAACTTCAGATGTTATACAAGCCAATGAGTCACTGCAGCCCAATCCTGGAATTGTTTCCCCCCTACCCTCCGCTCCCTTGACTTGGGAATGCAGTACTCCTTGTCCCACTATCCTTGCCCCAAAAGACCTTTCTACAAATTAGTACCACCAAGCTCTTGCTTTCATTTAGACTATCCTGCACGCTCAGTAGAGTGAAGCGCCAACGGAAGAAAACGTAGACAAGAAATCATTTGGAAACAATTTTGAAGCAGTCATCAGCCAGCAGTTTGCAATTGGCTTGGTCATGGTTTAATCATCTGAGCTGCTAAAAAAATAAACTACAATGGTCATGATAATTTTTTATGAGCAAAGGCTGAAAAATAAACAATTAATATTTTCCTCTCCAAAGCAGAAGACCGTAGAACAAATCCGAATCATAACCAAAATAAAGCAAAGAGTAATTTAATCTTTTTCCAGCAACACAATTGAAAGAAACCACAAAGGCCTTAGATAGAGCAGTGTGGAAAGGTCATCAACTTTTGAAACAGCACCCAGTAGCCATCAGAACAAGATATTTCAGATTAAGCAGCAAAGTACAGATAGTAGCTTTAAGTTATATCATGTGAATCAAAGTCTGCCTCTGCTTTTTAAACTATCATTCCTAAACAATGTCTCAATGTTCTCAAAAAATATTTTTGAACCAAAAGACTGATTTCAAGCTTTCCTTAGTCAACTGAAGTTATTCAAAAATGAAATGACCAATAACAAATCTTCAAGGTTCAGAGAATACAAATTTCTTCACCACTTTGTATTTTTTATATAAGGGAAAGGAAATCAGCTGTCTGTGTTTTCACTGTTAACATCACCATTTAAAGAGCCTTGCTCAATAGGAAAACCTGCCCCCAACAAGCCACTTTTGATATGTGGATTTTTTAAAAAAAATCAGTAGCAACCAAGCAATTATCTGTCAATAGTCAGCAACCAGTCAAATTAAAGTGGCTGAATATAACTTCTACCAAAGGTGCTCATAAAACAGTGTATAAAGCCATTTGATCGCAATCACTGAAACCAAACTGAAGTCTATTGACTTCTGGGTGTCAAAACAGCAGCGCAGAAATTTAATCAGGAGATTCGAATTGAATTCTAATTGCTTTTAAAGTTAATGGCTTGAGTTCAGTCGACTGAACTACCTGATTTAAACAATTCAGGATGAAGCTAAGTCAGTAGCAGCTAAGTAAAATAAGACAACACATTACTTCTTGGGTTTACTACTTACTGAGCATCCCAAGTTAAAATGCACTGCTTCTTTAAAAAAATACTCCATTTTGGACTGTTTTAAATACATGTCATAATTCTTTGTGCGCACAAACTTTAGTAACAAAATTCAGGTTAATTAGCACCCCTTTTCCTTCCAGCAAATTGAATTTAAGAAGCAAACAAAAATGAACTATTCCAAAGAAAGTTATTTATATAGACCAATTGTTTTTATGTGACCTTCCTTCCTACATTTATTTTTCAATATTTACATGTATTTGGCCAGAGATTTTTTTGAGTCAACTCTACTGATTGACTTTCTTTTGTCAACCAGGTATATGACACATATGAAAACCTTTCACTATTCTTAACGAGTATTCAAACTAGATCCACGTATTCATGCTGCCTCCGCAAGGAAATGTCACTTTGTCTGGAACAGAGCACTCACTTTAGCCACAGAGGGACATACCTTGCTTACCTAATTCTGAAAGTGTCAGGCACACTTTGGGATCCAAGAATGTGGGTTGGAGTATTGCTGGAGCTTAACAATCTAAAGTGACCACTCGTCATCGCTTGGCAAATGTCATGGTGCTTGTCCCAACTAGGATTGTCCTTTCTGCTAGGGATTTGACTTGCTGGGTTAACAGAAGCCAAGTGGAATCACTGTGCCCCAGTACTGCCCCTTCAAGTCCTTCTGACAAGTCAAGTTGCCTAGTCCGTCATCAATGTTGCTTAGTCTGTCATCGATAGTGCCTAGTCAAAATCTTTTTAATTTTGAGACCTGAATTTCAACCCAGGTCATCTTAATACAATGTGATTTTTTTTATTTAAAAAAACTTGAAACGGATCCTACAGAAAATTAATTGGTGTAGTCTTAATCCAGCTGTTGATGAATAAGCAATCTGCTGCCTCAATTCACATAAATGCACGTAATAGGTGCCTGAACCCACAGGCCTCTGTTGCGCAATACCCATCTGTTCAGTGCCATTTGTGAAGATCTGAGCAAAGTTTGCAACCCATCTGCTCTTTCAACCATGAATAACAGGTAGATAATAAAGTTAAACTAAGTGATGGATAAAAAAATGAAATGTGGAAAAGTAAAAGGCCACTGAGCCATCTCATGTAGGACTATAGCCTTAATTGCCATTCTCAGACTTGTCGGCATAAGCATTGCTGCTAAGAATTCTTAACTGGGGTGGAAACCTACAATATCCAATTCATGACTAATAAAGGTATTAACTGGTTAGCACCATGGATTTCAATTGGGTTGTAAGATGGAAATCCACAAAAATACCCATTGCATTTCCAACCCGCCTTGACAGCGAGAGATTTTAGTTTGCGGATTCGTATCATAGTTCCCTTTTTTTCTGCTTGTCAAATGTAAGTCTACCCATCTCTGGTTGACAAGTCACAAGTGTATCTGCAAAGGACCGCACAATTTCTCGCGCAGGTGCTATTCCCCAAAACTTTTCTTCCCAGCCCTGCTGTCGAGAAGCGAAGTCACGAGTGGAAATACAGAGGCACTGGAGTTTTCTCAACTTTTCCACTGGAGTTTTACCTTTCCTGCAATTTAACCGAGAAGTAAGTGCTGGTTGTCAACAGCGTACTTTGCTCGGTGGCCACTTTTTTTTTTGGGGGGGGGGGCTGGGGGGGGAGAGAAACCGAGCAGAAATGTGAATGGCAAAGGAAAAAAAAAACCCAACACACATTCCGACAGAAGCCACGTTAGGCCTCGGCCGTGGCAGAGCGAGCACGAACACCTACCATATGGAAGATCTAACACTGTGTGTGTGTGTGTGTGTGTTTAGTGGGGGTGGGGTGGGGGGGGGTTGTAAAAAAAAGGCTCTCATTTGCAGTTCGAGTCGAACGCTAATCTGCTTTACAAGTGATTTTGACGAAAACGTACAGTTTAACGATGGGGGGGGGAGAGGGAAAGAAACAAACACCCGACCCATGTGAAGGCACACACACAATCTTTATCGCCTTTACTTTGCTGCCCGGGCCCAGCAGCTCAGCTACAGGGACCCTCCCTCCCTCCCACTCCCCCCTCTCCCTCCCTCCTTCCTGTCGCCCCACTGCCCATTGCACGTTGGACAGATGCGGAAAGACGGTGCCGGGGGGGGGGCACCCGAGCAAACCCCCCTCTCCCCCCCCCTCTCTCTCTCCCACCGCCGAACCGCCCCAAATGCCACGGCCTCGCGGTAACGGGACAACCGAACAAAGGCCCCACGGAAAGAGCCCCACCACCCCCGCCCACCCACCCGGGACCGGCCTTGCCTTGGCCCAGGCCCAGGCCCTGGTGACCGACACCCCCCCCCCACCGGTCCTCGTCGCCTCTCTCTCTCTTTTTTTTAAAAAAAACCGTTGTCCCTCTGACTTCTCTCTCGGGTGTTTTTATACATATATATATAGAGATGTATAGATATATATATGGATGATCTACCTTCCGGACTCTCCCCGGCCGGTTGCGAGGCCTCCGACGAGCCGCCCTGCAGGGAGGAGGAGGAGGAGGAGGAGGGGACGAACTCGGCGGCGTGGACGTTGGGCACGAAGGGCTTGGCGTTGACGTTCAGGCTGGAGAAGGGCGAGTTCACCTGGGCCTCGACGTCGGTGTCGTCCGCCTGTTCCCAGCAGTCGGGGGCGGAATCGGCCACGTCCTTTGAATCCATGGCCGCGGCGACAACGTCGGCTTTTTGTTTTAAAAAAGGAGAGGTTTAATTTTTTTTTTCCCGCCCCCCCCTCCCTCACCACCACCTCCTCCACCACCACCTCTCCCCCTTCTCTCTCTCTTTCTCTCTCCCTCTCTCGCCAAAAAAAATAGAATATAAAAAAATAATAAACGAGAGAAAAAAATAATCGTTTCTCTTTGTTTTTTTTTAAATCTCTCCCCCCCCCCCCTCACCGTCGCCACCCGCCCACCCCCCCTCCCTCCCCGCTTTTTTTTAAAAAAAAATTTAACGGAGGCCTCCTTCTGGCAGTCGAGTTCGCGGGAGTCGGAGGGAGAGGAGAAAGCGGTCGAGCGAGGGAGGGAGGGAGGGAGTGAGGAGACCCCAAAGCCGCCGCCACACTACGGCCCTCGTGGATGTCCCGCAAGAACTGACGCGATAGACTGGTGGCGGTGTGTGTGTGTGTGTGGGAGGGGGGGTGGGTGGTGGTTGAGTGAGCAGAGCCAAGGACGCGCAGCCGCCTCTGCGCACGCGCGCGCCGGCCGGCGCAAGGCGAGCCGGGACCTGTCGTCTCTCCGACGGCGCGAGTCGCGGCTCCCGCCCACGCCCGGCGCCGGGGGAACTACACGTCCCGCAAGCCTCCGCGCGGACGTTTGTGCGCCTGCGTGTGTCCTCCCCCCCGCCCCTCCCCCTCAACCCCGAGTTGGCGGTGCGTCATCCACACGCTTGTCTTCCCCCCCCTCACTCCCTTCCTTCCTTCATCCATCTTCCCTCCCTCTCTCCCTCCCTTCCTCGGAGCTGCGACAGTCCCGTTATTCTTCCCGCTCGATACCGCACCGGATCTGAGAACGAGGAGGGATTAAACGGCGGGCGGTTAAGTCGAATCTAATTTCGGCGGTTGGGGGGTGGGGAAGGAAATGCGGTCATTTTTTTTTTTCGGTGGGCGTTACAATTGGGTCCGGGTTTGCTGCTGCAGCTGCTGCTGTGGGTTCCGGGGCGCAGTTTCCAGATTCGCGGGTGACTCAAAACTTGTTCATATCAGTCGAGTTTTTTAAAAAAAAACCACCAATAATAAATTGGTCGTTTTCAATCCATACGACTGCCTGTGGGAACACTGCTGTGCGCAATCGGCTGCCGCGTTCGCCCACAAGTATACAGTCGATTCACTTTACAGTGGGTTCTGTGAAGCGCTTTGGGACGTCCTCCCGACGGGAAAAGCGCTCTATCAAATGCGAGGATTATTATTATTATTATTATTACAGACGTTTTGAAACTCTCAAACAGGCGCAGGTTGCACACACACACACACACACACGCGCGCACACGTGCACACGTGGGAACTCTCAGTCTGGTTTGGATACTCTGAAAAGCATTGAACCGAAAAAAAAGGGAAGTGTGCAGCCCGCAACCAACCATCCCCGTACCGTATTTTGCACGTCCTCAGACATGACAAATATACGGTCCAATTCACTTTACAGCCCTATTCCGTGAAGCGCTCAGAGACGTCGAGAAGACGTGAAAAGCGCTATATCGAATCAAGCATTCGGTTAAACGATTAATGTGGATTTATAAATAAGATAAGCAATTTAGAAGATGCAGAAATTTTAGCTCTTAAATATCTACCTTCTATATTAATAAAGACAAAATGCCTGTCTTGTGTGTTTGTCGGCCAATAAGCGATTGACGTAGAGACTTGATTTATACCGTATCGGAAAGGTCTTGCATAGGGGAGTGTCGTGGGCATATTTGTGGGGGCTCTCCTATCATTGATGACCTATGACCTAACCCTAACCCTAATTTTTACCAAATTGTGAGCAGATTTGTGGTGCAGTGAACATTAGCAACAAAATTGCAGTTGTATAGGCGCTGAACAGTCAGTGTTTCGGACCCGAGCTCGGGTTCGGGATTGGGGAGTGTGGAGGGCAGGGGGTGAAGCAGGGTAATGGAAAGCACGATTGAAGAGGAGGGTCTTGAAGGAGTCAAGGGAGGGGGCAAGGTGGAAGAGACTGCGGATTGGAGCTCCAGAGGGTGGGGGTAGAGTGGCAGAAGGCCTGCCCATCAACGGTGGGGCGAGGAGGCGGGGGACGTAAAGCAGACCGGAGCCTGCTGAGTGAAGGGAGCAGGTAGGATGGTAGAGGGTTAGGAGGTTGCATGGGTAGCGGGGAGCAAGAACATGGAGGGCTTTCAAGGTGAGAACCAGGATCTTGAACTGTATCTTCTGTGTGATGGGAAGCCAGTGGATTCGGGCAAGGATGGGGGTGATGGGGTCGTGGAGCCTGGTGCGGGAGAGTACACGGGCTGCAGAGTTCTAGATGATCTGATGCCTATGGAGGGAGGAGTTGGGCGACCGACAAGCAGTGAGTTTGCATAGTCAAGCCTCAATGTAATGAAAGCGTGTATGAGGGTTTTGGTGGCCTGCTGTGTGAGACTGCGATGCTGCGGAGGTGGAGGAAAGCAGAGTGGGTCATGGCACGAAAATTCTTTTTTAATTATTAAAATTATTAAAATTGTGGAGTCCTGTAGCTCAGTGGTTAGAGCACTCGCTTTGCAAGTGAGAGACCTGAGTTCAATTCCAGGCAGAGGGCGAAACCTTGGGCAAGTTTCCTTACTCCACACAGAGCCTAATAATAATCCCTCCAAAACAAAAAACAATAATAAATTGGTCATTTTCAATCTACGACTGTTTGTGGGACATTGCTGTGCGCAATTGCCTGCCGCGTTCGCCCACAAATATACAGTCAATTCACTTTACAGTGTGTTCTGTGAAGCACTTTGGGACGTCCTCCCGACGTGAAAAGCGCTATATCAAATGCAAGGATTATTATTATATTATAAAATTATTTTTTATTGCACTCTTAGAGAGGCAATAACAGTAATCTACTGTATGTAGGATGCTCCAATTAAGTATTTACAAATATCTTGTTCTTAGCCCTCAAGATTCAAGAGTTTAAGTGGAGCTTATTTGCACACTTTGTTTAAAAATATACACAAACTTTAGCTACATGTCTGCAACAAGTTATCTTTAGTGTTGATATCAGAAAACATCAATCCTTTTTTGATACTGCCACAAGTCAGAATCACTTAACTCACAATTTCATGTCACAGGATATCATATAAAGTTTTATGACTGTGTGTATTTTTTAGGCAAATTAAACGCATGTGTACTTTATTCGTGCACCTTAAAGTTACCAAAGATATCCACGTTTGGCTACATTGGCTGCAACAAGTTATCAGAAAACATCGGTACTTAATTATGTTGATACTGTTGAGTCCCAGCAAAAAAAATAATTTGTCTGTGTGGGCAGTTTCCCCACTGCTGGATTAAGCAATAGTTTATTTGAGCCACATCCTGAATTCCACTGCATTGGATGTGCTGACATGACCCTAATGACAGTGGAGTCACAGGCACCTGTAACCTTATCAGCTGGGTTAACAAACAACAGATAATTGGTGCAGTGTAGAACAGACTTTATGTGATCTAGTAGCTGGAACACTGGATCTGTAGTAATATTTTCAAAGAGCATATTTACACTATCTCTGTACGCATCTTGAGATGGACTGTGCTGAAGGATTGAAAATGTGTCATAGATTTTTAAAACCAATTGCAGTAATAATGTAGTCTTGACAGTGTACTATTTGAATAAGAAAGCACTTTCCAGATGCATAGAATATGTTCTTTGTGCTACAAGACAGGGTTTAGGGAGATGATTCAGCAAGTTTATCCATTGAGCAGATGAGTCATATTGATTGGGACTGTTCCAGGTTGAATTTCCAGTTGAGGAGTTGGCAGATTGCAGCCTGGATGGTCAGTTTGAGTGGTCAGTAAGGACTACCTTAGTGGTCAGTAAGGACGACAATTTGCCTTAGCATCCCAAAGAAGGAATGAAGAAAATCAGTCAAGAGTTTCCACTCCATTGGCTGTTCGGTTAGATGTGCACATGCGGTGGTCTCGAATGAGGGCAGGACCAGGCTGAAGTCAACAATGCCCCGACCCCACACCAACCCACTCCCCCACTCTCCATAGCTGAATAAGTGCTTTGAGACTTCCTGCTTTGGGTTTCACATAAATGAAGGCCACTTGGCTGCGATGCTGAAAGAGTAATGTATAAAACACCTTTAGGAAACAAAAGGAAGATTAGTGAAGAAAATTGGTAAGAAAATAAAAGGCTGCTTCTGTTAGGATGTTTGCAAACCCAAACAAAATTTCTCTGCAATACTTTTTTTAATGGTATTATATGTTATAATATGGGGGACAAAGGAATTGGGATTAAGATAGATGGCTTCTTAAGGAGCAAACACCAACATGAACAAAGGACAAAATGGGCTCCCACTGTGGCATACATTTCTGCATATGACATTCATGGTAAGGCCACATTTTAAATATTATGCAAATTTCGAACAACTTGACTACAAAAAGATAAATAATGTTTCAGATAGGATTAAGAGGAAAAACTGCAATGAACAATTCCAAGAGTTGAATTTGGTTTCATTTGAGAAAAGAAGGTTCAGAGGGAAAGGGACATGAATCATATCTTTAAAGTGCAGATAAATATCATAAATAGCGAGAAACAAAATAGTTTTAAATAATGCAGTTATGTGGATGAATGAATACTCTTTTTTTTTCTTGATTACCTTTGGAGATCAATGAGTATCTATGCAGAACGTTCCCAGATTATTTTGCATGGAGCGGAGTAGACTTTGTGATTATGTGAAAGAGCAAATGTGATTTTCTTTCTAGGTCTACCCTTTCTTTTGTTCTTATGGCTATTAAAATTTACTGCAGTGCAGCAATGTTGAATGTATATTATTACATTCCAGAACAAGTGGGAAACTGACATTGTGCAGCCATCTGAGATTATGTCTTCAAGACAGTGCAACACACCAGTTTTGTGATTAGCCTACTTTTTAAGACCGTTACCATAGTAACCACACTGAGTTCAAAGGATCGTCTCTCAAAGTGCCAACCAGCGAAGGAAATGAAATTCAGTCTTATCGAGCTTATATTTTCATCAGTGCTAATAGTCTTATCATTGCGAAAATTGTACCATGTCTCTACAAAGTAAATGTATTTCTTGATGCACTAAGCAATCTCAAGACTGAGATTGATAGATTTCTTGTGGATAAAGGGATTAAGGGATATGGGGATAAGGCGGGTAGGTGGAGTTAGAATAGATCAGCTATGATCTCATTGAATGGCGGGGCAGGCTCGAGGGGCCGAATGGCCTCCTGCTCCTAATTCTTATGTTCTTATGTAAATAAGATGCATGTCCTAGGTACGACCTGGCTGACAAGTATATTTAAGGATGTATTTTTGAGCACGTGCAGAAAGTTACAGTGCTTTTTTGTAGCAATAGAAAACAAAATCAACTCCAGTAATTTTTTNCTGCGAGAGCCTGTGAGCAGGCTGAGGGTCCTTTCTGCTCAGAGGACCATGAATGGGAGGACATCCCAAAAGAGCTTGACAGTGTTGGCTGGCCACCCGAGTTAGGGATGGGAGCCAAGAGGAGGCGGGGAAAGGAAAGATGACCACAGATGGTCACCACTCAAAGAGGTAACGTCTTGAGAATTAAGTAATTAATTTATAATCCCTGAATTTTCTCTGCTATGTAGCAGGGTTGCGTGATAAGATTTTTTAAAAAAAGTTATATATATTTAATGGTAATGTTTTATTTGTTGCATTGCAGGAAACGACAAGCACACAACCTTGTAACATAGCAACCATTTTGAGACATCATCCAATGCAGTGGTTACATGCTGGTAATACCATTGATTTCTTTTTTGGTCAACCAGGTTAGCTAGTTATCTGACTCACGCAGAAACTCATCAGCATAAAACACATCCATAGTTTTATTGAGTGCTTTGAAACAACTGGAAGGTGTGATAAAGGCACTATATCAAATGCAAAGATTATTATTATAAATAATAAATTCATCAGTGCAAATAGTCTTAAATTGCACAAAGAAGGAGCTTCAGCTGATTTGTCTGTGCCTGCGGTGGTGCTTGGATTCTGATGAAATATTATAAGTAAAAAGTGAGTTGAAATAAAGTAGTAAAAGCCGATGTACATTTGTAACAATAGAAATAATGACAAAAAGGAAGACGAATGGAGAAGAAAAGGATGAAGAATAAAGGAGAGAGAGAGAAAAGATAGAAACTGTGGCTATCTTGCTAAAGACTCACTTCAACAACAGGCACTTGTATCAGCATATTGAACCAGAAGGGAAGGCAAGTCAATGTCATCATTGCAGAAGAACATAACAGTTTCTGGACATAATAATAATACTTGTGTTTGATGTAGCATACTTATCAGGTGGCGAACTGCTCAAAGCGCTTCACAAGATTTACTGCATTTTGTAAGCAAACACAGCAGCCAATTTGCACACAGCAGTTTCCCACAAACAGCCTTGAAGTGAATGGCCAGTTTTATACGGGGGATTGTTGGCCAAGACACCAGAAGAAACTCCTCTTTTCGAATGAAACAATTTCGTACACTCATATTAAAAATATTGTTTACTAATGCAGTCTGGTGCACCATAACTGAAAGGGTAAGATTGTATGTGAGGTCTTTCACCATCCTATTAGCCTATTTTTCCCGATTTGACCAAAAGAGATGGTAGGAAAAATAATTGACGTTTTATGAGTTTGAACCCAGATGGTTTCCAGGAACATGGACAGAGTTGGAAAGAATTGTAACAAGCTACCAACGTCTCCTGCATGTTCAAGCAACCCTGGGACAGCGAGGGATGGTGAACTGTACATGTAAACAAACTTTGGGTAGAGTGCCAGATGGCAAAGTTCCACAGTGTCTTCCAAAGTACCAGTTGAGGAAGCTTTGAAGCCAGGAGAAGTGGTGAGTGAAGCGATGCCATTTGTATTGAGTGCAGGCCTTTGGATACTGATGTGCATCACCGTTTCTGGCATGGTCACTGACTGTTGGCTGAACAAGGCTTAAATTTAAGGCTATGAAGTATGGAGAGAAAAAGGACAGTTGTGTGTGTTTTTTTGTAAAAATGTAGAAACACTAATTAACTCATTAAATACATTAGCGTGAAATTTGCGGTGTTCACTAATCTAATGTTGGTGTTAATCATTGAACTCCAGAAATTTGTACCTCATGAGTTAATTAACTCATATTTCATGAACAGGTACACATCTTATAATAAAGTGTTCTGCTGTTTGGTGAGAGCTTGAGCTGGATGATTCTGCTTATTACTGTATGTTTTGGAAAGTAGATTGATATAGTAACCGTCTTGTTGTAGAGGTAATAGGTTCCAGGCTGGGAACTGATTTTGACTTCTTCATATTATTTTCAGCAGACTTCTTTGTGAAGACCTCACTGATGTGCCTTAGCTAACCTTTACAGCATATTCTGTGAAGCGCTTTGAGACGTCTAGAAGACGTGAAAAGCTCTATATCAAATGCAAGGATTATTAATATTATTATGATTACCAATTTCAGTGGAGGCCCATAGCTACAACAACTAATTATTTTGAATAACCTCTTGGACTCATTTTACTGTTCTGTTCATAAGTGGCAGATGCTCAGAACTCCTCAGAGAATTCATGATATTGAAAAAAGAACTCAATCCTGGAACACTGAATTGCAGACAATGTGCCAATCCACAATACTTCAGGCATCAACAGGAGGGTAGAGAGGTTAGACCAGACTGACTGGGTTATTGAACTTTTATATGTGAAATTAATGGAATTGTATTACATTTCTGCACATATCCTTACTTATTATAATAATAATAATCCCTCCAAAAAAACAAAACAGTAATAAATTGGTCATTTTCAATCCATGACTGTTTGTGGGACATTGCTGTGCGCAATTGGCTGCCGCGTTCGCCCACAAATATACAATCAATTCACTTTATGGTATATACTGTGAAGCGCTTTGAGACATCTCGAAGACGTGAAAAGCGCTATATCAAATGCAAGGATTATTTTATTATTACATTAGAGGACTGTTCATCTTGAGGAGAGGGAGGAGAGCTAAATCATTGTGGCCTTTAAGAGGAGTGGGGAATGTTAACAGTGTTAAACACTACAGACTATAGCTGTCTTTGCATTACCATAATTATATGTTTGGCAGATTCTGTCATATCTGATTTTGGGCAGGGGAGGGTAAACTGAATTTGTTGACACAGACACTGGAATTTTGTGTTAGCAAGGATACGAAGCCTTGTAGATGCTTTTGTGATTTTATCCAGGCTGCATAACAGCTTCCCAGTTAAATTCCTTCACCTCCCACCATTTCTTTTATGAATCCCTTCAATCTGGTTTCAGTCCTGACCACAGCATTAAGACGGTCCTCGTGTTTAGTTCAAGACATCAAGACTGACTTCAGGACAAGGTGAAATGAGACACTCTGAGCCATTACTCCACTTCAGTGGTGTTATGTAAATGCAAGCTGCTGTTGTAGGTGACCTATTTCTTTGCTGGTTCCTTGACAGGGAGGATGAAGAGACACCAGAAAATATATCTTTACATGCAAGATAATGAACAGCTGGAACGGATTACCAGGATGTTGAACTCCTAAGACTTTAAGAAACAATTTGATGTTGTAAAGGGAAGATGATAGGGTCGGTATTTTGAAAGGATGAGATCATATGGCCGAAGTGTCTTTTTTTGAACCTTGGGATCGCACAAAAGCAACATATTAGCTGGCATTGCTGGTTGACTTAATTAGGACCTATTCTGTTCTGGACTGTCCGCTGTAGGACAATCTTTGTTTGCAGCTGGAGGAAAACTTTTTTTCTCGCCTTCCCCGACTAAAGTCAAATCAATCAAAACACTTGTATTCTATGAGGGCTGCTGGAATACGACATGGCAGTACTGCTGTAAAAATAAAAGTGGCGCTGAGATCGGAGGAAAGGTTTATAACCTCTCCCATCGCTGAGCGGTCAGATACTTCCACTTTCCAATGAATTGTTCCCAGTCCGCAGTTTAGCTGCCACTCATATCTTTGAGTTGTCAACCAGAGATCCTGCGAAGAGCTTTGAGGCGTATCAACGACCTGATAAGGCACTATATCAAAATGCCAGGATTATAATTATTAGTATTGTTTTTGTCCACTTTGGATGTGCAGTAGCGAAAGGGGCTGTTTTGAGTGGAGCTTCACCAATGATCTGCACACGAGATGGCGCTGTATGATAAGCCCTTGAGCTTCAGGATCTTGCAATAGAACATCTCTGAACAGTGCACAAAATAACCCATTGCAGTGAGCTAATTATATATATATATATGACTATTGTACTCAAAATGTAGAGAACTCTGACCCATCACTGGATTCCTCTGGACTTGTGTGCACTTGCTGAGTTAAATCCCACAATTGAAAACAAATTGCTCCTTGCTCAAGATTTCATGTTTTTTTTTGGGGGGAAGGGTTATTAAACTGGTGAGATTTTTTGGGGGAGAACTCCTGGTTTGATCAGCCCAGAGAGAGAGATAGAGAGAGTTTGTGTGTGTGTGTGTGTGTGGGGGGAACCTATTTAACCCCCTTTCTCAGTCTGATTGTGAATGCAGATGTATTTCTTGCTGCTCGGTTTAGGCATTTACATTTCGTTCAAACTTCACATTCAAATGCTCAGCCTCCAGGGAAGCCGCGGGGGAAATCCCTCTGCCCATTCGCAAATGACTAACACATTTGCCTGCTGGTTCCTGTCACCCACCTATTGCAGCTCTGCCGACTTGTCTCTGGTGAGAGAGTATCGGTGCCCCGAGTTATCAGAGGGCTCTGTGTGTGTGTGGGTCTGTGCGTTACTTGTCAGAATGGCTGGTCCGTGCGCCAAGAATTCGTACTTTGATCAGCTAACGAGCGCCTGCGAACTCTGCGAACTTCGCTGCTCAAACCTCCAGTCACAACCTGCGGCTTGCAAGGGTTTCACCTGCAACAGTAAGTGCGTCAGTCTGACTGCTTGTGTGTGTGTGGGGGGGGTATACGTGTGTACATGTGTGTGTGTGTGTGTGTGTGGGGGGGGGATATATGTGTGTACATGTATGTGTGGGTATATATGTGTGTGTGGGTATATGTGTGCGTGTGTATATGTGTGTGTGTGGGGTGGTATATGTGTGTGTGGGTATATGTGTGTGTGTGGGGGGGTATATGTGTGTGTGTGTGGGTATATGTGTGCGTGTGTGTGGGGGGATATATGTGTGTGTGTGTGTGGGTATATGTGTGTGTGTGGGGTATATGTGTGTGTGTGGGGGGGTATATGTGTGTGTGTGTGGGTATATGTGTGTGTGTGTGGGTATATGTGTGTGTGTATGGGGGGGGTATGTGTGTGTGTGGGGGGGGTGTTATGTGTATGGGGGTATATGTGTGTGCGTAAAAAAAAGGGGAAAAAAAAGTCTTCGTGTGGTTGCCACTTTTTGTTGGAATACTTTTGTTAGTGAATGTGCTGGTGAAGATTAAGGGCTGGTGTGTGTGTGTTTGTGTGTTTGTGAGTGTGTGTGTTTGTGAGTGTGTGTTTGAGTGTGTGTTTGTGAGTGTGTGTTTGTGAGTGTGTGTTTGAGTGTGTGTTTGTGAGTGTGTGTTTGTGCGTGTGAGTGTGTGTACAGCGAAGTGTGTGAAACCAGAAGTTCCGTTTGTGCGTGTGCGAGTGTGCCATTCATTCCTGTGTGCAAATCTATACGCAGCGAGAACACGTCTGTGCGCCAGAATTAGTCTGTGAAACAGTAATTGCCTAAACCTGTTGGAAGCTGCAGCATTAATGCCGCTGTTACCTTACCCTGAGCTGCTCTTCTCCATCAGTGCTGGAAAGCAAAAAAAAAAAGCGAAGTTATCCAGTCGAAGGAAGCAAATGATTTGATTTCTAGAGTGTGAATATCGAACCAGACGACAGAGGATTAAAAATAACGAGGCTTGAGTGACATCGATCTAATGAATCTTTCTCATGACTTGCGTCAGTTTTCTTCTGTTTAGAATAGTTCGCATTTTGTCCCTCTGCCTCGCAGATCAGTGAACACAGAAATGGTTCGTCTGAATTTTAACGTGACTTGCTGACTGGGGTGGAAGTGTCATTGTAGTTTCGAAGCCAAGTTTCTGATTGAACAAGTTGAGGAAGTACAGTATTCCAAATTTAGGAGAACCTGTTTTTGAGCCAGATAAACGTTTAAAAAGTTCCCACCTCAGCCAGAACTTGAGTATCAGATTCCATGTCTTTTTTTTTTCATGGGGGTGATGGTGGTGGGGAAAGAGAGAGAGAGAGAGAGAGAGAGAGAGAGAAACCTCCAGCGACTCAGTTCAGAAGTGGTTACCAGCAAAATGGTTACGAAGTCACATTGGAAGAGAGGGCTTGGTACCAGGTTCCTCTTGGCAAGAGAGCCGTAGATCAAAGTGGTGCATTTTGAAATGAGAACAAAATATTCTGTAAAAATTTACCCCAAATCAGGACTTTGAGCTCACAGTCTAGTGAGTGGTGCAATGATAGAGATATTGTCCTTGGGTGGAGATGTTATACTAAGCTCCCATCTGCCTGTTCAGGTGGACCTTAAATATCACACAGCACTATTTGAAAAGGGAAGAAGTGTCTCCTGGTGTCCTGGCCAATAATCTCCCAAATAATATTGGCCACTCACTTCACAGCTGTTTGTGGGACATTGCTGTGTGCAAATTGGCTGCCCTGTTTGCTGATAAGTACACCTTAAATAAATCTCGTGATTTGTAGTTGCATGAAATAAAGTTACCACAGAAATGAAATAAAACCGTAAATCTTGTGAAGTGCTTTGAGACATCTCGATGGCATGATCAGGCATTATATGAAATGCAAAGGCAGGGATTATTATTAGATGACTGAGGCCGTAAGTGAATCAAATGGTTTAAGAAAATAAGTTTAAACAGGAAGTGAGCACATTTAAAAATTCCAAGAACTTTTCGCTCAGTAAAACTATTAGTCACTTTCAAACAGGGGTCTGGGTCATAAATGTTCAGAAATGTAAAATTCTACAAAGATTAACATTTAAGTCAATTCTTCAAATCTAAAAATACATCATAGATAGATATCATGTAATATGGTGAATCTGGGTTTCGGCACTGACTATCCAGCATCCTGTCCTAAAAAAATGGCTGATATTTGGTTCGTCACGTGGCCATTGAAGTCGCTTTCTGCATTCTGCATATGATCGCCGTACACAGGAAACGCTGCTAATATCGCTTAACAAATGAAGCGACGTCAGTGGCGACATGATCATTCGGAAGTGGGCCATTTTTCGCAACTTGCTTATAACACGGTAGAGTGGTAGAGTACAATCTAAAATAGATTTATTTTACCAATACTTGCAACAAATGTGCAGCATTGATAACTCAACTACTGAAGATTGAAGATGTGTGCTTACACTTTTAGTTTAGTACAGAAAATTTGTAGGCTTTGGGATAAGAACGGGGGAGTGGGTTTAGTTGGTAGCTCTTTCAAAAAGTCGGCACAGGCACAGTGGGCCAAATGGCCTCTTTCTCTGCTGTAAGATTCTATGATCCTAAGAGTAGGTAACTTAATTAATATTGTGTCATTTCAGACTTATTTATATCATTTTAATGGAAATTTAAGGGATATTTGATCTGTGATGTTTCACACATCAGAATGTCACAGTGGTAGAGTATCACATTGGTCAAACAGGCTTTGTCCAGATTGAGTTGTCTGATAACAATGTAGAACAGTTAAGAATGAGAGCAGTTTGATTTTCTTTTTGAAGCATTACACTGTTGGTTTTATGTATCTTCCCCGTCTTATGATGGGAAGTCAGAACTAATTTTATCTGTAAAAGACCAGGAGTGAGAGTTAAGACTATTAGTAATACAGTACATCAGTTTCTGGTAGTTGTTTGCAAAGAAAAAAACTAGTGGTTAAATGTATATTACTCACCAGTAGCATTATCACTTGACGTCAAGAGCTTCACACTTGTGTTCAAATCCCTTTACTCCCTGGCACCTCCCTAACTCTCTGAACTCCTCTCTCCCCAATCCACCACCCGGCGCCTCCGCTCGACTGGCACTGGCCTCCTGCTCGTCCCTCGCACCCTCCGCCCCACCATTCAGGGTTGCGCTTTCAGCCACTACGCCCCGAAACTCTGGAACACTCTCCCTCAATCCCTCCGCCTTCTCTCCCCCTTTCCAAGTCACGGCTGAAAACCTTCCTCTTTTACCGTCCTTATCGTCGCCTCCCTCCCCCACCCCGGCTCGGAGTCAGGCTCCATCACTGTTAAGCGCTCTGAGACGCTACCCTGTGTGGAGGACGCTATATAGCAAGTTGTTGTTGATATATAAAACAAATAGCAAAGGGATTTTTTTAGTCCCAATCTAAAAATGATTTGGGTTGCGGTTTGCCTGTTTGGAACTCACAAGAGCGGTTTGGTTAAAGAAAACCCTTTCAGAATATTTATTTTACGAGCCTCTCACTGCAGCTTCAAACTATTTCTTACATTAATCCAGCAACCTGGCCTCGGAACCAAATTAAGATAGCCCGACTATTTATCTCAGAATATTTACAGTCCAAAAATTTATGGATGCAAAACCTCGGTGACAAAGTTGAACTAATCCCTGTGTTAGTCAGTCTCTCAATAATTTCCTTTTAATGTATAATTTGAATTAGACCCAATAGGGGTTGGTTTGGGTCACCGTGGAGATTTGTCAGTATGGTAGAAAATCTAAAACTAATTTAGGGAGCCAAAATGCTAGTGGTGAAATGAAAGGGATCGAAGATCAGTGTCGCACTTGGAGTGATCAGGGCAACCCCATTATAACGCTGTTGTTTGCATCTGATATCTCCAAGGCTAAATTATAATGAAACACGAAAAAAAATAGCTGAGGTTGTAAAGTTGCCACTGATGTCATCTCATGCATGGAAGGTGTGCACAGGAAGTGCTGCTGATGTTACTTCCCGAGCCCTCTGCCTGCATACAATGTCCCACTTCCTTCCTGAAGCTATGTCAATATGGCTTCCAAGTCACCCAATCTGGAGTGACCGGGTGGCTGGATGCTCACTATTTTTTAACGCAAGAAGCTATCTCGTCAGCGCTGGAAGCTCGGTATACTGTGCTTCCACAGTAGACCTCAAAGCACACCTGAACTCAATTGGGTGCGTTCCAACACAGCCAATTTATATATGTCAAATGTAAATATGCAGTGAATTGTGAGGGGGTAGACGGTGAAGCAGAGGTGTAGTTACCTTTACACTATGTCTCTTTAATTTAATTTTATTTCACAATGTTGAGTAAGATATACTTTCAGAAGATCGTTATCTGGATTGAAACCACTGCTGTATCTACAGTACCTTGAAGTCTGCAAAACAGATGTAGAAATGAGTGTTACACACGTTTGTGTCATAACTGTGACCTTTGCAACGCTTCTGCTTTTGCGTCTGATATTATTGGTCTTTCTCACAGGAATATGTCATCCGATTTTTTGACATTAACGACAAATCATGTATTTGGATTCTTTTATGCCACTATATCTATTAATATGGAAACTGTCCCATCAGATCCCTTTTAAAAATATCTTCCTCATTATTATTTTCAATATAAGGTTTATTTTAATTTTTGGTGATTTTGTTTGAATATTTTATGTAAATGGTGTTTCCTGGAGAAATGGATGTAAGGAATTCCTAAACCCAGTAGTGTGATCAATCTGAATTAATCAACTCAGCATAGGTTACTCAAAGCCATTTGAAGTACTCGTCATTTATTATGCACCTTAATTCAACGCTAATTCAACAAATTCAACGAAATAAGTGCAAAGTCCTGACATGAGGCTTGAACCATAACCAACAGAATCAAGTTGACACCAGATACAACAAATACACTGGCCTTGGAGGAATTAAATTGGGAGTTACATTACCCTAATTGGACATGTTTTAGCAGGCAAATCAAGAACTCTATTAGTGGAGACAGGGTGACATGTCTCTTTCCTACCCTCTCAATAGGAAATCATTGGGAGATCTAAAACAAGGGCAGGGAAGCAATTCATGACCAATTTGGTAAGAGACAGACAGACGATGTTACAAGAAAACATACATAGAAGATTGATTGTAAATTCTGCATTCTCATGATTGTGTATCTAATTATTTTAATGTATGTTTTGCCTTCCATGAGCTACACTGTGAGATAATTACAATATACCCAAATAATGATGCAACATTGGGATCTTTCACTTCAGGAGGAGATGCCAAAATCTCTTCTATATAAGTATATTTATTCATTTATACTTTTTGTTAAACCCACAGGTGCAGCTGTATCGTCGACACCAACGCTGGGTGACGAAACAGCTAAAATCTTCTGGATTATCATTGCGTTACTTCCATTGTTAAGTGTAACAGTGCTTCTATTAATTGTTGTGATACAAAAACTGCATCAACAAAAAGAAAGTGCGGCCTTTAAATCTACAGGTAAGTACTGGGAATAAAAAATGTAGTCACTCAATCCACGACTGTTTGTGGCACACTGTTCGGAGCAATTGCCTGCTGCATTTCACCCACAAAATATACAGTCAATTCAGTTTATAACATATATCTAGAACAATATGCTGAAGAACCAACCAGGGAACAGGCTATCCTAGATCTTGTTTTGTGTAATGAAATAGGGCTAATCAGCAATCTGGAAGTTAAGGCTCCTGTAGGGCAGAGTGACCATAACCCTGATGGAATTTAACATTAAGTTGGAGAGTGATATAGTTGAATCCAAAGCAAGGGTCTTAAATTTAAATAAAGCCAACTTTGCTGGTATGAGAGAAGATTTGACTAAAATAGACTGGGAAATTAGATTAAAAAATAGGACGGTAGACCAGCAATGGCAAATGTTTAAAGATATAATACATAATTCCCAGCGATTACATATTTCCATGAAAAATAAAAATACCACAGGAAAAGTGGTTCAACCTTGGCTAACTAGAGAAGTTAGGGAAAGTATAAAATTAAAAGAAGAGGCCTAGAATACTGCCAAAAAGAGCAGTAAACCTGAGGATTGTAAGGGCTTTAGAGAACAGCAAAGGATAACCAAGAAACTGATTAAGAGGGAGAAAATGGAATATGAGGGTAAACTAGCTAGAGATATAAAGACAGATTGTAAGAGCTTTTACAAGTACATAAAGAGGAAGAGACTATCAAAAATGAATGTGGATCCATTACAGGCAGAAACAGGAGAAATTATAATGGGGAATAAAGAAATGGCAGAGTCACTAAACAAATTTTTTGCTTCTGTCTTCATGTTAGAGGACACTGAAAACTTACTGAAAATAGAGGGGAACCTGGAGGCTAATGTTAATGAGGAACTTAAAGAAATGAACATCAGCAAAGCAATAGTACTAGAAAAATTGATAGGATTAAAAAACAATAAATCCCCTGGACCTGATGGCCTGCACCCTAGGGTTTTAAAAGAAATGGCTGCAGAGATAGTGGATGCCTTGCTTTGATCTTCCAGAATTCCCTGGATTCTGGAATGGTTCCCTTTGATTGGAAGGTCGCAAACGTAATGCTGCTATTTAAGAACGGTGGGAGACAAAAAATGGGGAACTATAGACCAGTTAATCTGACATCGGTGGAAGGGAAAATTGTAGAGTCCTTAATTAGGGAAGTCGTGAGGTACTTAGAACATCATAACATGATTAGGCAGAGTCAACATGGCTTTACGAAAGGGAAATCATGTTCAACAAACCTTTTTGAGTTTTTTGAAGATGTAACTAGCAGATTAGATAGGGGGGAATCAGTAGATGTGGCGTATTTGGATTTCCAGAAGGCAATCGACAAGGTGCCACATAAAAGGCTGTTGCATAAGATTAGAGCCCAGAGCCCATGGAATTAAAGAAAACATATTAGCATGGATGGAGAGTGGCCAACAGGAAGAAAACAGAGAGTAGGGATAAATGGGTCCTTCTCAGATTGGCAGGGTGTGACTAGTGAAGTGCCACAGGATCAGTGCTTGGGCCTCAATTATTCACAGTCTACATCAATGACTTAGATGAGGAAATAGAACCTAACATACCTAAATTCACGGATGATACGAAGATAGACAGGGGAGTAAGCTGTGAGGATGACACACGAAGAATGCAAAGAGAAATAGACAGGCTAGATGAGTGGGCAAGAAGGTGGTAGATGGAGTTTAACTTGGGGAAGTGTGGAATTATTCACCTAGGTAGAAAAAATGGAAAAACAGATTATTTTCTATAGGGGGAGAGACTAGGTAGTGTTAGTGTTCAGAGGGATTTAGGTGTCCTTGTACACCAGTCACAAAAAGTTATTATGCAGGTACAGCAAGCAATTTGGAAGGCTCATGCCATGTTGGCATTCGTTGCAAAAGGGTTAGAGTACAAGAGTAGGGAAGTCTTGCTGCAGTTGTATAAGGCCTTGGTGAGACCAGACCTAGAATATTGTGCGCAGTTTTGGTCTCCTTATTTAAGAAAGGACATACTCACCTTAGAGGGGATGCAGCATAGATTCACTAGGTTGGTTCCTGGGATAAGGGGGTTGACCTATGAAGATAGGTTGAGTAAACTAGGCCTATATTTTCTAGAATATTAGAAGAATTAGAGGTAATCTTATAGAAACCTATAAGATTCTTAACAGTCCAACAGGGTAGATGCCGTGATCTTCCCTGGTTGGAGAATCTAAAACAAGGGATCATAGGCTCGAGATTAAGGGTCAGCCTTTTCAAACTGAATTGAGGAAACATTTCTTCACTCAGAGGGTGGTGAATTTATGGAATTCTCTACCTCAGAGGCTGTGGATGCTCAGTCCTTGAACATATTCAACACTGAGGTTGATAGATTTCTAAAAGATAGAGGGATTAAGGGATATGGGGATAGGGCAGGTAAATGGAATCAAGTTAGAAGATCAGCCATGATCTTATTAAATGGCGGGGCAGGCTCGAGGGGCTGAATGGCCTACTCCTGCTCTTACATCTTATCGTCTTATATTCTGTAAAGTCCTTTGAGACATCTCGAAGATGTGATAAGGTGTTATATTAATTGCAAGGATTATTATAATTATTGGAGTAAAAATAAACAAGTAAAGGAATATCATGACTAACAATAAGGCTGGAGAAATGAAAAATGTATTTTTTTAGTTAGTTTGCTCATTAAATTTATAGGATTGCAATTTTCTACTGAACATCTCTCAATTGTAAGTGTGTGTGCAATTTTAAATGGCAATAGAAGTGATTTGCACAGGATGTGATCTACGACAATCAGAAAAGAGCCGGGAAAAAATTTCCCTTGAATGTGTCAGTCAGATCAAACTATGATATCTGTAATTGGGTGTCTGAAGATAACAATCATCACTGATTATATAACTGATGGTTTGGAGTAATTTGATTCTCACAGAATTTGGTCATCCTTTGCATTGCCATTGTACATTGTCCATAAATGATTTTATTTTTAATGGATACCTGAGGTATATAGTCTTATTTTTAATAATCAGAATGTGTAAGTTAAAAAAAATTCAGATGCTAATTTGAAAGATCAATGAATGTGAAGTAGACTATCACAGCACCGTCAATGATAAGATTATAAATATATGATTAAAAGGTGCATGTTTCCCAATTTGTATTTGGATGACAATTATTTCGATTTTCAGTATCTGTTTATCCATACTTAAATCTGCAGAGATCACAGTGGATAGAAATATCATTGTCGCAAGTATCGTGGAAAATGGCTTGGCTGAAGAGGTGACCGATGACGTGCAGGAATATCCCACAGAAAGGATTCGACAATCGGAAAAGTTTCTCCAGAGTAATGCCACCAATTGCACATCTCCAGAAAATCAAATGAAGGACTTTATACATTCTACTCAAAGCAGTGGTGGCTATGATGCTACTTTTCCTTTACCGGCTACTGAAGAAGGATCCACAGTCCTCGTCACAACCAAAACCATGGAATGGTGTGGCTATCAAAAGGTTTAGCCATTCCAGCAATTAAACCATTTTTTTTTGTCTGGAAAATTGAATTTGATGTTGTGCCTTATCGCGTCGTTGAAATTTTGTGTCACAGGATTTAACTGTGAAGTGTAATGATTGTGTCTGTGTGGGATTATTGCATTTTATTGTAAAGTGACGGTCAAACATTATGCATAAATTTTATATCTGAACCAACATCTGCAGAAATGATGAAGAAATTAGTGTAAATATTAGTCTGCATTTTGATACCAGTTGATTGTCACAAATACAGGAGTTGATGGAGAGTAAGACATTATACAACACTTTGAATTCTGCTTTCATTGGAGCTCTTATGTACTTGGCTCACAGAGCGCTTTGAATTGGTTTTCTGATTGTGCTCTTCCATCCCACTGTGTTTTCAACCTCATTTGTATTGCTACAGAATTGAATAGAATGACGGTGCAAGTATGGAACAAGAAGACCATCACACTCAACTATCCTGCTCATTCCACTAATTATGCTGCAATCTATCCTGACAAGGACTCTAGCCTCTGTCTCATTTAATCTCCTGAATGACAATGTGAGATGCTCCCGTTACCAAAATGTAATCAAATCAAAAAAAATGTATCTCAACAATGCAATTCAACCTGGCTGACTGCTCCTAGCAGTTGATCATGGATGCTAGGACACTTCAGTCTTGCTCCTAACCAGATATTTATCCAACTTTTTTTTAAAAAGGAATGAACTTACATGGAATTGCTTTACATAATGTTTGCAGTGAATCACGTTTCCTTATGCACTGTTCTGTGGTGGAAAAAAGAGTCACATCAGTCACATTGCTTTTATAAGCGGTCAATTCATAATAGGATTGATGGAGAAATGGCATACATTGATCTTGAGAATAGTTGAGACATGGATCAGAGTCAAAAAGGGGAGAAAATTACTTGAAAAGAAAAGTATCTAACCGCTTAGGAAATGGTGACACGCACATCTGGTTTCATCAAATGTCAATTAATGTGTCGATCTGTGAAGTGGGACCACATTAGGGGGGTGTTAATTGCGTTGATGAATCTTACATTATGGTATAATGATAACTGGAAATGATTGTTCAAGGTGCATTTTTAAAACAATTCTCAGTCATAGTTGCCCCCAGTTATCAACACTGATTATTAAATCACTTTGTACTGTATCAAAAAAATTATCTTGACATTTTAGACTGCGTCTGTAACGTGTGATGGAATTCAATCAATGCACCTTACATCCAAGCTAAAGGTTAACAGCAAAGTGTGACCGCTGGAAATCTGAAATGAAACAAAAAAATGCTGACAATGCATTGATCAGTATCAACAGCTTGATCAGTATCTGAAATTCAACCACCTTTTGTGGACTTTCGAGTAACCAGAGATAATCGCAACATGAAGATGGAGAAGAAAAGAAGGAAGGAAAAAGGAGACAAGAAGGACAGAAACTGGGAATCTTGCTGAAGGCTCACTTCAAACTTCAAACACTTGTATCAGTATATTAAACCCAGAAGGCAAAGAGAACGTTTGTGCACGAAAAACAGAACTGATTCCAGATAGCAGTTAAACTGTCATCTGATTAAATAGGTCACGTGTCTGCACTTTAATGTCATGCAAAACCAGTTGAAGAATCGAGGCTGAATGGATATTTCTGTTTCCTTATTATTGCAGGCACATAAATGAACTGTTCGCAGGGACTGATTGATACTGATAAAAAGTTTGATGGTGTTACTCATTGGAAAAAACGTTTTCTATTGCGTCACTGAAATTCTGTAAATTGAGTTTATTAGTAAGATGATTTTTTTTTACATTACATTGATTATTAATGACTCCTTGCATAGTATAATTGTAATCTCTGATTTCCAAAGGCTGTAGTTAGTTATGCTTACAGTGACTGAACTTTTCAACTGGTTTGTGAATGTAGTTAAATAAATTAATTGCTTGCAGCAGCTTTCGTGGAATTGCCTGTATTTTGCCTTGCTGTTTTGCCAAAATCGTGTAGTTTAGACGTATTGTCTTTTGGTCAGTCAGGAATCTAACACACCCGGAAACTGAGCAAAATCCACAAGTCTCCAAGCCAATCTACAATAATAATAAATTACATTTACAAAGCGCCTTTCACGTTGGACTCTGAGACAGGGAAAGATTTGCACCCGAGCTGGGGATTGGAGTCAAGTGGGATTAAGGGCGGTGGGGGGTAGGGGGGTAGAGGTGGGAAAGAGGAAGGTCTCGGGGCGAGCCTTGAAGGAGGCAAGGGAGGGGGTGAGACACAGGGTCTCTGCGCTGGATTTCCAGAGGGTGGGGGCAGAAAGGCTGAAGACCCGATTGCTGATGGTGGCAAGACAACATTTAAGATCATGCAGGAATTTTGAAAATTAATTAAACTAAAAAAGTTCAAAATGAGCTTTAAAGTAGACCCAGAATGAAAAAACAAGTTTCCAGGCCATCGACTGGATTGCCTATTACATACTTAATGTTAAGAAAAAGTTAGCGAACAGATCACCTGTGCCAGAAACAACCTTTCACTGGTATCTGGACACCTTCAAGCTAAGGTGAACATACATCCCCTATTTCCGGGGGACAGTCCCCCAGAGGTATTGCGTTCCTGGTCAAATTTGCCCTGTCTTGAGCTCAGCCACAAACTGAGCAAGAACATTACAATTCCAAAGCAGATACACTCTCTAGAGAAACACAGCCGTTTATCCAACAATCTGCTCCGTACAGCGATGATGGTGAGTTCAACTTTTTTTGATATATGTATATATATGTTTGCTTATATATATATATCCTCTTCGATCGTGCTTTCGGTCACCCTCCCACCTCTCTGCCTTCCCACACCCCACGCCCACACTTGGGTCCGGACCCCCGACCTTCCCGCGCCTTGGGACGTCCTCCCGACGTGAACGGGCACTCTATAAATATAATTTTGTTGTTGTTGTTGTTGTTGTTGTACATATACAGTCGCCGGATTTGGTTTTCCCCCACGTTTGGAACAACAAGAACGTGCATTCAGAAACAATAGAAACGGGAGGAGGCCATTCAGCCCCTCGAGCCTGTTCCACCAGGGCTGATCTAACTGTACCCCAAGTCCAATTACCTGCCCCTTTTGCCCAGTACCCCTTAGTACCCCCACCTAACACGACAGCTATCCACGTCCGGCTTGACAACGTGAACGGGTCCAACTCCCGCAGCAGAGGGGGAGTGGGGGTGTGTGGGGAGTGGGGGGGGGTGGGGGGTGGGGGGGGGGGGGGGGGGGGAGTGCGGGGAGGGGGAATGGGGGTGGTGGGGTGGGGGGTGTGGGGGTCTGGGGGAGGGGGGAGTGGGGTGGGGGAGGGGGGAATGGGGGGGTGGGGTGGGGGTTGTGGGGGAGTGGGGAGGGGGTGGGGGGGGAGTGGGGGGGGGAGTGGGGGTGTGGGGGGTGGGGGTGGGGGAGTGGGGGGGGGAGTGGGGGGGTGGGGGGGGGTGGGGGTGGGGAGGGGGAGTGGGGGGGGTTGGTGGAGGAGGAGGAGGGGGAGGAGCCAGATTGACGGACAGGTACAGTAGGCGGTGCGGGTGGGTGGAGTCTCGGGGAAGAAGCGCGCATGCGCGGCGGACACCTCGGCTCCTTTGCCTGTTCGGCCCAGCGGCCGGGAGACGGACGGGGGGGACGGCGCATGCGCTTCGCGCGACGGAAGCGCGAGGCGGTGCGACGGTTTGGTCGGGTTTGGCAGCCAACGGTTCTCGTCGGCGCGAGGGAGGGAGGGAGGGAGTGAGGGGAAGGATGTGTCCGGTGCCGCTTCCCAGCCGCTCCTGACCACGACAGCAACCCACCAAAATACAACGACAACACGAAATGGCGGCAGGGAACATGAGCGGTAAATATGTCACCCGCATCAAAACGAAGCGTGTTGTACACTCCCTCCCTCCCTCACACACCCTCACACACACACAGCACCGGGTGGTGGTCGTCGGCTTTCAAGAGTGAGCGTGTCAGGGCCGGGGCCGGGGCCAGGACTGCACCCGGCGGGGACAGCTGCCGAGGCGCTCGTCCCCGGGAGCTGACTGGCACTCTCACTCCAGTGCTGACAGCAGAAGCCCTCATCTTCTTCATTAAGACGGAGAGAGAGGGGGTGGGGGGGAAGGGACAGGTTGTCTTCTCACCCACCCACGACTCCCTCCCCCCACCCACACACACACACAGACCCCCCCCGTACAGACCCCCCCCACACACACAGACTCCCCCCCCCATACAGACTGCCCACCCCACTCACACACAGACCCCCCCCCCATACAGATCGCCCACCCCACACACACATAGACCCCCCCATACAGAACCCCCTCCCACACACACACCCAGACCCCCCCCCATACAGACCGCCCACCCCACACACACACACACAGACCCCCCCCATACAGACCGCCCACCCCACACACACCCAGACCCCCCCCACACACACCCAGACCCCCCCCATACAGACCACCCATCCTACACACACACAGACCCCCCCCATACAGACCGCCCACCCCACACACACACAGACCCCCCCCATACAGAACCCCCCCACACACACACCCAGACCCCCCCCATACAGACTGCCCACCCCACACACACAGACCCCCCCCATACAGAACCCCCCCCCCACACACACACACAGACCCCCCCTCCCCCTCCCCATCCATCTGTGGCTGTTTTGTTTGTTTACTTTCACTGATATCACAAGTTTCGCCCGCAAAATATGCAGTCCATTCCCTTTCCCAGTAATGTCCCGTGAAACGCTTTGAGACGGATCGAAGCCGTGATAAGGCGCTATATCAAATAAAAGGATTATCATTATTATTTACTTCCACTTTCCAAGAGCAAACAAATGCCCACAACGGCTTACAGGTATTTACTGTGTTCGCTTCTCACATCCGAGAAAGGGATGCTGAGGTTAGATTATTTTACAGAACTGAAAATACTGCACGTTGGCAAGAGTGGGATAGGCGCATGAAACAGTGGGGTAATCACTGGATGGAGGTGGGCTAATCGGCTGCCAAGACCACTTGTCCCATAGGCATTTTTAATATAATCCTTGCATTTGATAGAGCGCCTTATCACATGGTTGTTTTTTTATTATTAAATCATGGACTTGACAAAAGGCTGACCCCCAACTATAGGTTGCTATGTGAGCTTTTGTTATTACTCAGGCATGAAATTGGCATGAGTTCTGTGGAGCTGCTCATGTCAATTTCATGCTTAGGTGGTAAGAAAATATTGTTGTTTGCTATAGTGATACACATATTTGACATAGCTCTTAAAATATCTCAAAGAACTTCACAGCTACTTGTTGTCAAATACAGTGATTGGGTATTAGTAGCCAATACTTATGCGAGTTTTACTGTAATGCACTGTCCCCCTGTATTTCAAAATGGCTAACTGCCGTTGGGTATGAAGTATCTTGAAAATAGACAGAAGTAGGAATCCTTTAAATGATTCAAACTCAACATGTCTTTTTGCGAGATAGTTACCATCATGTAACCGAGAGAGAATTGGGAGCCAAAATGTGTATTCCTTTTGGAATGGTCAATCAAAATGGTTTCAAGGGACAACTTTATACCATTTGGAGTCCTGTAGCTCAATGTTTAGAGCACTTGCCTCGCAAACGAGAGGATTTGGGTTCGATTCTCGACAGGCTGAAATGTTGGGCAAGTTTCCTTACTCCACACGCCTCTGTTTACCTAGCAGTAAGTAGGAACCCGGGTTGTTAGTCGATTGGTGGATTGCTTTTCCGGGGGGTAATAATTCCTTCAAAAAAATAATAATAATGAATTGGTCACTTCAATCCACGACTGTTTGTGGGACACTGCCGCGTCTTGCCCACAAAATATACAGTCAATTCACTTTACAGTATATTCTGTGAAGTGCTTTGAGATGTCTCGAAGACGTGGTATGGTTCTATATCAATTGCAAAGATTATTATTAATATGGCAGATTATTTTGCACAGCAAGGTCCTGGAATCAGCCATGAACTGATTTTTGTGGAGGATTTGTGACCAGGATGACAATCTAGAACTATTAACTGTTGGGAGTTGGAATCACCAAATTCCACCAAATCTAATTATATCCAAAACATAAAGATTGTTGGCAAGTACAAAGTTGTGGAGTGATTGTTTGATTGCCCGTCTTGCCTATCTTATACTTAGAGTAAGAGCAAGAATATGGCTCAAGTGCTGTCTGTCATTGAAAAAACCACCTGTTTATACTGTGCGTTTTTCATCAAAGCGAGGTTAGAATTCACAGGAAGCAAATATTGCCTTTGAGGAAGTTATTCTCAAACAACAAAAAGAGATGATGGCATGAGTTGACTGTGGTCGGTTTTTTTACTGTTCCTTATTTCTGTTTTCAGTCTACTGGGGAGGTCCAGCTTTAGATAATTCAGAATAAACTAATAAAGAAAATTTATTCACACTTATTTTGAATGATCCCAATTTATGATGTTTATATAGTGGTGCAGGAGAATTGATTCAGCTTGATTGTTTGACAACCAAGATATCAGCTTTTGGAATTTTCAAGTCACTTCTTTCAGGGTAGCTCAAACATGAATGTAGTTTGAAAGAACCTCCAGAAACATTATTTAGATGATACTAAATTTCCAGTTAACTACTGAAAAAACCTTGAGCAACTATAAACTGCCCTGAATTGTAATAACTGTAGCACGTAACCATTTTCCTGGAGAAAACATTTGCATTTCTTTGTGCCGAATACAAAAAAAATTACATAGCACCTTTCACATTGGGAGGACCTCACAATAAATACACTGGATAATTTACATCGACATTTAATGTTTCCATATAATGTTTACCAGTTGCTTTCCATGTAATGTTTCCATGTAACTGCTTATTCAGTATATTTTGATTTATCATGAATAATGGTGACTGACCCAGAGCAGGTTCCAATTCAGGAACGTTGTAAGTGTTATTTTGTTATGGCAGTTGAACTGGTGAATTGGAAACTAGAAAATCTTTCAAAACATTTAACACAGTATAATTTCACAGCAGTTGCAACATACATTCAAAAAGTTTTCCAAAAGTTTGCAAATCAATCTGTGTATACCAGCGACTGTCACAACATCTGTAATCAAATAGATGATCCGTCATTAATGAACCCCACTATTTATTTAAAAACTTGATATATATCCTTCAATGAGAGCTAATTTTCTTCAATTAAACGTCAACAAGACCGAGGCCCTCTTGGTTTCCGTCACTGACAGCATCACTATTCAAAGATGCACACTCCACCTTACTAAGCCAGTCCTGAACCTTGGAGTCTTGTTTGACCCTCAACTATCCTTTCTACCCCACATCTGTGCCATGACCCGCTCTGCCTTTCCCCCACTTCTGCAACTTCGCCCGGCTCCACCACTGTCTCACAAAGCAGGCCGCCGAAACCCTCATACACGCTTTCATTACATACATCGAGGCTTGACTATGCAAACTCTTTGTTTGTTGGCCTCTCTAAATCCTCCTTCCAAAGGCTACAGATCAGCCAGAACTCTGTAGCCTGTGTTCTCTCCCGCACCAGGCTCCATGACCCTATCACCCCCATCCTCACCTGACTCAATTAAGTTTTTTCAATTAAATTCATTTCTAGTGTATATAAATATGTGTACGTGGGTATATATTGCAGTCAGTTCTGATCCATGGGGTGATGTCAGTTTTTTCAATTAAGGAAGTCCAATGAGAAATCCCGGGGAAAGTCCGGTAATACTGGAGGATACTATCAAAGCAGATGAGAGGGTGAGAGAAGATTATGCAATAAGGTAATGGTAAGCTTGTCTTTTAAAAGTGCAGACGGTAGAAAAAAAGCTCGAGAAGTTCATAAATTTTGAGGTCAAGGAAAACATGTTAGGTCATCATATTTTAAGAGGAAGAAGAAATTGCCATAAACATGATTACCATAATTAGCTAAAACTTAAAATCTATTCTAACTCTGTAGGAGAGATTAATATAGGGAAAGAGTATGGTGGAAGTGATTATTCTTATTTTTTTTATAAAGAGACATGCATGATTTGATAATTTCTTTCTTTTTGAGTGCATGATAAAACATAATGGGACCAGTGGGAGTCAGTTTGTAAACATCTCAATTTTAAAGTGTACAACTCCATTAAGTTTATTCAGCAACGAATGATTCATTACATTTCTTTTCTTCTGATCTAACAAAAACTAATCTGTGGTGGTGTAAATTTATAATCACAATTAACATTTTTGCTACCATAAAGTTTCCTCAGAAATGTACAATGTTTTCTTACAATTCTACCATATTATTTCGCCTGATTCATTGAAATGAGACCGTTTAGAAAAATATTTTTAAAAATGGACAACAATTGATACTAATTATAGTTGTGTTTTGTACACAAAACAGTTGAGATAGTTACAATTACTTTTCAAAACAATCCAGTTTTGCTTTTGGAGTTTTCCTCTAAACCTGGCTTGTAAACCTAGATATTGAGCACGTAAGATTGTTGAATTTGGTGTTTTATTCCTTGATGAAGGAGATCATATTCTTTGCGTTCAACTCTTTTACGCATAGAAATCTTTTTTCGTTATTAGAAAATGTGATGGCGTTCAACGTTTAAGGCACTACTGAGGCATGAGTGGGCAAAGTAATCTCCCCCCAAAATGTATTGTTTTTAGACAGATTAATAATGGAATGGCTTGTTGAAAAACAAGCAATTACTGAAGTTTCCTGTATCCACTTGTGAACATGGGTGTTTGACATGTTTGGAAATCCTTAAAAGTATCCAAGCGGACTGAACAGAACTACTCAGCTTGAAATGTGCAAGAGCTTTGACACAATCCTCCTGCCCATAGCTCGGACCCAAATCTATCCATCGAGCAATGGTTCCACCATTGTAAAGTAAACATGGAACATTACAGATTGATCATTTTGCACTCTGATCTGTTGTGGTGCACATTCAAAATAGGTGCTGTATATAAGCTTCACACTTACTATTTGACTGTAATATTTTTGATATTCTCTTTGTCATCTAATTTTGATTCCAGTGTCTCAACATAACGGCAACAGGAGGCAGTATCTTCTTGAAAGACTTCTAGATGCTGTTAAACAGGTAAAATGCATAACATGTAAATAATATTGCATGCAGAGTAATTAAATGGGTGGGTTAATGCGACAGATTTGATTCTGTATTTGCCTACGTAACAAGATTCATTTAATTTCTGATGAGTTATATTTTGTAAAGTGCTTTGAGATATTGATTTTTATGTGAAAGGTGCTCATAGTAAAACTCACATAAGTCTTCTTTATAAATTGTATAATTGCCTCAGTCGTACATTTACCTGACTCCCATTCCGTTTCCTATAAAACCACTTAGATTTCTTTGCATTGCTGATATTAGTCACCTCCTAACTCAAAACCCCACTCCCCTACCCTCTATTATTCCTGCACTTACTGGCTCCATTGAATTGCCGGAAATGACGTCCTGATCTGTCGATGCATGCATTGAATCTCAGGAAACGTAGACTTGATCCATTGACGCATGCGCAGAAGAACTTTATTTCCTGTGATCCAAAGTGATTTCACAACTTGCCGGTAATGTCACATGCAGCGACGAGTCAAGACTTATTGCACTGCGGAAAATGTAATCTTGATCCGTCATTGCATGCGCATTTACCAGCTGTATTGAATTACAGATTGCCTGCAACTCTAACTTCGAGAACTTAATATTAAATGTTCTGGTCCCAACTGATACGACTTATACTGTACGAGTTTTACTGTAGATAAATGCAAACACTCAGACCTGATCAACATTTTTTAATAAAGAACAAAAAAATCAAAGTATTTTATCCTTCATATATTCATGTGGGAAATCACAAGATAGATTCTCCGAAGAACTTTTCTCCTTTTAGTCGTGTGAAAGCCAAATAATCTTCCTTATTCTTATGCCATATGTAACTCACAGGAGCCTGGAATCTGCCTCAGTTCTCTTTATAACTAGTCAGGAACATTGTGACCCATCCTTCAAACCTATTAATTTAAAATCATTTTTGAAATTTAAATCTTTCAGTCTGTTGCTTATTTCCAAGAAGCATCACTTGAATAACTTGCATCGTAGATTGTTATTTGCATCATTGTAGTAAGAAGCGATTGTGTAAACTGCCTTTTATCAAACTGTCAGATATGAAGTCCTGATTGAGTATTAACTTTCTCCAACTCAATGTTAACAAAGTTCAGGCTATCCAGCTTGGCTTCTATCACCTGAGTAACTAACTGTATTGATCTCCTTGGTCACTCACTCTAACTCACTGGACTTGTGTGGAATCTTGGCATTTTGTTTGACACCCAACTTTCCTTTAAATCTTTTATCCTGACACTGACAAAGTCAATTTTCTTTCATCTCTGCAACAACTTGCTTTCGAATGCAACTAAAATCTCCATCCACGCCTTTGTCACCTCGATTCTTGACTTTTCCAATGTCCCAAAATCTACCCTGCACAAACTCCAAATCATGCAGAACTTCAATGCATGTATTCTCTCCTGCAATAGGCTCTGTGAGCACATCACACCCATTGAACTGTTTTCCCATATCTCGGCCACAACCCTCCTTGGTTTGCAAAAACTAGTCTAAAAGCCCATCTTGTGTACGGCCACCTCCTAAACCTCCTGTTTTCGTCATAGCTTGGTCTCCAATTCATTATTTGTAAAGCTCTTTTGCTAAAAGTTGGAGGCATTATATAAGTATGAATTGTAATTCGTGCTATAGGGGAAAATAACATATCCAAACTGCTTTTGATTACAGTACAATTTACTTTTTAACATTTTACATTCCTGCTTCTAAAATATAGTGCCAAATTCGCTTTGGAGGAAGAAAAGAAATTGCTTCCGATACTGACAGTAGGTAAGTGGGACTGTATTCATTTTGTTGAAATTTGTTGTGAAGACTTGATTTCATTGAAAAAATGTTTCTCCTTGTACTTAAATTTTAAATGTTTGAACTGGAAGTTGCTAAAACTTCTGATCTGTGTACAAGCACATGCAAGATGTTCATATACCATAGTCAAATAAATGAATGTATTTGCAGCGATGTGTGCTTACATGCATGTTAGATGATCTGCAGCAAAATTTCAACAAATCCAAGTTTGTTCCTGGCTGATTAGTATTTTTGTTCTTACTTTGTTTAATAGTGAGTCATGAGTAAGAGTGGAAAAGAAATGCTGTGCTAATATAAATATGTTCTCCTTTGAAGCCAGACTGTTCCTCCTATTTTGAAATGTAAGGGTGTTTGTTTTCTTAATCAGAATTAAGGCTTTTTTATATAAAACTTTAGAAAGCAACAATATATAATTTTGAGGGAAAAGAAAAAAGCTGAAGTGTTTTGCTGAAGTCTTGTTCTTATAGACATAATTTATGTAAGGAAGTTATGTTAGTTAGTTACTCTTGGTGTTTCTAAAGAAAAGTTGCAGAATGATTTGTCCTGTAAATATCTGTTACACAGACAAACAATAATGTATTCTGATACTGGTAAACTATTTCTGTTACGTTTGTACATTGTACATTGATGCTATCATGTGTGAGAAGGGTGCTTTTATAGACAAGCTGTTGATCATTATAAGCAGTTTTGTCCTCATGACATATTGCACGAAAAGATATTCTCGGGGAGCATTCCAATGTTATGCTCATGTTAACTTGACTTCGGGAATTTTACTGAATTGAATGATTTGATCACCCAATGTAAATCCTAACAACACTAGCCTTTTTTAAAAAAGGTTTTCAGTTTATACATTGGCTCTCTGAGTCAAGTCTTTAATAGAAACATACAGCACAGAAGGAGGCCATTCTGCCCATCGTGTCTGTACCAGCTCTTTGAAAAGAGCTATTCAATTTAATCCCACTCCCTGCTGTCTCTCCCCATAGTCCTGCAAACTTGGCCTCCCCAAATATCTATCTAATTCTCTTTTAAAAGTTGTTATCGAATCGGCTTCCACCACCTTTTCAGGCAATGCATTCTAGATCTGAACAACTCGATGTGTGAAAACATTTCTCCTCACCTCCCCTCTGTTTCTGTTAATAACTAGTTTAAATCTGTGTCCCCGGGTTACCCACCCACCCTCCAATGGAAATAGTTTCTACTTATTCAACCTATTGAATCCCATCATAATTTTGAAAACTTCTATTAAGTCTCCTCTTAACCTTCTCTGCTCCAAGGAGAATAATCCTAGCTTCTTTAGCCTCTCCTGATAACTGAAGTCCCTCACCATCCTGGTAAATCTACTTTGCACTCTCTCTTTGCATCCTTCCTAAAGTGTGGTGCCCAGACCCGAACACAGTACTCTAGCTGAGGCCTAACTAGTGTTTTATAAAAGGTTCATCAGAACTTCCTGACTGTTGTATTCTATGCCTCTATTTATAAAACCTAGTATCCCGTATGCTTTTTTTAAACAGCTTTATCTACCTGTCCTGCCACCTTCAAAAATGTACTTATATGAACCCCCAGGTCTCTCTGTTCCTTCACCCTTTAAGATTGTACCATCAGCTTATATTGCCTCTCCTCATTCTTCCTCCCAAAATACATCACTTTGCATTTCTCCACATTAAACTTCATCTGCCATGTGTCTGCCCATTTTACCAGTCTGTCTATGTCGATTTACAGTCTGCTACTATCCTCCTCACTCTTTACTACTTTTCTTAGCTTAGTATCATCTGCAAACTTGGAAATTGTACTCCCTGTATCCAAGTCCAGGTTACTTATATAGATCAAAAACAGCAGTGGTCCCAATACCGACCCCTGGGGGACACCACTGCACACTTTTCCCCAGTCAGAAAAGCAACCATTCACCACCACTCTCTGCTTTCTGTCAGCCAGTTCTGTATCCATGCTACCTCTGTCCCTTTAATACCGCGGGGTTCTATTTTGCTTACAAGTCTCTTATATGGCACTTTATCAAACTCCTTTTGAAAATCCATATAAACTACATCAACTGCATTACCTTCATCCATCCACTCCGTTGCTTCCACAAAAAACTCTAATCAGGTTTGTTAGACACGATTTGCCTTTATCCTTGTTGGCTTTCCTTTATTAACCCATATTTTTCTCAGTGAAAATGAATTTTGTCCCAGATTATAGTCTTTAGAAGTTTCCCCACTACTGACGTTAGGCTGATTGGCCTGTAGTTCCTGGGTTTATTTTTCTGCCTCTTTTTGTACAGGGAAGTAACATTTGCAACCCTCTAGTCCTCTGGCACCACCTCTGGGTCCAAGGAGGATTGAAAGATTGTGGCCAGAACCTCCGTTATTTCCACCCTTACTTCTCTCAGTAACATAGGATGCATTCCGTCTGGACTGGGTGACTATTTATCTTGAGCACCGACAACCTTTTTAATACCTCCTCTCGGTTTATTTTTATCTTATCCAATTTCTCTATCCTCTCCTCCGATACTGTGGCATTGGCAGCACCCTCTTCTTTTGTGAAGACAGGTGCAAAGTACTCATTCAGTACATCGGCCTCCTCAAGAAGATTTCCTCTTTGGTCCCTGATTGGTCCCACCCTACCTTTGAGTAACCTTTTATTCTTTATATGCTTATAAAATACCTTAGGGTTCCCTTTTATGTTACCCAATAATCTTTTCTCATACATTCTCTTTGCCCCTCTTATTTTCTTTTTCAGTTTCCTCTGTCCTTTCTATATTTGATTATCTTCTGTATTTTGGACCTGACATTGATCATAAGCGTCCTTTTTCTGTTTTATTTTAATCTCAATTTCTTTATTCATCCAGGGAGGTTTGGATGCCCTACCTTCCCTCTTTTTCTGTCCCCGAACTATTTGGTGGTCTATAGTATACACCTAACAGAGTAACAGCTCCTTTTCTGCTCCGTAACTCTAACCAAATAGACTCGTGTTTTGGAGCCCTCAAGCACATCGTCCCTTTCCAGGGCCATAACTGTGTCTTTAATCAATATTGCTAACCCCCCCTACTTTTATTTCCTTCCCTATCCCTCCTGAATACATTGTAGCCAGGAATATTCAGCTCCCATTCCTGCACTTGTTTGAGCCAGATCTCCGTTATTGCCACTACATCATAACCCCATGTGGCAACTTAAGCCTGCAGCTCACCAATCTTGCTTATCACGCTCCGTGCATTTACGCACATGCACTCCAAGACCGACTTAGTCTGTTCTGCATTTCTCCCCTATCTGATCCCTCCTTATCCTGGATTATTCCTTATTACATTGCAATTCGTCTCTCCCAGCCCTCCATGTAACTTGTTTGTCCTCTCTAATGCTACATCCCGATTACCTCCCCGTCCTTAAAATTAGTCTTCCCCACAACATTAGTTAACTTCCCTGCGAAGACATTGGTCCCAGCCCCGTTCATGTGTAACCTATTCACCTTGTATAGGTCCCACCTGCCCCAGAACTGGTCCCAATGATCCAGGAACCTGAAGCCCTTCTTTCTGCGCTATTTCTCCAGCCGTGCATTCATGTGTTTGATCCTGCTGTTTTGATACTCACTTGCACGAGGCACGGGGAGTAATCCAGAGATCACCACCTTTGTTCCAGAAGGTTTGAGAGTTAAATGGTTAAAAGTAGCTTTGCTGGACGGCTTGAGGTTGGCTTCTGCTTGCATTTCATATTTTCCCGAGAAGATGTTCACTCCTCTGAGACAATGAGCAATCGGGTCTTTGAGCATAGATGTAAGAACAATAACATTAGTCGTGGTTGGTCCGTTTGAAACACAGAAGTCAGGTTAGACAGTATGAGTGAGGTGTTGGGCTAAGAGCTGATTGTTTCTGTTGGGCTTCCAGGAGCCACTCTCTGTGATTCTGTGTGATAGTTCTGTGATCTCTCCAATGTATGTCAAGGTGTGATCCCAGGTCTACCATTTAGTCTGGAATATGAAACAGTGCCTGGATACGTGTCTTTATCTGTGTTGTCGTCCCTGTATCGTCAGTACTAAGGGCTGCAAGGTGAGGATCAACTATATCTGAGGGCGATTCCAGAGGCTGAACTCCGACCCAGTGCTGGTTAAAAGACAGTAATGGAGATTGTCTGTCTTCTGAAGTTTTGTGTTACAGAATCAGTTGTCCCTGAGAGTTTTCCAGGGGCTGATCTCTGCTGTGTATTTTGAGGTGTGTTGTTTGTCTGGAGTATTGAGCAACCCCTTTGTGCGTGCTGTGTGGTAAATGTTTTGCTCTCAAAGATGTGTTGTGTTGTTATATGTAGCATAATTTGATTACAGATTGTTAAACCTATGTTTCATCTTATGCAATAAACTATATTCTTACCACCGCCTGTCAAATTATTAACACTCTTCCTGCCATGCTGGGTGGTCACCCACTCAATCTCCTTCTGAACTCTCAGTGGCTGTGGGGTGACCACTTCCTGAAATAATATTACAGTGATAAAGCTCTCAATTGTCAGAAAAAGGTACATTATTGTTATATTGACCTTGAGCCATTTAAATAGAAAATAAAAACACTTACATAAAAAAGTTAAAACACTTTACTTTTGCAGATTTTTATAACATTGTATTGTACTAAATCCAAGCTGCAAGAAACAGTTATATTATTAATGTGTACCCCTGTATATATTAACATTATTTAAAAATGACCCTCAACTTTAGAGCGAGAGAAAACAAAATTGATATGCAATAATATTCCAATGACCCGTTAATAATTTTGCATTTCTTTGTGCTATAAAATTTCTAGACAGTTGTTTCGATCACTTAAGTTATATGGAATAATTCTGTTGTGAAGAGCAATCAGAGATCTCAGTTTTAATGACGATCAAATTGAAACTCACTTCAGTGATGTGTTCTCAAACTTCCTAAATTGGAATCTATAATTATACATATTTTTTTAAAAAAATTTAAAAAGTCTTTTGCCTTCTACAATTTTTTTGTTTCACATAGTTCCAATAAACATAAGCTTGATTTGCAATGGATAGTTGTGTGCTTCCTACTCTGATCAGTTTGTGATTGCACTTTCCTCATATTTTAAAATCCCATTTTTAGATTAACTTTTAAAATTGTTTTTCCTATATAGTGTGTTGCTTACCACTAGTTCTGAATCTTGATTTCAGTATATTTCTTGCCAAACTAGTCAAGTATTTCACCTGATCAAGGTGTACAGGATTTCACATTTTAAGGCTTTCGTTCTACCTAGATTCAATGTTTCACTTATTTTTCTTGTTTTTCCAACAGGGTAATCTGTCTGTGTGCACAGTTTGAGACTGTATTACAGCATGGCTTAAGGAGAAGCAGAGGTTTAGCACTTACAGCAGCTGCTATCAAACAAGCAGCAGGATTTGCCAGTAAAACTGAAACAGGTAATCATTGCATAAAAAAGCTTTGTGTACATTTAATGATTCATTCAAGCTTAATTTTTGTTGATATTTAACTGCCTCAATCAATGTTGACTCACAAAGTCCCTGCAAGCAAATAACAATATATAAATTAGTTAAACTGTGTTTTCTGGAAGGATTGTTCCAATTTTCCAATCATTATATGTAAAAGTAGGGCAATTTTGTTTTGGGGAGGTTTGGCAATGGAATGTCAGAATCGAGCTAACCCTCTGTGGTAGTTCCTGAGCCAGGTTTGCATTACTCTCGGGCACTGCTGATGACAGCCCAGCCAGCCTGGCTCATCCACAGCACTTGGAAAGGCAGATCAGTTTGGAAAATTGTTCAATATGTTAAATATTTCAAATACCAGAGAATGCAAGTTTTTTTTAAAAAAAAGGTAAGTTATGAGTAAGTAAGAACAAATTGACAGAATTTTTTTAACCAACTGTAATAGACTTTTGGAATAGTTTACCAGAGAAGACCAATGAAGCATGGAGGGTGCTATGGGTAGTGTCATATATTGTGGTAAGTCAAAAATTGCTGTGGGAGTGAAGCAGAATAAATCTCTTAGAAAAGAAATCTAAAATATATCTACCTTGAGTCCAAAGTATGACTGTTTTCAATCCACGACTGTTTGTGGGACATTGCTGTGCCACGTTTCACCCACAAATATACAATAACAACAACAATTTGGATTTATGTAGTGCCCTCCACGGCCGGACAGCGTCTCAGAGCGCTTTGTCAATTGTCATATTCTGTGAAGCGCTTTGAGACATCGAGAAGACGTAAAAAGCGCTATATAATTATTATTATTAAAGTACTTTTTTGCATTTTAAATTTCCCCCATACCTCTTCTTCCCCCCCCTCATGCTTGATGCCTCACACAGTTCGTGAAACTACTTTGAGATGACATGAAAAATTTTATTCTGTATAAAATGCCAAATATTACTGTTGCGCCACCATTGGAGGCTTAACTTTCAGTTACTGCATCCATAACCTCTGGAACACCCACTTTCTCCCTCCAGGTCATTGCTGGAATTCAACCAGCTAAAACCACACAAGTTCAATTTGCCATTAAGAGCACTGTCTGGCAAGCTTGCACTATTCCTACTGCTTGTCCAACTAGGAGCACCATACCCATTTGGGCTTTGCCTTGCAGATCTAACAGGAAGCCAGAGGGAAGAATTCCTATTCTGAGTAACCAGTCTTCTCTCCAAAGCCTGCCGACAAGCCGGGGCTGGATATGTTGCACCAGTAACTTGAATGTTAACCGTTTTTGCTTCCTCTTAACCATGTGAACCAATTTACCGTGTTGAAAATATGCCACTTATTGGATGAAGTTTTCGAATTGCAGTTACTGTCGCATATGCTTTGCGTACTTTTTGTCGTTGAATTGAATTGTTCCGATTTCCATAACAGCCTCTCACTTTTCTTCAGGGGACTTTTTATAGACTTTTGTCCTTGATTTTATTTGCATTCATATTATTATGCAAATGGTGCGATCTGGGAACAAAGTTTTTGGTGATAAATTCAGTCCATTTAATTTCAGTGCGTGGATTGAAAAAAATAGATACTGAAGATGAGATCAAAAATCAATATGGAAACAATCATTATTTGTAAAATGTTCATTTGGTGAAATAAGGTTTTCCATGTTATTCTAGGAACTAAGTGCTTTTTGAGGTCCTCATTGGTATTTCTGACCTGGCTATTTTTCTCTTCCCTATCATTTCATGAAATCTTTGATATTTTTTCCCCTTTCTATTGTGTATTTGATTCTTTGGGTGCCTGATGCCCTCTGGTTAATCATTCAAGAGGTAAGTATTTATCTGTGAAACCTTGCCAAACAATTCAACAATAGGGGTAAGAGGGAGAATTAAAACCCAGCCCAATCCTGCCCTTGCTTGACCTCTTAAAACATACACTTCCCATTGAGCTGGGATCCTTAATTAATTCTTCCACCTAATTCATGGAGCTGAGGCAAATCGTAATGCCTCTGTTGCTTCCCAAGCTGTAATCAGATAATTGATCACACAATGGTTGGCATTTGGATGCTCTTTGGCTTAGGTATGTGACTCAGTAAGCCGTTGTGAGAGTTAAGAATTTTTTTTGTGTGGTGGAAGATATGGAGCCAGGTTTTGGCACTGCTAGGTTAGCTAACTGAATCTTTATTAAAAACTAATGCCGTTTAGTGAAAATCTGCTCTGCTCAACTTCTGCTAGAATCAGTTAGGAGAACAAAATATAAATTGCACTTCCTGCTTCAAATCTGTCTATTGATTGGAAGCAATGAGATATCTCTGCAGAGGTATATATGGCGTAACCGGACTGACTGTAGCAGAGTCTTGTGCAATGCATGGCACATTCTTGCTTTCATCAAACGTATGAAATAGTATCACTAATTCAAGATGACTACTTACATTTATAGGAAATGTTTATTTTTCAGATCCTGTGTTCTGGTATTATGTGAAAGAACACCTGAATAAACACGAACTGCAGCGCTACTACTCTTTAAAGAATATCACAACGGATATTGGAAGAGGACGAGCTTGGCTCCGGTCTGCACTGAATGAACATTCCCTTGAGCGATACATACATATGCTTCTTGCTGATGGAAACCGCCTGAGGTAACAAGTGATCAAGGAGCCCTATTACTTAAAATGATTACAGTTTGTACATGTTCCTCAGTAAAATCTGGCTTGGAATTGCATGTGTGCATCCAGGAATAATTTTCCCTTCAGCTTTTTCTCCCTTACGTGGGAAAGTTCCTATGTTGACAACCTGCCCCTGACATCCAGTTGTGTTTTTTTTAATAAAAAGCATATCACATATTCTTGGAACAAAAATGATTTTCTCCCAGAAATACTGTGAAGATCACTAACAGCTGATGCTTTGACGACAAAAATCTGTGTTTTTTCTCAGCTAAAGGAATGTGAGTTTATGTTTAATTAATATTAATTAATATTTATTCAACAATACCAGCATGTGACACAATTTGTAATATTTAATATTCTTTGTGTTTTAATATTTAATTTCAATTATTTTAATTTATTGCATAACGTTTTAAACATTTTAATTGTATATTTTATAATGCGTATAATGTTAGGACTAGTACCAGAAAGTATTGAGAATTGACCAATTCAATTCTAAATTGCTTTCTGTTTAACAAAAACAAAAAGCAGAAGCTGCAATTTCTTTCTTTATCTGAATATCAAAAAAAAATGCTGTATTGAATATGTTGAATTTTAGTGTCTTCTATGAAGACTGGTCCTTCATGAGAGATGAAGAACGTGCAAGTATGCTTTCCACTATGGCAGCAGGTAAGATGAGAACTGATAGCAATAATAGTGTTCATTTCTTGCGGACGTGTTTGTTTTTTGTGTTAATGATACTTGCCTATCAAAATAGAATGGTATTTAAGTAGAATACATTGATTTATTTACGAGGTATTTACAAACAACCTGACTTGTTGAATACAGAATAAGAGCTCTGGACTATACCTTGATGATTCTTTGGGAGTGTTGGCAGGTTGTTTAATTGATTATTATTTAGTCAGTGTAAAGCCTCATTTGCAGTGAATTTTTTTATTGCAGTTAATTAGGAACAATACAAGTAATTTGAAAGGGCTTTTAGTGAACTAAATAAAAGAACTACCCTGCGTGAAGGGTGCTATATAAATGCAAGTTGTTGTTATAATAGTTTAAATAGCTTTCTTCTTCTATGGGACATGGGATATATTGCATATCTATAAGGGTGACCAAAAAGTCTTGATACCATTACAATGTTTAATAAGTCTTAAAATAAATGATGATATATATATTAAATAATAGGGTAGTTATCACAAAATTTTAGTCACCCTGTATATTTGAGCTGTATTTTATTTTGAGGTCTCCTTCAATACTGTTCCTTTGGTGCATTATTGGTTAAACTGAGTTCCTGTGTGCTTGACCTCAGCTGAACATTTAAGTCTTATGACACAATTCAGTAAGAGGAATAAGTTTTTCCTGGTGTTCTGGCCAACAATCCTCCAGATTAACTGCTCAAATCACAAACTGTTTCATGGGATATTGCTAATACAATATGTTTATGGAGTTTCCTTACAAAAGCAGTCACTATATTTTACAGCCAAAAGTTGTGAAGAGGTTTGAGATGTTTTAATGTGGTTTCTTTGTCTTCTTTGGTTGTGTGGTTGAAGTCAGGAAATACACATTTGGAGTACTGCAGCCTTAAAGTCTATGTCCTTCCAATCTATTTTATCGCTGGTTGAAGTTAAAGCAGATTGAGCCACTGTTTTGCCATTCTTGATATGATAATTTTACGCCTTCATTTTCCCAACTATGATGAATTAATATATGGCTTAATTTAATACGAAATGTGCATTTTAAAATGTGTGATTTTATTAGAAAATTTTGTGTTTTAGTAAACTGTTACTTGCATTTGTTTTAACAGGGTTAAACTCTATCCTTTTTGCAATCAACATTGACAATCAGGATTTAAATGGGCCTAACAAGCCTGTATCTGCAGTTTCAAACCTGTTGAAAGAGTCAACACAGAATGTTACATCTCTGTTAAAAGAATCCACGCAGGGGGTTAGTACACTCCTGAAAGAAATCAAATCAGTTTCTTCAGTGCCAAGTTTTATGAGACTAGAACCTGAATCAGACCCACTACCAATTCTGCCCACAACTGTTAACCAAGGTAAGTTACTCTCTAAAATGAAGAACTTGATTAAATATGCAATACTAAAGTTTTTGGAAGTATGAAGACTTCTTACAATCATTTTTTATCCACTGAATATAATTTCTTTGGCATAAATAAATAACTCAACATTGAATAGTTGTGAATTATTCTAACTTTTAACTTCTGCTTTTTAATCTTTAGATTGGAAATGTAGAAAAGAGAAAAAGAAAAGGAAAATGGTGCCAAATATTATCTCATTTGATAGAGATGAGGAAGAACTGGGTTCTTCTGAGCAAGTGATAAAGTCGGATCTCACACGAGAAAGTTCTGAAGAGAATTCAGAGAGGACTTCTTCATCTGTTCCTCACTCTGTTTCGTGTATGACGTTAGCTTCTTTTAGTCCAAATTTGAATGGAAAAGAATACAGCAGCAATATGCGGAAGACTGAGGGTACATGCCTAAATGGTGATTCTACTCACAGGAAACTAGATATGAATAGTATTGACGATGACGATGATGATGAAGATGTGGATGGCGAGCACAATTATCGAAAGATCTCACCAAGTAAAGTGAGTGAAGAAGACAGACTGATTTCTGAACAGTAAGTGTTCAAATGTGTTAATTACAATTATAAAAGCTAAGAGTGATTCACTTTTTTTAAAAAAAATCTCAGAGGCACTGAATCAAAAAGTGCAGTTTAACAGGTGAGACTTAAAGAAAGTTAATACCAGTTTAGCTACTTGGATTGAACATTGATTTAGAGTTTTACAAAGGTTTGAGTTCTTGCTGTTCATTTGGCTATGAAAGTCAGTTAAGAATATTTATAGCAGTTTAATCACTCCTGTTCTATCTGGGCTTATGGTGGACACCAATGCTTGTGTGGAAACTGTCCTTGGGGACTGCATTAACAAGATGAAAGATGCTCTTGTTGTTCTCATTGCTCTTACATTATAGCAAACTCCCAATACAGATTATGTTTGTGGCAAATTAAACATGTGCACAAACGGTTCTCTTTCATGACTCCAGCCCCCCCCCGCACCAAGCTCAGGCTCCCTGTGTGCTGTATGAAATGCTTTGAAACATCATTTTGACGTGAAAGGCATATAAGGTATAAATACTTATATTCTGTTTTTGGACTGGGAGAGACACTCACGGTTCCTGATAAACAACAAATTATATTTGTAAAGCCCCTTTCACTTCGGGAGGACATCCCAAGGTGCTGGACAGTCAGGTATTTGGACTGAAGCAGGGCGTTGGGATCACGAGGTGGGGAGTGTAGGGCAGGGAGAGTAGGGGTAGAAGGGTGACGGAAGTGAAGATAAAGTGTGCTTTGAACAAACCTTGTTGCTTGAACAGAAACATTAACCTGAATTATAGAATTCATAATAGCTTCTTTTTTTTGAATCTTTTAGGCCTCTTGCAGAGAGCCTTTCCAACTCTCAAATGTCTGGCTGGAATACACTGCAGGTTCTGAATGACAATGACAGTTCTGACATTCTTTTTCCAGTCAGTGCAGTTGGTTCCAACTCTCAGTCTGGTAGGTACACTAAACCATCAGTACTGTGATTACAGCTTATTCTTCCTGAGCTATAGCTCCCTCCAGGGTCTTAAAAGTGCATAAGGTTCTGCTCCTTTTTTGGGTCTTTAAAACTTCTTGGTCTCTTCTTTTTAGATTATTTTCACCAAATTGTTCAGTTGAAGCCTGTTTTCTGCATTTGTCTTTAAAATGAAACTTAGTGCAATTTCGGACTTGGAATGGTGTTGATGACACGATAACATTTGAAAAGGAAATGTAAAGAAGTTGTATACCTAAAATTAACGGGAAATAATTTATTTTGAAACATCTAACCAAGTTATGAAGTTAAGCAATGTATAATATACCACACAACGCAATTTGAGAGGGCAATAATATCTCTTGCTGATTGAGTCAAGACTAAGGATTATCTCCCTGCAAATACAATCACTACATTTTACAATAAATCCTGTGAAGCACTTTGAGCTGTCTTGACAGTGTATTAAATGCAAGAATTATAATAACCATATTAATATGTAAAATATAAACTCAATACTGTATAATAATCTGCAGTTTTGCAATAGTATTTTTTTCTAATAATGTGTTACAATCCCTAGTCTTAAATTGGCATTTAAACTGCTGAGTTCATTAAAATAGAATGGTTTATTGTTCTTTTTTAAATAAAACAACTTCCAATCCATATATGGTTAATTTGGTTTGGTAATGTTATATTTTCAGAACTTAGTACTTAAAGATTTGAAAGCTACATTGAACATGCAGAACAAATGATATAGATTGTTTTATGTCTGTGTTATATTTCCCTTTGTTCAGTGAGCAAGTAAAAGTGTATTTTAATGAATGTAATATTAGGTAAAGCTATGTGAATGAAACACGCGTGACATTTCTAATTACAACATTACATGATTATAGGCAGGTTAAAGAAGATATTTTACTTGTTAAACATTACAATACATAGTCCCTTTAGTACTTTGAGCTTACTTGTATGTGCTGCCCAATTTAAACCTGTTTTATTAAATGCAAATCTCAATGTGTATTATAGATGCCACTTCTGATAATATGGTATATTGCGATGAACATGAAAATGCCACTCTTGCTTTAGAACTAGCCCAGAAGGGATCTCAGCTTCAGTATAGGTATGGACATTTACATTTTACTCTCATTTCATTATGTCATAGGTTTTCTCTTTCGGATACCAATACTTTATTGATATGATTTAATATAGAGAAGTGCATGATTTTATGAAGTTCATTGGTGCTGAGTGTGTTCTGTGAAGTTCTGTTTGAACAAGTTTTTGTTTTACTGAACTATTGCTTCATCCTCTTCACACAGCGCTGAAGCCAGTTCTTCTCCTCAGGCTGATGCCTTTAGTGGCCTTTTACCAGCTGCTGATTTCCCAGAATCAATGACTGTTAGTGAGTACCTTTACAAACTATTGCTCGTCTCTAAACTGGTTGCTGTTTTGTAAATCAAAAAGCAATTTTCTTGGGGTAGTTGGTTTGTTGTACAACAATGTTCTGTGTGATTTCTCTGGATTTCACAGCAGAGTTTTGTAAAATCGAGATATGAACCTGAAACTCTATTTTTCGAGCTTTTTAAGAGGATTGATGCCAAGCCTGAGAATGGAAAACATTTCCACTTCAAACATCCAGTGTCAGAATTCAGTACTTTCCAGTTCCTTACAGCACAATCAGGAACAGAGAAAAACACTGCCAGAATAATGTTTCTTTGCTTTCTAACTTCGTAAGAGCAACCCATACTAGCTTCCCATGGCAATCATTGTTATGGTGCCTTTATTAAGTGATTTGGCATTTTTTGTACTTCACATATTTATAATAAACAACTCATAGTCTTTAAACTCCATTCACTCGGGTTCTTAAGGCCAACAGGGATAATAACAATAATCCTTGCGTTTGGTATGTCGCCTGATCACATTGTCGAAACATCTCATGTGTTTCACAGGATTTACTGTGAATTGTAGTAACTGTGTATTTCATTCTATTATACTGGATTGGATGTTAAACCCTAGTCCCAAAAGACTGCGCCTCCCAATTTCTTATTAACAGATAGAGAAATGTGTTGTGTAAAAAGATTTTAATATCTTGATTTTTCTATACAGTTTTTTTAATATCTTTGTTTTCGCTCAGTTAATCTCAGCAGGTGTTTTCAGTCAGTTTTTCTAAAATTTAGGATTGATAGATTAATGCCCTAGTTCGTGAAAATAATCTTTCACATTTCATTCATCTTTGAGTTAGAACAGGAATGTTATCTTGGATAGCAGCGGGCAAGTGCTATTCTCCTGACATCCTCCTGACTTGAAATGTGCCGAATACAAAATACTGCAGATGCTGGAAATCTGAAACAAAAACAGAGAGAGCAGGGAAAACTCAGCAGGTCAGGCAGCATCTATGGAGAAAGGAAAGTGAGTCAATGTTCCTGGTCCACAATCCTTCATTAGTTCTGATATAGTAATATGGTATGTTTTGCAGAAAACCTTGCAGCTGGTTTAATATCTTTTATGTAGCAAATCGATTTGCCACAGCTGCGTTTGCGGTTTTGAAATATGTGTCACATCTAACTAATTCATTCTTGTCGCCTATTTGTGGTTCTAGTGCTTAATCCCAAGTCACATCTGACTTCTAGATTCTCCTAGTCATATTTCTTATTTTTTGTCAGATAGTATCATTCATTAGGTGACCACAAGGAGTGTAACTTTCATTGTAAGGGAAATATAACCACAAATTCTTATCACAGATGTTTTATTTCATCTTTAGTATTTAGGTGTCAAAAGCGCTGAGTGGATTTGTTGTGAAAATTAGTTGATTGGGTTCAAGAACAATTGAATAATTGATGCATACCAAATATTTGGAAGCATGTAATGTTCACACTGGAGAAAAGTAAGTTCAGTGGTGATCTTATTGACATATTCATGATCCTGAAGATCAAAAGAACATCTGGATTCAATGGCAAATTAAAGGAAATAGTATGTTCCCCCCGGAGTTCAAACACCTACTAAAGTAAATGAACTTTCTTGGAAAATATTTTAAATTATAGGGGATTTGCTTACAAATGTTGGATAGATGTTTGGCTGTCCTTCACTAGTTAAATCTTGTACAGCAACTAGAGTAAATTACACTTGTATAGTGCCCTTCACGTCAGACAATGGTGGGGCGGGAAGTGCAGGGGACCTGAAGCAGGCCAGTCATTGTCTGCCAAGCTGAGGTGCAGACAGGCTGATATGGGGTTATGAAGTCAGAGAGGTCGGGGGGAGCAAGACCGTGGAGGGCCTTGAAGGTAACAATGAGGGTTTTGTACTCGATTCTCTGAGGAATGGGGAGCCAGTGAAGCTGGGCAAGAACGGGTTTGATAGGTTCCCAGAGCTTGGTGCAGGAGAGGACACGAGCTGCAGAATTCTGAATAATCTGCAGCTTGTGGAGGGAAGTGTTGGGAAGTCCAGTGAGCAGGCAGTTAGCATAGCCAAGCAGGGATGTAATGAAGGGGCTCGGTAGCCTGCGGTGAGAGGCAGTGCCGGAGGCGGGCAATGTTGCAGAGTGTGAAAAGGTTAAACGGGTCATGGCACGAATGTCGGATCTGAAGGATAGGCTTCTGTCTTGCCAACATTGAACTGGAGGAAGTTGGCTCTCGTCTAGGATTTGATGTCAGACAGACAATTAGCCAGGACATCAACGGTCCTGGAATCGAGGGTGGAGGCGGCGAGATAGAGTTGGGTGTCATCCGCGTACATGTGGAAATTGACCTCATGCTTACGGATAACATCACCGAATGGGAGCATGTATAGATTGAATAGGAGGGTACTGAGGACAGAGCCGTGAGGGACGCCACACGTGACAGTGCGGGGGCTAGAGGAGAAGCCGTTGGTGGCCACGAAGTGCAGACGGTGAGAAAGGTAGGATTGGAACCAGGCAAGTACAGAATCATTGAGGTGGAAGTGAGAGGATAGATGGTGGAGAAGAAATAGAGTGGTCAACAGTATGGAAAGCGGCAGAGAGGTAGAGAAGGACGAGAAGACAGAGACAGCCCTGGTCGCAGGTGGACAGAATGTCATTTGTCACTTAGACCCGGGCTGTCTCTGCGCTGTGAGCTGCACAAAACCCAGATTGCAGGGGTTCATGGAAAGAATGCTGGGAGAGGAAAGAGCGAAGCTGTATTGAAAATGTCTCATTCTGAGAGCTAATGGATGGTTAACCCTACAGTAACTTCTGGTGAGCTGGTTGCTTTGTGACTCAGCCGACAGGTGGTGTACTTTCACTGAGTGAATCATACTGTATAATTTCTAAGGTAGCCTGCTGCATAAAATGGCCTATCTGCACTCTGTGAATATCATTGCAGGAGCATTGAAGTGTCACCTAGTGATTAGATTCTGAATCCCATGGTGTGAAGCGATGGTCTAGTTTTGGTGCTGCTAATAAAAAAGGAAATTCATTTGAGAAAATATTCACTTGGAAGAATATCCATCCAAATAAACTGCATGTCTCAGAGCTGCTGTCTCAGTGCAATATTTTCTGTGGAGAATATGGTACATTCAATGGATTCATTTGCCTTTTTCACAGAAAGGATATTTCTAGAAACGACCTGATGTACATCAAATTACACACTGGAACAGGTTGACGGAAGTGCTCATAGTAAAAGTATCTTCATTAGAATGTTTTTATGTGTAGTTCTATATATATATATACACACATGTACATTAAATAACTAAAGGTATGATTCTTCTTACAAGGTGAACAATTTTAATGGTGAGAATTTTTTGAAAACGTTATTGGTTTTATTTGCTTGCTTTTTGGACTACTTTGCTGCTGCTTATCCACTGAAGCTAATTATTCTAATCCCAATTCCCTGCTCTTTTCTTGTACTCCTTTATTTTCTTCACTTTTCCCTCATACTCCGGCCCCTATCCATTCCTCCCAGCAGATTATCCAGAACTCTGCAGCTCGTGTCCTATCCCGCACCAGACTCAGTGACCCCTTCACACCCACCCTCGCCCGGCTCTACTGGCTCCCCATTCCTCAGAGGATCAAGTTCAAAATTCTCATCCTCACCTTCAAGGCCCTCCATGGCCTTGCCCCGTCCTACCTCTCCGACCTGCTAACTCCTTATCAACCTGTCTGCTTCCTCCGATTAGCAGGCTCTGGCCTGCTCTATATCCCCTGGCCGGTAGTACAATAAACTGTTCATTATTTCTTGAGAGAAATGCAATAATTTTATTACTATCATTAATTCCTTCATGTGGATTTCCACATACATCAACATCATGGAGTGCAGGGCCAAATGTGCCTCAAGTAAGATTCCCTGTTGGCAAACAGTGCTGGAACTGAACAAAACAATCTAGAAATATTTTATTAATTTTTTTCATCAGCTGTATGGTTGACACATGCAGAAATCCAGCACCATCCTTAAGAGAATCCAAACCAATGGGTACACTGTGCTTTCCTAATCTCAGAAAGTATTAGATGCAGGTAGGCAATACCCAAAACTTGGAGACCCTAGAGTGTGTGTGGGATACTGCCAGGGCTTATTCAGTAAAATTGCACAGCTTTGCATTTCAAATACTGACTGGTAAGTTTCCTGCTCTTTATTCAGGACCACCCTACCTTTTGGCTTGTAGAGTTAACAGGAGCAAAGTGGGAATAATCCCAGACGCAGAGATTTGGTTTGCTACTCCAAATCCTTCTGATGAACCTGGATGGATAGTCTGTTATCAGCATTGCATTGCAATAATGTGGATCTGCCTCGCTCAGGCGATTGAGACCCAACAGAAGATTCATTATTTTGGAGGCAACTTCCCTCCAAACAGACCCTCCTCTGGCATGATAGTAAAATGGATGTTTTTAGTTCAAGAAGATTATTAAGATTATTTTAAAATCTTTAAAAAGAAAAAAATGGCAAAACGGGAGTAAACAATAAAAAAAAACTCCCATACTCTTCCCCCCCCCACCCAAAAAAAATAAGGAATGCTGCTATATTTGTGAAACATTTCTTTCAGATGTGAATTTAGAAAGACTTTATGTTATGTGTTCGTGTCCTCCCATTTGTTCGGGTAGTCATTAAATGGCACGATTCAAAATGGGAAGGTAGTTTTACCTAGTACCCTGGCCAACGATCTTCCAGATAAATTCGCTTCATTGCCGTTTGTGGAACAAATGGCTTCTGCATTTGTCTGCAAAATCCAGGCAATTCACTTTTCAGAAAAATCTGTGAAGCACTTTCAGATATTTCAATGTGATATGGTACAGAATTTATTATTTGAAAGGCCTATCAAATTAGAAATTCCACATAGTACAAAATATAAAATTTGCCATATAAAATGATCGCATCTGGTTTGTACTCAAAAAGGTGCTCTTGTGTTATCTAGAAGCTATCGCTACCTAAAAAAAACAAAATTATAATAAGCACT